CAGTTGCAACATTTGTCATGGGCAGGGATTTTTCGACCACCTCAGGCCCCAGTGCTCCACCCCCAGTGCTCCCCCATCCTTCCGCCCGGTCACCCATGGGGATAATGGCTGAGTTAGTTGGTTGTGCTGCGAACAGATTTTATGATTGCATCTGTTCCGCTGCCAGTTTCCAGTTACCAGTGACCAGTTACCAGTTACCAGTTTTGGCCTGGCCGCCTCCATTTCCGATCCCCAGATCCATAAGCTATTCCCTGTGTGCCTTCGCCTGGGTTTCTGTGCTTGTGCGCCGGCTTGTGGTAGCCAAATTAGCTGCGATTAGGCCTAATAGAGCCTGCAGTGCACGGATTGCGGCCATGGATTCCGCACTGCTGCATTGCTCGGCACTCTCGCTCATCTGCCAGGTAAAACGGTTAGATTACTTCTACTATTGGTTCCACTGCCCATCAGCAGACGCAGCTGACCTGCAAATCTTATTTGCCAATCACAGATACATGAACTAAATGCCGAGTGATATCCCTGGGACCGACTCATTAGCACTGATTAAGTTGCGATTCAAGTGAGTTTCTGCTGGGGTTACACAGACGATAATGTATTTATGATATTAAAAGTAACTGCAGTGTGCCTTGGATTATCATCACGAAGTCAGAATGGGTAGGATTTAAGTGAAATTCTATTAAAGTGAATACAATAAATAGAGTATAATACAATATTAAGAACAATTCTACATTTTATGAATAAGATAAGTTTTTGGTTATGTCCCTTTTGATTTAGTATAATATATTTCACTTTCTGGATATGTTTTTTTCTAAGGAGCGGTTAGTGAACATTTATTACTATTTTGCGGAACTGTTGAAGCACATTCGTATATGATGAATAGTTTACTAGCTACTATACAGTTGCCAAAGTTCTCTGAAAAGCCCACTCGTGTTTACATATGTAAACGAAATCAAAGGGGGAAATTACAGGGGGATTCGCAACAAGCGACGTCCATCGTTCATCACATGGAGTGAAAGCAAGCCATGTGACCACAACCCCTTCCCCCACCCCCTTCCCCCGCCCACTACCTCCGAAGGCTAGGACCCTTTTCCCCCCGTAGGCCCCCATATATACTATATTCACCCTTTGTGCCGCCCTTAAACGCTTGTCAATCCGTACTATTCATAGTTCTCGCCTGCTGTTGTTCAACAAGAGACATGCATAAAATTGACCATGATTTCGTCCGACAAGACATCAACTTGGCCAAAGGGAGGGGTGGCCAAAAGGTGGTGGAGCAGCAAGGACGAAGGACGAAGGACGAAGGGGGTGGGGCTGCAGGACACATGTCATCAAATTTGTGGGCTGCGCCTATGCGTATGCAACAAATTTCCGAACAACTGGGGCGGCAGAAATGCAGAAATTTCGGTTTCGGAATTATGCGAGGCAGCTGGGGGGACTCCCCCTCTCTGGATTCACTGGATTTTCCCACTGCAGCTGGCAAATTAATTACTTAATTACATTTATTGACTTGTTTAGGTTAATTTGGACGCCAAGTGGTGGGACATTTCATTCGATTTACCACAAAGCAATCAAAAATTAAGAGACTAGCCAGCCGATATGTGCGTGTGTGTGTCTGTGTTGGCCAAGCCAAATCAATTTCCGCACGCACAAACACACAAACTCACTCACACTCACACTCACAGAGAGGGGAAAATCCTATTAACAATTGTTTAGGCCAATTGCCAGCAATGGGCAAAATGAAGAGCCGCAACTCTCGTCGAGTCTCTCCATAAATTTTGCATTTGGCATATGACAAAAAGTGTTGGTTTAGCTGTTGGCCAGAGACGAAAATAATGAAATGTTTGTTTGACCGAAAGCCCTTCGAATTGATTTTCCACCTGCTGACTAATAACTTTTGACAGGAATCGAAAAATATAAAAAAGTACAACAAAAACAAATAAACATACGTACATATGTATGTGTGAGCCAAGAGCAAAGGCCAAACAGGCAAACAAAGGCCAGTAAATATTTGGGGTTCAAACACACAGGAAATTGTTGCATCGAGTTGGCCATATTATGTAAATCACTGCCATTGACAGCAGCCACAGAAACGACAACAACAACAATAACATTAACAACAACAATAACAACAATGAGAGAAACAGAAGCCACAATTTTCAGCAGGAAGAGCAACAAAATATTGTGTGCAAAGCCCGAAAACCACTTTGGGCCCAACTTATTTGTGGCTAACAAATTTGCATGCATTGACGCATCATCATCGCAGTTGCCAATTCATCTGGATATACTCGTGTGTATGTATGTATGTGTGTGTGCTCTGTGGGCCACTTGGTTGGATTTCCCTTTTCTTTTTTTTTTATTTTTGCCTTCGCCACAAGGACAACAGAAGAGACTTTGACTGCGATTGCAAATCTTGGGCAAATCAATTGATGTTGTGAAGAGCAGGAAAAGCGTCCACAAAGTGTCAGCTCAAATGTCAATTTGTTGGCTAGGATTTTCAGGATATCGATGCTACAAGTGACAAAACACAGCCCTGCGTAGTTTTTGAGATTGATTGAATACGGAATGTTATTTGGCAAAACATTGGAAAAAACAGCAAAGATAATAATGCTGCAAAGGTAGTGGAACATTTATATGGCTCTAATAAACCTATATTAAATCCGTTTCCTTCAAAAGAGATTTTTAAAACCTACCAAATACTTTATGAACCAAACCAAACTAGTGTTTGCATTGGCTTTTCATTTTAAGGGAATCGTTTTGTAGAAGTTTTGTATGGCTTCTGGTTAGCATTGAGCCAAAAGTGTTGCCTCATTAGGCCACTTCTCGCACACAGTGGGAAAAACCTCAGCCAGCCCACACAGCAGACACAATCCCTCTCATCCTGGGCCATCGATAGGTATTTGGGGTCTAATTACAAAACACAAATGCACTATAATTTCAAAACCCAGAGCTTCCTGCTCCTCCCCACCCCCGAAACTCCCCTATTCAGCCTCATGCATGATTTCGTAATTTAAACGGCAATCACCTCTATGGGCCCTCATTCCCCCCGATTTCCCCCCGATTTTCCCCCTCCGATTTTCCCCACCATATGTCAACAGGCAACAAACAAACTTCTGTCAGCAAAATCATGCAAAATGTGACACCGAGCGGGGAACTGTGGATGTGGATGAGGATGTGGATGGGTGAAAATTTCGAGTGGATTTAGTTCTGGAACAATGTATCCTCGTTCCTAGCTGGGCGATGCCATCCCCTTCCCTTTTCAATCGGCTGCGTGTCATTCAAAGTTTATTGAATCGGATTGAAAAGCTGACATTTGCACATATTTCACATATTTTGCGCTTTTTTATGCGGATGGTTTGACACAGGAGAATGGGACAAAGTTAATAGTTCGGTGGGATTTCGGTTGTAATTTACAAGCCATTTTTGATTTGTCGTTTGTAATCGAACATAATTGTAAATTGAGGTATGAGAGGGTACTTGAATAATTTAATTTAGATTAGCTAGTCAAGGGCCAGGCTTAAAAATGCATGTTTACACGAACATACCATAAAATATGATTCAAATCTCTTTTTTTTTACCGCATATTTTTCCTAGCTGCTTCTCAATATTCTTGCATCCGATTATTACTTTCATTTGAACTTTCATTACTCTCCTTTGCGCTTTTCAAAAAACCCCATGGAAATGTCGCACAGCAAAAAATTGAGAAATAGAGAGGCAAAATTAAGAAGGAAATCATCTAAGGAAATGCAATCTGTAAGCGATGCTGCCTGATTGGGTTTGTCTGCTTTCATTACGACCTTGGAGCCTCCCCCACCCCCTCGCTGCCTCCCTGGGGCAATCACACAGACCATTTAACTTTAACGACAGTCCAAGGAAGGATTCCAAAGAAAGAAACAGAGGCAGCGAAGACCACAATTTTTCCGACTAGGCTCACTGGCCAAAGTTTCTTGCTTTCCTCATTACAATTATATTTGCAAAAGTTTGCCATTTGCCTTCGATTTTCCGTTTGCTTTTCCAGACATTTAATTTCTTGCTCCTTACCATTGACTTTGCTTGCAGCTCAAATACAATTCTTTTCGTCTATTTATTATTCATGTGTTTATTTGTATTTGAAAGTAATGAATGTTTTAAGGGGGGATGGACACAAAAAATCCCTTTGGAATCTGAATGATTAAAAGGACAAAGGTGTCGATGAAACAGGTGGCAGCGGACAGGATAAAGACGAAAATATTTATTTGCACACATGCAATTAAATTTTAATTGATACTGATACCCGTTGAGCCTTTGACCTCTTGGGCGATTAAATGTCTTTCTTAACCGTAAACTTATAGGGGGGTTTGGAAATAAGTGAGCCCAACAGGGCAAATGCAAGCTTGCAGTTGCCTATTGTTTATGAATCTATTTGTTTATTCGAGAGAGAAATATTCGGAATGCTTTGTTGTTTAACATTCTTGGGTGTCACACAAAAAACTAATGGGCACGGATACGTCCTTACTCCTTAATTATGCTTTGGGTTTCCTTGGTGGGGAGGAGGATTGAATTGGGGTTCTAGGAGTGCAATGGAGTTTCTGTGGGAGGTGTTCGATTTGAATTATTGTTTGGCTGGGAAGAGAAAAAGGGAAATGTTGGAATCGAAAATAGCGATTGTCCTGGCTGTTTGTCTTGTTTTTGAGTTGAGGTTCCATGGTTTTAGTCCTATTTAGTACCCACGGATGAATTCCCGGGTTTTAGTCCTTGAAAGTTTCTTGAAGTTGCCACATCTCTGCAAAAGGCGCTGAAAAATACACGAAACTTGGTTTTGCTGAAGTTCCAACTTCTCAGCAAAGGGCGCTGCAAATACACAAAACTTTGTTTTTCTTGCTATAATGATTTCGTCCTGCATGTGTCCTCCCAAGGTACGAGATTTTAAAAGCAAGGACTCACACCGATAATTTTAACGATTCGTTAATGTACTAATTATTAATCGATTTCTGCATTTTGATAACGGATTTTTTAAACATTGAAAATAATTTAAAGTTTTTTATTAGACTTAAATAAAAAGGCAACAAATGTTATGAATGGCATCACATATTTTCATATTCGCGACCTATTAAATTAATGAATCAGTGCATCACATAAAAATTGACTTATTTAGGAGAACAATTATTTTATATCCAAAATCTCGGTTAGGTACGCCTTTTAATGATAGCCGCGTTGGCCAGTTGCAGGATACGATTGAAGTCGACCTTAACGTGGGCACGCCAGTATTTACAGCGTCCCCAAATGACTGCCGGATAGTTGGGACTTTGGATGCCGTGGAAAATGCGGGCAATGTTTCGTCCACTGAACGTGTTGTCCGGATACATGTTGATCAAGGCGTGCACGTCGTCCGTGATGTGTCCATCCGGAACGTTGCTGGGCTGCAAGACAAAGGAAATGTGTAACTAAAAAATTCCATTTAAATGTAGAAATAAGCTTAGGGCTAACCTCCACTTCTAGCTCAAGATCCTGTGGATAGTCGTTGGCAAAGTAGTTGCGCACAATAGCTTTAAGCTGCTCGCAGCGATCCTGTGGGAAATCAGCATTGCAGCACTGGCCACAGGAGCTGTAGGCCACCGCTGCCAATCCGTGGGCCACATACTGAAGCTGAATGAGCTGCGTGCGCTCCTGTTTTACGGAACGCGTGTAGAGCGTGTCCAGAGCGTTGTCAATCTCCAGTTCCGTAAAGTCGCCCGGCACCTTGATGCGGAATCCCAAATCGAAGAAGCTTACTGTGATTGGCGATCGCTTGGGAAATCCATTTACTACCGAACGATGAAGAGATTACAATATTATAAAGGCCATAAATGATGGTGTGCCACCTTACCTTTCACCCACTCCAGATCCTTGAGTTGGTACTTGACCACGCCGCTGTTCCAGCCAATTCCTGCTGCAATGTCCGTCACCGAAAACTCAATTATGTTGGAGTCCTCTTTGAAGGTCTTGTCCCTTATCTGCAAGGCAATGGCCATGGCCAAGGGTGGACATTCTTTAGCAGCATGCCTGTGAAAAGGGAACACAATAAGAAGAAGTTACACAACACTAATTAAACAGTTATTCGAAACTCACTTCAGGTACTTGGGTCCACCATAGGAGATCACTTTGGCCATCACATATGCCGAGCTGAGCACACTCATGCACCAGCGAGGATCCAGCTCCATGTAGCAGAGCAGCGTGGATATGTTCTCTGCCGGGATGTCCAGCATCTCAACGGTTTTTTCCACGGAAAAGCCAATCTCGTGGCCCGGACACACATGGGCTCTCGGACCTTCGCCTTCGATCGCCATTTGGGGAGCATCTCCTTTGGACATATTTTTGTCACAGCTGCACGGCACGAAGATCTTCTGCAGCAGCTTGCGGATTACATGCCGATCGATTGAATTGGCGTAGACGTGTCGACGCAGCTCACTCTGATCGCCACCCTTGGGATCCAAGAAGAGATGACAGTGGGAAGGCAATCCGTCGCGTCCAGCTCGTCCGATCTCCTGCACATAGCTCTCGAAGTTTCTTGGCATGTTGTAATGGATGACAGCCCGAATGTCCGGCTTGTTTATGCCCATGCCGAAGGCGATTGTGGCCACCACGATGCGCAGCTCGTTGCCCATGAAGGCCTTTTGGATGGTTCGTCGCCTGGAAGCAGGCATTCCGGCATGATAGGGTTCGGCCTGCCAATTAACCCGCTTGCGCTTCTTTCCCTGATCTTGGGCTGGCTGCCTCCGGTCCTGGACGGTTGTCCTGATGAAGCCAGCGATGCGCTCACACTCGTCTCGTCGTGTGCAGTAGATAATAATGGACTGGCAGGGTTCAAAGCTGAAACATTTAAAAAGAGTTGAAGGTCTGGGATTCAATGGATATCGTTAAAACTACCGTTCACTATTGAGCAACTGGAGCAGCGCCGCATCCCTGTTTTGGTCCTTGGAGATGGACAGCACCAGGTTATCCGGCAGTGGGATGTCGCTGATAACACCCCGTTCCCCGTCCGCAATGCCCAGGTGGTTAATGATGCTCACTCGCGTCGGCAAAGTGGCCGTGGCCGTAAGTCCCAGTACAGTGTGCACACCAAGATTCTTGCGCAGCACCTTGCAGATCATCAGGTAGCTGGGTCGAAAGTTGTGACTCCACTGGGACACGCAATGCGCCTCGTCGATGCATGCGAACGCAATGGGCGGCAGCTGGCGGAGAATGGCTCCGAAACCCGTCGCGCGCTCTCCGGAAACCACAGCCTCTGGAGAGACGAGCAGTATGTCGATTTCCCCGTCGGCGATCATCTGTTGGATCTTCATCCGCTGCGGTCCAGTCTGATTGGTGTGCAGACAGTGGGCGCGCAGAAAGTGCGGCACCCCGGTCACCTGATCCTCCATGAGCGACACCAGTGGCGAGATGACCAGCGTAATGGCACCCATTTTCCGGCTGTACAGATAGGCTGGCAGCTGGTAACACAGGGACTTGCCACTGCCTGTGCTCAAGGTGACCAGCGAGGAGAGACCGGAGAGGGTGCGCATAATTGCCCGATCCTGACCTGAAAAAGAACACATTCTTCATTAAACTCATCCGCAAAATGTAGGTTTAAGCTTACCCTTTCTAAAATTACTGTGACCAAACATGTGCAGTGCTTCCAGCACTTCGGGTGTAGTGTCCTGGACACTTCCATCCGGGAGGAGTTCGTAAAGTGGCTTCACCCCGCCATGTCGGCTGGTATTCGAGGTGGGGGCATTGCTATCCAGACCAGCCAGCTTCAAAAATTCTTCGGGAATCTTGTGGCCAACGTACGTTTTAATAGGCGATGCTGGTTTCCCTTGCGAAGCAGGCTGACTAAGCGACGCCTCCACGGCTGCATCCACTGCCTCAAAGTCGATGTCGGTCTCATCGCTGGACCAACCTGGATTCGGTTGTTCCTCCTCAGCCTCATCACCGCTGCTCTCTTGGATCTCCTTCTCTGAATCATCAGATTCTTCGTTTTGAAGGATGGCTTCGTTGGCCGCCTCCGGCAATCTTGAGATGTTGCGACTATGAGCCACCAAGGCTCCCTGTGTGGCCATCTCCTGAGCCTCGGCGAGCGTGGGAAACGGCGAGGGATCCTCCTCCAGCTGCGCGGATAGCGGCAGCAAACTGTCTCCCTTCACCTTGCACTGCTGGGCGAAGTGTCCAACTCCGCCGCACTGGAAACATGTGAGCACTCCGCCATCACAGCCACCCATGTCCATATCTGGCCCACTCAAGGCAGCCACTCGTTTCTTGTGCCGCCACTGCTGCTTCTTGTACTTGCTAAAATTCACAGTCTTTTTGCCACGTGCGAACTTCTTCTTTTGAATGTTGATGGTCACAAAGTTCTCGTTCAGTTTTCCCGAAGCTATGCGTTCCTCTAGCTTCTTTCGGGCTGCTGCTCGCTTTTCGTCCACTCGGACGTTAGATCCTCCTGCGGATTCCATAATGGGTCCTGCTGCAAAAGTGCTGATGTAGCGCTGGGCGGTGGCATCCGCTTTTTCTAGTTCCTGCGAATTAATACGCGGAACGGAGGTAATGTCGCCTGCCTCCAAGGCAAGCACGTACTTCAGATCTTCGGGATTCAATGGCTGACTCTCCTTCTCCTCTTCAGGTTCAACAGCTTCTGCAGCAGGTGCTTTCTTCGAGTTCCTTGGCTTCTTTTCCGCTTTGGGTTTCTTTTCTGCTTTGATCTTCGGTTTCTTTTCAGGTTTCGGCTTAGCTTCGGCCTTCGGTTTGGTGGTCTTCCTTTTGCCAGCTGCTTGTTTTCGCTTGGCCTTTTCTTTCTTGCCCTTCTCCGGTTCATAAGTGGCATCACGCTCTTCGTCGGCGGAGAAATCCAAGCCATACTCATCCTCTGTTTCATCCGGAGTCACAGTTTTTTCTTCCGCTTCTGTTTTGTTGGGCATTTCGGAGGAAGCAGCTACCTCAGCTGACCCTTCGGTCGCAGGCATAATACGACGTCGTTTAGCCAACTGCCTGTACTCCTGTGGCTCCGGCTCTTCTTCGCTTTCAGCCACCACAGAGTCGGAATCAGAATCGCTTTCCTGTTCAACAGGAGAATTGTGTTTGTGAGCGGATGTTGGTTGGGTGACCGCAGAAGGGGTCTGCCTAAGGGGAGGAGGTGCTTCGTTCTTATTAAAACCGCTAGCAGATGGCGGTCCTTGTGTGCTCACAACTTGTTCGGCCTTCACCTGCACCTTCTGTACCTCCTTGGGCTCGGGCTTCAGTTTACTCAAATCTAGATTGGCCAGTCCATAATTGGTTTTTTTTAGTTGACCATTATTATTATTATTGGCTTCCGAAAATGGAGTCTCCGCCTCAAGAGTATTTTCCTTCGTATTCCGCTGCAGCCAGCCGTCGTCCACCTGCGTTTTAATAGTTTCTTTGCTGTGGTCGCCGGCCAGCAGCGGATTACCGGCTAAGGCCAGCTCCTTTTCCTTGTACTCCTGCGCTTTGCGTATCAGTATGGTCTCAAAGTCGGGCAGTTCTTCCACCAGAGAGGGAACTGAGCTTGCGGAACTGGTGGAGCTGGAGGCGTTGACGGAAGTGTTTGACAAAGGCTTGCGTGGATTACGCTTAGCAAATCCGCGAGTGGATTGGAACAATTTGGCACTTAGACTGGGCTTAAGGGATGCAGCGGCTTTTGGCTGCTTCCCGACCACAGGAGCGGATAGAGAAGCCTCTAGAGGTTTTGGAGGTGCTGCTTGCTTCATGCTGACATCTACACCCCAAGCATTCCGATTGATTGGCAATTCCTCCACAGCCTCGAACTGGCGGATAACATGGTTCTCATCGCGATTTACCAGATTAGTGAGCACTTGGCGATTGGGCAGGTCCTGAATATTGGAAAACGACCCCTCCGCAGTCTGCGGAATTTCCTGCAGATTGCCAGAACTCGGTGTCTCGACCAGAGCGGATATATTCAGCGGCAGTTGAGGACCTCCGCTCAGACTTACGTCCTGATCCAACATGCTCACACCCAGATCACTAGCCTGTGACATCTCCAGGACATCGTAACCATCCTCGCTAAGCACATCATTAAGCGTTTCCTCCAGGAAAGATGTCTTTAGTTTGTAATACATTTTGTAGGAGTCTCGGATCTCCTGGCTGGCCTCCCGAATATCATACTGCCAATGTAGTTAAAATCTTTTTATACAACAGTATTTGCTATACGTATCCAATCTCACCTTCGATGGAACTCGGCCATTCTTCTTTTTAAAATCTTTTTCCCACAACTTCACGCGTAACTTGTACTTTTGGTATTTTAGCTTGAACACCGAATCGTCCATATTGACGGGTGTCTTAAATTATCTGATATTATTGTAGCATTAAAAACCAATATGTAGGTCGCGATTTCGGAATTTAACTCACGAGTGCAGCTGTTTTCGCTGAGCGCGCGCTTTTCACTTGACGTTGCCAGACCGATGCTGATACAACAGAGTTGCCGAATTGTCGGAGTCAGATACACTGATAAATGTTGTAGGTTAAAATGTTTATCTTAATAAGTTTCTACATAGTGGATAGTTTTCGAATATGTGTTTGTATTAAAATCATAAGTTTAAAAACTGGGGAGAAAGATAGAACACACATTAAAAGTCTAGAGATATTGCTGCGCATTTTATTAAATTTGTGTTTTTATTTATTTATTTTTATTTTTTTGTAGTAAAAAATATCCAAGCTTGGCCGTTGCAAAATGCAGTTTCACAATGATGCTAGGTAGGTGACTCGCAAAGGGTTTCCCTCGCTGGAATAACTGAAGATTACGGGTAATAGCTAAGAGGATGGGAGCCATGCAAAGCAGCCGCACGGGACTTCCAGCGAGGTGGACAAAGCGGAGGAACGGGAGCGGCGAAAGGCAGGGCGAGAATGTGAACATAGGTGTTGAAGTGCCTACATGAGTATCAGGGCAATCTCCTCCGGCTGCATCGATGGACAGCGCCAGTTGTAAAGGTAGTACTGTAGGTTGCCATCCCCGGCACCGAATTTCAGTGGCGCAAAGTACTTCTTGTTCTCCATGAGGTCGAGGGCGTTGTACACGTCCATCTGGACGTTGCGGGCCGAGATCAAGGCATCGTTCATAAGATCCAACCAAGGAGTCTTCGTGGAGACGTTGTAAAATGAATAGGCGGCTCGTACGGTCTTGTGCACAGGATGGTGCATCACCGAAGAGGGCAGGCAGTAGTAGCTGGTCAGATCAGTGATGTTGCCCTTCTCGTCGGCCACCACAAAGCAGTCGATGATGCCTTCCTTGGGCGTAAACCAATGTCTGAACTCCTCTTTGCTAAAAACGGGACTTAATTGAAAACGCTTCAAGTAATCCTCCAACAGTTTGTGCGCCTTATCCATATCCTTAGCCGTGATCCGGCGATATCCCTTTGTTTTGGGCTGATCGGGCAACTTGTACAGTTTCATGGTGCGCTGCATGGTCATGTTGCGGGCCAGATGCGAGAAGCGCACGTCCACCAGCTTCTTTGGATTCAGCGAGCGGTGCCAATAGCGACAAGTAGCCACTGGCGTGGGCAGCACCACTCCGGCTGTGTAGGCCGCCTGGAATATCCCTGTTAGATTGACACGACGCGTTATCTCACGGATTAGAACTGGAGCCACCCGCTTGCTGCGCAACTTCTTGTGCACGCACAAAAAGTTAATATCTACCACCTTAAGCACCTTATCGTAGGATTTTAGCTTGCTGGGAATGGCAGAGATGAATCCAACCAATTTGCCGGACTTCTCAACTCGCACGCCCACGTGCCAGTCACGTTTCCAGCCCGGCGGTTGCAGTGACCACTTGAGGAACTCCGGTTGGTAGTCGAAGCGAAACATGGCATCATCGTCCTCAACGTAGTTTTCGTTAAGAAGCGTATACAGCTCTTTGAGGTCGTTGGCGTCGGTGAGGTCAAGGGTTACCCACTTGAATCCACCTGGTAAAGTGTAGGGCTCCGCCCGGATCTCACTGACTTCCTTATTCGGCTCGATGCACTCGTTGGTGGTGACCTGCTCGTCCAGCTTAGTTACTGGCTGTGTGGACCAGAAGGCGAATCGTTTCGCTATCTGGCGGGTGCCGGCCATGGCGTCGGATACCGCTTGTAGCAAGGCCTGCTTGTCTGGAAAAAAAGTGGAAAAGATACATAGCGTTTAAAGCTGCTTCTTTAACTAGCTTTTAATTCTTAACTCGGATAGGTAGATTAAGGTAGTGAAAGAAAACAAGTTTGAAATAACACGATCGAAGTCGCACCTAAGAATGGGATGTTTAAACAAGATGACTAAAAGATTAATTTAAAAAAAAGAAGTTGTACCTTTATTGTATAAATATTTAAATTGTATAGTTTACAGTTATCCGGAAATTATTTGAATCATCTTTCTTTTAGAAAATTTAACTTAATAGGGTTTGACTGTCCCGACCAAACCTAACCTCATTTTTTTTTGCCCCAAAGAGGTGCCCCCAAAGGGTTCTTTTTTGACCCCAGACAACTCACTTGCATCCGCGGACACAGAAGCCTCATCCTTGGCCCCTTCCGCCTGCTCTGCATCCTCATTTCCGGGTATATTCGAAGATAACGTATCCTGGAGCTTTAAGCCGGCAACAACCTTCTCGAGCATTTCCTCAGAGGCGACGGCCACCTCCTTGGCCTTCTGCTTCAAGTCCTGACCAACCTGGTCCTCCGCATTCTCGTTGGGCATGATCGGCACTCGATTTCTGTTTTTATAGTTCGGCAAATTAAAATTGCAATGAAATCGCAAAACTACAAGCAGCTGACTCAAAAATAGGGTTGCCAGTAATATGTCAAAATATCAGTACACCGATTATTAAGCGTATTTAACCATCGATAATTATTTTTTATACAATCTTATAATTGGTAAAAGCTGAATAAACATGAATCAATAAATTAGCTTTTAAACATTTTCCGCATTCAGAAGCTGCAGGAAAATGAATTAATAAGTTATAATTGTTCCTAAGAAAGAACAAAAAAATGTGTTCTTAACCATGTTGGCGTTTATTTTAAAGTCATAAAATTGGCGCCAAATTTGTCTCCGTATAAATTTGTGAAATATAATTCTGAACATCGATATTTATGCATTGAGTTTAAAAAAAAGGCCGCAGAAATCGATACATTGATATAATCTTGACAACCCTACTCCTGGATGATAACATCCGCTGTTTGCTTATTGTTTATATAGTTTCTATAGCTGAAGTAGAATGCAATGTGGCGATTTCAGTTGCTGATAAGCACTGAAACCCCACAACACTCAAACTTCGAAATCGCACCCACGCCTCGACGACGATGACTGCCACCAAGAAGCGCCTTAAGATTGTAGCGGCCGCCGCGCTCGTTCTTCTTATCCTGGTCTACCTGTACCGGGCGGTCAGCGTTTCGGCGGGCGGAATGTCTTCCGCTCCCATTTCCACCGGCGACGAGGTTCAGGCCCGCTGGCCGCCCACCGAGAGTCCTTTACAAAGAAGCCTGCAGATGGCTTACGAAGAGCAAAGCTCGTTAATCCGCGAGCAAAAAGTCGAACTAGAGCGTACCAGGGAGCACCTGGCCAAGCTAGAGGAGCAGATCCGTAATCTACAGACCAGTGCTCCGCGTAAATATCCAAAGGTCAAGTACCTTAACTACAAAAACCGCAAGCGCATTCTAATTACCGGAGGTGCTGGCTTCGTGGGCTCCCATCTGGTGGATGACCTGATGGTCCAGGGTCACGAAGTCATCGTGGTGGACAACTTCTTTACGGGACGCAAACGCAACGTGGAGCACTGGCTGGGTCATGAGAACTTCGAGCTCATTCACCACGACATCGTTAATCCACTCTTTATAGAGATTGATGAGATTTACCATTTGGCATCGCCAGCTTCTCCACCGCATTATATGTACAATCCGGTGAAAACCATTAAGACCAACACCATGGGAACCATCAATGTGCTGGGTAGGTAAATAAACATTTAACTGAAAAGGTGTATTATTGGCACAATTAAATAGGCTTGGCAAAGCGCGTGATGGCCAAAGTTCTGATAGCCAGCACCTCAGAAGTTTACGGTGATCCCACTGTCCATCCGCAACCAGAAACCTACTGGGGACATGTGAATCCCATTGGACCAAGGGCCTGTTACGACGAGGGAAAGCGGGTCTCCGAAACTCTGAGCTATGCGTACGCTAAACAGGTAATATGCAGATGTGTATATCCCTATTTCAATGAATTTCTGTTTTGATTTTTTCTGGTTTCTGGGAAATCATGTACTATTATTATTACCACTTTTCCTAATCATACAAACCCAAACCTTAAATTTTTAATAAAAAAAACTGTCATCAAATCTCGTTTCAAAATCCACATTCCTTAAAGGCAGTCTGTATAATTGCGAAAACTGGCTGATATCCAGAAATGTGGCAGATCTTTCCTGATTTGATCGGCAGTCGGGCATTAAATGATCTCAATTGAAATGCCATCAATTTTTGATTCGCTCGGCTGCTTGTCACGAGATAAGATTCCAATCGCGAGCACTGACCACATTCTTCGAACTCAGCTGGCGAACCGCCACTAAAACTAATTGCATTATTTCTGCATTTGTCTCTTTAGGAAAAAGTGCAAGTGCGCGTGGCGCGAATCTTCAACACTTATGGTCCTAGGATGCACATGAACGACGGACGCGTAGTTTCCAACTTTATTCTCCAGGCGCTAAGAAATGAAACCATCACTGTGTACGGAAATGGCAAGCAAACACGTTCCTTTCAGTACGTTTCGGATCTGGTGGATGGAATGATTGCTCTAATGGGATCAAATTACACACAGCCGGTGAATTTGGGCAATCCCGTGGAGCAGACAATCGGGGAGTTTGCTGAGATCATCAAGCAGCTGGTCGGCGGCCCCAGTAAAATTAAGCAAACAAAGGCCATGGAGGATGATCCGCAGCGCAGGAAACCAGACATCACGCGTGCCCGGCAGTTTCTGAAGTGGGAACCGAAGGTTCCCTTAGAGACTGGACTACAACGGACCATTTCCTACTTCCGCAACGAACTGGCGCGCAGCGATCGGTTCCAAGAAAGCTCCAACAAGTACTTTGACACACCTTAGCAATAATTTGATTTAGCTTTAGTTGGTGATGATGCAACGTCTCTAGTCTGCAAATGTAAATATGACCATCGATAGCACTAATTGTAAGCCTTTAGGACCGCGCGAAATTTTAAAGGTCATGAGCAGGGTTTTTTTGTGAAGTTTTGGGATATATTTAACCAATAGACATAGGGTTTATTTAAGAAATCGGGAGCCAATGCGTACAAATGCGATCAAATTTGTAGCACTTAAGTTTGGAAATATGAAAAGTTTTGAATATATTAAAAATTGCCAACGAATTTGGTCCACATCTAATTGAAGTCAAATTTTGTTTTGTTTTTTTAGTATCAAAATTACCCAGATGAAAATTAAATTCGCGAAAGTTATCGTAAATTCCACACAAAAATCAACTTTAAAATCATTGGACATAACAATTTTATTGTATAAGAATTCAAAGTGCTACTTTATTTGACCGCAAGTGTACCAAATAGACAACAATATCACTGGGATATAGCCACTAGCCAACAGTGTAATGTTTTGTATTCAAATTATTAGAACATACATTAGACGAATCATTAAAACGAGTTTTTCTCTGCGAACTAATCTTACCCGACAAGTATTTTACTATCTATATACACGGCTTATCCTACGCTTAATCTACGCTAGTATACTTTCAACTTAAGACTATATTTGCACCTTTGCTTATCAGCTAGATCAACTAGATTGGCCACTCGCATAATCTATTTCACCTGGCCAGCGGCTCGAGCATCTCGAGGAAAAGTTTCTTCATGGTAATGACCTCATCTCGTGCGATACCCCGCCAGAATCGCCGCAGGATGTCATCCGCCTGCCTTAGCGAAGGCAGCAGTAGGAGTAACTGCTGTTGATGCGACACAGCAGATGAATGACGCAGCAGGTAGACAACGTCATTCAGAGAGTTAAGAATCGTATCTCGGAAGGCGCGCAGCGAGCTCTGGTCATCGAGTAGGATGTCGCAGTTGGCCAAAAGCAGCGCCTTCAGAAGGTAGTACTCCTCCCTTCGTGGCGAAATCCTCTCCATCCGTTGGGCAATCTGCACACAGTGGTAGTAGAATTCCGTGTAGCCGCACTCCTTGGCCAACAACTCGTCCATCCAGACATCCGTGGCGAAGCACAATTTGCCGTTAAACGGTAGTGAACGGAAGGTCAGCTGCAGGGTCAGAATCTCAGCCCACGACACTTGGAGCAACTTCATTTGGTCGTTAAGCGGCAATTCTATAAAGCCGGGTATCTGCTTTGCCCAGCCAATTACACTGACCAGTTCCTTGTCGTAAATATCGCTAAGCACGCTTAATATCTCATTGGGATCATTGTTGTTATTGTTTTGGAAAATGCAAGTCCCATTGGGCGTGACTCCAACGCTGGACTCAAGTTTAATGCTGCCCGACGAGGAAGAGGCCTCATCATTGGCAATGGTTGTTGTATGCACCTGCGGTGGAGGCGTTTGAACACTCAAAGCATCCGGTTCGTAGGAGTTGAGCACCTCCAGGATCTTCACATCGCACAGCGAGGTGGTGTTTGACTGATAGAGCAACTGCATGGTCTGGTAAGAGTTGGATACGGGATTCCGCCGGTACTTCTGCCGTCCACCACGAACTCGGTCCAAACGCACACCCTCCTGAAAGGTAAAAGCAATTAGCATTTCACAATTTAAACTCTTAACTGCAAGGTTACCTTCAGCATGCCCATGAGCAGACACTTTTGAAATCGACACGCCTGGCAGGCTTTGCGCCTCCGCTTGTTGATCTCGCACTCATTGTTGGCCGGGCAGGTGTACTCAATATTTCCTTGTATGGTGCGCTTAAAGAATGCCTTGCAGGCCTCGCAGCTTGCCACACCGTAGTGAAATCCACTGGCCACATCTCCGCAAACCAAACACAGCCGGCGAAGCTCATCCCTTACTGATCCGGATCCTGTTCCAGCACTAGGATTGCTGGCATTTCCTCCACTGGTACCGCCACCTCCTCCACCTCCGCCGCCACTAGTGCCGCTGCCAGCTCCACCACCCTTTAAACTGTCACCATCATTGCTTAGGGATACGTTATGCAGGTCACAGGAAAGGGAGGTCGTGGAGCTGCAAAGCTGTCTCTCTGGTGAAACCGAAGGTGAGGACTTCATGCCGTTGGTTCCACTTTGCGTTGCAGTTGATTTGGAACTGGGACTAAAGCACGAGGCCGCGCCGCCCGCCGAAGAAGTGTCCACCTCCTGCTTGATGTGCAATATACTGACTCCGTCGGACATATTAGAGCCTTGACTACAAGAGATAAAATGCGTTAATAAAAATCTATAGTTTAAGTTTGTGTGATCATAATCAAAATAGCGCTGGATAAAATTAAACTTAAACACTAAAAAGTTCGAGTATAGAATATCTCCGCCATATTCATTATAATTGGAATTACAATATATATTCGGTAAAACACATTTTACAGGTCAAAAAAATTTTATTGTTTCCAAAAAAGTAAGTTAAAATTAGAAACTAACGGGTTAAAAATAAGCGGAGCCCCTTGAATTTTGCAAAATCACCGCGATAGGAATCGGTTTTGCTAAATGTCAAATAGTACACACTGCATAGTGGTAAGCGCTGCCCCAAAAACCGGGGGAATATGAAAACCCAATATCGTTATCAGCACTTATGATAGGGACCTCCGACATTGCCCCACTGTGTTTGCTTGTCGCTCGAAACTTAGTCACGGAATGCTTAATGAATGCAAAATATAATTGTAATTAAGACGAGAAATAAACACAACGAACAGCAGACAGCTCAGTGCAATGGGTTGCGATCCCCATTCCAGAATGTGTACATTCAATACCGAATTCGTACCCTTCTCCTGCGTAAAACTTCATTGGTGATCGTGGAAAAGTACGGAATAGAACTAAACTGAACTAAAAAACCGAACCGCCCGCCAAGAGTGCGATAACGGTACTGTGCGTGGAGTACCTGCCAGCTAACGGTACAAATCACGACGCATAGTGCTGACATTGATTAGGAAAAAGCGAAATAAATTAAAAACGGAAGGAAACGACGAGAAGCTCGAAGATCGGATACTCTTCTGAATAGCGGAAATCTATCAAATATATCAAAATACTTTATAAAATTGGGATTTTGTATTTCAAGTTTAGTTATGAAATTAAATTTTCATTTTTCGTCCGAATATTATGTTTCTGCTCATTATGTATTAAAGACTATTTATAGGCTTGCTAGATTGTTTCTTTATTACCCGTTTAAAAATAAAACTTGTCTTCTGATTTTACTGATCTGTTAAATTCCTAAATTAAATCATTTTACACATTTAATTGTCGATAATATAATTATTTCACTAAGTGAAAATACCAACATTTTTGCAAAGCCTGCAAAATTGTTTTTCCGCAGTGTGAAAAGGAATGTAAATAAAATGAAGGTATATCGTATTCCCAAACACTTTTGGGTATCCAAGCTTAAATCAGAATTATAAGCTCTTTGTCGAAAGAGTATAAAACGCGCGCTGGTAAAGACAATGGGGGGCAGTAATGGTGTAGTAGGTAGACAGCGAACCACATCAGACAGCTTGCAGATGAAAGATAAGCACTAATTCCTTATCAGCCACTGGGAAGCCAGGCGATTATAACCCAAGGTGGGCCTGTCCGTATCTGTTTACATACTTACATAAAATAGTTTTGAGGATCTTTTGTGTAATCAGCTCACTTCAGCGCGGGCAACGTCAATACACATCGGCCTCCTTGACCGTCTGTATGTATTTATTTTGGTCCGATTCGAGCACTTTGTTATTGCTATAGCTTTTGCTTAGTTGCATCCTTTCGAGTCTTTTGTGTTTTTGATTAATGGTTGATTTCACAGCGTAAATTACTGAGCATCGTGTTTTTGGCAACCGATTTAATGCACTTTCCAAAAGAATGTGGTAGCGATGCAGACAGCATCTGCATCGATTTTATGCGTCTGGACTTGGATTTAGCACTCGGCAAGGCACGAAACTTTTTTTGCGCAGGCAAATGTCAAATTATATTATTGCTATTTATTGTCTGCATCCTGTGTTGGTCGATTTTCGAACAGATTTGCATATTGGAAAGATTAAAATAAAATTGTGTTATTTTTTTTTGTGAACCAGACCTAACCAGGGCTGGAAATCACTAGACTGCCTTCCAGGGGTGCAATGACAGTTTGCGCTTACGTTCACTGGTTCCTTTATTGCGGTTAACAAATTAAAGAACTCATAAGATATAATACACAGGGATTTGTAAAAACTGTATTGATTGACCGACTTTTATTTAAAATTTGAACACTTTTAACAAAAGGTAATTTGAAAATCCAGCGAAAAATATTTCAGCAGAACTCAAACCATTTAAGCCATTGAACTTATGTCAGGAAGATATTTCAGCGGAACTCAAACCATTTCAGTTAAGAAGCAATATTATTTTTAAAATTTAAATGCATTTAATTACATTTTAAGTATATTTATTTAAATCGTGTTTTTTAAAACTACATATTTTCGTAGAGGCACTACAAAGTTTAGAAAATGTACCATAGTTTTTTTTTGCAATGCAAACAGCTTGAAGATGTCCTCTAGACTTTTCCAACACTTGCGAATGCAACTCTGCACTGATAGAGTTTCCATGCCTGGTTCGCTCTGTTGCTGTCCACCTTGTCTTTGTGTGGGTGCTGGTTTGTGTGCAAAACAGAGCAAAAACAATTGCGCGACAAGAAATCCAAATATCATTAAATATTACGTAGCTTCAGTTAAGAAAACGTCATTCACCTAACACCAAGTCGACACCGTGGTCCTGCGAATATCGAAAAATCCGAAACAGAAAAGTCTCAAAACAAAGAGGTACAAATAAACGATTCCCAGTCACGTATGTACATTTCGCAAGCGCTTGTGTGTGTGTGTGAGTGTGTTTTGTTTGTTGTTGTTGGTTTTATCAGCAGCCCCAAAAAGTGTACACACACTCACACGCATGCCGAGTTTGTTATTGTACTTCCGAGCATTTATTTATTACTTTGGCCCACGCTTTGTTTGCGCCACTCGCCATTCCATAATACGCCATCGATAAATATGCTCGAATGGTTAACGTAGCTAACGATTTACATTCAATCTGTTGCAGGACTTCATCAGCCCCTCCCACACAGCCACAATGATGAGCCTGCTCGGGCGCCCCGATGTGGATGCGGGTGAAGTTTTCGTCAATTTTAACCAGAACATAACGTAAGCGTACATTTGCTGTGGTCATTCGATAAGGGGTCGGAAAAAAATGTTGTGAGAAATAGAGTTTGTGCTAAGTCAAGGAAAATCGCGGTTTTTCCCATATCCCCAACATATAATAGTAGAGTGAGGAACTCCAATAAATTAAATTCAACTTGAGTTGAAAATATTGTTTACAGATAGTAGATAAGTTAATCCAATTAAGAAAAGAGCTAGTTCATAAAATGCTCGATTTTGCAAAAACGAGGCAGATAATTATTCATTACTATTTATACTTCTTTATACATTGGTAAGGTTGCAAGCATATCAATCAATCAACTTTATCTGTTATTTAATAGCACACAATTTCTCTGATCCGAATGTCTTTTATATTGGCTCCACCTTATGCTAGCAAATTTAATCACACTTATCACCATTGCAGTTCATTGGCCGTTGCCACCAGCGGCGGCTATAGCCTGTACAGCCTGGGCTCCGTGGACTCGACGTTGGACAAGATTTATCACACAAAGAGCGATGAACTGTTTCTCATTGAGCGCCTATTTGAGAGCTCACTCGTGGCCATAGTTTCCCAGCGAGCCCCCCGCAAGCTGAAGGTGTGCCACTTTAAGAAGCAGAGCGAAATCTGCAACTACTCGTACGCAAACACAATTTTGGCAGTGAAGCTCAATCGCGAGCGCCTGATCGTCTGTCTGGAGGAGTCGCTGTACATCCACAACATTCAGGACATGAAGGTAGTGCACACCATTCGGGATACGCCGTGCAATCCGCAGGGTCTGTGCGCACTCTCCTCGTCCTCGGAGCATTGCTACCTGGCCTATCCGGGCAGCGTTACCTCCGGCGAGGTGCAGATTTTCGATGCCATTAACTTGCACGCCAAGACCATGATTCCCGCCCACGACACACCGCTGGCGGCCTTAGCCTTCAGTCCCTCGGGCACGGAGATTGCCACGGCAAGTGAGCGTGGAACGGTCATCAGGGTTTTTAGCTCCCAGGATGGTAGTCGGCTTTTTGAACTTCGACGCGGACTGAAGCGATGTGTATCCATTGTTTCACTGTCATTCAGCACGTGCGCGGAGTATCTGGTGTCCAGTTCCAACACGGAGACTGTGCACATCTTCCGCCTGGATCGTAGTGCCACGGAGACAGCCGAAGGACATGGAGGAAAGCAGACGAGCGACGACTGGATGGGGTAAGCGGTGTTGGATTCGAATTACTCAACTTATGTTTTGTAGTCTTGTAGATAGTTGAACTTACTTTTCTGTGCGGTAATGGGTAAAGGTTTATTTGTAAGGTGTGGGTGTTCTGTACATAATCGCTGTTGCCTTCGGAACCACTCCATTTCGGTCAAAACCCAAACCATTTGTCCCTAGCTTTTTTCATTTCCATCTAAAGCATTTTTGTGTTTTGAAATCCGAAATCCCAATATCCATTTATGATTTATTCAAGTTAAATATCATTGCTGAAAATTACCTTATTATTTTTGTTATACATTCAATAAAATCATACAATACTTCATTTAATAAAATCATTTCGATCCATTTTCATATGTACATGTGTTCTCTTCATATTTATTTCAATTGCCTCTGATACAGAGTCATATTTTCCAAATTCAGTTTCTCTCAATTTCCTTAAACAAGAAATAAATAAAAAGATAAAATAATGATTCTCATTTTTTTTTAAGAAGCTGCAAAGCGATTTTGAAAACGGAACTAAATTGAAGCCATTTTGAGTAGGGATTATGACTTTTTTGATTTTATTCTATTTCTCGTATCACTTGACGTTTATCTATTTTTCTTTTCTTTCATTTTGCGAAACCACCAAACACGAACCAACCAACCACCTCAACAACAACAACCACAACTCAACCACTCACCAAATCTACTCTCTCATGCAAGTTACTCGTTTTTTAGATTCTTGAGCAAAACGGTCACCAGCTACCTGCCCACGCAGGTGACCGACGTGTTTAGCCAAGGCCGGGCCTTCGCCTCGGTCACTTTGCCGGAGGCGGGAGTGCGCAGGATGTGCGCCATTACCACGATACAGAAGCAGCTAAGGTGAGTTTTGGATCGGTATTCGGACTGCAGGTCAATTTGCACATTACAAAATAACCTTTGTTAGCTTAATGAGTTTTAAAGCCTTGACCCAACTTCTGGGAATTTGTTTTCATCTGCTAAATTCTTCGTAATATTGAATATACCTTTTTCCTATTCTTTCGTTGAAAAATACAAAGAATTGCAAACCAAAGTGCAAGTAGGCCTATAAAAAGTCTTTGCTTGGTAGAAATTTTAATTTGGCTTATTTTTTTGCATTGCAGACTGCTAATTGCCTCGCAGGATGGGTACCTATACGTGTACTCCATTCCCACCGTCGAGGGCGCAGAGTGCCAGCTGATAAAGAGGCACGACCTGCGGCTGGAGGACCACTACGCCATGGATATCAAAGGTGCATAAAACAGTTCGCTTCTCGCACACAACACCACACTCACACACATCCCAACCAAACCCACAATCGAAACAAATTCTCTAGTTGATTCACCTCAAACTCTAGGCCTTAACAGTGGCGTGAGCATCGGCGGAGCAGCCGGCGTTCCGCCCGGTGGTGCAGGAGCAGCCGTCGCCGGCGGGAGTGGTGGCGATGGCAAGTCTGCGACTCCGGTTTCCGGTGGCGGCGGTGGTGACAAACCTGGCGGCTCCTATGCGTCCGCCGTCAAGGGGGACGAGCCCGCTGGACCCTCTTCCTCCTCCGCTTAGACAAAGATATTGATCAAACAAGAGATGCAGAGATGGTAAACGAAACTCACTCCTCAAAGTACTACGGACGATGATGCTAAAGTGATTGCGATGATGCTTGGCGACTGGCGACTGGCAACGGCGGCGATGATGATGATTAGCGACGGTGGGCTCTGTGGCGTCAAGCGTATTTAAGTAAATAAATAGGTCATAGACTTAATTTAGCTTTTAACGTTGTCAGCGACGATTCTTTCTCGTTTTGTACCAGCAACACTTCCAACCGCCCCTTCCTACCCAAGCAATTTTTTAGTTTTAAGTTATGTTCATGGCGCTACCATTTGAATTAGAAATGCTTTTGTCATACACTCCTAAGTTAGTTGTTAATTAATAATTTAAAATGATTTATAGATTTGCTTTGATATTTGAGTTGCCCGCTTTTTTATATAAAATAAACGGCCTTTGCAAGTTATTATTCGCCTGCATATATTTTTTTACCAACTCCTCATCCCTTGACAATCCACCGAACTCGATTTAATTGTAAAGCTCTCGCCTTGCTCTTGTTTAATCAATGGAAAATATTTCGGATTAAGCACGTCACCACAAATACACCAAACCTTTGTATTTAATCTTCAATTTCAAATCAAACATTCAGCAAACGACATTTGAGTGAAAAAATTCGAAAAAATCGGAGTGCAATGGAGGAACAATTTTCGGCATATATGAATAGGATATATTTTGTACAAAGTCAAATATTTTAGAACATAATGTTAAAAAAACACAGTTTACAAAAGGAACTCATACGCTACTTTATTGTATTCAATAAATTATTTGAATTAAAATGTACTTTTATTTGTCAGGTTTTAAATTGACAATTGTAATATCTATATTAAAGGGTTTAATGTAAGAGGTGTGTTTAAAAAGTATCACGAATTTTGTGTTTTTTCAAAAATTATTTATTCATGAATATCTATTTTGTCCTCTCAAAGTAATCCCAGTTAGATATCATGCACTTGTGCCAACGGTTTTTCCAATCTTCGAAGCCCTTCAAAAAATCATTTTTTTTATCTTGTTCAGCTCCTTCTTCGATGCCGTCTTTATCTCGTCAAGCGTAGCGTAAAGTCGTCCTTTTATGGCCCTCTTCAGTTTAGGAAAAAAATCGAAATTCGATACGAGGTAACCCGTGAAATTTAAAATTCGCGATACTTTTTGAACACACTTCGTATGTATATATCAGTTTGAATTTTTTGCGCGTATTTTACATGTTGTTCTACACTGAAATATGGTGTATCGATATCGACAGAAACTATCGAAATTAATATATCTATAGCGGCTTTGCATATCGCTCATCACTAACGTTGGTGCGAAAAGAAAACAGCGAAAAAGTTGGACTTGAACAAATCGCAAAAAATACGAAAAATAAAGAAAGTTGTAATATTTCCGGACGCGCGAGATGAAGGAGAACAACAAGATCCTCCAGCTCATCTATGTGGCGTGGCGCGAACGCTGGTCGGACTCCCAGTGGGGCATCAACATAAAAAAGGCGAGGAAACCAACCAAAACGACCAACTAAAACAATCAATATTCGTGTGTGATAATAAATAAATGCAATCAGGCCTGTTCATTGAGAATTTTAAGGACTCAAGCTGGCGGCCTCCTTGCTTTTGGGCTTAGGCTCGAACACCGGATCCTCTGCCTGGGACAGGGCCAAAACCAGTTGGCGCTGCTTCACGGAGAGATTCCGGGGGATGCGCACCTTCAGCGTGACGATGTGATGGCCCACCCCCTCCTTGGAGCGCACGCCCTTGCCTTTAAGAACCACCTGGGTATGCGATTGGGTGCCCGGCTCCACTCGCAGCTCCACGCTCTCGTAGAGACCACGTACCATGAACGTGCCGCCCAGGATAGCGTCCGAGATGTTTAGGTGCTTGTCCGTCAGTATATCGTTGCCCATGCGGTGAAAATACTCGCTGCTAGGCACTGTTAGTCGGTATGCCACCGTTTGCTTGGTTTCCGGATTCACTAGGTTGACCACATCCCCATCCCGGGATCCCGATGGCACTACCACCATTACCTCCACGCTGGACACCACATATCCCCGGTTAGCGCAGGTTTCGCAGTCGTTGCGGTTCGTGAACCGCTTGCCCTTGCACTGCGTGCATGTGTTAACCGAGGTAAAGGTGGCCGTTTTGTTGGTAACCTTTCCAGTACCATTGCATCGCCTGCACGGCTCCTTGCCAACATCCCGGTGCGCCATCAGCTGCGATTTGCCCTTGCAGGTCTCGCATTTCCGCAGGTAGCGCAAATCCACTCGCTTTTTGCAACCCACTGTCGCCTCCAGAAAATCCAGCGGCAGATCAAACTCGTTGTTTTTCAGTTTTTTGATCTCTGAGGGGATTAAGCTGGTTGATGAAACTATTCTGCTTTGGTTTTTCGAGAAGAATATATAAGTTCTAAAAATGACAGAATAAATGAAGCAGTTGCAACCCCTTGCTTACCATCATTTGCCGTCTTATCCGAATCGAACCTCTTGGCCTCCTCGAGGTCAACGTTCATGGGATTACCCGCCTGTTCAAGAAAGGCTTGCTCGTCCTTGATCCCGCCAAGCTGGTCGTACTCCAAACGTTTTGTCTCGTCGGTGAGGATGTTGTAGGCGTTGGACAGCTCCTGGAAGTGCTTCAGTTTTTGCTCCGAGTGCGTAGAGTCTGGATGATAGCGCTTCGCAAGTGCATAGAAAGCCGAACGGATCTGTTGGATAGATGCGTGCCTGTTGACGCCCAGCACCTTGTAGTAGTAGTCTTTGGGCATCCCGCGGCTTTGTGTGGACTTTATGGCAGGAGATGAGACCGGTTGGGGGGTGGATCCCGCTGACGGTCGCTTCGTTTCCCGTTGGCGGTCTGGATAGTAGGCCTGTTTAGTTGTCCTGAATTGATATTGACTGACCAACCGGATCCAGATCCAGCGGACGGCGGAAGCGCGAGCCCGATCCAACTCCAGGCAAGGACCCGCCGCTCTCTTACAGCTCCTCGTCGCAGCAGCGCCGATCAGAGTGCCAAGTGCATCGCACCGAATGAATTTTAAACGAAACATTTTATCGTGAAACGAGGAAGATAACTTTGTATTATAATATATAAGTGGAAATCCCAACTCGATGTTATAATTGTTCTGTATTTTATTTTGAAGAAATTTGTCCCCGATTTCTGTGTGAAAGTCTGACAGAAAAAGCAAATCTGTCACCATCAACTAGTCTAATTTATTTCTCTTCTCACTTGTTTTGCAGGTGCTTCCAAGGGGAGTCAGCGGAGATGTGTATAATCTAGCGGATTGTCTAATGCAGCAAGCACTAATTGGCTCCACAGCAAATCCGGTAAGTGAAATATTAAGCCAAATATACTGTTCATTTATTTAACTTATCCCTTCACAGTTGGTCCTGAACTACCTGAAGCACTCGCTGTGCGCTCATCTCGTCTCGCATGCTGCTGTTCTGCGTTGCATCGCCAAATATGACAAACTGGAACGGGTGTACTGCATTACATCGCTTCTGGAGTTCCTGGCGAGCATTGTGGATGGCGTTACTTGCCGGTATGTTCCTCGAATTTTTTACAAACTCACTTTTTTCTCACTTCTAAGATCTGTTTTTCAGTATCAAAGCTGAGGAGGCTGTGCTGCCCAGCTCCGTGGTCCACTTGGTCTACTGGCTGCTCCAAATATTCGCGAGAACCGTGCAGCACTACGAGTTGTACGGGGAAATTAGCGCCGAGCAATCTTATATGTTGGACCAGACATGCGTGGTGATCGATCGACTTAGCCAGCACCAATTTTTGCTCTCCATGCTGTACGTTGGTTGTCATGAAGAACTCGAGATACGCGGAAGGATTCGGGATAAGTACGCCAGCATTAAGGGATCGCTGACGAACTCCAACTTTACGTTGAATGCACCGAATGTTGAGCAGCAGCTCCAGCAGTTGGCCTACATCGAGGGCAAGCACTTGGACATGCAACCACTCAATCCGCAGGCAACGCAGGAGAAGATCTCGTTCTGTGTGCAACCCTTGCTGGCAGTTGAAGTTTTGCTCAATCCATCCAAAGACACTAGCTTCTACGTGGCAGAGTTGCAAATGCTACAGCGGCTAAAACGTTACTCCAATACACGCCTTTTCTACGAGATCATCCGCGCTGGATTTCTCACGCTAAGCAATGTGGCGGATAATAGTCCGGATACTATGTGGGGTGCCTTTATGTTTTTCAAAATGCCACACATCCTTAAGCAGCTGCACGCGCTGCAAAGGATTCCAGGAGACCAACCACCTCCGGCGGATTACATACCCGAGTTGGTGGAGGCTTTGGAGCTGCTCATCGAGGACAATCTGCTACTGGACTTCATGGATACAAAGTGCTCGTGCAATATGATCGAGTTCCTGCTTAATGACTGGACCAAACAGCAGCTGGTAAACGATGTCCATGTGAAGAAGTTTGCGAGTCAGAGGTAAGTTAAGAAGTAATGTTTTATGAAAAGACATGTTCATTTATTCATCTAAACTAAAAACTCTCAGGGAAGCCGCCTCTCAGTTGCTAAAAAAATGCGACAATGGCCAACAGACACCGTCCAACATTAATTTTATCAAGCGTGCCGAGGTGCCGCTTTCCGGTGTACTTAAGACGTTGTGCACAAACAAGGTGCAGGACATGGTGAATGTCCTTTGCCAAGTGCCGGTGGGCAATAGTTTTGAATTGATCCTTTCGGTGGCCACCGTAGAAGGGCGTCTTACCACATTCGTTTCACGCCTGATTCAGTGCAATGAGAACTCCAAGCCAGTTCCCGGTGAACTGGGGAAGCAGTGCGTCATTCGCTCCACACTATTCGATGTGTCCTTCCTGATGTTGACAAGCATCGTGCAGACCTATGGATCAGATGTACTAAAAACCCTTCAACCTAGTAATTATTTGTAATTGTAATGATTTCCTTTTTTTTAGGTGGTCTTGACTGAACGCGGCGACTCCTTTTTCGAGAAATGGGTGCGGGAGTGCATGGTGGAACGAAATAAACTGAAGAACCCGCGCCAAATTCTCGCCTTGTGCGATGACAGCATCGTGGATGAGCTCCTGCTTAGTTTGAGCAAACCAGAGGCAGCCCAACTTAAGCCAAGCAATCTGAGTTGCCAAGAGACCTGCCTTAACTTGCCCGGAGTCCTCCATCACGTGCTTATAGCTTGGGAGCAGGAGACCCTCTCCTCGGCGGATGTAAAAAGTATTCTGGACAACATTAAGCGGCGGCTTTTCAGTTTTTCCGTTTGCGCCACTAGCTTTTTGTGTGCATACATGTACTCGGTTAAGGAAACAGAGCTTCTTAAGCCACTGAACATGATCCAGCAGTTCTTGGCGCCGTTGACCAGCGAGGAACTCTCCAGCCAGGAAAATGCCAACGAGCGGTTAGCTCTGTCCTATCAGATTATCCGAAAAATGCAACACGACGTGCATCCCGCTCCAAGTACGAAGTCCCGCCTGATTTCACACTCTCCACTGGTGGAGCAGTTCCGGGAGGTTTGGCGGACCGTAGTCGATGCTGGACACCTGCCCGTCCGCGCTGCTCAAACACTGGAATCGCTGCTGCTGGCCGGCGGCGCAGCGTGGCTATCCACGCAGCTGGTGGAGCAACTGCTGGCCTGCAAGTACACAAGAGACATGTCGCGAGCGATGGATGTGGTGTTCGCCGTAATGCACCTGGACATCGAGAAGACCACGGAAGCGTTGCTGCAGTACGTGGTCGCTCCTCTAATTCTCCGCCGACAGGGGTAAATATTAATCATTACTTTTAACACATTTCGAGTTTAACAAACCGCAATTAGAGATCCTTTTTGAAATATCACTTGCATAACACCGCTTAAATATTCTTAGTTTTATGTTACAAAATTTATTAACGTTCAAAGAATTTAATTGATTTAGCGGAGCTGTTAAAACTGAAACTGCTTTCATGAAACTTGTTCTTATACATTTTCCCTCTGTTATTTCTAGTGAGGACATCAATGAGCCTCAATCTCTGATTTTGGCCCGCCTCTGTGTCTATTGTATTATTTCCTGCCTGGAAAGTCGTAGCGGGAATGCCTCCTTCGCCCTGTCAGCTATGAAGAAGCGTTCGAGATCCCACGATGAGGAGGAACTGGCGGCCAACGCAGCTAAAGTGCGCAAGGTGATTGGCGGCGATGGCAGTGACAACTCCAGCGACTTTACGGATAGCACCGTCGGCGCTGGATTGGGAGCTCTACTGGGAACAACGTCGACTGCAGAGTTGCGCACAACGCCGCTTACATTAAGAGAACCGCTGCAGACGAGCGTGCAGCATATTTTTGCAGTATTCCTGCAGTTTGTCAGTAGCGATGAGCTGTCGCCTAAGGCCGTGTTTGTATATCAGTTCATCTCGCTGCTTGTGGAGTGCGGCGGAGATCGGGTGGCTCCTGTGCTGCGACTTCTGCCTGCCACACTTGTGCAGCAGCTGCTTAAAGTCCTGGTCACGGATGACATACGAGTGGGCTTGATCAGCAGACTATACGATCTGCGACTCCAGGCAGGACGGCAGTCGGCGGTGGCAGATTTGTGTCTGTGGCGGAACATGCAAATGGCCAGGCACAGCATCCACCTGTGAGGGATTGCGAGAGCGTGCCGATTAAAATTAAGAGACGGGCGGGCGAAATTGCTAAATGAATTGTATTAAAAACTAGAAATTGGTGACTTGACTCGGCTTCTTCTTCGCACGCAATGGATTTTGCTTTCGTTTATTACAATATTTTGTTGTCGCCGATGTTCTTCTGTGTTTGCTTCATCATCATTATCTTCTCAATTAGCGGGGGTAGGGATGGGTGTAAGGGCAGGCTTAAAGTAAGAGACCTTCGGATTCCCTATATCACTTGAGCAGACAGCACTCGAAGTAGGTCTCGCCCACATAGCCGCCACGCATCGCCTTCTTAACATTGTACTCGAACTGACGGCGATTGGTCTGCAGAACGTCGGCCGCCTCCTTGTTGAGCGGATCCTCCGGATTGGGTTCCTGAAAGCAATTAATGGAAGATAGTTGGAAAACCGAATGCAACTTTAACCGGGTTTAGTCGAGATATTATTAAACCTAATTATTTTGATTTTGTAGTTAAAACTTTTTTGCAATGGAAAAAAAATAGATCATCTAGCGTGAAGTGCCTTACGTTCCTAAAATATTTGGTTATCTTTCAGAAGGTTGTTAAATATAAAAAACCGCTATAAGGATATAATTTTGACCCCTCTAAGATGCGAAAGATTGAAACGTTTCATCCTATCTTAAAAACCTCCAGTTGATTAATACTGACCAAGAACAGAAACTGCAAGCCATAGACGATAGAGTTAATGTTTAGCACTGGGTTCCAGTCCTCGCGCAGAATGTTGAGGCAGACGTTGCCCTCGAGGTCGATGTTAGGGTGGTACACCTGGGTTGCACACTTCACCTTGGGCGGCTCGTGCGGATAATTGGATCCGACGCGGAAGTTGAACACGAAGCGTCCGTCTTTGTAGAAGCCCTCGTCGGGCGAAATGATCAGCTTGAAGTTGAGCAAGTCATCGGGATCGGGGAAGTCTGTGGCGCAAGTGTTTGGCAGGTTCAGTTCGCTAATATCTGAGTGTGAGAAATGAAAGGGGAGGATTAGCTGTGTGAAAGGGATTTGTATCCCGGACAGCACCTTTCTGTATGCGCAGCTGGGCGGCGGAGGCTTTCTTCTGCTGGCCGCCGCTCCCCTTTTGTTCGCCGTCTTTCTTCTGCTGCTTCAGCGTGAAGAGTTTAATCATCTTGGCGTCCTCGTCTCGCTGGCGTTTCTTCGCTTCTTCTGCCTTTTGATGTCCACGGATGTATCGCTTTCCTTGGTTGTTTTTTCCTGATTAACGTATGTGTTTAAAGTGTCAGGCGTTCTGGGGCAAGTATTTGGCTGATTCCTAGGCCTACCGTAAACCCAAGTTCTGATGTGAAATTCGCTTCGAGTGCTTTCTTTACTTTAGGGTCGTTTCTCCTTGTTTCTTGTAGCGATGACAGTTGCCAAGCGATGAGTGTGAGTAATCGATGGTTCAGTTCGATGACAGCCCTGGCCTTGGGTCGATAGTTGAACTGTGTTGGTAAGAGGTGGCCGCAATGCAGCAGGTTTATAGCCAAATGTTGAGCATTTGACGGTTCGCACATGAATTTTACAATTTATTGAATAATCAAACAATTCATTTTAGTTCTTAAATTTTTTTAAAACAAAATCATTGCTCAAAAATGTTAATTTCCGATTTGGCGGTTTACTTCATGAATCGCAGATGACATCTCTAAGAGAAACCAGGGCTGGCATCAGCAGCACATGTCGAATTTCGGAGTTACCTTTCTGCGTGTTGTTTATTTTGAATTGCAAGGATTTGGACCATGTCAACGGAGCCAGCGGTTGCCAAGGATGCGGTGTTGAAGCGCAGTGAAGCTCTGGCGAAGGACACCCCTCAAGTGCGGGGCTACGACTTCAACGATGGCGTAGACTACAGCAAACTCTTCGAGAGCTACGTAAATACCGGGTTTCAGGCAACAAATCTCGGTCTGGCTATTCGGGAAATAAACAGAATGGTAAGTTTTTTTAAAATTCTCTTTTTCTCTATGTGTTACAAACACCTAACACTGACAGCTGGATTGCAGGGACCAGCCGCTGGATGCAGATCAAGAGGACAGTCATGAAACCGATGACTTCATCCGTCGGAGGAGCAAGTGCACCGTGTTTCTGGGCTTCACATCCAATTTGGTATCATCGGGCATGCGGGAGACCATTCGCTTCCTGGCCGAGCACCGTATGATAGACTGCATTGTGACCACAGCTGGCGGCGTTGAGGAGGATTTCATCAAGTGCCTGGCACCCACGTTCATGGGATCCTTCGAGTTGAGTGGCAGGGATCTGCGTGACCGAGGAATCAACAGGATTGGCAACTTGTTAGTGCCTAACGACAACTATTGCAAGTTCGAGGACTGGGTGATGCCGCTGTTAGACGAGATGTTGGAGGAGCAGAAATCCAAAGGAACTGTCTGGTCGCCTTCTAAGATTATCCATCGACTGGGCGAGCGTATTGGCGATCCTAGTTCTATCTACTACTGGGCAGCCAAGAATCAAATACCAGTCTTCTGTCCCGCACTGACTGATGGCAGTCTGGGCGACATGATGTACTTCCACTCCTTCCGGCATCCTGGACTCGTGGTGGACATCCTGTCAGACTTGCGGAGGCTAAACACCATGGCCGTGAAGGCTGTCAACAGTGGGATGATCATCGTGGGTGGTGGCGTCATTAAGCATCATATCTGCAATGCAAATCTTATGCGAAACGGTGCCGATTTCTCGGTCTTCATTAATACCGCCTCGGAGTTCGATGGCAGCGATAGTGGCGCCCGGCCGGACGAAGCCATATCCTGGGGCAAGATCCGGAAGGATGCCACACCCGTTAAAGTCTACGCCGAGGCCAGTTTGGTCTTTCCGTTAATAGTGGGCGAAACCTTTGCAAAGCGACACCATTGCTCTGGCAAAGAGTTGCCTCGCGAGACTAACCAAGTGTAAATATATACGAAAAACAAGGACAACGCAATCAACACAGATGTAACTTATTAAGGAATGGCGCTGGGTCGCAAATGGGTCGTATTGTGAGTCCAGAATGGGAGTCCCCAAAGTGTTATGCCCCGCCCAGATGCAAACTGTCCGGGCAGGAAGCCATTAAGCGTCGTCAGAGATGTTTGCTGCATGTGATAAACACCACCGGCAGCCGCATTGCACTCCTGCACCACCAGTGGGCCATTCACATTCCGCCGTAATGGTTCTGCCGGAGTCGCTTGAGTGCCGCAAAAATGCAACATTTGCCGCTGGTCGCAGATGCTGTACTCCTTCTTGCCTTAGTTTTACGCAAAAATATTCCCTTAAATCTGGCCCTAATTGTTTGCGAAGTTCACTTCGGTTGGCCGGAAATTGTCCGGGACGGAACAGTGCATCCGCATGAGTCCACGAAATCTGTCATTAATTTTTACCACTAATGGAAACGCTCGGCTTCCGTCACTTCCTCAAAATTTCCTCCGCTTTGGCCAGCCAAACTTTGGCTGTCTGTACGCATCATTAAAGCCGAGCGGAAACTTTTTTCGCACACTTATTTTTGTCCCCTCGTTTCCTGCCGCTTCGACAGTTGGCGCTACATATTTTGAGCTATTGTCAGGCTGCAGTGGCGAAAGATGGACTAGCAGAAAGTTTAAGGATTGCAGGGGCACTGCATTTTCTTTGACAACTTTTTCGCAACGGCTTGCAACTTTTTCCTGGCTTGTTGCAAAATTAATGGTTGGCTGGGGCTGAGTGAAACTATTATGTATGTACTCATGCGTGCATATGGCAAGAAATGTTGGCTTTATACAATTTTGGAAATTTATATGCGTTCCAAAAAGGAATCATGATGTTTCTTTTCAATACTGTGGCATCAAAGTAAGATTTATTTCTTTAAAAATTGATGTACGCTGCCAAGAAAATCAATTGCGTTTTTTTTCGCAAAGGCCATTATCGGCAGTCAGCCATCGTTAAGAAGTACTTAACTGCATGTTGTCATAACAGCCACACACACTATTTGGGCCCACTTAGGATCCTTCTCTCACACGCTCCTTCGAAGCGCTTAAAAACTAATTACGAACAAAGCTGTTGCTGCTCTTCCTACTTTGTTGTTTCTGGCTGCGTTTTCTTTTCTCCTTCTCGCAGGGAGAAGATGTGGTCACCACACTGCAAAAAAACATATTTACTTCAAAAATTATTTACCCCTCCTCTTCTAAAAATGTTAGATTGTTTGTTTTGTGCTTGGTATTCTACATCCTGGGACACTTTTTAAGCAGAATAATATCATCTCATCTACTTTTAACCAACTACAACCTCATGATTTTAAGACAATACATTTTAAAATGTGCTCTTCAGCAGTGTAAATGCGTAGATGATGGCCGTCTTACCAGGACTACAGCCAACTTCCCTCCGTGATTACGAGAAAATTAAAACTACATTAAAAGTTTTGCAGTTGACAGGGGCGCTGGCGGTGAGAAGTGAGGGAGGGGGCAGAACTTTTCAAAATAACTCAACGATTTATCGATGCGAACAAGAAAATGGAAAATATATGATTGTGTGTGGGCAAAAGCTTTTTGCTGGAGAATTAGCACTTGTCGATGGACAGATCGCTGAGCACATCGGATAACTTTTCCAGCTCATCGACGTTCTGGATTTGTTCAACTCGGCATAGCTGGCACATTGGATCTCTTATTCCCGACCTGTATGACTTTTCCCTGTGGCACAATTCGCACAGGGAGATCCTGGGGCTTTGGGCTGCGGTGGAATTTCCCGAAATTGCCAATGTGCCAATGGCTTGGCTCCAGACGAGATCCTCCCGTCGTTTCAGATCCTCGGCAGCCAATCGTAACCTATGGCGCTCCTGCTTCAGGGATTCCTTTATCCTGTTCAGTTTCTCCTCCTTTTCCTTGAGTACGTCATCCTGATGCTTTAAAACGTAATCGTACAGGATCCGCACGTTTTTGTCCCTTCGCATGCAGGCTTCCTTCACCATTTCGTTCAAAGTGTCCTGCAAAGTGCGATCCAACTCGGATATTTGGGAGACGTCAACGAGTTCATTGCGGATGAGGGGCTCAAGGCAGTTGGCCAGAAAGTTGAGGGGGATTGTGTCGCCCGGCCAATTCCTCAGAAGAACGATGGCTTCACGACAGGCCTGATAGAGAGCCTCCTGCTGGAGTTCCGGTTTGCCCGCCTTGACTTTCTCGGCCATCGTCTTCTCGAACATTTGGCTCCTGCTCCTGTAGTGCTTCTCCGTTTCCAACGTGCGGCTGTGCAGCGAGTCGATCTCCTTGAGGAGATTCTGGTTCGCCTGCTTCAAGCTATCGTATTCGACGATGTTATTTTCCACGATCTGATTTTCCACGGCGTTATTTTCCACGTTGTGATTTTCCACCGAGGAAACTTCCTCGGCACATCGACTACTGCCGCCGTCTTGACTCACGGCGTTGGTATTCGTTTCCTGGACTTCATCCTCTACCGGTGGCTGCTCCCCCAGCGCCATTCTCTTGTACTCGTTGAGCAGTTCGTCCATGCAGCGGTCCATGTTCTCCACCTCGGTGATGGGCTTCCTCAGCTTACCAGACTGCTCCAACTGATCGTTGATCATCAGCAGCATGCAGTTCCTGGCGTACTTGTCCTTCGGCTCCACCTGCTTCAAGTGCCTCAGCCAACGTTGGCTAGTCTCCAAGTCCTTTTCGCTGACGTTGGTGTCCTTTAGGAGCTTGATCAAGTTGCGCACTTGGAGGGCAAAGTGGCGGTCGAGGGACGTCTCGCCAAACTGGCTCATCCTCGGAACCCTTTTCAAGGTTTTAGAATTTCGATTTAATTTTTTACTATTTTTTTTGGCTTTTACTTTTTGCAGGATGTAAAAGAGTTCATCGAAAATGTTAAAAAAGGCATAGAAATAATATTTCGACGAATATTTCAAAACTACTTTTTTTGGAAAACACTATTATTTATGAGTAGAAAAAAATATTTATTTACTGATGCAATACTAAAATGTTAATAAATCTGAAAATCTACTTTAACTAATTTTCCTTCCCTTGAAGAACTTTTGGAGTGCAAAATTCAAAAAAATGTCATTCGCTGAGGGCCTCGGAAACCCGGCAATGCCCTTTACGAATTTGGCCCACACGTGCCGAACAACAACGGCTCGAATTGGCCCAGTGAGTTGGTACTGAGTCAAAACTTTGAGTAGCGGTGTCAGCGACAAGAGCTGCATTTTTAAGCGCGGCCTTCGCCGGTTGGCCGAGTGGGTTTGGGTCTTATAAAAACTGGCCAGCTCTGTGAACTCAACATCAAATCAAGCTCTCGGCTTCAAGTAGTCACAACTACCAAACAAACCAACCCAAACAATCAACATGAAATTCGTAAGTGCCTTCGAGGACTTCACTTTTGAGGACCAACTAATTAAGGAGTATTTTGTATTTTGAACCACAGTTCGCCGTCTGCTTCTTCGCTGTTGTGGCTGTGGCTGCTGCCAAGCCCGGAATCGTGGCTCCTCTGGCTTATACCGCTCCGGCTGTGGTGGGCAGTGCCGCCTACGTGGCGCCCTACGCCTCCAGCTACACCGCCAACACGGTGGCCCACAGTGCCGCCTTCCCCGCCGCCTACACCGCCCCCATTGCCACTCCTCTGGCCGCCGCCTATACCGCTCCAGTTGCCGCCGCTTACACCGCTCCCCTCGCTGCTCCCTTGACCGCTGCTTATACCGCTCCAGTGGCCCGCCTTGCCGCCCCCTACGCCGCCGCCTACACCTCCCCCCTGGCCTACAGCTCGCCCTACGTGGCCAGTCCCTATGTCGCCGCCGCTGCCGCTCCTCTGCTGCTGAAGAAGTAAACCAACGGATTGCGAACCTTGCCGAAAATATTTCCCCGTGAGCCTCGCTCATGGCTTGGATTTTATTTTCCCAGCCCACAATATGCGAATTTGAATTAAACTTTATGAACTAATTTGCAACTGTTTTTCATTTGGCTTACAAATTTCCTGCAGCTCATGGCTAAAGTCTTTTCCTTAAAGTTCTTGATAATATGAAAGTTTTCCAGTTACAAACTCTTACATTTAAAGGTAATTCGTTTTATTTTTCGTTTGAAGGAAAGCTTATTTCATTTCCCTTTTGCAGCTTAACAAAAGAACAACTTCTTTTTTAAAACTTCAGAAATAAAATGCATTGATGCATATTTAAATAGTTTTTAAAAAAGTGAAAGCTGTACTTAAGAAATTAGTTTTGCTTGTAAATAAGCGAAGTAAATGTGATATTTGAAATCACTGATGAAATGCTTAAGAAATAAATTTATCATACGCAGTGGGGTCCTTTGGCAGGTTAACTTACAAAAAACAAATATGTTGGGACGGAAATAAATAACTTTAAAAAATAAATTGAGTTTTTTATGACTTATATATTATGGGCCATTAAAATGGTTTAGTGAGTGTTGTAAAACGTTTGAAGCTGTTATGTGTGAAATCATTGCATACTTCTGAGCGCACATCCTGTAAAACGCTTAAAAATCGGAGGGGCTGAGGTTGCCTGCATTTTTGTCACCTTTCGCTGCCGTTTGCCTTAATGGCACAAATACCGGGAATACTTTCGAGAAGCCATCTTCCTCATCCCTCCGCGGCCCACACTTTCGATCTGGCCCGACTTCCTTATTAATTTCTCGAATGCTGCTTTGGTATTTTTTCTGCCCGCCTGCCACTCATAAATTGCGCAAATTCCTTTTGTGAGCGTCAAAGAAAAATGTCATCAGGACGAGGAGTGCGAAGGAGGAGCCGAGCGGAGAGCAGATTGGTGTGGTCACATCTAATTTCTCTGCATGTCCTCAGCACGCTTATTAAAGTATAAATCATTTGATGGCTGCTGCTGCAAAGTGACCAACAAATACGTCACAGAAAAAGAAACCGGCAAACGGCAGTCAGCCGAAAAAAAGGAGGAGAAGCCAAAGTCCTTAGTCCCGACTGAACAGGACTCGACTGGACTGGACTGGACTGGACTGCACTGCCCGGATGGTTGGCCAAAGTACATTATAGTCCTTGGTCGGTTGCAGGCGGCAACAAATGTAGCAGAAAACCGCAGCCGAGAGTAGTGCAATTAAATACAGGAAATAATGGCCACCACAGCACCATCAGAAGCTGCTCCTGCCCCACTGGCAGCTGGGCGTAGTGGTGGTTTGCAGCTGGTTTGGTGTCCTGGCGGTGCTGCACAGGAAACGACAGGATGCAGGAAACCCTCGCACAGCATCTTGGCCAGCCAGAGCCAAAGGCCGGCAAATTTAGATGCGGAAAGGAAAGAATCCAGCAGCATTCAGCCAGATGGAAGCCGGTGAACGCTATTATGTAGCCACATTAAACGAAGATGGCCCTCGGGAATCCCAGAAGCGAATGGGTAGTGCCTTCAACTATCTATCTTTCAAGTATTTTCAGACTGGACGATTAGGGTAGAGTCCTCATAAGCTAAAAAATGTGAATTCTGCTTGAATAAATGGTCAAAGTAACAAATGCATAAAGATTTAACTAGTTTTTAAACACTTTTTTCTAATGTTTGCTATTTAAAAGCTTAGAAATTCAATGTAGGCCAACTTTGAGCTGCCAAATTGAATATCTCTTGCGTTTGCATCACATACTCGAACCAACTTTTAGTTGAAGAAACAATGTCCTTTGAGAAACTTTTCCAGCGCTATTTTTAATCGAAATTCCTTGGAAAATAGCTTTATTTACACTCGGAAGAGTTGACTTCTTAATGTAGCGCATTCCAATCAGAACCGCACACACTGGCGAAACCCACACAGAGAGACAACATCTGGTTGCGGTTTCCTATGTCCTGTTTCGACCAAAGTGCGTCCTAGAAGGACATCTCACCGAACAAGCCTGCATGCCATCGTGTGTGAGTGTGCGAAATATTTTATAATTCTATTTTCAATTGGCAGGTTTGAATCCGTAGATGCGGCTGCACATCCACAGGACAACACAGCCAGGAGTGTACGTATGGTATGTAGAATTGCATGGCTTGTCGGGCTCTAATTGAATTCAATGTGCACTTAAGCGACATCCGTTCATAATGAAATTTCGCAACAAAATTGTGGCAAGGACAAAAGAGTCGGCAAATATTGTTGCTATGCTAATTCGAAGTTTTGCCTCCGCACGTTGGTATATAGATTTTTATTTTTTTTTTTTTATTGCACCATAAATAATGTGAAATGGGATAGGAAGAGGCGGAGAAAGCGGAGCCTGGCAACGGAGAAATTGAAATTAAATTGCTGTTCGACTGAAGGAATCCGATGCCAGCAGCCAATGCCAAAGCAACTGCGAGTCTGCATAACCATATCTTATATATCTCCATCGGTACATGGTAAATACATTTCTATATACATATATATATTTTTTATACCATTCCACTCTGCTTTATTTCATTTGACGTTTTATTTTGCACTCTGCAAATAATCGATTGTCAGTCAGCACCAACTGCTGTCCGTCCGTCTGTCCGTCCGTCCAACTGTCCGTCCGTCCGTTTGACTCTCCATCGGAATGTTAGCTAAAGTATGAGCAGCTGCTTCAATATTGCGCATAGCGTTTTAGAATTTCACACACTGCTGCAAAAAGTCGAGATTTTTCTGCAGAATTTTAAATGAGGTCAAATGTCAATTAGCAGATTTTAATGGCAGGCACATGTCGCTTAATTAATTGGAGAGACTTGAACTCAATTGAGTTCAAGGAAACGATGCTGTTTACTTGCCTTTCGATAAAATATGACCAACAATACAAAGACTAAATGACGCTACTTGTGGCAAACCACGAGATGTTCAAAGTGCCTAACTAAATCATACGTATACCAAATGACGTTTTATTTTAGTTTATGCATTTCTTCTTTTGACGGATTAATATTTAAAGAAATATAAATTAAGTAAATGGTTATAAGACAATATTTTATTATACAAATGATCTCAGTGTGTATTTCTTACAGGGCAATATTGGTTTGACTGTGTGTTGCGTAAAATTCCTTACGATTGACTTCGCCTGGCGTTTTATTGATTGATTTGCAATGCCCACGAGCGGCTGACAATCAGCTTCTCGGGCTTCCGATGGAGCAACAGCTTCAGCTTCAGCTCACAGCTCACGTTGCGTATGCGTAATATTGTTATGCCACATCCTTGCACGCTCTGCCATGGAAAGTTTGCACAAGAAATTCAAGCAATGATCAAGTGTACATTTTAATGAAGCCTTCGTATTCGTACTTACATCAATACAAACATATAGTATATAAATACAATAAATTTCGTAACGAAATCAACTCTATTGCATGCCAATTTCCGGAACAGAAATATGAGCCTGTTTGGCTGTAGCCGCATAAATATGGTTCGTCGTAGTTCGGAAACTTTTTTCATTAAAACTCTCGAATGACGGTGGCAAGTTCGAGAAGGCCGGGAAGTGGGAGAAGCCCAGCTGGGCTAAGTGAGTGCAAAATGTTATTTTATTGTCAACAAGCAAAGTTGCCGAAAACACTCTTCGGAGTCGCAAGACGAGAGCCAGAGCCCGAGGACTTGTCGTGGCTGATGTCAAAATTTATTTAATATGCAGCATAAACAAAGCAGCCAGGACACGACACGCTCGTAAACTCATTTGCCAGCGAAAACAACTGTTCCCACTCGCTGCTGTTGGGAATTTTTTAATACGACCTCAAGGACTTCTCGCGCTCGGCCCACTTGCTTATGAAAAAGGAATATTTTTGTCTTTTATATCCGACTCGGGCAACCGCCCACAAGTTTTTTCATTAATTTGCAAGCAGAGTGCCAAAAGCGGTGGCGATTAGTCCCCGTCCAAGGAAAAAACAAGCAAGTGCCAAGGAAGGAATTTTGTAAAAGTCAATAAAAGTGTTGTTTTAACTTCTGGCACTTTTGGCCCTCTTCAGCAGTCATTATCAACTTGTGCTGTCAACGCAGCAGTCGGGCAGCATCTGGGTGGATTTTCATAATTTTCGGGAACGAACTTGAATTGATTAATAAAACATGGCTGCTGAGCACGAGAAAGTTGAGCAACGAAAAAGGACTATAAAGTAACTCCTTAGTATTTGTACAGAACCAAGGATAAAGAAGGAAAATATTGTTTATTATTATTATTATTTACTTATTATTAATCTTCTTATGGTTATTTTGGTTATCGTCCAAGTAAGAACATTTTCAATTTAGAATACAAATAAAATAATATTGAATTAGTTTGAAGAATATTATTTAAATAATCAAACTTTTTAAACCAACTTTTTACATCTGCTTAAATTCTTGATTGATGGCCGTTTAAACTGTTTTTGTTAAAGAAAACTAACATGAGAACATATTACTTTTGCCATTTAAGCTTTTGTTTTGATTTAACATTTTTAATTTCCTGACGAAAAAGTTATACATTCAGTTTTTTTTGCTACGCAGCTGTTAGTGCTTCCATCAGTTGGGAAAACATTGCAGCTTTTCAGGTCTGGTTAACATGCAAATTCAGAGCGCCAAACTATCTGCAAACTTTTTAAAGACGGTTTGCCGCTCATCTTAAATTCGTGCTCCCCAGAAACCATTATTCGTATGCCATCTGGCTAAACCAAAGCCACAGGAAAAGCAAGCAAAGTCATCCATATGCATGATGCATGTCGGTAATGGCATTTCCAAGCCAACGACAAGTTGCTTAAAAAATCATCAAAAAATTCGCGTTAAGTGCTGGAGGTTGGCGGTCTCATCTCGCCATCTCTATCTCTGTCTCCCTCTCCATTCCGCACCACATCCGCAGCCATGTCCCCAGCTATATAGCCATCCTTATCTGTCATGCTCTTTGCTGCAGATGCGGTTTGGGGAATGCACGAAAGCTGGAAGGGAAAGGGCCAAGAACGGAACTAAAACCGCACTCAAAAAGCTGGAAACCGGCAAGAAATTGGACTGGCACATTCCCCTTAAAGCCTGAACTCAATATGTGCATAACTTTCGCTTTCCGTTGACAGGGCCTCCGGATCCCGCTCCTTCAGTTCCTTTGTCCCAGGCAATCTCTGACCCAAATCCAAGGGCCGACCGCCTTAAAGCCTAAAACAAACTGTGTCAGTTGGCAGCCGCTCCTTCACTCCCCCACTTGACTTTTACCCCTCCCCCTCCCCCTCTCCCCGGAGCACTATATCCCCCTCCATATCCTTTTGCCGCTCGCATCAAAAGGCAAATATTGGCACTTGCCGCAATAACCAGGTAAGCTCGGGCTGAGTTGCCCTCTATCGCAGACTCGAAAATGGGTCACTTTACAGTGGTGACCAGAAAAGCATGCCTTAGAAAGGGTTTAATATACAATATATAAGGCCAATAAGTTATTTTTAATTAGGGAAATACAAGCATACATACTACTCTTAAACAAAGCAAGTAAAGAGATTATAGATCGAAAATTTAATAGATCTATAAGAATATTATTTGGTCATCAATATATTACCATTAAATCAAATAGTATCTCAGATTAAACTAGAGCTATGTAATGTGTACTTAAATCCCATTTCGTAGGTAACTACTGTTTGGGGATCACATCTGTAAGTCGAAAAAGAGAGACCTCTATTATGCTGGCGCAGTTATGGCAGAAGATGAAAATTAGAAGCAAGCTTTGAGTTTTTGTAAATGCGTCACAGATGCGGCTTCACGACTTTAACCCTTCAACGGCGGGTGGGGGTGAGCACTTCGCTCGGCAGATTGCCACGGGTTAAATCTCGCATAGTCACTCACATGGCTTTGAAATTTTAATGGCCTTTAAGTGAGTGAACAGGGGCGTGGTTGTCGCGCTTGAATTAACAAATTAATGCAAATGCTTTCGGAAAACATTCAGCTCGGCTCGTTCTCGCACATCCCCTGAAGATGTCTCGACTTAAGCTTAATTTAATGAATATTTATGAGGCTGCCGTCGCCGGACTGTTTTGGCGCTTCTTATTTTTGCATCATCGTGTTGACTGCATTTCGATTGGAGGCTCTAATTTAATTGCAACCCCCCGAAGGGGGCGGGAGCAGGACAACAACATCCGTTTCCGCTTGCCACGACATCCCGTCAAGTGCGGCAATCGCATTAGAATGCGCAGCGGACCTGTCCCCCGTCCTTCACATCGCATCCTTCGAACGGTGGATGAGTTGGCAGGTGCTGCTGATGCCCCCAGCATCCTTCTCCTGTCCGTCGATCATTGCACTCCGGAGTCCCGAGTCTAACACAATGCCAGCCGGAGGCTCCTGCGACTCCAGCTCGCTGCACTCATTTAATTGCATTATGCCGCAGGTTGTCGCATTGCCCTGAAAGTCCTGGCACTCCAAAGACACTGCATTAATTTGCATGTGAAAACTGCATCCCGCCGCCGAGCTCTTGTTTTTGTCAATTTCTTTTTTTATTGCTGCTCTCTGTTTTTGCCCAGAGTTAATGAAGTCAACAAGCTGCGGCTGCATTTCGTCAGACGGAGGAGCTCCGGGCCAAAAGGTTTGCCAGAAACAATGCAATGTACAATTCCAGTCGGTTTGAGCTTTGACGAAACTTCTGTTTTTATTCGGATGGGCAGCCAAAGAAATAAACCAACTGGAGTGCCTGAAAAGTCTTTCATACTTAAAGTTTTGTCTCTAAGATTTCCTTTTAAGTAAAAACACCATTTACAATGCCAGTACAATTTTATTTGTCGGCAAAAAAAATGCTGCAAAACATTGAGTACTAAAATTCTGGATTGATATAAAAATGTGAACATATCCAAAAAATCTTAATTAATTTTAAAAATGTAGGTAATTTTCCTTCAAATACTAAAGTTATAGTTCGATATAGCTGTTGAACAAAAATCAAAAATCAGGATAATTAGGTGTGCCAAAAGGGGAACATCACTTTTTTCTTAAATTTAATAATATTAAAATTTAAAAAATAGAAGGTATACAAAGTTTTCAATCATAACCTAATCACCCATAATTCGGTTCAAAAAACCTATAGAAAACTTACTCCATATCCATATTTCTTCAAAACTCGAAGCAAGCCGTTTCGGTGGCTGGGGTAAGCTCAAGGTTGCCCTTGTCCAGTTTTAAGCAGCAGTACGATTTTGACCTGATTCCACTTAGGAAGTGCCTTCGACTCATCCAGGACACGCCCGCACGTGGTCCGAATTTCTTAATTGCATTTCTAATGCTCAGATGAGCATTGGCAGCCGAATCGTTGTTGCGATAGCCAAAGATATAGATGAACTCGTTGACTTTGCGCTGGTAAACTCGAAGGACGACAAACGGATATATCTTGCGCATTTCCTGGTAAACTTGCCATGGACTGAGCGACTCTACCCGGTGGAGGACCAACTCCCTATTATTGGAAGATGGCAGCACTCTGATAAAGAACATCATTTCAAGAAATCGCTTTGGTAGGCTACTTGTAATTAAAAGGTATTATTTATTATCATGAGCACATAGAAACAGCACTTACTATTCTATCGCCGCTTCCTTTAGAAGTTCATCAACATATTGAAGGTAAGCATAACCGCGACAATAACCCGAAAAATCGATCTTGAATCGCAGTGAGTAAACCTCGCCCAGTTCGCTAGCTATTTGCACAATCCATTCCGGAGTACAATATTTTGGTATACATGTGAGAAAAAGCTGTGAGGGGAAAAAAAACTTTTCAACTCTGGTAGATGACGTTTTTTTTCACAAGAGCTTACCTCACCAGCGCCCTCCTCCAAAGAATTTTTTAGATCCTCTTCCAGTTGCCTGCGTGTGGTTATATTAATAGTTCCATTTATCTGAGCTTTGTTATAACAGGCATCGAAATCCATTTCAAAAAAAAAAAAAAAAAAAAACAAAAAAAGTCACCCACGCTTGCGCAGAAACAATCTTCAGATCAGTGTGACCAAGACATCCATAGCAAAATGGCGTCGTAGTGTTGCCAGATTGTTTGGCTTTAAAATCAAAGCAAACGTTTTGATCTGAAGAAAGATCTTTCGCTGAACTTGTTGCCAAGGCATTAGCTTTCTTCTTGTCATCAGTTTGACACGGGGTTGAAATAAAACAAGTCGAAAATTTTATAAAAATAATTCGAGAGGAGCACCTTTGCTGTGAACTCTGACTGCACTGTAACTTAGGTATTCTATTTTTGCAAGGTACGTTATGCTTTTACGTTTTTTAACCGCTTTTTTGCATGTCAGGCCATTTCTTTGCTCTTGCCAGGTTTTCTGCTTTGTTTTGACAGGCTGCGCGTGCTTTTTTCTAGCTCATGTTTAACAATATAAATTTATGCAGGCAGGCGGGCGTTTGCAACTTTTGCTCGCAGTTCTGCCACAAGCCGCAGCTACGTATCGTTGTTGCTGCTGCTGTTGTTGTTGTTGTTGTTGCCGTTGCGGTTAAGCTGCCTATCACCCACCACCCGCACCACCCACTCATCCATCCCAACCCACCAACCAACCAACCAACCACTCACCCCAACAGGGGGCATCTTGATGGAGGTTGCGGTGCACTCAAGTGCCTGCTGCCGCTGCTGCTTCATTTTCCTAATTTATACGCGCGCTGTGCTAATGAAAATTTACGTGGCAACGCAACCGCACACTGTTTTGTTGCCCCCGATGTTACACTCTTAAAATACCATTACTAATTACCATATTTTTAAGTTTTTTAAGTATCCAAACAGGACGTACAATAAGCCTTTAGCAATAATCATAGATGTAAATGCATATACATTTATTCAATATTTTAAAATCAATCAAATCAACTAATTTTAAACCATAAATAGGATCAATGGGATCAATAGGATCAGATAAGAATAATTACAAAATTTTTGGTTTAAATGTAGCAAAAAAGTTTTACTCGGTGCTTAAACTAAGTTTCTAACTTTCTGAATTCTAAATGAATAATTAAAGTTTGCTCCCAAACTTTTTCTATTTGAGCTTCACGAATATTCATAGTTTTCTTTCTAAATTAACACTCTTTATAAGATGCATATACCTAAGTATATTTTTTACATTTTTTTTTGTTTTTCTTTGCAGTGTAGTGCTGGAGCTCCTTGTGCTTGTTTCCAGACCTGGGCCACACCACTTGACGAATCCCTGAGAAGCCCTAAGCTCCACTTTTGGCCCACTCCGCCCCCTGCGGTTGAGAAACGCTCGGTGACAGCCACATAATCTTATTCCTTTTCCCTTTCACGATCCCAGTCAGCGGGCTGAATTCATTCATAGCATTCAAATATTCCGGTAAAACAAACAAAAAAAAAACATTTCTTGGAATTAAAAATAAGTTAATCTGGCAGAACATGCGAATATGGCGATGATAGAGCCAAGTGAGGAGCTACTGGATCGCCATTTCAGGCAGCAGGTGGCCAGTTACAAGGAAGTGGACCAATCGAGGGCCTTCCTATCGGATCGCCTGATCATGGCCAAATGGATGAAGGTTTTCGAGAGGACACCTCTCAGCCAGAAGTTGGCCAGAAACAGTTTAATGCTGCTGATGCATGGCCACCTAAAGGACTTTGGTTTTCTCAAGGAGCCTTTCACAGATGTGCGAAACTGCAGTAGAAATCTGAACGATATTTTGGACGATTACAGGGGAGCCGCGTTTAAAAACGCTTCTTCTCCACCAATCGTTCCCGCTAATAAATCCCCGAAAAATGTTTCTGAAACTCAACAAATGGAGCAGCAGCGACAACAGGCGGGCAAATACTACGTCCTCGCCAAAAATCCCTCCCTCAAAAGGACTTCCAGCTACAATCTTCGCTCCAAGAAATTGGAACCCATTGAAGAGGTTTCCGAATCTTTGGAAAAGGAACCAACCTCCAGCAGTCTTGCCAGTTTAATCACAGTAATTGGTAATCTAAAATCTCGGTCTAATTGTGCGCAGGAGAGTTCGGATTCCCAAAAAACTTGTTCAGAATGCGCTTTTGAGGCGGAAAGACAAAGTGTTAAGCAGAGAATTCAAGCCCTGGAAGAGGAACTTTCGAAGAGTGAACGGCATCCATTGAGTACCAGTTCCATGGAAAATGTCAGAAAACAATGCCAAAAAAACTTAAGCAATAGTGGGGACTCTTCCTCCAATCAGGATTCAGTATTTTGCCCGGTCAACACTGAGAAAAACGATTCCCGCTCCAGCTCACAAGAGCAACTTAAGAAGATAACGAATGTTATAGACGAGGTAACCCGCAGATCGAGTGCTGTGAAGAATCTGAAAAACTGTTTCGAAGAAATGGCCGAACGGCTGAGGAAAACTGCCACGGATGAAAATGCCTTACCTGTGGCACATAAACCGAAGATTCCGCCACCTGTGCCACCGAGAAACTATCGAAGGACCCAGGAACCGATTCCCAGGCTAACAGGAGGACAAGCTCTTCCCCCTATTTTCTTCGAGGATAAAACCGTTCGCGATTTGTTGATTCGTAGGGAGGAGCTCCGTGTTCAGTGTTTGGAGTACTATAACTCAGATGGTTCGCTGAAGGCCACAAAGGATATGCCCATTCCTCCAAGTGATGCAAAGCAAACCGAACTTCGAGTTAAAGGATTTCTAATTGGTGCTTACAAAGCTTTGGAGCGTTTAAAAAGATGGCGGGGAAAACCGAATCAGTTGAAGTTTTTTGGAACCTGCTTTCGGGGATTCGGGTTGGAGGACTTCGGTAAGCTGAAGGCTCTGGATCGAAAGTTTGAGCAGGTGGCACTCAAATGGTATCGCAATAGGATGCTCTTGTGTCGACGCAACACATGGCGTCGTTATCGCCGGAATATGTTGGTCAGAAAGCCATCGCCCACGATGGAGGATCTACTTAAAGTGCGCCAGCAACTGAAGCTGCAGGAGGAACTGCAGAGGGAGCGTATGGTTCACCTGGCAAAGATCATAGAGCTGTGCAGGACGCACTGCAGCGGAGTCATCCGACCGGATGTCCTTCACAAGATGCTCAGTCGCCTGGACGACGAGTACGCCCATTTGGCCGGGGATCTCAAGTCCTTGGTCCGCCAAAAGGAGCAGCTATTCGAGTAAAGGACCCTGCGAGCCCGAAACTTTTCTCGCACCTGTTCGTGTAGTTGCCTTGCTCTTGTACAACATTAACACCGCCAGCTGGGCTGCTCATTAATTAATTTAAATACTACGGTTTATTAAATTAAAAACTGGCGAAAAGGTACCAAAGCTAAAGGGGATTTAGGGGGAGTGGAATGGAGGGGGGGATAAAGCTGGAGATGACTACACAATAAACAAACAATCTACTCGTAAACAGCAGCTATTTTTTAATTATGCAATGTTTCCGTTGCAGCTCTGCAAAAAACAGAAAGCTGAGCTGGCTTAAAATTGGAGTTGAACAGACCAGGAAAATACTTTAGAAAATCTATAAAATATATCTGCTTCTATATCGCACATCCGCGTGCTGACAGGTCCTTCCCTTTTCCTTTCGCTAGTAACCACGAAGTACCAGTCTTAGTTTTATCTTAGTTCTTTAAGCCCTTTGAGCCAAGTTTAACCATTTTCTTGGGTTATTAAATGTAAATAAAAATGAACAAATAAATATTAAATAAACAAAATAATATAATATTATTGTTGTAAATATAGTTAATAAGTCTAAACTCTAAGTAAAAAAATTTGTTAGCTTTAAGCAAAATTTAAAATGATATTGGAAAATAAAGCAAAATTATTGAATTGAATTAAATATCTGCTTTTTTTAAATTTTACTATTATACCTTTCTTACATTATTTTTCTCTAATGTGTTTAAATTAACCAATATTATTATACAATAAGGGTTGCATTTAAATGTATTTATGCTATCCTAAAAACTTGTTATTGATTTATGTGCCATATAATAACTTATTAATCTAGGCAGTGGCGTAGATAGCTTTTTGATATGGGGGGGGGGATATGCACAGTCATCGCGTAAAAATGTGTGTTTCTTTTTCAATTTTGAGAGTTTTACCATTAATTGCCGTATTGCACATTTAGACAAAATAAAAATTGGCGCTTCAAAATTGTTATGCTTACATTAAAACACATGCCTGGAAAAAATTCGATTTTATCATCTAATAATTCTCAGACCCAAGGGGGGGGATTGATTCCCTGATCCCCCCTATCTACGCTACTGAATCTAGGCATGGCATTTTTCTTAAATTATCTTCTGTTATCTTCGTTTTCATAAGCTATCAACCCATAAACCCCAATTAGCTGCTTCTTATCCAGGGTATCAGTAACAAAGCGAAATACAAGAAAAATGGTTGCCAGCTGCGACTATTTGCCATTTTGTAAGCAAGCTGGGAATTAGCAGCAAAACCAGTCAGCGACGAAAAAAAGGGAGGAAAAAGAGTCAATGGAAAACTGTCGCTAAAAGCAGTTTTCCAAAGTACTATACTTTCCATCGAGTTGGCTGGGCGTGGTAAGGTTTATTGAAGTTGGGCGCTGGAGTCCATCGGTGGTCAGTGAACTTGCCGCAACTTAATATCCGCAAGTATCGGCGTACATATATAATTATGGCAAGCATAAGCATCTATATAGTGTACACAGAGTACACAATTGTAGGATAGGTTGGGCACAAAATGATGATGGCTTCATCGGGCTTTCGGTTGTGAATTTATGGTCTATATTCGGAAATTTGCATAGAACGCTCTCGTCTCACCCGTTCGTCTGCGTCTGAATTAATTAATTATTTATAGCTTGCGAAACATGCTACTGCTATACGTACCCTTCGCCTTCCTATCGTTGGCCATGTTTGCTCAGTTGCAAATTTTGCTGGCTGGCTTTGGCTTAAAGCTTCCTAGAGCGAAGGCTTTAAGCAAGACGTCACCCTTGGCTCTTATCTAAGCGAGGCGATCGCAAAATATGGTTTCGTTTCAATCGCCCGATTTGAGGCTCATGTGCATGGCAGGCACGCACACATAATTATAATTTTTACAACGTCTAAGTGAGCTCAAATATTTTATGCACAGAGGCGGTTTCCAGAGGGGCTCGATGGTCGAAGGATGGTGACTCAGGTAGGGCGGTGCTGCCTCTAGTAATGAATGACAGTCCAAAGAAGGTAACGCGACATTCGCCGCTCGCCATTAATTGTAGAATAACAAAGGGTATCATTCTGGGGTGTGGAATGGCTTGGCGTTTGGCAAACTTTGTGACGCAGACGGAAGTGAGGCTAAATTTGGAGAAAGTTCACTCAGAGAAAGCAAAAGTGTAAAGAATACATTACAAAAATTGATTAACAAAAAAAAGTGATTTTATTTTTAATGTATGTTGATCTGAAATTAGCTAAGTTATGCGTTTAATCAATATACTGAGGGTTTTAATGTGTAATAAATGGAATAAAAGTTAATTAAGCTGATATTTCAAAAATCGAAAGGATCTCATGAGCCACTTGAAACCAATCACTTGGGTATTCCATTTTTGTTCATCATTATTCAAAAATTACTCCTATCCTAATCACTTTTTAATCGCCTTTTTATAACCCATAGAGTATTCTGAATTTGATCAATTTAAGTTTTTTATTGGCCGTTCCCTGGTATTTATTCTTTCTCAGCAATTTCGAACAGCATTAAGAATATAATTTATGCCACTCAGCGCGCTCAGGTCTAGCAATATTAATGATGGCGAAACTTCTCCGGCTCTCTCCCCGATTCTCGGCGATTCTCTTGGCCAGTCCCATGCCATCCGGCATCCAAAGGCTATAAATATGATTGACTAACCGGACCAATCGAGCAGTTAAATTTTGAATTTCGTACCCAAAGGCAGCCCAAGGAGGAGCAGTAATCGAAAGGGAGCCATGTTGGTCAAGGTCTTGATGGTGAGTGTGCCATCCGCGTGCTGCGTCCGGACTCCGGATATTTATGTGGATATCTCAAAACGTATCAATTATCCTGCCAGCTCGCATTGCTCGCGGTCCTGAGCCAGGCGAAGCCCCAGCTGCTGGTCACGACGCCAGTGAGTTATGCCACCGGATCGGCATTGGGAGTGGGCGTGGGAGTGGGTGGCACTTGGCTTAGTCCTTCCGCCGCCTACTATCCGGCCTATGCCAGCTATCCGGCCTACGCGGCGTATGCGTATTCACCGGTTTATGGCGCATACGCCACGTATCCCTATTACCCGTATCTAAGGCGATGAATCCGATGTTGCCTGATGCTGTTCGCCCCTCAGCTGGCCTACCTTAATATTCAATTGTGTAGGGTTTTCTACTAAATTTACAGTGCTAAGCATTTCAGAAGCTGTGCAATTTGATTAAGGAGTGCGATAACATTTCATATGAAATAAACCATTAATTAAGTGATTTGTATTCAATTTAAAGGATTCCATGTGATCAGTGATTTTTTTATGATAAAATAACATTTTTACATTGGCTAACAATTTCTTGTTCTCTTTTCAAATACCATATAAAGGAATAAAGAATGTAAAGAAATAAAAACATAATAATCCCGCATCTGAACAAAGCATCGAACTTACCGAAAGCTCAAAGATACTTAAACAAATTAAAAGTACGAAACGAAAACGTAAAGTTCGCAAACCTAGCTGTGAATATTTTGTTTGCCGCTTTGCCGTTTTTCTGTGCTCGGAATAAATCCTGCTGGTAATGTTTTATTTTCCCTCGCGCTTGATTCGATTTGGCGCCTGAAATCAAAGCGGCATAAATACATAAAATGATAAACAAATCAATAAATGGCAAGAGGCATCATCTACCTTCAGCCAGGTTCTGTGGGATTTTCCATTTGGGTTTTCCTTCCCTTCCCTTCGCTCGTTCCTCAAATTTGCTTACATCTGCGCATATTTTCACTTGCACGTCTTCAGTTGGGAATAGGGAGTTGTGGGCGGGCAGAAAGTTGAGGGCGGGGCAGAAAAAGGAGGCAGGAGCAAGGAGCAAAAGTATTCCGGGCAGGATGTTGGTGAGTATCTTGGTAACCCGCTACTGATTTACCTTACGTGTATAAATCTTTTATTCATGTAATCCATTTGAAAAACACGTTTGCACATGATTGTGTTCGTTTCGAAAAAGGGAATCTTTCTAACATATGTATGCTTCAAACGATGTATGTACGCTCCGTATGTGTGTGTGTGTGTGTGTTGGCGAGTGTGTATTTGATTTGAAAAATCGTCAAAATTATATAAAGTGAATACAAATTTCATTTGCCCGGTTTTATTGCTTCGCCAGTTGCCATACAAACATCGGTTGCCAATTGCCACAAACACACCGATGGCAATCAAAATAGCTTCACTTTGACTTTTTCGGGGAATTAACGAAGGGTTAAGCTCCCTTAATTTGCAAAGGATTTATTTTGGGGTCGCTTGGAATTAAGCTGAACGATTTTATTTGAAAGGCTAAAGGATAATAAAACGGGTGAATAAAAAATGTAATTTTATTTCAAGGAATCTGTTTTTGGTTCGACATCTTATAATTTATGCTCTTTTAATTGGGTCAATTTGAAACTTAGTCCAAAGATTCTTTTGTGCAGCAAATGTCTTTTTTTTAATTCGTGTTTTATTGAATCTTGGCAATAAAAATATCAAATAATAAGTAAAACCATTTTTTATGAAGTCCCAAAGTTTTGCTCATTATGCGAACAAAATCCTTTCCACAAACTTGCCTTCCTGCTTATCATATTTTCGCTTACCTTTGACAACTTTTGGCCAACAAAAAGCGGACAAAAAATATATAAAAAACGGATGACAAACACGATAGGGCGACAACAAGTAATATTCAACATGGAAAGGCAAAAAGTTGCCGGAGCTCAACGCAGTTTTATTGAATAAAAGGTCATTAAATTTGGACGCTATCTGTTGCGAGAACTTGCGAAAATGGAGCAGCCATTTTCCCCTCGGCCGACTTTCCCCTTCGTGGATTTTACTAGCCTTTTCCGCTTAGGTAGCAAACTTTACAACTACTTGGCATTTACCACCTGAGCGACGGGGATGGGGAACGAGGGACGAGGGGCGATGCCAAAGTTATGATAAGGAGCAGCAGGAGGATGCCGCCGGGGGGCAGAAGGCTCCACTCGGGCCTTTCAACGCGCAGGACAAAGTCAAGCAGAAAACTTGACTGGAGCCGCTGGCTGCGGATGGGCGAAAAAAAATAGAGTGGGAAAAGGGGAAAAGAGGAAATGCGGAAAAAAAGGAAAGGGAACGCGCAGGAAATGCTGAAAGGAAGCATATTTCATATAGAAAAGAAATCCTTTTAAATGGAAAGTTTAATCCTGGCCAAGGCAAAGCGCAGACTTGCCGCCTAGGTGCCGATGGAGGAAAATCGCGGAAAAGGAAAGGGGACCCCAGATGCCCGGCTTTCGATAAGAACCACGCTGAACCGAACCGAGTGGAAAAAGCCAAGTACAAATTGCTCCCCATCACTGCTCAAAGCCAAAGGAGTCCATTTTGTTCGGGAAAATTGCATAGCGGTCGGAGGAAGTAGTACACTAAAAATTAACTACATATTTTATGTTATACAAAGCCTCTGAGAAATAACAATTTTCTTTACAAAGCTTAGCATTCATTTAGAGAAAAGCAAAGTCAGTGCTTCGAGACTCGTAGTGCAACTTATACATACTTTCGAAATTCTTAAATTAATTTAAAATCTGATAGATGAAATATAAAAATTAAGGCTAAATAAATAAATAAAAATAAATGAAAATTATGTGCTAAAAAAGAAACAAGCTTCTTCACTCAAAATAAAATTAATGCATTATATATTATTGATAAGTTTTGCAAATAAATGTTTAAAATATTATATGTTCCAATCAATATAACATTTCAAATTCTGCTGTACTTCCTTAATTTTCCTAGAAAACTAACTAAATTCATTAAAGTTTTTCAGTGTGAAAACTTGCACAAAGACAAAAGGTTCTTGAATTCGTTGGTATGTACAATTCTTTATTTACACAAATCGGTCAAGATGGGTTGCACAAATGTCCTATTTACTTCTTGAGGAGAACGGGAGCGGCGGCTGCGGCAATGGGGGCGGTGTAGGCAGCTGCCACAGGGGCGGCGAGGGAGCGGCAGCGTAGCGGGCGATGGGGGCGGTGTAGGCGGCGGCAACGGGAGCGGTATAGGCAGCGGTGTAGGCAGCTGGGGCGGCGTAGGCGGCAGCGATGGGAGCGGAGTAAGCGGCGGCAACTGGAGCGGTATAGGCGGCGGCCAGAGGAGCGGCAATGGGGGCGGTGTAGGCGGCGGGGAAGGCGGCACTGTGGGCCACCGTGTTGGCGGTGTAGCTGGAGGCGTAGGGCGCCACGTAGGCGGCACTGCCCACCACAGCCGGAGCGGTATAAGCCAGAGGAGCGGCGGCCAGAGGAGCCACGATTCCGGGCTTGGCAGCAGCCACAGCCACAACAGCGAAGAAGCAGACGGCGAACTGTGGTTCAAAATACAAAATACTCCTTAATTAGTTGGTCCTCAAAAGTGAAGCCCTCGAAGGCACTTACGAATTTCATGTTGATTGTTTGGGTTGGTTTGTTTGGTAGTTGTGACTACTTGAAGCTGAGAGCTTGGTTTGATGTTGAGTTGATCGCGTTGGGTGGCTTTTATAGTGGCCAAAGCCACTTGGACACGAAGGCCGCGCTTTGCCATGCAGCTGGCATCGCTGACAGCGGTGACATCGCAGCTCAAAGTCTTTGACTCCGTTCCAGTTTAGTGGGCCAATCCGGCCAATGCGAACCTCTCCTACCCGATTCGATCCGATCCGATTCGAGTGAATCCACAGCCTTTGTTGGTGCACACGCACGGTTGGCACGTGCCGGGCCTAATTCGAATTGACTTTGTAACCGCGGGCTGGGTAATTGAAATGCGTCGGCCCACAAGGCGGATCAAAGGCCGTAAACCAATTATGATCGCAGAATCCCACTTGAGGGGTTGCTTTTCCCCATAACGGAAGATGTACCATGGATACCTGAATTATTCAGGAACTAGAAATTAAATGAAGAAGTAATAACAGAGGGTATTCTGATATATTATAGATTGTGTGCTCTTCACTCACTAAAAACTATATGTAATATGTAGGTAAATCCGTAAATTCAACCTTATCATAAAAAAGTGTTAACTTTATATATACCTTTTACTTAATTGAAAGCAAAGTTCAATAAAATTATAACTCTTTGAAATTAAAACCTTAGCTGCAATTATTCTTAGGAAGTTAGACAGAAGTTAAATGTTTTAATTTGCTGGAGCCCACATTCAAATGGTACCCCGGCAGAATATTAAAAACTTTCTGCCACCCGTGACAAGCTTTTCGGTGCTTTTTCACATTCCCATTTCGCATTTGCCATTTACCATTCCCCGCACCCATGAAAACTCTTTGTTCCCATGAATAATTTGTGGAAACCACTTAAAGGCGGCCGCCCCTTCTTTATTTCGCTGCTTTCAAATGTCGCAGGAATTTCGTAGACGAATTCAAACCAGAAATTTTTAATAGACTTCATCCTGATGAGGGCCCCTGGATACGGATACGGCTTAGGCCTTTGCCGAGGTGCGGTGGTGTGTCATGTGTGCCGTTCGCTTTTTACGGCACTTAAACGACGCATTAACGCGCACGCACAGCTGCTGCCACGCCCTCTTTGCACTGCCACCGCCGCCCCCAGATCCTGATTCTGCTCCTGCTGCTGATGCAGACATAACCCCGGCCAAGTCAGAGGCAGTTGCGCCTTTATTACGGCAATAAACTCAACTCGGGCCACGGAGTGGGCAGAAAAAAGCAAAAGTGCCGCGAATATTTCACGCAACTTGTTCAAAGTTCCTTGGAGCTGCCCTGCAATGAATTTGTGTTCTCGGGGTCGCTTCGTAATTAAAAGGGTTTGGTTGTCTAACCAAGTGTTAAGCTATCACTACTTGCTAAAATAATAAGATTTATAAAGTTGGTTTGAACTATTTATGTAACATAACAAAGTGGTTATATATTATTAGCAGTTGTATTACTTTTGAATTTCTGATTAAAAATAATATAGTATGTATATTGTTTTCTTATAAATTCTTGTTAATGTATAAACAGGATTTACTTTTTACTTCCAGGTTTCCAGCATTTCTAGGCTTTGGAAATTTAATATTAACTTTAGCTACTAGTTCCAAATTGAAATATATATTTTTTAAGATCGACAAATATTATTATAAATATTCCTGTGAATTGTATTATTTATTAAAATAAGCATATCTCAAATTCGAGAACAGTTCCCAGCTCACCAAATTTAAAAAAATATTTTTTAAGATTGACAAATATTATTATAAATATTCCTGTGAATTGTATTATTTATTAAAATAAGCATATCTCAAATTCGAGAACAGTTCCCAGCTCACCAAATTTAAATAAATATTTTTTAAGGTCGACAAATATTATTATAAATATTCCTGTGAATTGTGTTATTTATTAAGATAAGCATACCTCAAATTCGAGAACAGTTCCGAGCTCACTTCTTTTGGTTTTGAAGTCCTCGTCCCAAGCTTTTTGTCCCTGTCAAACGGAGCGAATTTTTGTGCGCGACTTTTTGTGGAAATTTCTTGCTTTTTAATTACTTGCCGGCAGTCGCGGATCCGTATACATCATCCCCGGCTCCTGGCTCCCGGGGGATTGGGGATTGCTCTTTGATACGCTCCCCCATTTGGGCCACTCGAGAGTTGCGGGCCCTGCACTTGAAATGGCTAACAGAGAGTTCGACGGGCGGTGGTGGTGGGGGTGGTGGAAGTGCCATCAAAGCTTTTAGGCGGATTAACCAATATAATAATTTCAGTAGCAAGTCCTCGCCGCAAACTTGACAATGAAAGCAGCAGCCGGTGGCCGGGAGGGAAGTCAAGTGTCAAAACAAATATGTTTGCCGCCTGCGGTTGCCGCAGCAGTTTTCGATTCGAGGCAGCGTCAGCGTGATTGTGCATTTAGTAGACTCCCATCCATGAAGATTCCCGCTGCACCGCCAATAGACTGGCTCGTATGCACAGGCACATGGCAAACACTTGAGCCGCACAAAAGGAGCAAAGGAGCAAAGGAGGCGGCAGGATGCGCGCCAAATCCTTCGCCAGCAACATCATCATCAGCTGTGGCTGGCAAGCAAACCGAAAGGAGAACTCGCAACAATTTGTTGTACTCCAAAAAAGTGCAATATGTTTCCACACAAAATAAAATTTTTTAAATATCCATGTGAAAAGGAGAAAATTTACTTGAAATTTAATGGTTTGATATATTGATATATACAGATTTATGACGAAACGCATATATGTAGTATATTTATATTTTTGTCTAATACAAATGCAAAAATACAATGCAATAAAAACATTTTGTTTTTTAGTAAAAGATAGGGAACATTTATAATCAGACAAAAGTATTTATATTCTTTTTTCGTTATTTATACTATTTTATTAGACTATTTTGAGATACATGAATATGCTTAGTGTTTTTTTCTGTGTAACTGTAACTCACCCCCCTTGAAGTTGCCACCCTTTTGAGCAGAGATTCTTTCCAATCCCCCTTCCTCCCAATCCATGCCCACCATTCACCAATCCATTGCATTGCTGAATTCGCGTAATTGGCATTTTTAAGCAAAATTCACGCTTCAACACTTTTTCAAGTGTGAGACTGCCACTGCAGGATCATCAGGATACGGGTACCATATATGTGCCCGGAAAGCCTGCCAAGGAGTATGTGGAACTGGGTGGTTGTTGGGTCCTTACAACGTGTGCTTTGCCACACACGGCAGCCTGCACTCGATATTTCTAATTAGTGAGATTTAAGCTCTTTGCCCGCAATTTGCGACATTTATTAATTAATTTCTATCGGCGGTAAGAGCGGATTATTAGACTGTGATTAGCCGGATGCATTGTGGACTTTGTAAAATAGGCAGACGCCAATGGAGCGGAATAAACTAATAGTTTCCTGATGACGCGTTGGAATAACACTTATTGATCCATAAATCAGTCTTTTTAGCTGTTGCTACCTTTTCGGTGGCGGTTAAACCCGATGGACCTATTAAATTGTAAACCCACTGCAGGCACCAAGGTCAGGGACAAATCGCCGAGTGAATCTAAGTAACGGACGTTCAGGCACGCACCAAAATAAGACATGGCCAGGTCTAGACCACGAAAACTAAAAAAAAAAGAGAAATAACAACACAGTAGCTAGCGATCCAAGCCAAGAATTGCGCATGCGCAACGTCAATCGAAAGTCGTTGACTTGGCAGCCATCGATGGCTGATCTGAGAGCGTGATCCGCATTGCCAAGCAGCTCGGAAAGTGTAAGTGGCTATAAAAGAGCCGTGCAGCTCTCTGTTGGACATCACAAACCAATTGGCCATCCACCAAGTGACAAACCCAAAACCAACCATCAACATGTTCAAATTCGTAAGTACAAAAGATCAAGTTTAGTTTGTTTAAGAATAAAAAGATTTATGTGAATTTAAAGTCGCACTTAAAATAATTTGTAAGAGCATTCCGACAAGCATTTAACAAAGCTTTTAAACATTTTAATTTTCTGCTCATTATTTATCCAAAATAATAATTGTGAAATCAAACTCCTTAAAGAAAATTAAAACGAAAAATTCAAGAGCTAATCTACTTTGAAACATAACTACTTGTATTCATTTGTGAGCTTAGTTTTTAAATCCAAAACTTTTTCACTTTTCAGGCTGCTATCTTCTTCGCTGTTGTGGCTGTGGCTGCTGCCAAGCCCGGAATCGTGGCTCCTCTGGCCGCCGCTCCTCTGGCTTATACCGCTCCGGCTGTGGTGGGCAGTGCCGCCTACGTGGCGCCCTACGCCTCCAGCTACACCGCCAACACGGTGGCCCACAGTGCCGCCTTCCCCGCCGCCTACACCGCCCCCATTGCCGCTCCTCTGGCCGCCGCCTATACCGCTCCAGTTGCCGCCGCTTACACCGCTCCCATTGCTCCTCCTTTGGCCGCTGCCTACACCGCTCCCTACACCCGCTTCGCCGCCCCCTACGCCGCCGCCTACACCTCCCCCCTGGCCTACAGCTCGCCCTACTTGGCCCGTCCCTACGTCGCAGCCGCTGCCGCTCCTCTGCTGCTGAAGAAGTAAACCAACTGATTGTGAACTAAAAGGAGAATATTACCCCGTGAGCTTGGCTCATGGTTTGGTTTTTATTTTCCTCGAAACCCCCAAACTTGTGATGCATTAAACGTATAAGAAATTACAAAAAATTGCTTTTTAATATGGAGGTTTTTAGTCAAATTAACAGCTTCCAATTAAAAGTCTTGGGAAGAACAATTTTATGACCTCTTTATTTCAGATTTCAGATCAACTGCTTTTATAACATGAATTAAAAATCTGAAGAAATTAAAAACCTGAACCAATTTCTGAAGGTATTTCATAGACCCCTTTGACATTCCAGAATAGGTTTTTGCGGATTAGCATGCGCAGCGTTGTTCATCGCATATGCAAAATGCTCCATTAGCGAGCGGTTTTTTGCGACCATTTGAGCTAAGCGCTCAATTATTGCTATATGTCGAGGCTGCGAATTGGGGCTGCATATCAATGAGGATGGCTGGAGACCTCTTTCATCTGTGATGAAATTGTTGAGCTCGAGTCGAGAGCTTCAATGAGTTTCGGTATATCCTTAAGCCACAAAACCGAAATTACCGCAGCAACCGCAAGCCACCAAAATATGGGTTAGCATCCCGTACCCATTTCCATTTCCATCCTCATTCTCGATTTACTCCACCATCCCAGCACCTCATCAACCTCAAGGCAAACAAACATCAGAGATGACAACCCGGCTCGGAGCAGTAAATTAAAATTGACACCTGATGCTGACACAATTTGAGAGGCCCGTCGAAGGCCGACTTGACTTACCTTTCGAGCCAACTCCCGGCGCTAATGAGGCCTGAAACCAAAATGCGTCAACAGTTCGGTTCGGTTCGGTTCGGGAGGCCCGTCTCCTGGTGGTGATGATGATTTTGATGACATTCGAATAAGGCGCTCCATTTACCCGCACTCATTTGCCTTTCCCCCACCTCAGTCCCCTGAAATACACGAGCTCATCGCTTTCGAGTACTTAATCATTATTAAATGGCATATGAAGTGCTCGGCTGAACGCTTTAGTAGAGAGATTTCCTTGCGAGAGAAGTGATTTTGGGAGGAGCATTTAGTTAATGAATTCGGGTCAGGCGCTTGGATTTCTGGCCTTGATATGAAAGCCGACTTTTGAATTTCGATTTCAAGGAGAATGGTAGAAGTAAGTGTATGGCTTAAGTGCTTAAATTAAGTTTGGTAAAAATAAAAACATTTTTTGAAAGTCGAAAATGGTTGCTTACTCTTGAAACTAAAGTGTAAAACTTACTGTAGGTTTACCCCTTGATAAATCTAACGTAAAACCCATAACATTTTAAAGGATTTTATATTATAAGAAACTATCAAAATTAAGCATTTTGTATATATTTTTTTAGCTTGTTGAAAACAGAAAGTAAAGACTTGAAACCTCTTAATATCATATAGACCGTGACCGGTGTTTGCATTAAAAAGTAATTCAGTTATTGGTTTTTTAGGGTTCCCTCTCCCAGAAAAACTTTTCGAAAAATAAGCAGAACCCTTTATGTTTGACTTTATTGTTGACTTGTTTAAATGTGGCTAAATGGCCGTAAATGACCAGGAAAAAAACCACTCAGCCATTTTGGGCAGCAACAGGCTACACCCAAAAAGCAGTTCTTCTTACAAGTGTGTGTGTGCCAGCCAGGATGTTGTGTGTATGTGTATGTATTCGAGCAAACATGGAAGGGTTAAAGTTTAAGCAGTGCGTGATTCCCGGGTTCCAGGACTCCAGGACTCCAGTTCGTGGGTTTCCTCTGCGAAAACTTTCTGCATATGCTGGAAGCTGTCCGCCGGCAGATTACCGCAAATTTTGCGCTTGAATAATCGACGTGGTAGGGGTTGAAATCAGGGAGAGAGACGGTTAAAGCCAGCATCCATAGTACTTTCATTACAAAATCTGACGGTCCGTAAGAAAGTTCTTGAGGTTGCTTTTGTACAGAAAACGCAACGAAATGTAAGCAAGGTATACACAGAAAAAATAAGGAACTTGATGGTTTGTTTTAGCAAGGATCTAACTTTTTGAGCCAGTACCCCGATTTGTTTTGCCCAGTTGAATAGTATTTTTTAATTGGAAAGTAATATACCTTAGATAACTCAGCTAATTAAGTGAATTTATTTAGTTTCAAAAAGTAAATTTCGTTGATTTGTTACGGTATGAAATTATATTATCACTAATCTGAATAAAAATTTTACATTTTATGCCAAGCCATTAAAGTTGACCACCAAGAATCGAAATTGTTTTCAGTTTACCGATAAAAGAGAGAGGCATAAAGCGAAGATGAGCAGCAACGGCAAAGCGGAAATACCTCATTACAACAAAAAGTCGTTGGGATCTTATTCAGTTGCCTTTTCTTCCTCTTCTCCATCCTTTGCCACCGATGCGTTGGAATTATGCGGCATTGTCTAAAAATGAGTTTTCGTTGCTTGTTGCTATTTTTACGTTTCATCGAACAAAAGCAAAGTACCTTGCCGTAATAACAAAAACAGGACGACGAACACTGAGGACACGAATGCGAACAAAGAGCTGAAAGCTGGCAACATTAAGCATTAAGCAAGCTTCGCCAGCAAAGGATCTTGGAAGGCAGAGGAGCCAGCATCCAGGAGCAGTCAGGAGCAGCGGAGCGAGGAAGACAGGACAGGCGGACAGACAAGCCACAAAACACTCAGCGAAGGTAGCAGCCCAACGAACCATCACTGCGTCACTGCATCCTGAGCCCCTCGTTTCCTTGCCAGGACATCACCCGTGTGCACCCTCGTTTCCCATCCTTTCGCATTGCACTACGTATTTTGCAGGGTGCACAATACGCACGCATTCGTGACGTGTAATGCGCAGCAGCTGCCAGGCGACAAAAGTATCGAAATCAAGGTGATTATATGATGAGAACATAACGGTGCATAGAACCGTTAATTAACCAGGTACCAAGCCATTTTTCGTGTCTTTTATTCGCACTAGAAATAAATAAATAAATAATATTAACCACTTAAATAATATTATCTTTAAAATATTTTAAAACTATTTGTACGTTCCCCAGTGTATCTAGGGTAAATATAATACCGCTTGCACTATGTTTGCTGATCTGATTTTATGTCATTTAATTATCGGTAGAAAACTGGATTCGAGCAGAAGATTAAAGTCTCCGCACTCTACTAGGTATATATATTTGGTTGTTTACTACACTAAATAGTACAAGGTCCGAACACTCTTAATAATAAACAGAATATCAGAAAATATAAATTTTTGCGGTGGTAGTAGTTGTGTAGTTGTAAATATAATAAACACAAAGGATACGAAAAGATATTTTATGTTGTACTCATTATATTGTATGTTTTGGTTAAAAAAAATACCAATGTTTTCAAATTCTTTGTTTAATTTAGTCGCCTGTTGGAAATTTTTTGCGTGCGCCGAAGAAATGCAGCCGCCTTTGTAGTTATGTGCATGATGAAGAAGCGAGCTTTCTTCCCCTCCCCTTTCTTCCTTTTTTCTCCACCCCTGGATGGCATTCCAACCCCCCTAGAAATGCAGGCTGCTGGCAGTCGTCGCATTAAGTGAAGCACGCGGCATGTTGGATCAAAATGAAGTGCTGACAACGCAATGTTGGCAATGTCCTGGAGGACAGGTGAGGTGAGTTCGGAAATGGGGGACCAGGAGAGGGGAGAGGGGAAAGGGTGGCCAAGGAGGGAGATGATGTGGCGACAGGTAAGCGTCTTAGCGCAGACCGCAACCCTAAACAAAAGGATGCTGGGAATGAGGTGGCAATGTGGCAGGTCCTGCTCCTCGATGACTGCCACTTCAATGGCTCTCCGCCTCGGTCTCCGTATCCTTTTCCCTCCTTTCATCCCCCGAAAATCCCCATCTGGCACCTACTCTTCGGCTCCAACGGGCTGTTTAATTTACGCGCTGCTATTATTTTAATCTTTTGCGCTACACACAGCGTGAAATGACTTTCACCTGGCCCCAAGCTATGGAAGCTATAGCTATAGCTTCAGCTTCATATCCAAGTTGGGGTGGCCATTGCCCATGGGCGTCTTGGTCCAGAGTATTTAGCACACACACAGTTATGGTCGGAATAATAGCAGCATTAACTCTATCATTAATTTAATTTATGGGAGTGCAATGCGACCGCAATTAATAATTCATCATCTTGATTTAGTATACTAAAAATAGATATTAAATCACAAGCGCAAGCAACATATGTTAGGTAATTGAATTTCCATGAAATTGCCATCAATTTCTTTAGTAAAATTATTATTTAAAATAAATAAGAGTTTGCTAAAAGTATATTGTAATAAATATTAAAAAAGGGCTGAAGAATATTAATAGCCTTTGCTGAGTATTAGTAGTACTATTTTTCCTACCTCCACTGTGTTTATATTTTAGCCTCGTACACCTGTAACTTGCTGTGGTGGTGAAAGAGGGGGCGTTGGGGCCAAACGACAACTGGGGGCGTGGCAGAGGGGCAGACGGACTAGGAGCTGCCGGAAGCTGCTGTCAGTCGGGTTGGCCTCAAGGTGCTGCAGGATGTGTTGTCGCTCGGCACCTACCACTGCTTTTTATTGTTTTATGTGGCTGTCTTTTCCCGGAGTGGAGTCGCCTCCTCCTCCACCTTCCTCACCTGCCACATCAAGGTGCAAAATGTACGACGTGCGTCGTTCTGTACATCATCGCAAGCTTTGTGCTCTCAGCACTGAAATCTTTACAATCAACATGAAGGAGGAGCAAAGCAATTTTGTAGCCGAAAAAAAGAGGGGAACCGACAGAACAGACGAACGGAAGCGAAACCAGAAATGGCGGCGTTCTGAAAAGCGGAGTAAAAGCGGAGCGAACATAATGCCTCAAATCATTTTCATTTCTTGCATGCGCTTGTCTGCACAGAGCTGCCTCAAGATGAGGTCTTGGTTCCTCGGCTGCTCAGCTCCTCGACTCCTCGACTTGGCTCCTTGCGGAATGCTCCATTTACGCGCTTTTCCCCTCCGGCTTTTCCCGGCAGTTTGTGGGCGTTTTTACTGCTCCGGCACTCAAAAGCGCTTAAGCTGGTAGTCAGCTCAGCTATCCCCCTTCTCCCCGCTTCAGTCTCTACACTCTCTCAACATTACAATATTTTAAAAGATTTACTGACCATGTATTTTCAGCTCAGCTCAGCTAGCAGAGTGCAAAAAGCTGTAAAATATTGCGTATACGCCAAAGTGCCACCTGAGAAGCGCAGCACAAAGTCAAATCTAACAAAGCATAGCTAAGCGTTTGCCGGGGACTTAAATAGGCGAAAGTAGAAAGGAGTTGAAATTCTGCTGGCAAATCTGTTTATTCTCTTTTGGCAACAAAGGCAATAAAAAGGCAAGAGCACAAATTTAAAAGCTTTCAATTGTATCATTTCCTGGTGAAGTAATATTTTATTGTTAAAGTATTTACTCATGAAAAAGTCTGAAACTTCTTAACATAAAAATGATTTTTGGTATTGTTGATTTAATGCACTCCATATGAACAATTTGTGTAGAGCCCTAAAATAAACTAAAGTTAAAAATTGCTTAAGTCTAACGAGAATGCCAAAACGGTTTTAAAGTTCAAAAGGGCGAAACAATTAAATCCCTAATTTGAATTTACTCCTCCCATTAATTGAGCATATTTATTTTATTTATTTCCCAGTTGGAGTGGCAACCAAGGTTGCATAACAGCTGAAATAAATAGAATTTTAAAGTAAATTGGGGCTGGCAACTTATTTGGCGGCGAGAACTTAGAGCCACGAGCAGTGCCAACACTTTTGTTCCAAACTTGGCCGGCATTACTCACCCGAGAAGCAGGAGCAGAAGGAGAAAGAGAAGGAGAACCAGAAGACGGCGAGGTGCATCTCCATGGTGGTGCCACCGCGCCACCAGCCGCGCAACAAATGGTGCACATTACAAGGGCCCAAAGCCACTTTACTTTACTTTGCCAACGCCGAAGGAGCTGCCACGTAGAGCGACTCACATATTTTATTATCTGCAACGCCGCAAGGGGCGGCAAATGGCGGGAAAGCAGCCACAGGACCTTGTGTGCAACAAGGCGCACAACTTAACCGGCGAAGACAAATTTTTATTGCCACAAGCCCAAGTCGATTTCGATTATTGACTGCAGGCCAAACTGTTGCACAAGGAGCCAAAGCCCCGGCAGACAAGAAACTGGGGGGATTTCCTCGACTCCTCGACTCGACTCCCAATCGAATCCTTGCCGACTGCCAACAACTTGTGTCTGTGGCTGCTGTCGCCGTCGCTCATTTGAGTCACATTTTATTATTTTCGTGCATTTATCGTATGCTCGGTGGCATTTTATTTTATTAGCGTGACATTTCAATTGATAGACCCTCGGGCCGTACTTAACCGACTCAATTTGATTTTGCTACCGACATGTGCGAATGGGAGTTGCAATATTGGGAGTGTTTGAATGGCGATGTTAAAACTTGGATTTAAACTTTCCGGCTTGGCGGATCACAAAGACGTAGAAAAATTTACCACGATTAGGGGGCATCTGTAGAGGAAATTAATTTATTTAAATTGATAAAAAGTTTAATAATAAAAACAAGTAGAATCTTTATTTCCAAAACAAAACATTTAAAACCTTATTAATAAAGTTTATATGGTTACACCTAGAAGCTTATCTATTTATGCGCCTTTTAACACTTTTTAAAACCAAGGTGGCAACGCTTAACTGTCACTTTTCGACTTGCCAAAGTGCGAAGTAATATCCCCAATTTTCATTTACGTTTATACTTCGCACGAGACAATATACTAATCACGCATTTTTTGTAGTAAAATAAAAGGTGAAAAATAACATAGAAACTATTGATTGTAGGATTGACTGAATAGGAAAACCATGGTGTACACCGGTTACGAGAGCAACGGAATGCAGAGTGCAGAGGAAACTGGTAAGATAGCTCGTCTACAGAAGTTTCCGGAAAATTCCTTGGGGAATACAATTATTTGGGGTTTCCTTTCAAACAGAATGGCTTAAATATGAAGATCCCAACGACTGGGAACAGAGCTTGTCCGTTTATAGTGGCGCGGAGCTGCTCAGCGGCGATGAGCAGGAGCTGCAGCCCTCATTGAACCGGGTTTTGAGCCTCATCGATTACGATCTGGCCCTGAAGCATCCATTGGAGCACACCTGGACCCTGTGGCACTGGGCCAACGATCGCACCAAGAGCTGGACCGAAATGCTAAGCGACGTGACCAGCTTCAACACGGTGGAGGACTTCTTTAGGTAAGCGGTAAAACAGAAATCTTACTTTGAAATGAAAATAATTATTGCAAAAAAAAGAACTTTCAGAAAAATATATCTATACAATTTCTAATTTTTGTTTTTAACAATATTCAAAATAAGCAACTAGTTTATTATATTAAACTTATCTTATCATTCCTTCCTAAAATGTTTTTAGCGTTTACTACTTCATCAAACCTCCATCGGATCTCATGGTCTACAATGACTATATGGTGTTTAAGGAAGGCGTACGGTAGGTTACGTTTCCTATTAAATTCACTTAAAATAACATCATTGCATTTCTTAGTCCCATGTGGGAGGATGATATCAACAAGGAGGGTGGCCGTTGGATTATGCTATTGGACAAGGCCTCCAAGCCTCTTACAGATAAAATGTGGCATGATTTGGTAGGTCATAGTTGAATACCATATACCACATAAATTAGACAAATTTTTCAAATATTTTTCTCTGAAGCTCTTGTGCATGATTGGCGAATGCTTCCAGTATTCTGACGAGATATGTGGAGTGGTGATCAACGTGCGCAACAAGGCTCACAAGCTATGTGGGTATAAGAACACTTTCTTTTTTATTATTATTACTATACAAGGTATTTTTATACTGCACAGCACTTTGGACCAAGGACTCGCGCAATGTAAAGGCTATCCTGGCCATTGGCAGGCAGATGAAGGAGCTGTTGCAGCTGGGCGATATGGAGATCCAGTACCAGGCGCACAAGGACGCCATGGTACAGCACGGACCCAATGTGTATGCCATACACAAGTTGTAGGCGCCAGGTGGAGAACCCCTCTCCAAAAGGCGCGATCGTATCCTGGCATACCTATGTACATACTTACTTACCGACATGCTTACATACATATGTCAAACTCACATTTCATCCACGCACCGGTGCTTTTTGAGACGGATAGCGGTTGTAGCATGAATAAAGCATTGCAATCTGGAAAAATAGAAACTAGTTGGCCACGTTCTGTGCGGTTTCCTCAGGCGAAAAAAGTCGCCTCACGTATTCCCCGACGGACTGGGAACCACACGCTTTACTGCGATTATCCTTGGCGTCATAATTTTGGCCAGTTCCCCATCCTTTCACGGCTTTTGTGAAGCGGCAAGTGCTTATTTGCGAGTGTGTGTCGTCTTTTTCCGGATCCGGGGCTTTTGTTTGCGCTGCTGCTGCGCATAGCAAATTGTGACCAATTTATGGAAATATGCTAGGGACTCATGTAAGAAAGTGCTGCTACTTTGGCTAAAGTATTTTTAGCTCTGTTAGATTTGTGGAAAACCACATCTTATTTATCCATTTATGATTTACATTGATTTTGCCCTAGAGTCAGAAATTGTTTGGTGTATTAAAACATCTCTGTAATGCTTATTATTAAAGCCATTTGTGATTTACTTTTTATCGAATATCTATAGATTTTCGCATCGGGGCTGTCATCACTGTTGCCCAACTCGTATGATTTGATTGCTGTAATTTGTAAGGATTTTGCTTTTATTGTTTTATTGAATTATGAAGTGGCAGCCACCAAATGACTGGAACGTGGTACACTGTACACCGGGTTATGACAGTTCCAATGGGAGCGGAGCGTATCCCTGGCATCCTGTCTCCCCTCGGGCGAATCCCGTTTGATATGAGCAGGATTCCTTGGCGCAAATGAATGCATGCAGTTATTCGGTCCGTAACGTGAATTGATATGCCAACACGTACGCGGATTTCTGGGAAGAGCTCTGAGGGATCTGAAGGAGGAGCGGTAACAACCTGGAATACGGCAAATAGTTTGCCCCGAGTTTAGCACTTAAAGAGCAATTTAATAACCGCTATAAAAGGTTTTCTTTTCGCAGGAAAAACAAATGTCTGCTGGGAGTGCCCCTTCCTTTGGCAAAGGGAAAAGCAAATAGGGGATAACTGGACGAACACAAACAGAGAATATCCATCCGGCAAAGGGCAGCAAACTAATGTTGTAGTTTTTCTCCCCCATATTAAATGAAATGCAAGCTTAATTGAAAAACGCTGACTTTGCTGCACAGCAAACTTTTCGAATCAGTTGGAGAATGTTTTGGCAGAAGCTGCTTTTTGAAACTTACTTTGAATGATTGAAGTGTCATTTAAGCTAATAATATTGTAAATAAACTTTTATTGAACCCTTAATTAGTATCTTCTTACATGTAATAAAATATAACAAATATACAATATCATCAGTTAAAATAATTAGCAGCATTTTTTATAGTTTATGATCCAAAAAATGTTTTCCCGAAAAGGTTCTCATATATAAAGGTTGTGTAAAATAAAATTTTAATTTTTTACCATTTTTATCAGTGTATATTTTAGGTTTCTGCCTTGCTATCCTCCTGTTGCTGCTCTAAGGACAATGTTGTAGCCTGTTGCAATTTTAATTAAACAAAAAGCGTAAAATGTTTGACCATTTCCACCGTGTCCTGCTGTTTGTCGCCCGACTCTGAATCCGAATCCGAATCCGTATCCGGCTCCTTTGGCCGCCGGAGCTCCCAATTGTCTTTGGCACGTAAATTTTCTTTGCCAACAAGCACGAAATTGTTTGTCCCTCCGCTGGTGTCCTGTGACCGGACCCCCAAGTCCTGCCGTCCCTTTAGCGCTGCAAAACAAATTAATTGTCTGTTTTTCACATAAACTTTTGTCGGTCTCCAGTTCCCGTTTGGCTCCCAGAGTCAGCTCCATCTCCATCTCCAGCTTCTCTAGCTGGAGGTCCTGCGGTTGTCCTCGTCGCTTCTGTTCAATTTTCAGCGTTCTGTTTGTTGCGTAAATTTCGCCTGTTCTGGTTGTAATGGACACTCCCCCTCACCCACTCGAATTTCGCCCACCGGCCCACTTGAATTTCACTTGGCCGTCGCTTAGCTCATTTGCTGCACATCACTTTTGGCGGGGAGTTCCGTTTCCATTCTTGTCATAATTCAAATGTAATTTCCCAGACACTCACCAACACACACTAGCAGCATCCCGCCCCACTTCCCCGCTCCTCCTCCCCCCTTGTCACTCATAATTATTTTTTGATTAAAGATGCCAGCTCCCCCGCCTTTCCCCTGACCAAAAGACATCGGCAACTTGGCGCTCGGGAGCTCTTCTTTTGTGCACTACTTTGTGGGGGAAAATTATGGAGCTCAACAAAGAGGAAAATGTTGATAGAAGCTCTTGAATTTAAATTTCAATTTCATTTAAGTTTGAAAATATTTTTCCAACAGAATTAAGTGATTGATGCCGGAGCGGCAGCTCTCTATCATCAAATTTTTCAATATATTTTGATGAACCCATCACTTCTCTAGATGAAATTTCTTCCTCCTTGTTTCTTTTCCTCGACATCAAATGATTTTCTCATCCAGTTGCCAGCTTCATTTTGCAGTTTATTTATTGACATTTAATACAGCAGAACTTTAAGTGCGAAATGAGAGCTGGGAATGCAATTAAAATAACGAAAAGTGGAAAATGCAATAAACACTCTTCGATTGGCAATCGCAGTGAAGTACCAGGCGGCGAATTAACCAGATTAACTCAACGATATTTGCAGCATACATATCTGTTTGCCACTTTATCGGGCATATGACAAATTCGCAGGCTCCCCCAAATGCAATTAAGGGCATTTGATTTGCGACAGATTAAATCGAAAACAATTCTGGAGAAGGACGAGCGCAGAGCTTGAATTTTGTTGGCAGTTGTAGGCGATTTGCATTTTAAAATAATGACTACATAAAAAACTAGTTAAAAGTTGACAACAATGAAATGTCAAAAGCGCTGGAAAACTTTATGCTCCATCCCCGGGACTCGACTCGAGTAAACTTTTTTGTGTCTTTTTGTTTTAATGCGACTCCGCCCCGAAGACCCACCTATTTTCCGATCCTTTCCATCCTTTTTGCCAGCACTGCGAAAGCCTTTTACCCCTTTTGTTTTGCCCGAACAATAACAGCAAATTTTTCTAAAATTTCATGTCGTCCACCCACCTTCCCGTCCATCGCCCGACTGCCACGCCCCCCGGGCTAAGCCCAGCCCAAGCTATTTGCAATTTAACTTTTTCCCCCCTCTCATAAACAAGAGCAGAAGTGCGGGGCTTTTTGGGGGCAAGTCAAAACAGGGACACGTAGCCCAACTCGGCTTTAGTTTTTAGTTGGCTTTTATTAACTTTTGTCTCTGTCTGTGTTTCCCTGCCCTGCCGTGTGTGTGTGTATGGAAGTGTGTTTTGTATCTGTGTAAGCTCTCTTCCCTCCTCCGACATTTCCACTTATTTTTTTGGCATTAAAGTTGCACAATTACCGAGATTTGACACTAAGACGATGGCGGGGATACTGGGGGATTCCCACAAACTGCTCGACCAATTTGCAGTAGTGCTCAAATTTCAAAAAATCAACAAGGGAAGCCACTCCTTGTGGTTGTTTGCCACCCATCCGAAAGAAGTCACCCCAGCCAGCACTCCCTTCCCCTTTTTTCTTGCCGTCGTTCTGGTCAATTTAACTTTGCCGGATTAGGACTTTAAAGGGGACTCGGTGCTGTGGACCTCGACCAGCGACTGGTGGAAGGACTCCGGCGGCGGCGTGAGGCAGATGAACCAGAAGTAGGCGTGCAGGAACCTGGCGGTCACGCAGTTCCTCAGAGCGGCGTCGGCCAACAGTGCGTATACGGCACGGGCGCGGAGCTGCTGCTTCCGAATGGCCATCAGCCGACTGGTCCTGGTCGCCTCGTCGCCCCTGGTGTTCCTGGGCACCGTCTCCTTCAAGTTGCAGAACACCTGGTGGAAGAGTTCCTGCAAGGTGGGGGCAGAAATATATATGGGATTAGAGAATACCCAAGTCAGACAGAAAGACAGGCCACTAGAGGCATTACAAAAATAATATGTAAATAGGATGGGAAAACTTTGAATTTTATCTCAAATTTGCGAGTTATCCATGTTACTGAAAAATGTATAAACGCAATATAATTTCATTCATAAGCATGTTCTTCCTTTTTCTGTATAATTATATTGAAGCAATTGGACTGACTGATTTTGCATGCCGAAGGTTGATAAAAAAGTGTTAAATTTTAAAAGTAATTACATTCTTATTATGTATTAACTTATACTTATTATATTGGAATACAATTTATAAAATAAAGGAAGTGATTTTTAGGGAAGTCGCCTAAAGATTTAACAAACCAACCAAAACTTTTCTCGCAATTAAACCAAGTTTTTTAACGTTTGATTAAGAACTATTGATTGACTTGTAATACAAATAAAGATAATTTTGTAAGCAACTACTCACTGTAATGGTCAAATCGGCGATGCTAATGTTTTGGATCTGCTCGCCGCGCTTCTCGGCGGCCATAACGAAGGCAAACTTGATGGAGGCCGGCAAGGCGAAGATGGAGCACTGCTGGGCGGTCAGCAGGCGGAAGAGCAGGATCTGGCAGTTGACGGCGACGAGCCGGGCACCCGCCTTCAGGTCCTGCCACTTGGGCACCAGCACGGCCCACTCCGCCGGATTGGAGTCGCCCTCTCCGTCGACCATTCCGTAGGCAATCCATCGCTGGGAAAGGGGAGCCTTGAAGTACGGAGGCAGAGTCATCACAGCGTTGTGGAATTCCAAGGCCAGGACGAAATCGTAGCGGATGAAACGTTCCCTGTTGGTGCCGCGTTCCACAGCCACAACTTTGTGGACGAAGGGGACCTGGTTGCAGATGAGCACCGAGTACTGCAGATCATAGGTTCTTCCCGAGCAGGAGGAGCTAACGAACTTGATCTTGGATATGGCCCTCTGGAGCTCATGCTGGAGCAGCAGGTTCATCGACTTGTTGTTCACTGCATTTCCGAAGAGGAACGGATGCCGATAGTTGTTCCTGGTGAACTTCACACTGCGTCTCTTCTCATCGAAAACGGGAACAACAGCCATTGGCAATCGGATGGGCAGAAAGATCTCAAAGTTCAGCGGCAAGTCCAGATTCAAGTCGTCCACAGAGGCGGCTACTCAAGAAGAACTATAGCTCTCGGAAAGATCGATGCAGGTTTTAGTGCTCACCTGTCCTGTGAAGCTCACCCACGTGATCGCAGAAGACCGTCTTGTCCTGGATCATCTGCTTCAGGATCGCATAAGCCACAATCCGCGCATCGCGTATGAAAAGATGGTGCTTATGCTTGTTCACGGTGAACTCCAAGGCCAGGTCCTCCATGGCACTTATAAAGTTGTAGGGCGCCATGATTTCAAAAAAATAAAACAGTATTCACTCCGTTTACAAATTGTAAAAATTTTCCAAAACCAGTTAGTAATTCTTTGGCTTAGAAATATTTAGGGTGATTTTTTATTTAATGAAAAATTAAAAAAAAAACAAAAATTCGAGGAGTTAGGACTGCTCTTCAAACCTTTTCCCTGAAATCTGACTTTTGCACGAAAAATGAATGACAGCTGCATTTTCTTTTGACAGAAAATTCCGACGTTTCTAAAGTTTATTTTTTATTGCTTTAACACATGTTCTAAACGTTTTTCTATACTTTTTAATAGTGTTGTGAAAGATTAATAACTATCGCGCGAAGCAATGTCAAACCAGTACCAGTTTTTAATTAAGAGGTTATAAAACATTATTTAGGTAACTCATTATTCAAATACAAATTTTTGAGGGTTGTAAAAGCAGTTCTTAAAATAAGAAATTATTTACATAGATAATAACCCTTTAAAATCAATCGCAGTCTTTCCAAGTTTTATAAATCTTTTACCAATACTGGATTGCGATTCCATACAGTGATCGAAAAAATTATTGGCGTGAGCGGGGCGAGAACTTCGCTGTGAATGAAACCCGAATGGGATCCAATTTACTACGAGTTTACTACGCTCCTGTTGATGCCGACTCGGATGCGGATTCTGCGCACTGCTCACAGCATCCACTGCCAGGTGGGGAATCCACGAGGGTGCACATGGCGACTATAGCAACCTGCATCTGCACAAAAATCCTGCGGGACAGCGCAATCAGGACTCAGTTGCTGTTCGACGTTCCTCGCGTGCGGTTGTTGTCTGCTCCGTTTCCTTTGGCGAATCGAGTAAGTGCTGGAGCGAGCGAGATAGGGCGAGGTGTGAGGGAGAAAGAGAGAGACCTGTTATCAGAAAAAAAGTTGAAAAAAAATAAAGCACCGAAGAGCGCGCCGTCGCAGTTGTTGTCGCCAGTTGTTGTCAGTGTCGCAAGTGCAACTCGCAATTCGCGTTGCAACATCATCAAGAGAAGCGGCAAACGTGCGTGCCACATATACATATAAATTATACTCGTATATACATATATATATATTATAGTACATGCCTTCTATATACAGTGCCGGCCAAAAGTGAGCGTGTATGTGAGTGCAACGTGTGCCGGCCGCCAAGACAACGAGAAATCCGCCAAGTATGCAACCGTAAAAATCGCGCTTGATAATGTTGTGTGTCTAATGAAAGGTGTTAGCCCTCCCAATTTTCCCCAATTTTCCCCACCTCCCAGCTCTTCGCCTTGCATGCGCGCAAATTGAAAATAAATTGAATTGCAACAACGTGCTAAAATCTGACGAAAAAAAAAAGAAAAACAACTGCAAAAACCTTGTTTCTAGCTCTATTTTTTCGAGTTTGTTGCCTTTGCATCGAGACAGCCACGTTGTAAAGTGGAAAAGTGCTTCCCCTCATGAGGGAAAATTGCATGCAAATTTGCTTAGCTGCTGATAGCTTGACGGGCAGATAAGTGTGTTTTATCAAGAAATTGAATGGTTTTATTTGGGAGAGTTTCAGTTGCCGATAAGATTGCTAGGGAATTGGTGATTAAGACTTTTATAGCTTCTTATACAAGAAACTAAATTTATTTGAATAATTTTGTAAACAGAAATATGATAACAAAAGTTAAGAAATATGTTCTTTGTATAATTTATGATATCTGAATGCTGCAAAATATTGTGACTAGATTAAATTATGAGGTGTTTTTTATTTAAAGATATTTTATGATAAAATATTAAATATTTGAAAGCTTATTAAATGTTTGTTAAAGCAGGAATTAATTTTTTAATATCTACTATACTTTATTTAGTTAGTTTTGTGGAAACAAGTTATTAGGATTTCCGTGTTAAACCTTTTAAAAAACCTTTGTTAATTTGTTTTTAATTTAAGTTTGACTATCTATGAAAGTGAAACGCATTCCTTGAGTGAGTTCTTAAGCATTTGCTGTCTATGAATCCCGCGAGAAGTGTTCCATATGGCGTAGTGCTTGCCTTGGTTCCCCACCTGAGCTCATCAATAAGGCATAATGCAATCCCGTTTCCCCACTACCTCGGCTGCCTTGAGTGGCCAGCTTCCGTGGCTCTGCTCCTTGCTCCCCGCTCCTTGCTCCCTGCTTTGATCCTTGGTCCTTTCCGTTCAACCCCCTTTGTGACAAGCCGAAGACACGTTTAGCAGCGCTTTCACGTACCAGCTGCCCCCTTTCCCCGCTTTCCCCCGCTTTCTTCTACATCGCTGCTGCTGCTGGCACTCTCGAGCTTTCTGCTAATTGCCGCTTAATTGTTTGACATTTTCCCCGTATTGTGTTGAGGGCAAATGGCATTTATTTATATTTCTTTTGTGCCAGGACAGCTGGCTCCTGGCTCCTTGCTCTCGTTTCGAATCGTTTCGTTTCTGGTCTGTTCTTTTCTTTTCTTTTCGCTACGTTACGTTGTGTTTCGCATGCGGCAATTAGCAGTCCTGCGTGCACTTCTCTATGTACTCCTCCGCATATATGCCATATAGTGGCTATATATATAAGGGCAAGACCGGCCGGCAAATGCAGTGAGAGAAAAGGGGGGTGGCAGGTTGTAGGCGGCCTATTGATTTTATGAACGAAAAGTGCAGGATGCCTCGTGAGCGGGAGAGAAGCTGCAACTATTTTGGCCGCTGCCGCCATGACAAACTATAAATCTGTCGGTGCCGGCACATACACACTCGCCTCCCTATCCATGTGTGTGTGTGTGTGTGTGTATATATCTACATATATGTATATCTGGCATATCTGGCTTATAGTGCACTGGCTCTGCTGTTGTTGTTGTTCCTGCAACTGCCGCTGTGCTGTGCTGCACACACAAAATTTATCGATTGCCGCATACACACATGTCGCATGTTGCAGCCTCTGTGCCTGATGTGTAGTAGTAAAAATGGCTCGTATTTCATGCGTTTCACAGCGGAAGTGACGAGTACACACACACACACACACTTACACAAACACACACACACACGTGCGTAGTAGTTGTAGTAATAGTAGTTGCCGGCATCGAGTTTTGGTTTATTTAAATTTTCGGTCAACGTGGCGCTCTCTCTGTCTGTCTTTCTCTTTCTCTATCAATCTCTCTTTCTTCTTCGGGGGGGATTATGTATTTTTGGGTGGCCAGCAGCTGCAACAGCTGCCCGCAGTGCGTATACGCAATTTTTGAATTGCCACCCACGCTGCGTATGCGCAATCTGGCACCGAACTAGCAAAATATTAACCCGTCGGCAAATAACTTCCTGCTACTGACATTAATTAGGGGGCGGCACAAGTTTCACTTTTACACCCACCCGCACTGATCCATCATTTTCCACAAAAGTCACGTACGCTCCCTGTTATTTTTTTTCTTGCTTTCCGGGGAAAGCTTAAGAAAAACTTTCCTTCCTGCCTGCCACTTTAACCCGGAGAGAAAATGGGGGAAAGGGGTCCCGGGAAAAAAGGGGTTTTTGGGGCTGGGAGAGGTTAAAGTTTTTCTGTAACAAATTAAGAAATCACTTTCCCCACCGCCCACATATGCAGCGGAAATTGAGACGAAATTGTCAGGAGAATATTCGGTGGTAAGGAAGAAGTGCCAAAGTTGCCAAAAGTTGAGAAATGATATTTTGTTTGGCTTCATATTTTATTCATACTTAAGCGACGGCTGCCTCCTCCCCCTCACTTAATGTTTATTTATGCAGGCAAACATGCTTTTGATTGGCGTGTGACATTTTAAGCGCGCGGCTGGCATTTCAAAATTATTGCTGCGGGTCGACTGCTCGTGATTGATGTGCAGCAGAAGTTCGGGGTGAGCCATTCTTGGCCAAAGTTCCGCCGGGACACGCGATCTCGAGGGTCTGGAAAGGTCGAAGTTGATTTGATTGGCAGCCAGAAGAGGAAGGAAGCCCCATGGAGGCAGGATAAAAATAATTAAAAATGGCCAAAGTTTTCCACTTGTCTTGCTCCCGAACTCGACCGACAAAATATCTGCATAGTCGGGCATATTTTTTGCCTACTGCCCACATTTGCATTTCCCTGGATTCCTCATTATTTTTGGTTTCCAAAAATATTTTCCATCACGAGGTACTCCTCTCATGCACAGTTTTCCCCCGCTCTCCTCCTCAGTTCGGTACATATTTTACTTAACCCAATATTCGGCTCGTTAGCCAGAAGGAAACAAAAGGCCATAGTAACGGGCCCAGGAAAAATCACTGAGCAACCAGCAACTACGGCCAGAAAAATGAACCAAGAAAAAAATGCAAAAAAATTCAGGAAAAAAAAAACAAAAACAAGAGAGAGAGCTGCCAGTAACCGAAACGAAAACGTGTTGGCATCAGCTGCTATGTGGAAAAAGTTTATGACTTTAGACCCATTTTGTGTACAGCCCCCTGTGCTGAACTCAATTTCTCCCCCTCGAATCACGGCGGCGTGGACTTACCTTGGGCCCAGCTGGAAAAGCTGGGAAAAGCTGGGAAAGCTGCCTTCTGCTTTCCTCCATCCTGCGGTCCGTCTGCTTGGCTGCTGTTTTTAAATGATTTTTATGTGCACTTCAGTGCAAGAGGCCCCCCTCTCTCTATTTTCATTTTTTTTTTTTCGCCTCCTGTGTTTTCTATGTAGTCGTATATATGCATATAATTTCTTGCACAATTTTCCTGCTGGCTTTTCATTTCACAGTTTGTTATGCATTTCAGGCTCTCTCTCTCCGTTTCGCTGGTTTTTCACTGGGCTTGTTTGTTTGTTTGTTTGTTTGTTGCTTCATGCCTTTGCCTTATTGATTTTCCTCCTGTTTTTCACTGTATTTTTTGTTTTTAGTTTCGTTTCTATTTCCACTCCTCTGCTTTTTTATGTGTGTCTGCCGCTGCTGTTTCGCTATTTTGTTTGTTTGTTTGCCTGTTTGTTTGCGGCCAGCCGGTCGGCCAGTGTTACAATGCAACAGACGCAGCCGGTTGGCCATTACAATTCCAGCTTACCATCCAATGTCCACCGTCCACCGTCCAGTGTCCCCGAGTCTCCAGCCTTTGGAGTGCGGCCATGCCCCTTTGTTTTGCCAGCCGAGATTCCGTTGCAGAGTCGCAGGCCCTTTGCATTCTATTGATTTTTTGCGCCTCTGCCAGCAGCCGCCAGAGACGCCGTAAAAAGTCATTAGCGAAGGGGGGCCAAAGGGGCTAGAAAGGGGGGCGAAAGGAGGGGGGGCGGAAAAAGGGGAGGGTCTGAAACCCGGCCCTCGAGTGCATAATGGCACAATTTAAATACGGCTGCGGAGAGGAGCGGATCTGGCATGTGAATGAACCGTGAACTATGACCGGCTGTGGCAGCTTCTGGTTTGCTATGCCAGCGCTTAAAGTGTTGGGCTTTCACATCTCTTTTGCACAAAGGGGTTAAAGTTAAGCCTGGTCTAGAAAAAATACGTTTACTTTGCGATTCCAGGAGGTTTTTAAGTGATTATGCCAACAAAACATTAACAAAGTTTGCAATATTTAAAAGCAGTCGTTATTTCCTTATTTTTTAAATATTTAATGAGTCAATGAATAATGAATTAATTTCTTTCTTCTTCAATTTAAATTTGTATTGTATAATTTTTGAAACCTTTACTTTACTTTATATGCTTTTGTTAGCAAATAATATATTTTGTTCGCAGTTAGTTTCGTTATTTAAACTTGTTACAGGCACCACTGAAAGCATTGAATAGCGTAACCCGTATTTAATCTGTGCAGTTTAAAGAACTTGTATCAACAGCCTTTTTCAACCACTTTGCAAATAAATGAAAATGGGAATTGAGTTCAGCGAAGTGCAACCTACTTTAAGGTAAAACCAAACACGTCATCCCTTCGCTGTTTACACGTGGCTTCAGCAGGTCGCACATGTTTTCTATTTACCCACGCAAAACAATAAGCTGAAAGCCATTTGATTTTGATTTATTGACGCACGTAGCAAGCAAGGGGGAATAGAGAGACGGCCGAAATGGAATGGGGGCATGCAACAAGCGAAACAGACTCCAGACATGATAGAAATCGATGGCATAATGATTATCTATTAAAATAAATCACGTATTTGGCAGACGATGGCTGCCATACGGCGGCAGACCAGACGAGAAAAGTCCGGACTCGTCCAACCGTTGAAGTCAATAAATTGCACTTGTCTTGGCCTTCTTCCCTTTTCCTTTTCCCCTTTACTCTCCACCCATTTCGGCCCCCTCCTTCACATGAGCTTGATGGGGGAGTTGGGGGAGAAAGTTGGCCGAGGAAAGGGCACCGCTAATGCATTTCCCCGGCACAAATTGTCACAGACAGAGAGCCAAAGGAGCCAAGGAGCCGAGGAGACAGCGTTAAGTGTAATATAAATAAATCGGAGCTGACTTCAAGTGTTTAAGCCGTTGGCAAAGACGCCCGGGAAGCAGTTCAAAGGCAGGGCGATGAAATAGGAGAAGAAGCCGCTTACAAAGGCGGCTCACAAGAGTATTCCCACTTTGATGCAATCATGCGCCTTTTGATTGGGTCGCAGACCAAGTTTGCTCAGCCATCGAGGGCCATTTACATCTTTAATTTAATGTCTAGTCTTTCATCGAATTTTTTCGGAAGGATTTTCGTTTGATCTCAGCGAGACTAACTACCAATGTCGTGCCGAGAATGATTTGCTGGCCAGACAACGCAGCGTATACGTAATATTGCCGTCGGAAAAAGCGTAATCTTTGTGATTGGTTTATATTGACTTACATTGTGAAAAATTTGATTCTTAATCTCTATTTGAAGTTTTAATAGTGTTATTTTGGGTATTCAAATACTCTTGTTTTAACTTCTCAATTTAAAAGAAAAACCTTCGACAATTAAATTTATTTGTTAATAATTTATATAAGTAATTTCCAGGTGATGCAGTTATGAGGAACACTACTGTTTTCTCGTTCTCGCTTAAAAAAGCTGCTTAGGCTAGCCATTTTGATTTTTTGCTGTCGCACTTTAAACTAATTGCCAGCAATTTAGCAAACGTTGGCAGTGCAATGCGGCGTATGCGTAATATTTATGTCCGCCGTGTGTGCGAGTGAGTCTGTATCGCTCCGCTCTTTTGTTTGCCAGTGTTGGCATGCCCAGTGCGCACATTTGCCGCATAATTGCCAAGTCATGATTTTTTACACACCAAGAACAGAAAGAAAGAGAGAGCAAGAGAGAGAGAGATGGAGAGAGGGGGTAGGGGGGAGAGAGGGGTAGTGGATGAAGAAGAAGAATACAAGTAACAAGTAACGGAGGAAATAAACGAAGCATTTTCAGCAGCAGCAGCAGTGGCAGCAGCTCCACAGCATTTCCCCCGTGACTTTTCCCATCCATTTTCCGAGCGTTTCCATTCCGGCTGCCCGACAGCCATTGTCTGTTCCAGCAGTTTACTGATGATATTCGCACTGGGCATAATTTCCATGTTGCTTAAGCGGCATTTTGTTGTTACTGCTCGTATAACCAGAGATATCCCTGCTCCACCAATCCCCCTTCAATCCCTCTCCCCAAAAAAAAGGATCTCCCTGCTCCCTTTTTCCGCCTCTGTGCTTTATCGTTATTGACAGTTTTATACGTTTCTTTTTTATCTGCTTCGTATCAAGTTGTCCTGTTCCTGTCCCTTTTGCATAGTTTCAAGTTTCGGCAAATATCGTTTGGTTCGTGCCGCATTTTTTGCTCCCTTTTCTTCCGCTTTCCACTTTTACAATGTCCAGAAGTTTACCTTGGGGACCCGTCTGGCTTTGGGGAGAGATCCTGTCCTGTCTGCTGGACCACGGGAAAAGTTAATGTAATGCCAGCCAGGCAATACAAAAGGAGGGTTTAATGAGGAGCGAGGGGAGAGGTGAGATTTCTTGGAAAAACTGCCAATACCCACATCCACATACAAACACGCGTGTTTTAGCATATTTTTGTCATATTTTGCATCTACGAGATACTCACACACACACACAGATACAGATACAGATACTCGGCGGCAGCCTCAACTTCAGATGAGGATGTCAGCACTTCAGTGGCAACTTATGGCGCTCCAATTTCGCGCTGATGCATAATTTTTTCGCCTTCATCTTCTCGCATAAAAATGCGCTCAAAGGGGCGCAAAAGCCGAAACCCGGAAAATAGGGGGAAAACTATAGGGAGCCCATGGCAGCACTACTCTTTTTCCGGGTCCCAAGACTGAGGAAAAATATTGACAATTAATCTATAGCAAAAGATTTCCTCTTCATTTCAGCTAGCTTGTTTGTTTTGAGCGTTTTTTAATAGTTTGAGAATTGCATAAAATATAAAACAGTTTGTGTTTTAAAAGTTTTTATTATGTAGAGTTTCGTAATAGAATTATTTTTTATTATTATTATTATTATTATTATTTGTTTTTGAAACTGAATGTTAATGAATACTTTAAGTTGTAAGTTCAGAACTGGCTGGCTTTTAATATCCAATTTAAATTCAGTTACTTAACTCTTCCACTATTTTTCTGTGTGTCGTGGGCTGTGCGTTCCTGTTTCTGGAGCTTTCAGATCTCCCCAAGTGGTTCAGCTGGGTTGGATGGGAGTGCGCTTTGTGGCGCTGACTTGACATGATTAATATCCCCGCTGACATGCGAATCGCAGTTGACTGACTGTCGTCAAGTGAAATCAAAAGCAAAGGCAGCTCTCGCAGAACCCACATCAAGTCAGCTTAAAGCCATTGGGTCCCTAGAAAAAGAGGAGAAATAAAAAACGAAGCGAACAACACTACTTTTTAATCCCTAAAAATGAACTTAAATTCACAAAAATTTAATTAAAAAGGGGGGAATATGAAGAATATTTTTGAGTGTTAAAAATAAGAAGAATCGAAAGTATTTCAAACAGATTTACTTGGTTAACGGTGGAATATTTGCATGCACATATATATTATATTTGTATTTTAGGCATTAAATTCACTGGTCGCATAAATCTCTGGCATCCCATTCGAAATTCTAATTTCCGTGGCGCGTAATACGGAAAACAAACAAACAAGAAGAACAACAATAACAAAAGCATTGCCAACAACAACAACAACAAGAACAACAACAAAGTTGGCCCAGAAACCATTAACATTTTCGGCTTCAATCACAGCAGCGCATTTGTGGATGTGAGAAAGAAATTAAATAACCGAAACAAACAGAGCGAACGCGAACAAAAACGACAGCAATAACAAACAAATCAAGCGAAATTCGGCATTTAAAATCCAGACATAAAAAATGTAATGGAAAGCATTAGTGCTCATAAAAAATGGATTTACACAGCCTTTTTAAGGCCATCCTGATCCTGTATGTCATAAGAGGTGAGTACTGCCAGCCAGCTATTTATTTTCTATTTTTTTTTAGGATTTTATTCCCAAAAACACACAAAAACTCTAATCGACAGTTGTGAAATGATATGCTTTAAAAGGCATTTGCTAAATGGCCGAAAATCTATGGTGTGCTATAACTTTAAAAATATCCATCTCTATTTAAGATTATTTTAATCTAAAGTTATAATTTATAGCAATAAGTCAGGTACTTTTTATTCAAGTTATTCACAACTTAAGCTGCTTTTAATTACTATTAAAAAACCTTGATAGCAACCTCCTGGAACTACAATCCTTGGCATCGATGTTTTGCCAGTTTTTCCCCACTCATTTTTCCCACCCACTTCCCTGCCCACAAAAGTATGCAATTAATTTTGCAACATAAGCCGAAGGAACAAGGGATCTCAAGGGGGCTTGGGGTGGGGGTTGGGGGAATTGAAAAGCGAAAAGCATTTCAATTAACGCAGCGCAATATATGCACATATATCGGCGTTAATGAGCGCCTGCCGCTCAACTTTCGCGGGTAGACAAAAGGCGGGCGAAGTTGCGGAGTTTGTGCCATAAAACTGAATTATTGAAAGGCACACGTTTCACTTTTGTTTTTGTTTTTGTTTGCATTTGTTGTTGTTGTTGTTGTTGTTGTGTTTGTGTTGCGTTTGCGTGGCGCTCAAAGAAACGGAGTCAACAGCAAAACTTTGCATGCCAGGACATCGAAGGACGAGCAGGAGTCACATGAGCCGCAGCCGCAGGAGCAGGAGCGGCATTTATGAAACTTTTCTGCCGCTGGCGTGGCTCGACACTTCAAGGCACACACTCACAAAAGGGGACGGAGGTCCACCCGCCTCCCCCTCCCCCTCTCACACACACAGACACAACGCGGCACACCCACTCGCATTTTTCAAAGGGGGAAAGCAGCAGCAGCGAAACAGGCTGGATCAAATGTTAATTGCAGTTTTCGAGCCATAATTAGAGATCCTCATTGTCTAATGTGTCACGGCATTTAGCAACCGAATACGTCTGCACCTACAACACACAGCAACAACAAAAACAGCAACTACAACTCCGGAGAAAGGAGAAAAGCTGCGGACAGGAGCGACTAACCCCGGCTTAACAAATGCACATCTGGCGGAGGGAAGGAAATTTTCCCGGCAACACAACACTGTCAGAAAAATAGTGGAGCCTTCAGTGTAATATCTTTTTGTAGGAATCTTGGTTTAAAGCTGAGTTTTTTTGGGATAGTTTGGCTGAAGTTGATGTTACAGTCCAAGAGACTAAAATACAGTAGATTAAATGTAATAATTAAAATTATTTAAAAATTGACAAAATAACAAGCTTTTTTTAAGCGGTTATTGCAATAACTTGGCCGAAAAGAACGGAAGGACTGTTTTATGCACCTAAAAGCTTATGTTAACGATCGCCATTAAATCATTTTTCAGATTTTCGATAGGGGTAACATTATAAAATTTTGTGAAAATTTTTCAAAAATAAAAATGTAACAAGGTATAACACTCCATATCCTGGCCAGCATTTCATACGTTATGGAATAAAAATTTACGACTTTCGGCGGAAATTAAAACTTTTGAAGTGATAAAACTAAAAAAATAAAACCAGAGCTTCACGACTCCATAATTTTCGCTTCCTGTAGCTTTGCGTAGTCAGGTTCGGAATGCTTTTCTGGCGGTAGGGAAAAACTGCAGTTCGCAGAAGAAAAGCCAGGCAAGAATCCCCTGGCTTTGGCTAAGATACCCCGCCCAGATTGCTAGCTTCCCGCAAAGTCCGCTCCTGTGAGTTGTTGCCTCTGTAGTTGCTTCTGCTCCTGCTCCTGCTCCTGCTCCTGCAGCTCCACTTCCCCCGCTTCACACCAAGTTCAACAACACGCCCTCGAAATGTGAATGACCTCGAATGTCACGTTTGCTAAGCGCATGAAAGCAGTGGGCAATGGAGTGGGTTTTTCGGGGGAGGTTTCCCCACTTTCCAGCCAGTTCGTCACATTGCTGCGCAGCAGGAGGGCCAAGATTATGCAGCTTCTGGCTCCTGACTGCTGACTGCTATTTTATGAAACAAAAACAAGGCCCCAAGAAGCAAAGCCAAAGGCTGGCGGAGAGCTTTTGTGCGAAGGACCTGGCAACATTGTCCAAGGAGGAGACCGGGCTTAAGTCCAAAGCATGCCGAGCATAATCAGCTTCATCATCAGTGGAAGCAGCAGCAGCAGCAGCAGCAACAGCAACAGCAAAGGCAAAAGCAGCAGCAGCAGTGGCAACATCAGCAGCAACAAGCAGCAAGCAGTAAGCAAAGAAGAAAGGCCTTTACTGTCACAGTCAGCAGCAACATCAGATCCGACCAGCAGCAACATCAGCCCGCAGCTTAGCCATGGCTGGAATACAAAGAGCCAGGAAAAGGACCATGACGATGAGGATGACGATGATGGAGACGATGACGAGGACACGGTCGTAGATATGGACATTGCACTGGCACTGGGGGCACAGTCGTTGATCTTTTGCTGATAACTTTGGCTTTTCGAGAGTGCCACACACACAAATAAAATATAAAAAACCCTGCTGAAGAATGAAGGACTCGTCAAGGAAGTGTTGCTGGCACAAAAGCGCTGGTTGGCAAAAAAGCAGAAAAAAAAGAAAGGGAAGAGAGTCTCCAGCCAAGGCAGCTTAATTATTTTCGCAGAAAAATTGCAGGGTAATGAGATTGCCCGCGCGAGATACAATTCATTTTCGCCAGTCTTCAGGGGCTCGAAACATTCAAGCTTTCAATTTGAGCAATTTTCCTGTTTTTCAGCTTGTTTAGTCAAAGAAGCAAGTCAAGTTGCAGGAGCGGGAAGCCCTGCCTGTTGGCCCTACGTGCCCTGACCTAAGCAAATACACTTTGCACTCAGGACCTCTCGCATACACACAAACACACCCAAACATACACACACACAGAGATCCGTGGAGTATTCCGCTTTGTTGCGCACCCAGACAGATGAAGATTTCGCTTCGACATCGCATTAGTCGGGGCTTTTAAGCAGAAAAATGCGTGCACTTGAGGGCCACCTCCTGAAAGCCCGGAACCCGAAGCACGAAGCCCGGAGAACACCAGGAACACCCGGAACAGCAGGAACACCCCAAATCCCCTGGAGCACTGAAGCACTCGTCCTCCATCACTCATCCGACCCGTTTCCCTGAGCCGTGTGCCACTTTAAATATTAAACGCTGTCTACTTTTCGGCTGCCTGAATCAAATTCGCCTTTGACTATGACCGTGTTCTCCATTCAGAATTCCTCGCAAGAAATTTCGATGCATACCTTACAAAAGGCTCAATTTGAAAAAAATAATTGAAATTATAAAAAAATAAAAATGGAATTTTAAATAAAATCGCATATTTTGTATTTTTGCTAATAGAAAAAATTTTTTTTAATAACCTAACACAACTTGCACTCTTATGGGAGCTTGTCAAGATAAAGATTTAAAAAAAAAATTTAATCACTTCCCTGGAAAACATTTAGAAAATAAGCAAAGCTACTTATTGTCCTTTGGGATTGGATAATTGAAATACCAGGCAAAAATAAATTAGTAGTAGGTTACCGTTAGCCACCATATATGACCCCCAAAACATTTAACAATTTTTAGTTTAAGTTTAAAAGCCGAGATCTTCTGTCAGCAAGCTCTGTCCCAATTAATCCCCTCTGTGAAGAATTCTGCCTACGCCACTGGAAAAATTTTAAATTTAAGCAAATGGTTACTTAACAAATCCCTTATTTTCCAATACCAAAACTAAAGTGGCAACAAACTTATAATATGTATCTGCAAGAGAAAAACCCTGCGGAAAACTTCAATGTATATCCGAAATATCGGTGAAAGTGAAATGGAGAGCACGACTACATTTTCGTGTACATTTGTATTTGTCAAGACGTTTCCCCTGCCGCCAAGTAAACAGAGCAGAACAGGAGAGGTATATATATATGTATAGATATAGAGTAGAGTCGGTGAAGACAAGTCCCTTGCTTTTCCGCGGCATATGCAAATCAGCTTTAATGTTACTGCTCTTGTTGTTCGGCGATTTTCCTCTTCTCTGTCGCAAAATTGCGCTTTCATTTAAATGGCGTGCGGGAAAAGTTTTTCTGATTTAGTGTGCGCTTTGAAGCTGGCAACTGCTAAATGGCAACTTCATTATTATTTGCAGACACTTTTCAAAAAGATTTTTCCGCTCGCTTTGGCGCGGCGAAGTAAACGTAATGTGAATTAAAATCGCCATTCCGTCGTGGGTTGCTTTTCTGTTTTCCGAATCCGTTGGATTTTCTTCTTAATTAAGCAGGGATACACTTCAAGAAAGTTATCTCTTAAATCCAATTAGAATTTGTGCTTATACAGGATACTTTGATAAGAAGTGGTTTTAGAAGTCTTTCCCCAATATTTTATACATTTAAAATAACAATTTAAAGGAACTGCAATTCACTAGAGATAAATTTTTTACTGTGCATCTTGGAGCTGAGTTGTCCCCGTCGAGTTTGAGTTGAAATATTTTGCTGCTGCTGCTCATTTGCATTTTGTCTGCTGGGCTGTCAGCGGTCCTCCTTTTCATTCGGCTCCTCTGTTTTCTGTTTTCCAGCTTTTCTTCGCCCGTTTTCCATCTCCTTCGGCGGGCACATTCATTTCCCTTCCCCAGCTGAGCTTCACGGCAATTTTTAATGATCCGTGATAATGGTGCAGGCTGCCGTTGGCACTGCTAGTTTCATTTAGTTCTCCATTCAGCATTCAGCATTCGCCATGCAGCCGGCGAGTTTCCTTGCGCGTAATTGATTTTAGCCGGGGGAAATGTGCGCGGCACTTACATTAATAAGCTCCGCTTCTGCCACAGCTTCCTTGATTGACGCTTCTGACAAATCGAGATGAGTGTTCCTGAGCTTGAGTCTCGTTCTGATCCTAAGCCATCGCACCGCCATGGAGGACCATTGTCCAGAAGTTGGCGAGCGAGAGGGAACCCCAGTGAAATGTGGGACACTTCGATGACAGTTTTGTGTGCGAAGTGCTCTAATTAGCTGCAACTTGTCCCCGGCCTAAGACAAAGTTTTAATTGAAATCCTACCTGCAAATCTCAATCAGCCGGCAAACACACACATTCGCATTCACATTCTGCTATTAAGCTGATAGAAAATGGGAGAAAAAGCGCTCTTCGGATGGATAATTAAATTTTCATTAGAGCGTGTCTGGCGGAGTAAAGTTTTGCCGTGGCGAAACTTTATCTTAAGTGACTTAAAAACTAAAACTGCAAATTTAATGCGCTCCCCCGTCGTCATGTGGCAGCCGCAACTGCAACTTGCGGCAAACACTTTTTACTTTCCGCAAACATTTTGCTTTTCTTTTTCGCCAGTCTGTCCCTTTTTTGCCAGCATCCTTTTGCGGCGCATTTCCTTTGGGCATTGCAGATGACAGCGTGTTGCCAGGCGAAGGAAAACCAGGACGGCCAAGATTCGTGGGTGTTTCCAAGGGGATGGGAAAGGGGGAGGAGGCGGGGGTGCCACAACGAAAGTGGCACAAAGTTTGCAACACTTTGGGGCCTGCAACCAGGAGCTAGCTGCTCTGCTTGGCCGTCGTTATCTACCGCCTAATGCCTTTTTGACAAAACAATTTTTCATATTATTGCCCGAGTGCGGCGGCGCTGCTCGGGGTTGAAAATTGCTTACAAATTTAGTGTTGCATACTTTGTGGCTGCTGCTGCTGCTGCTCCTGTTGTTGAAAGTGCCACAAGGAGCGCCCGTTGCCAAGTCCTGTGGCCAGGCCAACTGCCAAAAAGGGATTCTTGAAGTGACAGCAAGTGATAGAAAGATCTCCGGGAGAACCAACGTTCGCCACAAAACCTTTGCACTCGGGGAAAAGCAACCATCCAGCCATTATTGCTACAAAGTTGCCAAGGGGAAGAGGTTTCATGAAAGCAATCTTTGTTAAAAGAAAAGTGCAAAAGAAAGCTAAGAAATATTTAAAAAGAAGTTATCAATGTTATAATAGAAATACATGTTTATTTGTTGTAAAAAGATAAACACAATAACTTAACTTAACTACAATCTGTTTATAGAAATGTACCTATTCACATTGAAATCTTTGCTCTAAAATTACAATATATTTCCACAATGTTTGAGCAGTTATCAGTTTTTTAACTTCTTCATCATGAAGATATATTTTAGATTTTTGACCACTTAAAGCTGAACTATTTTCCTCTTTATGTACTCCAAACTCAAGACAATTTTAGAGTGTAGAGGCGAAAGTCCTCTGCCTAAATTATTCATGTGTCATAGTCAGCTCAGCTCACTCGGTGCACATGAATTTCTGGCCATTTTCTGGACAGGAGACAACGCCTTAACTTGTCCGACCGCACTCCGTGCTCTCCGTGGGCTCCGATGCCTCTGAATGAATAATAAATAAGACATAAAGGCCGCATCAGAAGCAATTTTAAAGCCTGGCCGAAATTATGCAATGCTCAGCGCCTGGTGAAGCAATTAGAGGCGGGCTTTTGTGGCCGGCGACCGCAACAATGGCCGGCAGGTAAAAAGCAATTGTCTCCGCAGCAGCGGCAGCGGCAGCGGCAGCCTTTGTTGTGGGCCAACGGCACTCACGACGCCTCATTAAAATTTAGGCCAAGCTACCCAAAACCGCTCACGCCCCCGCCCACGGCTCCCTGCCACGCCCACTGGAGCGGACCACTCGGGGAAAAAGCCAAAAGCCGCTGGCATGCTCGCTACTTAATTTCGGGGGGAGAAAAAGTTGGCTGGTCTAACAAAAATTGAAATTAACTTTGGCCAACACACTTGCACACCCACTAACACATACATACACTAACACATACATACACAAACACATACATACTCACACAGAATGCCTCCATTTAATTAAAATTTAAAATTACCGAATTTCTTACCGAATTTTCGCTCCGAACTTCTCTCATTTTCCCGTTATTCCAACATCTTCTCTCTCTTTCTTTCTTTCTTTGCAGCTGAGACCAGCCAGATTGTGAATGGACTGGATCTGCAGGGACCGATTTTTCTCCATGAGCCATCGCATCGCGTCGAGTTCTCCAACAATTCAGGCGGACTCATAGAATGCTCGGGCCACGGAAGTCCTCCGCCGGAGGTGAGAACCTTTCCCTATCCCTCTTTCTTTTCCCCTCCACCTCCTTCTGCTCCTTCTCTTCCTCCTCCTCCTCCTCCTCCTGCCCCTCCTTCTTCTCCTTATCCAAACGACTTGGCTCCATTCCTTCCGCGCTGCCATTTAATATTGCCGTTTAATTATGCATGGCTGTGCGGCATTTGGCTCTGCTCATTTCCAAGTTAATTGACTGGCCAACAAACAAATGCTAAACGCGCCCAAAAACACTCAGCAAAAATGTACCCTACTCTCATTATAATTTAATTTTTTTGTAATTTTTAAACTGCATTTCAAAATCTAAAAACTAAACAATGAACTTCTTTGTATATCAAGTTTTCCAATAATTATAAACTGAATAAATTTTAAACATATTAATAATTGAGCAATATAATAATGAAATACCTGAAAAGTTAGCTTTTGTACAAATTGTATAGTTATATTTAAATGTATACAAAAACCTTTGTATTTGAAAATAGTATTTCTTTTGAATAAACTTTTTCATTTTATATTTTAACTCCCTTGTATTTATATATATTTAGTTAAATATCTTCCAGATATGTATCTTTTATAGTTTCTTTTTTCCAAGTGCCCTTTTCACACTCCTTGTGCTTTCTTCACCCAGGTGGAATGGACCCCCATCCCGCCGCAGCAGGACATGGTGTTCCAGCTTTCCAACGGCAGCATGATGTTCTATCCCTTTACGGCCGAGAAGTATCGCCACGAGGTGCACGCCACCGTATACAGGTGAGTTCAGGAGGGCACTTCCCACCACCACCGCCCCCTCAAACCTCCTTTCCCCCCCGAAAAACACCGCAGATTGATTGTTAATCCTTTGTCCTTTAAACCGGCAGATGCAAACTGCGCAATTTGGTGGGCACCGTGCTCAGCCGGGAGGTTCATGTGCGCGGCGGTAAGTCGAAATAAATTTTAATTAATTTACGTAAAACACAGCGAAAAGCGTTGGTGAGAAAAAAAACGAAAACGAAACACTGTGAATTTATAGCCGCCGAGTTGATTTGTGCTGACGAAGTGAGTTTGGCTTTTGGCGCTGTCGTTGTTGTTGTGGTTGTCGAAAACTTTGGCCTAATTGGAAAGTTTTTCGCGCTGGCCAGGACCGCCCAGCTCTGAAATTTCCGCCTCCCAATTCCCAATCCCCGACCTCCAACCAACGACTCAAATCCCCATCCCGATCCTCCCGAGCAGAAGCCTAAAAGCAGGCAACGCAAGTTTTAATTACTATTGCTGCCGGCAAATGCTGTCGGCCAGGCGCCATCCTTACCGCACCCCCTCCTCATCCCCTCATCCCCTCATCCCATCATCCATTCATCCCCTCATCCATTCAGCCCCACCATCATTTCACCCCAAATGCCATCGTAGCCAAGCGAAAAAAATGTTATGCTCCGCGCTAATTTGGCGCCTCAGTGTGTGAGAATTGACTGCGGGCGAAATACCCTAATGGTTGAAGATACTTATAATTATACCTGGAGTTAAAAGTAATAATTTGTAGGAAAATGCATGAATATTATAAGTTAATACTAAGTAACTTGGCAATTTTTTCACTGCATAAAATGAGTAATGTTTAAAGAATTTCACTGCAAGGCCCATAATATCCACATCAAGTTATCAAGTTAAAACGCAGTAAGGCTTTTGTATATAATTTTGTTACGGAAATTTCTTAAACGTTTAAAAGACGTATTAATGAAATAAATTCCCATGAAAACAAAATAGCTTATAAATAAACACACTAGAGATTTTAATGGCTTAAATGTGATTAATAAAATACCTTATAAATATTTATAGATCTGTTCTGCAGAGTATTCAACAGTCTTCTAAGCTGACCAGCTATCAATATTCCGACCGCTGGAGCAGAATATTCAATATTCATGATACACCCTCCCCGAAAACGAGGTCTAACTGCCCCGAAAAACTTTCTCATTCTTCGCTAAACTGCATTAATGAACTGAAACTCAGTCTTTTGCCATCCAACGGCTGCCTTCCAGGCTGGCAATCATTTTGATTGCCATCACATGTCGCATAGATTTTGCGGCTCATTGGGCACTTCCACTTGGCCAGAAAGAAAGGCCGATGCGAGGGGCACAACAATTAGCAGTGACCATAAAAGATATGCCATATAAATGGGTTTCGGGCTTTGCCGGCGACCAAAGGCTAATCCTCAAAGGGTCCACTTGAGTTCTGGCGGAGTTCTAGCGCTTAATTAACAGGCGGCAGGGGGGCGAAATAAAAAAAAAAAAGGAAAAACAATACGGAACGAGCGAAGAGAGCACGGGAAGTCAGTTCAAAGCGAAACAAATGGCACAAAGTCGCAACCGCAAGGATCTTAGATAGAATCAGGACCCACGCGAATACTCATACACACATACTTGCATACACATATGTATATGTAGGCAGCAAATAGTATGCCATGCGTAGTCCTTTGTCCATGCAAAGTTCCAACGACCGGCGGCCATTTTTCAGCAGCTAACTCAACGTTACGTATACGCCATGTCCGCCGGCTTATTTTATTTGCGGTCTCACCGAGCTCTGTTCCTAGTCCTGGGTGTCCTGGGTGTCCTGGCTGTGCGGCCTCGTCCTCTTTGTTTCCGCTTGGTTTTTATGTGTGCGCCAGAAATTGTTTTTTTTCCTCCCGAATCCCCGAATCCCAATCCGAAACTCGTGGCGAGAGCTTTCCGCTTGAACAATTTGACAGCGCGTAGATTTGGCGCAAAACGTTTTGCCTAATTTGCAAAAGTTTTCGGAGAATCTGCGATCTCTGCTGGCCAGTAATTCTGTTGCTAATGTGAGCGTTTTGGCTTTGGTTGGGGTTTGAGTTTGAGTTTGGGGTTCTGGTAGGGTCGCCTTCTTTAATTGGCAGCGCTTAGTTTGATGCGGGGTCTTCTTCGAGCTTGGCGAACCGAGAACTTGGAGGGACTTGGACTTGGTTAAGTGCGCGTAATTAGCGCAACTTTGCAGCAAAAACCCTTGACAAATTCCCCCCATATATATTCAAGTCAAGCTTAAACGCAATTGCTGGCATTTGGTTTTGTCAGGCCACAGGACATCCACAATCCCCCCATCCCCCATTTCCATCCCCATTCTTATTTCGCCGCTTTTCTCTGCCGCAGAAGTTCTGCTGACAGTGATGAATGATGCTGGGAGCCACAAAGTTGCCGCAGCCACGACTTTTCAGCGCTGACTTTTCCTGCACTTTTGCATTTCATCAAACAAAGCACACAAGCACCCTTTAGATAGACGACCATGCATAGGTATAGGTATAGGTGCATATAGTACATATATCTGTGCATATATAGTATGGTAGAAAAGTCCTTGGCGGATCTTTGCAAGATTCAGCGCAAAGTTTGTGATTGAGCTAGAAAAGTTTGCTCGACTGCCGCTGGCTGCTTGTGTATGAAACCTGCGTAATTTGTTTCTAATTAGTTGAATGCACATTGTTGAGGACGCTCCACCTTCGTAAGTTTCCCCCCTCTAATTCCCCATTTAACCGGAAACAGGATACGAAGTTCAGAGAGTTTTGCATATGAAACTGCTCATTTGCCTGCGAAATTCCAATATGCAGACATTAGCAACGTGAAAAAGCGTTGGTTTCCATTTTTCCGCAATACATTATTGTGCCATTTCTAATTATGGATGTTAAACTTCCAATTAGCAACGCACTAAAAAGTAATATTTCATGTCGCCTATCAAATAGTTTTAAAATTCAATGATTTAGAAACTTTGTGCGTTAGTAAAATTTCTTGTCACATATTAAATTATTTAAAATTCAGTGATTTTGGACAGGATTGTGCCATTATCATGTCAGGGCTTAATCATTGGAAAAATATATATGATAGGTATATATTATATATAAAAGGTTTCAACACAAGTATATTTGATATTCTCAGCATTTAATAGTTAAGCATTTCATAGTACTTCTTTTTATTGTGAAATACAAACCCATTTATCATAAAATTAAACTCCGATCAAATTAATGGACAGAAATGCAAATACAAATTGTAAACCGATATCCTTGGGTTTTCGCAATGTGCATTCGCAATCAAAGCCGCATCAAATTATAATTTAATATTCGAAGTGCCAACCGAAAAATAATATATGTATTATATATTTTCCGGGGACGGGAAAATCCGAACAATAACTGCAAATCAGCGAAGACTGGCGTACCAAAAGCATCTTTCCGGCACGCACATCATAAACATAAATGTCCCATCCCCGAAATCCGCCCAATTCTTTGGCTGGAAAAACTTTTCCACACACAAAACAAAACGGAAATGAATTTCCGCATAAAATCCGAGTGCAGCGAAAGTCTCCTCTTTTTGCACTTACTTTGTGCGGCGACTATAAACTTAGCTTTCATACTTACTTTCCTGCCCAGCTGTCCTGTTCCTGTCCTGTCTGCATCCCTATTTTTTTCCTTACCCCTTAACCTGCCCCCTCATCCCTTCAGCGAACATTGTTGGAGGTCCCTGTCCTTCAGTTGCGAAATTTCCATGCAAAATGCAACATGAAAGGCGAAAAAACTTTGCCGTTGCTAAAAATAGAAAAACCCTACACCCGAAAAACAAAAACAGAAAAAAAAAACACAAAAAATAGAAAAGGAAATGCAGGAAAAACAAAAAGAATCGGGCGGTTGTTCGGGAGTCTGGCAATACAAATAATGAAGATACAAAAACAAAATCGTACTAAACTCCACAGCGCGGCGCAGAGGAATTATAATAAAATGTTGTCACAAAGTTTTTCTAGTCACTGTTATAGCACCAGCAACCACAACAACAACAACAATAGAAGCAACAACAATGGAAACAACAACAACAACGACAATAAGAGTAAAAAGCAAACAATAACAACAACTTTTCAAATTAAACTTTTATCCAATTTTAGCATATTAAAGTTGGCAAACAAACGCCAAAAGCGGAGAAAGCCAAGCGTGATCAGTTCGGCCCGAGTTTGGTTTTAGCTTTGGCTTGGGATAATGCCACGGGGCAGGCTCCTAATCTATTTACGATTAGCCCTCGAAGGGGAATCCCCGAATAAGGTCCAACACTGGAACGCACTTTACGCACGCCAGTTGCCAGTTTCCAGCTTTCAGTTGCCAGTTGCCTTTGTCCGTCTTAATTAATTTGCCAACTGCCAGCAGCAAGTAGATCTGGTCCACGCTTTTAACTGATGCAAAGCATTTGCAAAGTCGCACAGTGGTTGAAAGGTTATTAAACATGGATTGGTAATGGGTTAGATTTAAATGAAAATCAAAAATCATTTGGCTACTGCTTAAAATAAACCAAATTTTTTAATCCAAAGAGTAGATTACACTTTTAGCAATTAGCATTTTAACATTTAAGTTTAGAGTTTTGTGTTTTACCTTTTTTATATCATTGCTACATCCATTTAATTATAAATTTATATTTTCAATAAATAAACCACTCGAAATTAATTTAAATATTTGGTTCAATTAATAGTTTAATATATTATTTTACTTTCCCCTAAATGTTTCCTAACCTCTTCAACCACTGTTCATTGCCACTTCTGTCATTGTTAGGATCCTTGTCATTCTTAATTTCGCGCTGAGCTCGCTCCATGGACACGGAAGGCGAAAAAATCTTTAACTCAAATTGCCAAATCCAATTTTTTAACGGCCTTGTCACCCGGCTCTCTGTGTGAACCAACCCCCCTGCCAACCCATCCCACCCCCTCCCATTTTCCGCCCACTGTTCAACCTTCGTCTGGCTGACAAACGGCAACACTTTTGTAAAGTGTCACAATGTGTTGGACATGTTGGGGCAAAGGGGTTTTTTTTCTTTGTTTGCCAGGGGAAGGGAAGATCGAGGAGGAGGAGGTGAAGAGGGGAGGCAATGACTGAACTTAATGTGGCACATATTTCGGCTGTCGCAGCCAAGCGGATCCCTGCGTTTTGAGGCCCTTTTTTTATGGGTGGTCCTGCCACATTAAAAATTAAAACTCACACACAAAAAAAAAACACAATGCGAGGTCCTTTGGCTAATAAAAACAAAAGGGGGAAGGAGGAAAGATAATTGTTTCGGTTTGTTCTTGAACTCAACGGTCCGCAGATGCAGATGCTGGCCACGCGGCGTATGCGCAATATTTCTGAGTACCCTAAAGAGGCGAAAGCAATTTGCATAAAATACCGAGTATATGCTTTTTAATTCGTTACAGTCGTCAACCAGAAGTACGCGGTGCAGGTGCACGACGAGTACGTGATGACGGGCAACACGGCGGTGCTGAAGTGCCAGGTAAGCAATCCACTACTCCTCTACACTCCCCCCTTTTTCTCGCAGTGCACCACGACACATCCATCAGCGGGATTTGGCCTTTCCCGTTGGTCAGTGGAACCCGCAACACCGCAAAATTCACTTAGCCCACACAAATCGCATTTATTTCATCCCGTGCGAGAACGCCAACAAAACCGAATACGAATACGAAACCGAAACCGAAACCACAGCCACCGAAGAACCCTGGGAAAATGCTCATCAAATTTGCTTATCTGTAACACCGTTTATTACCGCAGGTGCCCAGCTACATGTCGGAATTCGTAATAGTCACCGCCTGGGTGCAGGACACCGGCATGCATCTCTATCCGAACACGGACATCGGCGGCAAGTACACGGTGCTATCGAACGGCGAATTGTACATAAATAATGCGGGGCCCAATGATGCGTACAAAAGCTACACATGCCGCACTGTAAATAGACTGACAGGTACGTGATAATCGCATTGCCAGCTTAATCGTCCAGCTGACCGATGCATGAGTTGCTCCGGATTCCGGATTCCGGAGCTCCGAAGCTCCGGACTTCGCCACTCCGGACTCTCCGTAGTTCGGAACTTGGCACTCCTCGGACCCCTCGACTCCGCCGGATCAGTCCGGCTTGTTGGTCCCGTGGCGAGGCAGCTATAATTAAGTTGAATAAATAACCAATGAAGAGCACTTTGTGCGGCGCGCTCTGCGTGCCCCGTTTGCCACGACAATTAAGCAGCTTTTTCTTATAGAAACACGCTGCATATTCATCACATTTAAGTCTCAAAAGCAAAGCCTCTTATGGTCGTGGGTTGTTTAAACTTTTGGTGCTTAAATACCAAAATAAACATTGTACCTTTCTTAGTTTCCCTGAAATAAACAAACATTTCTCTTAAATTTTAAAATGAAATGGAAATTATATACCAGTTGGTAGATAATTATTGAATTTTTGATCAAATCAGTTTAGCCAAGATGTTTTCCTTACTTGATTTTATTTAATTTTATTCTGATTTAATACAATGCTGAAGTATTACTTGTTCTTCTTTTATTTTCTACAATACTGCGAACAATTTTATTTAGAAAGTAAATACTGTTCGGAAACGATTTCTGACTGTTCTTCCTAAGTCCCGGCAAACAAGTAGTAGTTTGCCCTCCTTGGCCAAAGTCAATTTGTCGTTTTGTGCATAATTTATGATGCGTGACATTCAATCGTCAGGCAAAGGGCATTGAGCTCTTGGGAGTTTTCCTCCGAAATGGATTCTCCTTTTTGCGTACACATACATACAAGAATATATGTATATATATATCTGATTCTGGTTGTGTGTCGACAGTCAATACGTGAGATCCTTCCGAGATAAATTCTCTCCCTTATTTGAAGTTTATTGTGTGTGAAAATGCGCTTAAGCTGAATTTCTATTAGCCTTTGTGCGCATATTTCACATCATCAATCAATACGATAAAAGTTCACTCCTTTCAACCTTTTTCCCCCCTTTATTCTTTTCGATTTCGCTTTCAAACGAAATCTTTTCTTTATGCGAATCTGAGTGATTGTACGACTGTGAGTTTTGTTTGCCCGCTTTATTTACAGATGTGTTTGCATCTTGAAAGCCGAATTTATATGATGCTCCTGCATTACATTTTAGGAGCCATTTGTGGTCGTCAGCTCACCAGCTCGCCAGCTATTTGCTTAATTAATCAAATTGAATCGAGCCGCAAAAACCGCAGGTTGCGCTCGAGTTTTGGCCAAAAGCGAAAATTATGAGCTGCATATTAGTTGGCCAGGCAATGCGTGTGGGCTAAAACAATGCCAATTTCGGGGTAATACAACCCACTCCCTCTCTCGGTTTTTGGCAACCACTGAAACCAGCCCGAGTGGCACTCATTAAAAGTGTAATACGAGGATGAGGATGCTGTACGGTGGATGGCGGATGGTGGATAGTGGATGTCGGATGTATGTGGAGCGGTCATGAGTAATTCATTTATCAAGCACGGCGCACGCTGTATTAGGTCCTTGTACCTGGCCCACAAAATCCACATTGGGTAGTGGGTAGTGGGTTTTGGGACCGGCTCACGTAATTACAATTTAAACCAAAAATCCATTTATTTAGCACAATAACTCGACGGCCGGCACACACAATGAGCGGGCAAACAATGGGTATTGGGGCTTCCAAAATTCACGAGGAGCCAAACAATGGCCGCCATAATGAAGATGCAGAATTGAGTTAGGCTGCATAATACAGCAGCGATATCTCCGTTCTCCGAAGTTCGTTATAGATTCCCCTGCTGGCTGGCAAAGCATTGGAGGTTCAGCCTTGATTTAGGACCTGTGCGTGTCCTGTCTGCATCCGCATTAAAGCACCAGCCATCCTGCCATAAAAAATTTCTGAGGGAATATATTATATGTATAGAGAGCGAGTCAGGTGTTCGCGGCAATCAAGTTGATTGCTTTCATTTACTTTCAATTAATTAAAATATATGTAGGGATGAGAGGGAAAAGGACCGCAGGACATGCCATAAATTCGGGGCGCTTTAAATCTAAGTAAATGCCGCGGGGGCCTCTGTCAGCTGCCATCACTTGAGCAATTTTTTTCGCATATTTTCCAGCGCTTTTTCACCGCTTTTCTTTCGTTTTTTTTGTACTCTTCCCCAGGTGAAATACAAATTTCCACATATCCCGGCCGCATTATTGTAACAGAGCCCAAGGGCATGGTACAGCCGCGCATCAACGTGGAGAAGCATTCGATGCGGCATGTTGTCCTTAATGGCCAAACAACGTTGCCGTGCATAGCTCAAGGACATCCGGTGCCAACATATCGGTGAGTAAAACACAACAGCCCAACAACCACACGTCCACGTTGCGAGCGCTGCAAAAAAATCAACAAGAGCAGCGAACAGGCGAGCACTTGGAACACGTGGCCGTGTCACAGGACACGGGACACTGGGACACTGGGAGGCAGGATACTGAGACCCAGGACACACAGGACACATAGGACACACAGCTGCGGCTCACAGTGGGTTTCGGCGGTATCCAACCCGCAGCCGCAGTTGGCGCGCACTTTATGACAATGTGAAATATTTAACGCTCTCGGCAAATACAACAAAAAAAGCGGCGAAACGAACCGAAAAGCGAAAAAAATTTTGTGAGGCCCAGGATGTCAGAAAAAATCATAATAAAAATGTCAGCCAAATTGTCAAAATGTGGGGCGTTCGGCGGCGGGGGATTGCCCTTTGGGGAACTCCCACCCACTGGGGGTCGAATTCGAGGTTAGGTTGAATCCGGCAGAGCCTCTCTATGCGATTCTCAAGGGAGCGAGGGAGGTCAGCCTCCGTTTCGGAGGGATAATAAGGGATAAGCCCGTGATTAGACTGCTGGGTTGGACTAAATCAACAGGTCTTAGAGGTATTTACGGTCCATAAACCACAAAGTTTTTTATATATGAAAATCAAATTAATAATGAAAAGGAGAAAAAAGTAATAGAAAAAGAAGTAATTAAGAGTTGAAACAAAAAGGTTGCTTAGGGGCTTAGATAGTGATAATAACTACGTATAATATATTTTTTAAAGTGTAAATGAGCTGTACAAAATTAACTTACATATTGATAAAATTTTCCTTAAACTTAACTTTGCAGAAAATCGAGATCTTAAAGTCTTATCATTTTTAAAAAGCCATTCAATCCCCTCCACTTAAATTCTCGGATAACTTTATCGCATTCCTTGGCCACTGGTAACTTTTTGGCCTCCTTTTGGCGCCCAGGAATTTATGCTTAGGGCCATTTCGGAGTACGGTTAACAGCTGCCAACATCGAAAAGCGCCTACGTACATCAAAGTTGTTTATTGGACCACTTTCGGAGGCGTTTGTCTTGACGCGAGCTGGGGGATACGGGATGTCCTGTCCTGTCGGGGCCACAAATCAATCAAAAAGCCGAGCAGCGTTTATGACCGAAAACGGCAAATTGCTTTCCGAAATGTCGCTCAAGTTTTTAGCACTCCGAAGATAAGTCGATGGGAGGCGATATCCATCTATATACGAATATATACGTAACATATATCCGTGTATATTGGACACTTTGGCACTTGGCTCATCATGGCGATTTTCGGGCACTAAAACATGCATGAAGGCAGGATCCCATTCTTGTCCGAGCAGGATGCCATGTAATATGCCATTGTAGCTGGCAGGCCACGGTTCATGGCTTTGCTCCTCGTCCTCGTCGTCGTCCTTTGTCCTTCGAGCGAAGCTGCTGCTGCTGCTACTGCTTTCTGCTGCTTTTGCTGCTGCTGCTGCATGCATAAAAAATGCGCCCAGGATGTGCCACATCGCGAGTGCCTTTCATTTGATGTCTCCCGCTGTGCGGAAAGAGAAAGGAAACCCAAGGACCTCCGCCGAATCGGTGGAAGAATCGCGGGGGAGGCCCTGCCACTGGAACTGGCGATGAGTTTGTTTGCTGCCGTCGACTGCATTGTTTTTCCGCCAAGACCTGCAGGTCCTGGCTCATAAATGTGAAAATAGTTGGCCATGTTGTTGCTCAGTGCCTGGAACTCTCAGTGTTTTTCGGTGTGTTTTCTTTTTTGGTTTTTTTTTTTTTTTTTTTTTTTTTTTTTTTGGTTTTTTTTGTCCCGCTGGCTCGCATTTGAAATCCTTTCACATTGCATAGTTTCGGGCGAGTGACGCTTTTGTTTCGCCAACAATTCCTTTGTGCCTTCGTGTGTTTGTGCACTCCGCTCCTGGCTTCGATGGCATTCGGCCATATTGATGATGCACAGTTGTTGATAATCACTGGCCATATTTCCAATTTAACAGCATTTCATATGCAAATAGCTCGGAGTCCTCCTCCGTTTGGGAAAATCCCTCGCATCCCATTCCCTCGCATTCCCGGCATTTTCCATGATTTTAATTAAGAAATGCCATGCCAAGGGGCAATGGACATGCCTTTGCAGCGTCCTCGCAAGACGAGAAATGCACTCAAGTGCAATTAAAGCCGAATTAAAATCAATAACTTTATGGCAAAAAATCCAATTGCATCTGCGCCGCCTTGAAAATGTTTTCTGGGGGGGCGGGGCAGCCATCAAACAGATTATGACACGCGCACCAGATAAAAAGCGAAAAAAAACAAAATCTGTTGATTTACGCAATTGAGATATTTTCAACCTCCATATACCGCCAGTATTCGATTTCTTTTGGCTGAAAAACGCATGCAAAGAGATACTCGAAATACCCTGTATAAAACATTTTACCTGAAAATGTAATTAATATTGTTCTTAAATAATAAAACTCTTGTGGTGAACCAAAAATGAAACAGAGGCATCAACACTATTATAAAATGCTAACAAAACAAAAATATTTTCTGCAAAATCAGTGCAAAAGCACTGTAAAATGGCAGCTGAAATGGAAATTGTTAGTTTATTTTTAATCCACAATGTTTTCCCCAAAAATCTTTGTGGCAAAACAAATAAAGCAACCGATATGCCCGGTGTATTTTTGCAATCCGAACATAAATACCCGTTAAATAAGGCAATGCATATGCATATATGAATAAATCCCACACCACGCCCAACCGCCCACTTCCCCTCGTTATGCCCACTTAAGTGCAATCATTTTTACGAACTTTTGAAATATATTTCATCTGGCATGTGGACCTCGACCTGAACAACAAGCCAACAATCAAAGGCAATGTGCAGCTGGCAAAAAAAAAAAAAAAAACAGAAAAAAAGGAAAACTCGCGCTGTGAAATTATTGATAATTCAATCGTCATTTCAATTTGTTTAAAGCCCGCGTACGCCATTCGCATTCAACTGTCAAAATCTTGGATAAATAAAGCGGAAATGAATTTCGCGAATCCCGATTTCCGCCTTGTTTGTCTTTGCCTTTGGTCCTTTGTTTGGTCGGCATTTCATCTCCCTATCGTCCTTTTTTTTCTGTTTTCAGGTGGTTCAAGGAGGAGAACGAGCAACTGCTGCCGCTGCAGCTCAGCGAACGCATCACCATCGTATCCGCCGGGCTCCTCAAAATCACCAAGGTGCGTGGGTTACAGTGAAAAAAAATAATAGCAGACATTTGCAAGTACTAATCACCAATTGGAAATTTAAACAATTTGGAATTATTTAAAATAGTTAAGATATGAAAATAATAAATATTATAAGTCACCAACTTTGCAAACAATCATTTAAACTCATAAAATAAGTTATTAATTTTTTTTTTAGTAATAGATTCCTATTCAGAAACCAGCAATTCAATTATTTAATATGTTCGTTGAAGCACATTAAGCATTTCTTGATAATCTTCCTTTAAAAATCCGAACCTTTATACAATTTCAATATCCATTCCTCTTTGATATGCAAAAATGGTGAAATTTTTTCGTTGCACCCTTAAAGGGCGTAGTCAAAAAGGGGGGTGGGGATGTGGGATGGGGGTTTGAGGGGATAGGAAACCCTGCTGATTGCCAATTGATTTCGTCCATTGCAGGCACGTCTCGAGGATAGTGGAAAATATTTGTGCTGGGTGAACAATACGGCGGGCGAGGAGACCATCCAAGTGTCGCTAACGGTGACAGGTGAGTGTGTGGGTTTGCTTCTAGTGTGTGTGTGTGTGTATGTGTTCGTCTGCCGTGATGGCAGAGAAAAAGAAGAGAGAGAAAGAAAGAAGGGTACTCAAAACGTTCCTACCTTCCAACCATCCAACCATCCGCAAACACAGCTCCTTTGACGGCACACCTGCAGCCACAGGTGCAGACGGTGGACGTCGATAAGGATGCGCAATTCCAATGCATTGTCTCTGGCCATCCGGTCCACGATGTCAACTGGCTGCACGACGGCAAGCCCATCCTCAGGGACAACCGCGTCGAGGTGAGTAGCCATTTCACCCACCCATTCCATTTTATCGTCCATAATTTAATTGGCCATCTAAGAATGAGGCAAAGAGCTTATTGGTTGCATTTTACTATACGTTGATATTTATTTTCCTCTATTTTAAATTGTAAAATATTGTATTTAAGGGGAATTAAAAAGTTTTGTAAATTTTTTGAGTGGTTTAAGCATTATAAAAATATTATTAATAATATGTTTTGATTTTTAGTTAAATAATAAAGTAGTTAATGTATTTTTATCACGGTTTTTAAGCATCGCCAAAACTTTTTATATTTGTTCCCCAATGCTCGTATCGTTTAAGACCTGTTTAATTTAATTAAGGAAATTTATAATTGTTTCTATGAATCCCCCTATCAGATCCTCACCGATCCTCCTCGCCTGATCATCAAGAAGGTGCAGAAGGAGGACCCCGGCATGTACCAGTGCTTCGTGTCCAACGAGTGGGAGCAGATCCAGTCGACAGCCGAGCTGCAGTTGGGCGGTGAGTAATGACATTGCCCGCCCACTTTGGCTAATAAATTGGCCATCCATCGTTATGGCCATTAATAACCACTTATGACCGCCCATCCACACACACCCACAACCAAACGCACACATATAACAGCCCACTCCCATAACATTCCGTCTCAATCAAAAGCGTAATTTCCTCCTCGAAGCGAAGGCGAGTGACGACCGCAGACCGCACAAATAAATGTTTGTCATAATTGCATTTCATTATTTTCTAATTTAGCAAATTGCTAACATTTTTCAACAACAACAGAAACAACAAATCACAATGGGCCAACAACAATGGGAAGCTGGCCATAAAACGCAGCGACGACGACTTAATTTTATTACCAGCACTAAAAATCTAGCCACAGACACTAAACAGCGGGGCATGGTCTTTAAGGGCGGGCGGATTCTAGTTGGAAGGGGGGAAACAATGGTATCGCTTAGCTGCCTTAGGGCTACACACACCCCCACACACCCACATACCCATACCAACAAACAAACGAAACAGGAACAGGATGAATCAGTGCGCTTTGAGGGGTTTATGCGTGGCCCCAATACGATTAATTCTAATCCGGGATCATGAGCATTATGGCTGGAAGCAGATGTGAGCAGTTAAGTAGGAGAATTAAGTCAAGTAATATTTAAAAGAAAACCTTAATTTCCTCATTGTATTTGCTCAATAAAAACCTTTTGCGAATTAAAAAGCTTTATACCTATTAATAGATTTTTTAATAAAAGGAAGCAAAAAAGACTTTAGGTGCATATACCTGAATATTTATTGTTGATATTTCATTTATTACAATTTTAAAAACATTTCCTGATTCCACAAATTTATACTTTATTTTTCTTTTTCAATACTTTGATTCAATACATTGTACTTAAAATACTTTTAAATTCGCTTCAAAGTCCAGATAGAAAAACCCGCGCAAATCATAAATTTTTCAAATCAGCCGCACAATCTCCCATATTGGACACATCCTATTGGAAGGCTAATCGCCTTTACTGCCATTCGATCCGTGTTATCTCGTTATTCCAGCCCACATAAACATCTTGACAAACACATTCGCGCTTTGTCGCTTTGGCAACATTTTGTGATTTGCTTTTAGGCGCAAGCGGAAATTGATTTCGATATATTATTGGCATGCTTCGCACAATGAAGGCTGAGGGAGGAGGGGAGAAACAAGGGGGGAGGAAAATCAGGAAGAGGAAGTAGAATCCCACCCACCGCCTTCTTTTCTTTCGGTGTTAAAAGCCCAACCACCCACCACGCCCCCCAAACCACCGAGAAAAGCACCATTAAGCGGCCGGATATGGCAGCAATTGTGTCAACGCTGCAACTGTATATGTACCTCTGTGGTGTATCTATATATGTGTGTGTGTGTGTCTCTCTTGTGGGTGTGTGCGTGCTAGTGCAAATAAATATGGCAGCTTATAACTGGGATTGCCAGAGCCAAAAAATCCTGCCACTGCGCCAGAGGAAATTGATACAATTTCCATCAGCTGGATGGCATTTGCTCGCTTGTCAAATGCATTTTCCGTTTGCTTTGGCTCAACATAAGCAATTCGCAAGGCAGAGCAGCGAGTTCTGAGCAAATGCTTTGCCAAAGAGAAGTACAAATCCTATTTTGGCCAAAGAAATGTGTTCCAAAAGGATGCTGAATTCCCCCAACACAAATTTCATTAATGCTTCCCTGGTTGTCAAAAAAAGAAATTTTTTAACAGAAGCATTTTGTCATTTAAAAGTACTATGTTTTCTTTTTTTTCACTGCAAGCTATTGCTCATATTATCGAAAACTTTCAACGAATAAGAAATTTCTTCAGCACTGCATTGCAAATATTTATTTTTCCCCCTTTCGAAGTATTGGAGTTCCTTTGAAAGATGTTTTAATGAAGATTTCCACAGCCATTGAGATGCTACCCATTCATGTGCATAATTAAGAAGCAAGTCATCGAAGCAATCAACTTTCTGCAATCAAAAAAGTAAAGTTGAAGGCAGAGAAAAGACACAAGCCCACCACAGACAAAAACACATGTGCAGCACAGCCTTTTCAGGAGGCACTAATGAAACCCACACATACGGACATTTCCTTTCCACAGAGTCCTTTCCCCATTTGAGCAAAGTTTTGAGCTGACTCCCCCGTCCTTCCCATTAAACTCTCATTTCAGATGCCTCGCCGGAACTGCTTTATTGGTTCTCGGAGCAGACACTGCAGCCGGGACCCACGGTTTCATTGAAGTGCGTCGCCACCGGAAACCCACTGCCTCAATTTACATGGTCCCTGGACGGATTTCCGGTGAGTTGAGCCACCAAACTCCGGCTGAGCTTAAGACAGGAAATGCAGGCAGCACTTCCGTTTGCCGAAAGTTAAGCCGTCATTAGCAGCTCCGATTTAATGCCCAGATATTTGTCACAGAAAGAGGATGTTACCTCGAAAATAGACACACACATTTCAGAAACCGAATTCCCCTTTTGTCCAAACATCTGGCAAATAAAAAATAAATATAGAAAATCCCAACCAATCCGAGCTCTTGTGAGAACACTCGAGTCTGAATACTTGGGATGCCCATCTCTTGCCTTGCTTTTTCCTGCTTTCAGCTCCACTTGAATTTTTTCGTTTCAAGAATTTCGGTTCTATTGCCTTTTTTGCCTGTCCATATTTTCAAGGATTTGTTTCGTTTATTTGCATAAATTTTCGTTTTCCTTCTTTGAGTCCCACTCGAACTTTCCACTGCAAATTTTATGCAATTTCAATCAATTTGATTTACATGAATTTTTCATTTGAACCCGACTCTCTCTCTGTGATTTCCCCAAATCTCCGAGCAACTGAACCACTGAGCCGCTGAGAAGGGCTCTGCTATTTGGCGCACTTCGATAACGAATTTCCCCACTTCAGATACCAGACAGCTCGCGCTTTTTAGTGGGTCAATATGTTACCATCCACGACGATGTCATCAGCCACGTGAATATATCAAACGTCAAGGAGGAGGACGGCGGGGAGTACACCTGCACGGCCCAGAATGCAATTGGCAAGTGAGTAGCCGCAGTTCCATAAATAAAACACACTCGCCGCGCCGAGCACTTTCCCATAAGGGTAACCGTTCGCCTGAATGGCTGGGTTATGTTGGATGGGCTCTGAAAAGGGGCATAGAAAGCATTTCCATGCTAAATCATAAATTTAGTTGTATGTTAGCTGGAAAAAAATCAGAAGACTGCAGGCAGAAAAAAAAGAAACCGACACAATGGGCAGGCATTGTTTGCAGCCAGGGGAGCGGCATAAATCCAAACAATTTGCTGAGCCAGCCAAGGCAACTCCCATCTAGAGATGGAATAGCTGTCCAGAATCAAGCACGAGGAATCTAAAAAATAATATATATATTTAAAAAGGAATATGCAAACTAAAAGAAAAGATATTTCAAATTCAGGACTTTTGTAGTTTGCAGCTTTATTAAACATTTGTTTACTTAAAGCTTGTATAATGATAGCTAGTTAAAATATAATCTGTAAAAATAAAATAAAGAAGTTTAATGAATAAATAAAATAGATTTCTTAGTTAAGTTTTGAATAATTGTCCGATAAATTGTTTAACTGGTGTTCATTGGGATAAAGCTCCTAATTCCACAATTAAAGGGTGTTTAATTAGATACCACACTGATTAAGAAAAGCACTTTAAAAATACAAATATAATATATATAGTATATAGTTTCCTCCCTTTCACGATCCCATCTCCATTGCTAAACGTCTGCCAATGTTTTATTTCCAGAGTATCGCACAGCGCCAAAGTGAACATCTATGGATTGCCTTACATACGCGAAATGCCAAAAATAACAGGAATTTCTGGCTCTGATTTGATTGTTAAATGTCCCGTGGCTGGTTACCCCATCGATAAAATTCACTGGGAGCGAGGTGAGCCGTACATAAATATATCTTTCCGTCCGTCCATCCGTCCATTCGAAACATTCGGATATGCGGATATGCGGATGCGCTGCTATGTGTGCCATATATATAGTATTTGATTTCTTTTTGGTCAGTTTGATATTTCGCTTTATGCTTATTTGCCTTTTGGCCAGTTGTTTGTTATTAAAAATGGTATGTTTGTTATTGCGCATATCAGTGAAAATTATTAAAACTACAAAATGAACGTTATTTTTTTGTGAAACTGTTTTCATATGGTTTGGAGCGAAAAATAAATTTAAGCTCGAATTCGCGATGCTTTTTTTCCTATTAATAATTATCTTTGCGCGCTTGCATGTGAGCGTGTCAACATGCATTCGTGTTTATCATGGGGGATATTGCCAAAAAGATATACCAAAGTCGAAAATATATGAGTCGAGGCCCGGAGAAAGAAACGCACTTGCGAGTTCTTGTTTGAATATTTAAATTTGTGCAATAAAATATGAAGATGCAGCTAAATACGCATAAATATTTAAAAAAGTCAAATAAAAGGATTTTAAATTGTTTCATAGATAAGAATTTGAAGAATGTGTTTCCCGCAACTGCATCAATAAATCCACCTTTGTTTTTCTTATTTCTTGATCAAAAAGGATATGAAAGTATCTCACTTTTTCACTGTATGCAAATAAATTAAGCTAGCCAAAAAAAAGGAGAGACACCAAATGCTATATGGCCAGACATAAATCGCATAACTTTGTTTTATGGTAGCAGCCAAATTAATTGCCAACCCGTTTCCGCTTTCTCCCATTTCTTTCGCTGCTTTTTTCCTTGGGATGGTTGAAATAAATAAAAAAACAATAACAAAGATGGGCAAACGCTGCCCATAAATCGGAGGCAGCGTGCCTACAACAATGGCACCTTAATTATCGAGCAACTGCAGCGCCTCGAGGACGCGGGCACCTACACGTGCATGGCCCAAAACAAACAGAAGCAAACGTCGCGGCGCAACGTGGAGATCCAAGTGCTGGGTAAGTGTGTTTGCCAATATTTAAAGTTAGAAGTAGAAGCAGAAGCTGCTGCAAAAAAAGGCAACTGCTGCTGCTGCCACTGCAGTTGCAGCTGCAACAATGAAACTATTCCAATTAGAGTGGCGAGCGAAACTATGCAGCCGCAACAGCAACGGCAACAGCAACTATTTTCCCAGTTAATGCACATGCAGGCAGCGCTGGGTGCTGGGTGGTTTATGGGTGGTTTGTGGGTGGTCAGTGGGTGGGCGAGTGGGTGGGTCTAGTGGGCCCGGCAGACCCACAATGAAGTCATTGACTTTTGTGTTCTGTCTGCGGCAACTCCTCGCCTCCTCGTCATCCGCCTTCATTTCCCCGCCTCCTCCTCCTCCGCCTCGTTCACTCTTTATAATAATTCACTCGGCAGCTGTTGCTAAGCCGCAGTTGCATTGATGCGAGTGCCACGCCCACAATTGCCACTACCACTATTACCACCCATCCTTGATTATCGGGCTCAGTGGGTTTGTGCTCAAGCCAAATGCCATGGCAATTGTTAGCCGGTTTTGCGACACTCCACTCCACTCGTCGCCTCGCCCGCGAAATGTTTTTGGTTTACGGTCGGCGTTTTATGCTTTATGTTTGATGCTTTATGGCTTCCTTCCTGCCTTTCGATTACAGTGCCTCCGAAAATAATGCCCATCCAGGCCATGACGAACATGCTGCGCGAGGGGATGCGAGCGGCCATCTCCTGCCAGATCCTCGAGGGCGACCTGCCCGTCAGTTTTCGGTGGGAGCGCAACGGGAAACCGCTGATCGGCACTGGGTTAGTAATAAAGTTAATATTTAAATATTAATTAAATTTAAATAATGTTTAAAAATTATACTTCATTTTTTATTGGCTGTTTATATATTACTTTTTAATTGCTAACACAAAGTTGTTACACAACTACATATATGTTAATCAGTCAAAGATTTTTTGGCACCTTATTTAGTAATTAACTATGATTGGTCACTGAACATAAACTCTTTAAAAAATCGTAAGAAGAGTTTTATCAGACTTGTTAAACCTTGTTCATTGTTCTGTAATGCTCTCTATAAATTGTAAATCTGATTAAAAAATAGTTGAAATATCTTTTTAAACACCATCCAAACTACTTTAAATTCTTTCCGACAGCAACGAGGTTTTCCGTCGCCTGGACGAATACTCGGCGAGTCTGGTCATCGAGCACATATCCTCCGATCACTCCGGAAACTATACCTGCATTGCCAGCAATGTGGCTGGCACCGAAAGGTTTACAGTGCCGCTCACCGTAAATGTACCTCCGAAGTGGATCCTGGAGCCCAAGGACTCGAGTGCCCAGGCGGGGGCGGATGTCCTCCTGCACTGCCAGTCGTCGGGCTATCCCACACCGACCATCACCTGGAAGAAGGCCATTGGACCCACGCCCGGCGAGTACAAGGACTTTCTGTACGAACCCACCGTCCAGCTCTTCCCCAACGGAACCATTTTCTTCAAGAAGATAAGCAAGGAGTCGCAAGGACACTTCCTGTGCGAGGCCAAGAACAGCATTGGTTCCGGTGTGAGCAAGGTCATCTTCCTGAAAGTTAATGGTGAGTCTGTCCTTGGGAAAATATTAAAAAAGTTAAGTTAATTTCAGATTTAAATAACATTTACATTTTATATAAAAGCAAACTGTGAAAGGTTTTTAAGTTAAGCATACAAATATGTATAACAAACCATAATTTTAATTTTTTTCAAGCTTAAAATAGTTACTCCATAAGTGACATATCTACTTTAACGTGCCACGCCTCTTTTTTTCCCCTACAGTGCCCGCTCACTTCCAAACGAAGACGAAACAGATTTCGGTGGCCAAGGGAAAGCAAGTCCATGTGCAGTGCAACGTGCAGGGCGACAATCCCATCGACTTCAAATGGAAAATCCAGGCATCGCAACAGTATCTCGACGAATCGCTGGATTCCCGGTAAGAGTTTCCACCCTCCCATCCCCCCACCCCCCTCCCACTTTTGGAGTCCTTTTCCCAACCCTTGGATGTCTGCGTGTCTGGCGAAATCAATTCCAAGTCGATTGCAAACAACAAATTGCTTTTAATTAAAGGAGTTCTTCTGGCAGGGCTTCGATTTCGGTTTGGGTGCAGCTTCTGGTCGAGGGCATCGATACCCGTAGTTGGCCAAGGCCTAACTCAATTTTCACCATGCAATGAGTTCTCTGGCTGTCCCTCTGTTTCTGCCTCATATTTTTGCCATGAGAATTCCCATATTCCAGACACTAACCAAGGGCTTTCTGCTGCTTTCTGTGTTTGCCAAGCACTTGGCAAAAATTCGATTTAAATTTGATTTAAAAAGGAGAGTATTATTGCCAACAAAACTAAGAACTAAATAAAAGAATAGCTTGCAATGAAATAAATTATTTTTAAAAACAAATAAAGTTTCTAAGAGAAAATCTAAAACAGAAAATAGGTCATAGCATTTTGTCAAAGTTCTACTTCTGTTTAAATCTAATCCAACTCGTGAGTTGATAACTATTTTTTCTCCAAGTATCCTTGCTCGAAGAACTCTACGCAGACCATCCAATAAGGCAGGGAAAACTTGGGCCATCAGTTTGCCATTTAGAAATGCCATTTCCCCAGTCTTATATTTAGTTGAGCTGCTCCCGAGAACTGTTCCATTTTAATGCCCACTTGTGTCCTTGTGTACTTCTGTACTTGTGTACTTGTGCGTTTTTATTTGTGTATCGTAAGTGTTTTAATGTATATGTATTTCCGGCTTTCTCTTTTCTTCCGGCCCACACCACCACCAACACCACTACAACTACAACTACAACAACCCCCTCACTACCACTTTCGCCACCCACCTGCCTTTGGCTTGGCAAACAACTGAATATGCACATGCGTTTTATTTATTTATGCCATTTGCACACGCACACAAATGCCACGTGCGTTCGTGTTCGGCTGTGCTGCGTCTGTGTGTGTATGTGTGTGTTCATTTCGGACTCGTACGTCTTCGTCTTTGTCAACAAAACTACAACTGCCACACCAACGCAACAACAACAATTACAACAACAACAACAACAACGATAAAAACCAATGCTGCAACGTGGAAAACATTGTTATAAAATTGCATTGCATCGCTCACGTTGCGCAAACACGTATCCACATCCACGTATCCGTATCTGCATCTCCATCTGCATCTGTATCTGTACCTGCACCTGTATCTGTATCTGTACCTGCGTGTGTGTGTGTGTCTTTTAAATGCATTTACTTGCATATAAATCACACGACACTCACACACATATAGTTACACAATAAGAGATCAAGTGCTCGACGACGGAATGGTCTCCGAATTGGGCATTTCGCACACATATCGCCAGGATACGGGCATTTATATCTGTCAGGCGAGCAATGCATTCGGACAGGTAAGTTGCAAGGCTGACACTTTTGTGTGGCACACGACGCCGTGATATTATTATGTATCGGGCTGACTTAAATCAAACTGTCGTCCCACTAATGGAATTGGGCCGAGCTCTAGTTCGTGTCGATCGGCAGCTGCTTACGTAGTCACTATATCAGAGTGATAAATCACTAGAATGTACATGAAAAAAAAAAACATTTCAATATTTATTATTTATAACCTTAAGCGGACATTTATTAAACAGAAGTAAGGTATAACCAAAATATTTAACCCACTTAAATAGTCCCAAAAAAGTATGCTATAAAAAACAAGAAATTCAACATATGTATTTTAATTTGTAAATCATATTTATTTAAGCTTTATATATTTTGATTAAAAATGTTTAAACCGCTTCTTATAAATATTTTAATATTGGAATTTTATTTTAACTTTAGAAATTTTTTCAATATTGATTTCAATTAGTTTTACTTTTATTCATCAAATATAAGGAAGGCTTAGTTCGTAGTGCATTTTATTTTGGGTGTACAAATTAAATAAGTTCGTATGCCAATCGTCAGTGCACACAACTCACACACTGTCAGAAAACTTTTGCTCCAACCCCTGTCTGCCAGTCTTCCTGTCTGTCCTGTCTGCCTGTCTGCAAGTTGGTCCGAAATCCCGCTCCTTGGTTATCAGCAACTGCTGTTAACCCTAATTTATGGCAATTTGAACGAGACTCGAACTGCAGCTGCAGCTGGCTGCCTGGCAGGACTTTCACTGGGCGCAAATGAACTCTTAATGCGCCAACTCGGCCCAAGTCCGTGCCCATTATCGTAATTATGATCATCATCGTCGGCATAGCCAGGCGGAACTGACACAAGCCCGTTCCATTTTTGGCAGGACGAGATGTCCATCCAGCTCATCGTGCAGGAGGTGCCCGAGCAGCCGAAGAACCTGCGTATCAACTCGCAGCAGTCGCGCAGCCTTCAACTCACCTGGAGTCAACCTTTCGCCGGAAATAGTCCAATTGAGGAGTATCACATTTACTACAAACAGATATCAGGTGAGAAAAAAAGGGGTTAAAATGATTCATATTAAGAGCAATAAGATTTTAAGAGTAGTATAATAGTTCCCTTTAAATTTTCAGTAATAGGGGGTTTTAATAAACAAATAATAAAATTGAACACAAAAATGTTTCTGGAAAATAAACCCACATTACGTATACGCCTAGGTAAACAAATTCAGCAAGTGTTATTTTTTTAAAAAGCATTCCGCAGCATAGTTAAAAATTTAAAAAAAAAGTACAACATGAAGGGTCTTTATAACTTTACTAATAGGATAATATGTTTTTACAAAAACATTTTGTTTAATTAATACAACTTTTAAATGAAATATCTGTTCTTGATACTTGACAACCGCTGTTCTCTGACCATTTCAATAAAATAAAAATCATATATTAGTATGTTCCACCAGCCTTTGTTCAGCATAATAAAAAAGAGTAATCAGACTACTTTTCGCCGACAGACATTTGGCAGAACGCGGAGCACTTGACCATAGCCGGAGCCCAGACGGTGATCAACATCCAGCAGCTGCGTCCGGCGAAGGCCTACCACATCCGGATGTCGGCGGAGAACAAGCTGGGCGCCTCCGAGTTCTCCGAGGTGGTGCAGGTGACCACGCTGGAGGAGGTGCCCTCGGGTCCGCCACTGGCCGTGCGCGCGGAGCCCAAGAGCTCCACGGAGATCTTCGTGACGTGGGATGCCCCGGAGCGGGATCACTGGAACGGCATCCTGCTCGGCTACTACGTGGGCTACCAGATGTCCCTCACGCCCGAGGACAAGGAGGTGAACCCCACGCAGGGCTTCAGCTTCAAGACCGTCGAGGTGCGGTCCCACTTCGGCGGCGAGACGGTGCTGGCCAACCTCAACAAGTTCACCCAGTACCACGTGATTGTCCAGGCGTACACCAGCCAGGGCAGCGGACCGCCGAGCAAGGAGATTGCCGTGCAAACAATGGAGGATGGTGAGTGTCCTTCTGTAGAGATGGTGGGTTATTGGTCGGTAAGGAAGGGTAGAGATGGTGGGTAGATGATGGGTAGATGGTGGGTAAATAGTGGGTAGATGGGTAGATGGGAAGATGGGTAAAAGGTAATGGAAGGAGGCCCTGGGACACCTGGCCACCTGGCTCACATTGATTGGATTTGTTAATTGCCCGTACACGAAATCTGGCCAGCACCACGGCGAGTGGCTGTCCTGCAGTCTGACTTTCAGATGGAGTCTGTGTATGCACTGAGAAAAAATCTATTCAAGGCATTGCAATTAATAAATTAAAATGTTAAAAAAAAAGTATGACATTTAATACTGCACTTTATAAAACATTGTTTATCTGTAAGCTCTAATAATAGGATTTATTAATAGATTGATAGGTTTTCTATTACCTATAACTAAAGTAGAACTTCCATAAAAGTGTAATAGTTTTCAGTGCGATAGAAACGTTTAACAAACTCATTCCCCTTCTCATTTTGCTCCTCCTCGGCAGTTCCCTCATCTCCGCCAGAGTCGCCGCAGTGCGATGTCCTAGGCTCCACATCGATTTATATCACCTGGTCGCCGCCGGACATTGATGGCCAAAATGGAAAAATCAAGGGCTACAAAGTGTTTTACATATCGGTGGACGAGCTTTACGGTGAGTCCTTTATCCCTTCGATACTTTTACCAAAAGGGTTTCATTTAATGCTCCGACGCAACGGAAGTATTTAACGAGGAACTACTGCAACAATACATTAAAAGCCTATTAAAAATATCATCTGCTTAAGATTTAAAATTCGAGTGTACTTATAGTATTAAAAGGTTTAAAGAAAAAGTAAGTTTGCCAACCATTTGTTAGTTGTGCAATTCAACAAGTCATTACTCGGAATCCGCGGTCCCATTCAATTACTGCCGTTTCATTGGGATTCTGTTGCATTTATGCAACACCATTGGCGATGGCCAATTACCCCGGTGGAATGTGTCCAGAATGCCGCCAACCGAAGCGACCGAACGGTTGGCCAACTTATTTTTCGAAATTTATGGCACTCGGCAATTAATTAGCCCACTTCATGGTCCTCATATTTCCAATCAGTGCTAATTGTTCTCGTCTCTCCACTCGTTCCATTCTTTCCGGCATTTCCTGCTACTGCTGCTCCTCCGGCTGCTCCTGCTGGTGCACTGCCTCGGTTACACGTGCTCAGAAACCGATCCGGAGGTTGTCAAGTCAACAAATCAATACGTCACCATCGAGAATCTGCGCAAATACACCAACTACACGGTCTGGGTTTTGGCTTACACCAAAGTAGGCGATGGCATGAAAACCAAACCGTTTTATTGCCGCACCCACGAGGATGGTAAGTGGCGTTCGGTTCAATGAACGCAAACGAGGTGCGGCACAACCCAATCCCATCCAGTCATCAGACCATGCACCACCCTATCCCCTATCCCCACTCCCCAATCCACAGCCCCAATCCTCGCCAGCCACCTCGATTCGTCGTTGTCGTTGCCGCGCTGGCAATTTCCATGCAGCTCCCGTTCACACACCCATCTGCTGATATATACATTTATTCATATACTGCTCATATATACATACTCTATACATATACTCATATATTTGTATGCACGCTCATTTATTTGTGCAATCGCAATCGTGGAATGCAGTGCCCTCCGCCCCGCAGGCCATCAAGGCGATACCCGCCTCGAGCTCCAAAATCATTATATCCTGGCTGCCGCCCGATCTGCCCAACGGTGACATTGTAAGTCTTCTTTTGTTTCCTCACGGGGGTTTATTTTGGGTTTGGTTTGGTCAGGGCAGGCCGGTCAAGGTCAGCCCTATTAGATCAATATTCAAACCTACTTACTGATAATGCACTAACGTTCATATTAAGAAATTTACATTCAGAAGTATTAATTTGCTTTGGAATAGCCTTGTTACCAAATGGTATTGTTGTCGGTTGTCAGATAACTAAAATTATTTTTCCTGTAATGTATTTTATACAGATAATGCAGTAAAGTTCACACCAAGAAATGCATTGTGTCAATATAACCAAAAAAAAAAGATTCAGAAGTAATGATTTGCTTCTAAAATAGTTTACCATTTGGTATCTTGGTAATTTGTCAGATAAAATTATTTCAAAGTAAAGTTTTTAAATATTTTTATGCTTTGGTATTAGGGTTTAACTACTAAAAACTTTTTCATCATCAACTGCTATTTTAATGAATATAAACCATAAAGTTACCGTTTACACTGCAAGCTTAATGAGAATGATAAATGAATTGATAACTAAGGGCTTATTGAACATCGATTTGCCTTTAAAAAGCAGACTACAAGGAATTCGCTTTCCTAAAATAATTCCTTACAAGTGATTAAAAACAATCTTTGAATATTTTGTAAATGTTGTCATACAAAATAATTGATTTAACCATTCCCCTTTCCAACTCGCCACCCCATTCCAATTTCTCCCCAAGACGGGATACACCTTCTACATGTCCATGCTGGAGGGGGGACGCGAGGAGGGCACCCACAAGCGGCTGCTGGGTCCCTTCGTGGAGATGCACGAGACGGTGCGCACCCAGGAGTCGGCCACGTACCAGTTCTGGCTGACCGCCTCCACCAAGATGGGCGAGGGCGAGAAGACGCAGGTGGTGACGGTGCCGCCGAACAACAAGGTGCCCGCCCGGATCGTCTCCTTCAGCCAGCGCATAGTGACGCCCTGGAAGGAGCACCTGGAGCTGCCCTGCCGGAAGGTGGGTGCACCGGCACCGGTGACCATCTGGCGGCAGGACGGGCACAACATGGAGACGAGTGCCCGCAAGACGATCGCCAAGAACGGAACGCTGTACATGAAGGAGTGCCAGGCGAGCGACGCCGGCAACTACACCTGCAGCGTGGAGAACACCTGGGGCAAGGACGAGATCGTGTACAACATCGTGGTGAAGGTGCCGCCGGAGGCGCCCAATCTCACCGTGATCAACGCCTACACGGACAGCCTGCTCCTCGAGTGGATGGACAACAGCCATGGCGGCAGTCCCATCTTGGGTTATGTGATCAACTACAAGCGGGACAACGGCGACTGGGAGGAGCTGCAGGTGGACTCCAAGACCACCTCGCATCTGCTGACCAACCTGTGGTGCGGCACTCGCTACCAGCTGTACATAACCGCCTACAACAAGATCGGAACGGGTCTGCCCTGCGACATAGTCAACTCCTACACGAAGGGCAATCCTCCCGTGCAACCGAAGCACTCCCAGATGATCACGAACAACTCGACGAGCGTCACCTGCTGGCTGGATTCCTGGGGAGACGGCGGCTGCGGCATCCTCTACTTCATGATCGAGTCGAGGGTCTACGGTAGGTCCTCCTGGCTGGTGGTCTCCAATCACATCCCGCCGACGGAGAGGATCTACACGGTCAGCGATCTGATGCCCGGCACCAAGTACCAACTCAAAGTCACTGCCCACAACAACGCCGGCTCCACAACGGCCATCTACAACTTCACCACGCTCTCCACACAAGGAGGTGGGTCCATCCCACTTTTTTCTCTTTAATATATATTAATAATGGGTTATATTATTATTCAGTTATGTACAACAACGACCACTCCACTCCGGTTTCCCACCTCAGTGATCTGCCGTTCTACGCCAACTTCAAGCTGCTGCTGCCCATCTGCATTTCCCTCCTGATGCTGCTGGCCCTCATTGGAGCCGCTCTTTTTCTCAGAAAGCGAAGTGAGTTTAAGGCTTATTTATCATAATTGCAGTTTAACACAAATAAGAAACCTCAACTTGAACTTGGGGGTTTTCAAAGTACCCCATAAAGTACCACATAAATTGCAGAGAATTTTATGCGTTTCTATTCTCTGCAATTTTCTGCAATTTTATTCTCTGCAATTTTATATAGAAACGAATAAAATTCTCTGCAATTTGTGTGGCTTAGCTCGCTTTTAATTAGGTTCAAAAGATAAATATTTTAATTCCTATGCAATCCGATCTAGAGTAAGGCTATGGATACCCCTTTTTATTTATTTCTTCATGACATAAATTTCAAATATATTTTGAAAAGAAAACGTTAGGAAAATATTTTAAATAACCTTTTGAATGATAGGTTTTCAATTTCTAATTTCTTTATTTATTATTTTATTTTATTATTTTATTGTAATTGTAAGTTATTAAACTAAACTAAACTAAATAAGAATTTCCAGAGCTGAGCAACCAGGCCCGTTTGGCCAGTTCCTCGATGTCGGAGTCGCCGTCGCTGGCCAACCTGCAGAACAAACAGAACCGCGATCAGCAGTATTTGGCCGTGCGCTGCAATCCCGGAACTTCCGCTCCCCGGGGCTCCAACTCCAATGATTCCGGGAGTTTCGGGAAGGCAGAGGGCAACGAGTACATCGAGGACATCTGCCCCTATGCCACCTTTCAACTGAACAAGCAGACCTACAGCGAGAGCTCCTACAGCGGAAATGTATACAGTGGTCCCTACCACTCGGTGCGCGGATCCTTTGTCTATCACGATGTCAAGCCGGAGAGCTACCACGTGAGTACAGTAAAAATCGCCTAAAAATATATTTTTAGAAAAATATCATTTCTGTTTTTAATAAGAAAAGGTTATACGTTTATTGCACACTTAAAGCTATGTTTGATTTTTAGATATCATTTAGCTATTTCTGATTGCTTGAAATGAATATATTTAAACCCATTTAAATCTGCTTGCAGTCCAAGGAGCCTGAGTACACTAAAGTGCGACGAAAAGTGGGTCGTCTTAGGGATCCTCATTCAGAGAGCCAAGGTAGCTATATCTCTTGATTCATGATCACTTCCCCTGCCAATTGTACTATTCCCACTCCTTCCCCAAATCCAATGATCCCAGCTAGCTGTAAGCCAAATTGAATCATCGTTTGTCACAGTCGTCACATCCAAAGTCCCACCTGTCCAACGATCCTCTGAACCCTTGGTTTAACCCATCTTTTCTCATTGCTCTCAACGTTTTTCTCCATTCACATTCGTCCATCATCTCGATAAAAAAAAAACCAACAAACAACGTACAAATCCATCGAATCGTACTAAACTTTTTAGAATCGGACAATCCAGGTTCAACAGATTCCGAAGTTAGGAAAATCCTAACGCTTCACATCCCAATTACAGAATATGACACACTCGGCTCCGAGTCCGACAATGATGTGTCTGCACGCGCTCTAAACTCGGCCAAGTATCGTGCACAACGTGGTAAGTGGTCCCACTTTGACTTAAAATAATATAAACTTATTAAATATACCTATATAACCATGTATAAATATTTAAAATTGGTCACTGGTTTTCCAGTTATTTCCAATTCAAATTACAATTCAGCATAGAAAAATTTATTTATTTAGTTTTTTTTTAGTTATTTTAAATTACAAAATAAATTACTTGAATTATATTCAAAGATATAAACATTAAAAAATAATATTTTAAGGGATAAAATATCCAAAATTGGATTAACTGATCGAATCGCTAAGCTCATAATTAATTAATTGCTTATAGATACCCAGGATGAGACTTCGTCCTCCTCGGAGACCACGCCCACTAGCATGACCCGGAAGTCGAAGCCGCCGTTTGCCGCCCGGAAGTCGGGAAAGCCGGGAACGAGCGGCAAGCGACACGTTCGAAGTTCCAGTGGCTATTCGAGCCACAACGAAGAAACTACTTTTAGGTAAGTGTGCGCGATGCTCTCATGCCCAGTTCCAAATGCCGCTACTTACGTAATCAGAACCCTGTACGTTTAGCATATCCAACTATCCACCAAACTATCAGGACCACATAAATCCACCAGCTCGTTTTTCGGATGCCAACGACAAGACGAAGACCCAGACGTCGCCACGAATGCGTGCCAATCAGAAACTACACCGGGAGGCTTTCCAAATAAATGTCTAGGCCCCTCCCAGGAAGGGAGTTAATTTTAAACGTAATCTTAAACTGAATGTATAAACGGGAATCGCGTGAAACGAAGCTGTACAATTTGTTGTAAATCCACCCAGAAGAACGATATAAAGAAATCGAAACGAAATCCAGCTAACTAACTCGAAAACAATAGCTAAGTCGGCGAATCTACGAAGCATTTCAACTATTTACAACAGAACAGAAAACGGTCAGGAAGCGAATTAATGAAAAATAAGAAAAAAATACGAAGGAATCGAATATTACAAACTTTTGAGAGATCTTTGATTTTCAACGAACATCGGTTTTTGCAAACGAACGGAAACAGCACGCGAAATAAACCATAAGACTTATTTACACACTGATTATGCTTAGTTGAACTTAAAAAGCTGCGTAAGTGTAATGAACATAAACTTAAAATAAGTTGAGGCCGACGAGTGGACGGGAAATTAATAATTAATTAATGTTATAGATCCTAAATTAAGCATTTAATGTATGATAAACCGAACTGCGGCAGGCCGCAGATGTGAAATGTCGGGCAAGAGCAGATAACGAATAGTATTATACTATATGCGCATAACAATACTATAAACGGATAAAAAGACGGCCTTTGTGCTAAGCGATAATTAAAGAAGAATTACCGAAATTCTTTGCATTTCTAGTAAATTATGAACGTTTCGTTCCGTTGATCCGCATTGTTTGTTTCCATTGATCCAGTTTTGCATCAGTTTGTAAGTGTTTGCGACAAGAAGAATACTTGACAACAACTGTTAGCTAGTTACTTAAATGAATTAAATTAATTTACGGGGATACAGTAACACGAATGCATTCAGATAGTTTATGAAACTGTTGTACATAGCTAAGCGTCATACAATTACTTCTAAAATCGTATTATACAGCAAAACCGAAAACCGAATACCAGGAGCATAAGAGCGTATTAAATGTTAGTGGAAGATATTATCGAAAGCCAAACCAGCATGCATTTCCATAAGCCGAAACTAAGCGACCGCTCAAAACTAGACAACTACTGACCCAAAACAGAACATACAAACATATATAGCCGAATATTTGCCAAATAGCATACACACACCCGACACACAGACACTGCTCCTGTACCATATAGACATACGTATGTATTTATAACTCTATTTTACAATAGCTACAACGACAAACAACCAAGCAACCAATTACATGACAATATGACACAAGTACATACATATAAAAGCATTAACTACAAAACCAAAGATTGTAAACGTAACTCCAGTCGTGGATGATAAACTTATAAAGTTGAAGTTGAAAGAATTAATTAGAATCGAGAACACATTTGGCAAGGCAACTCTTCAGACTGCACAACAAAAGCAAATTGTAGGCATTTAAAATTCTCGAACTGCAGTACTTGGTTGTAAAATTGAATAAAGGTGTTTTGGCATATTGCGATTAAGAGAAAAAAACTACATAAACAAGTTGTAAAATTACACACGAAAATTCTTCTAAAACAGCACTGTTTATGTAAATTGAAAATAGTTCGCAGAAACAATGAAAACTTCAAATACATGACATGACATATGATAAAACCAAGCAAAGATCGTTTTATTATTGGGAGATAACAGAGTAAGTCGCATTTATTTACAGTTGAGTTAAACAGTTGTTGCTGGCGGGAATAGGGGAATATATATACTCGACTCATACGTATGCGGATATATAATATAGATTCACACCGAAAGGAAAGCTTCCTTAAAACTAAGCACTCTTCACATCTTGCAATTGTTGCATTTAAAGCATTCTCATAAGGATATACATTACAGATAGAACATTTCGGAACTAAGATCTATACAATGATTGTGTTTCACTTACACATAACTTAGGCTATATAGGTTACATTATATCTTAGTTGCTTTTTTCGGATACAAAAGGGAATTCTAACATTTCGCTTACAGAACACACTCGTACAAAAGGGCAAAAGTTGTAAAACTCAACGTTACGGTGTATAAAAACGAAGTAAGGAGTAGCAAAATGGTTTCCAGAAGTTAGTCGAGGCCGCCAACTGAAGGCTTCTTAAGGATTAGGTCCAAGCCAAATACGTGAGACGTCTCAGCTTTGATTAGTTTTGATTGCTTTGTTGCTTATGGCAAATATCAGAACATGATGGGCTTGTCCTTGCACTGGTCTATTACGTATCCCGTGAAGCGTTTCAGAAACTTGGGATACTCCCGCTTGTAGACGGCCCTTAGAGCACTCGCTGGCGCCCAGCCTCCGGGGTTAACTGGAAATAAAAACCAGTACATTACGCTAAATTCAATGAGTCGATGGACAGCAACACTCACCCACAGAGCAGTAGGTTATTTTGCAGGTCAGATCGCTACGATTCAAGGGCTGGCCCTTCACATAACCCTCGGGCAGATGGGTTTGGCAGGCCAGGATTACGGTCAGGAAGATCCGCACGCACTTCCCGTTCTTGGACTCCTGTTTGGCGTACTCCGTCGAGTTGTTGCACACCACCCACATGTCCCGCGCGCCCGGTTCCAGGTTGTCGGTGATCTTGCGCATGTGCGACCAGAACTGCGCATCCCGCTGACTCGCCGGCCAGATCCGCTTGTGGGTTTGCAGAAAGAGCAGGGTATCGGCTGAGATTTTCTCCAGTATTGTGCAGTCCTCCAGGGTGGCTGTGCAATACAATTAAACAAAGGTTAAGTCAAGGTGCAGCATTTCAAAACAGAACTTTATAGTATAAACTGACAAGTTCTTTTGTAACTAAGCCTGAATCAAATAATCTGTGTCACGATTTATTTCAAATAAGTCAAGATAATTCTTTCCTGTGATTCGACAATAAGTGCAGACAGGGCTCTTAATGTTCCTTGTTTAACGAGCAGTACCTCTTGCAGGAAACGTTTCCCACGTTCATAGGAAATGTAGTTGCCATTATTAATTTACAATCTTCGTTTTCCCTTTTCGTGAGCGAGCAAAAGCCTAATTCAAATACTCACTCTCCCAGTCATTCCGGAACTCGGGCATGAAGAAGTAATGGCACATTTCCCTCGCCGTCACGCCCTGGACGGTGTGGTAGGCCTTCAGGGGGTCCATCACCAGCCCGTTGACCTCCTCTTCGCGCTTGTACATTTTGATCTCCCCCTCGTCGGCGAAGATTTGCCAGCCATTGCCGTCCTGGCCAACGCCCTCGCGTGCGTAGTGCAGCTGCTCCTTGCACACGCGATCGATCTGCGGGGGATTAATTCAATTAGTGGGTATTTGAGGCGACAGATTGCCAAGTTCCGGTCCTACCTCGGGCCACAGGGCATGGCTGGTGGCCTCCGCCCCGGTGCCGAACTCCTCGCGCGCCTCCTCGCCCTCGGCCACCGCCTCGTGCGGCACGTTGACCAGCGTCTGGGAGATCTGGGACTGCAGCTTCAGCTTGAAGCGCAACTGCATGTCCTCCTCGATTTTGTCCAGGCCCGTTTCGACCGCATCGAAGAACTCATCCTCGGGCAATGTGGAATGTGGACCCTCCTGCAAATCGAAAACGGAAAATGAAAGGGAAACATCATAAATACAACTCCATTAGCAACGGGCACGTCCTGTTCTTATAAACTAAGTCAAGTTTAGCCCAAAACATCTTCGAAGGTTCGGCCTAATTAATTTTAATGACGAAACCGCATTCAATCCAATTGGAAAGAAATGAAACGTGCTTTGTATAAATTAATCGCCGACACTTGTGCGGCCAAATGGCCCAAGAAAATCCAATTTATGCTGTTGTTTTTTCGCCCGTTCCATTCCCTAACCAGTCGGCTGGCGGAGATTCTCGTAGTTGGCTGGCATGCGTAATTGGGCGAGCATAATGGACACAAAGGCGCATCATTGTGCCATGAATACGAAAGCAGAAGACCGCCAGACGGGGCTTGGTACTTGAATCCCATTAAAGCAGTGGAAACTCTCGGGGGAAAAACACTGGAAGCTAAACGCCTAACGAACAGAATGGGTAACTTGTTACGAATTTTTAAACCGCAAATTATAATGTTACCGGTCGACCTTGACTTTTGCTTTATGATAAGCAAAGAAAATTCAAATTGGTCAAAGTTCTGAATATCTTTTTTTATAAGTATTTCCTTTAAAGATGAATTAAAATTGTGCTTTAGAGCCAACCGTTGTTGTAATTGATCTGCTTATAAAAGGAGCAAATGAAGCACAAAAACCTATGTAAGCCACAAAACACTTTCCATTAAGAAAACCAACCATTTTAGGCTTATTAGGATCCCATTTCCCTGATAGCGGGTGTTTACTGTAAACGTTCTGACGTCTGCGAGTGGCGCGTGTATCACCAGAACGGCAACCGGCACAAAATAAATGCCTCGAATGGAATTTTTGCGGAATTGAATTTATATTTATTAATTAAGGCAGACATGTGCGTTTCCACTGGCGGTGAAATAAGTACACACCCCGGCGTGAAGTCGAGTGCATCATCATCATTTTGGCCAAGTGGCTCTGGGAAATGGCCAGCGATGAAGTCATGGACTAAATGTACTTATTCCTGTGGCGTCGCTTTGTCTCCTCTTACCAGGCTCCTCCGCAAATGGCTGAGTTCTAACCGACAAAAAACCTTTAAAGGCGGGCAAAAGTTTTTCTCCTTTCACAGCAGGTGGATAGGAGGAATCCAACCGCGGGAGAGCCAAACAATGGAGAGAAGGGTTTGCGTGGCAAGCGAAAGCAGAGAAAGCCAACTGACTAGCGTCCTGGCGAGTCCTTCTGTCGAGCGCAAGGACACAAAACAAACTGTTGCTGATGGCCAAAACGGAAAAGCAACACGGCCAGGATGAGAGGAGAAGAGAGCAGAGAACGCCAAACAAAGAGAAAGAGAGAGAGAGAGAGAGAAGGAGAAAGCGGGTGGGTGAGAGCGAAATTCGGAAAGCCCGCAGAGCAAAAAGCTTTAAGGGGGGGGTAAGGTTTTAGAGGCCAAAAAAAGGGCCATGTTTGATTTTTTTTGCGGCGAAATGAGTAAGTTTATTTTATTGAGCTTAATTACATGTTATTGTTTAACTTTTGAAGAGTATTAGAAAAAAAAATTATTTAAAAATATTAAGAAATAAGCCTGTGGCGGCTAATCTTCCGAAGCGCCTTAAGAAAAAGTTGTTTTGCGGTGAACATCATAGGGCGTTAACGGATCATCTTAAAAATAAAATGTGATATGCGTTGTAAAGATAATGAATTTCCCGAGGTCATCAGGAAGAGTTTTTTTTTAATTTATTTTTTGTCTATTTTTGGGAGCACTTGAAAGTGAAAAGTGCGATTTTAGCTTAAAAAATCGCTGTTAATTTATTTTTTAAAAATAGAAAAAAATTAAAAATTAAAAAAAACTCTTCCTGATTACCTGCGTATTTATGTTGAGAATTTGTGTTAAAAATTTGAAAAGGATCGGTTCAGTAGATTTTGAGTTCTGATGTTCACCGACTTTCAAAATAGCGTCTTCGGCAAAATCGATTCAAAGTATTTTTATACGTGAAAATACGTCCAAATACGGTTGTTTAAAACGCTGTAACTCCGTTAGTTTGACTTTAATTGACTCAAAATTTTTACACAATGTTCTTAACACATTGGTCATTCAGAAAAAAAATTTAAAAAAAAATGTAAAAAAAAATTTTTTAAAACCTTACCCCCCCCTTAATGAAAAGGATTTCTCGCATTTAAATAATAAATCAATGCGTGGGGTTTTAGCCACAGCACTCGAAAACTTACAAACGCTCGAAGGGAGGAATGGTGGCCCACAAATGAGGCCAATTTGGTTTTTAAATCCAACCGCCATCCTTTTATCACTCTCATTTGGAACATATCCACCGACACTTATAAAAAATACAATTTTAGTGTCAGTTGAAATTAAATTGATCAACATTTATTAATACTTTTTTAACCACATAATACTCTTGTAAATTATAATCCTCAATTATAAAATTGGTTTCTAACAACAAACCTCCTATTTTGTGCTTTTTAATAAATAAATTCTTTTTCGTAAACCTCTCTAACAAATAGATATTTTACACTGAACATATTTTAAAAAAATCTGTTTTATAATACCTCAAAAAGAAAAATTTATATGGTCTTTCAATTACGTTTATCAAGTTTTATAACCAAAAACCAATCTCAAATATTCCTGATGACAAGCACTCCTTAAAAGTATTTTTTTTTCTGATTACAAGCACTCCTTAAAGTTGTTTTTAAATAAATTTTGGGTAGTGTACCTTTATTTGTTTGACTTTGCCCTTCTGAAAACCGCCGGAGCGCCAAAGAAATCGCGCCGAGGGCATGGCGTTGACGTTGTTTGTAAATTTATAAATTTGTATATTTCTAATTTGGTGCGTGCGGCGATTTTATATTTGCAACATGAGCTAACACTTGTTACACTTGTGTATATATACGTATTTATAATAGCTCTTTCAATGCAACACAGAAATTTCACAATCTGCACACTCAATTAATTGCCACGACGAATATGAAACAAAAACGGTTTTGTTTTGAATTGTTGGCTAGCAAATTTGTTTATGATTGCTACGTGCTGGCTACTCGATCGCTAACCGTCGACTGACCAATCTACCTCATAAGCCACAAACCAGACAGCAGTAAGCCAGGCTAAAAGGCAGAGCTCAAAAATGAGAAGAATTTTGAATGCTCTAACGTGAATTTTTCTAACGGAAAACCAATGCAATAGAACAATTTATTATAACAATACAGCCTCTATACAAAAACATAAACTATTTAAAAAAAAACATAGGTACATTACAACATGAAGATGATAGGAAAGCCATTTTGAGTATGCATATGAAATATACCTCTATATAGAGTGAGCACTTTGACCAACTATTGGATCATTTGTCAACTTCAATGTCTGCAATATTGGCTCGAGGTAAATCTTCAGAAACGTCAGACTGTCAATCCGGACTGAAGAAACCGTCTAAACGCCCACTCTTTCAGCTTGAGCAGTCGCCAAGTGATTGAACCAAGAAGCCTGACCAAGTCGAGCACTAGCATCCCGTTATGGTCTCCGATTAGGGGAATACCAACAGTAACCACAAATATAAGCACATGCAATTAAATTGTAATTGAGAGGGCAAACAAAACTTAGGCAAAAATCAACAACGACAACGATATTGCATGACCCATTGCAGATAAGAGCAAAACATCGGAATTTCGTGTCAGCCAAAAGTCGGGTCCAACCATAGCCATTCCACGATTCAATTGTAGGCGCTTAAATAACAGTCCAGCGTGTTCTACTTCCCGTAAATATGATGAAATCTCTGACACAACGTCGAACCGGGCCGTTTATTTTAAGACGCAGACAAATCACACGCAAATCGTTTTACGAATTTCGCGCCACTCTCTCGTTCGGCGATTGTTTGTTTTTTTTTCTTTCAGTGGGAACGTGTTTGGCCCCGATTCGAGCAGCAATGACCGTGAATGCGATTACGCTTGTGCTTTAGCGGGCTGTAAACTTGGACTTACCTCGAAATCTGGGCCAGGATATGATAAACGCTTCATTTTCTCGATTTCGTCCTTGAACTTTCTGCAAAGAAAATAAAAACACAGACGATTCTGTTTAGCTTTGACAATGACGAATAGTAAAAATTCAAATTAAGGACAAGCATTTAGTGCAAACATTTTAAAATAATTTGGAAGTTTTAAACACTTAGTCAAAGGATCAAAGTTTAAAACATTTTAAACCCACAAAAAAACTTTTATTATTTTGGGGTAAAAAAAAATGTAACAAAATCAGTCTAATGGGTTTCGCCCTTATGTTTTCTAGTCCGACTAGGTCAACCTACTTGCTCTGGTCCTCCGAACGGCGGCGCTTATCAATTTCACGCTCCAGTTTCCGTTTCCATGACTCATCACTCTCGGCGATGATTTCTAGGCAATGATGCAGGGTGGTAAGCACGCCAGACGTCGTGGCCCGAAACGTGATGGATTCCCCCTGTGAAATCGAGTGTTGCACTGAGTACACATGGCAAGTAATTTCCGATAAGTCCTCCACTTTACCTTGAAATCGATGGACTTGAGTCCGTCGCCCAGATCCAGGGGTTGGGCATTGTTTTTGTTAACCTCCGAGCAGGCGTCAAAGTATCGCTGCAGCGTCTCGATCTGTCCAAACAGGATATCCTTAAAGGTCTCCAGCTCGCCGACCTTTTCGCGCAGGTTGCGCTGCGTCTTCTTCAGGCTTCCACCACTGGTCAGCGAAATGGTGTTCGACTGCAGGCTCATGGTGCTGCCATGGCGCCGCAGAGAAGTGGTGTCCGTGCTGCCCGTGTCCTCCTTGTACAGCTGCAGCACCTCCACCCAGTGCATGCGGTCCTCACTGGTCTCCGCCCGCAGGCACCAGTTGTTGAGATTGTTGACCACCACATCAAAGCGCAGCTCGTCTGATTCATGAGCCTGGCGAAGAAGAAACCAGGATAAAGTATCTAAGTATCTACCTACATTTTTTCTAACGCTTTGGGAATGGTTATTTGAATGGACGGTTTACAGAGAATTTCCCGGGCATAATTTTTGAAAGCTATGTGAAGGTTTTTGTTACATTGCCATAACATTGCTTTTATGCTTAAATAAGCTAATCAGAAGTAATCATTAAATGCCTGCCAGAAAAAAAAAAACACTTAATTATAAGATTGACCTTTCACCTCTAAATGTGGAACATGCAGTCAAGCCCTCACAACTAAAACTATTGTTTGGCTATAAATAGTTGAGTTAGAAACCCATTGGGTTATGCAATCGATTAAGCCCAATAAAAAGATTAACTCTAAGAGACTACGATTAAGGTTTGACTTAACTGTATTCCAATCAAGGCAATAAAACGAATGGCGATTAATGGTAGAACACTTTGAAAACAGATTAAGCATTAATATCTTTAAATAGGATCAGTATTCCTAGAGTTAACGGAAACTGCAGAAATGGTCGCTGCGAGTGAGTCACCATTGTTTATATGGTTTTGTCAGCTTCGACAGTATAAATAGATAAGTACACACTGGTGGTGAAACACCCTTGTAGAACAACACGCCCTCCTGTCAACACAAGGCCTTAGAGCTGCGGACTGAGGGGCTCTCCACTTACATTGATGACTTCAATTTGGTCTATTTTGGTCGCCCAACGTTAATTGATTGCGCTGCATTGATTGCGTCGCTCGGAATCGGAATGGGAATACGAGTGCGGGTATTGGCATGAGAATGGGGACCTTGGGTCGTGGTCATCGTTGGTTAATGTGTTCCAAACACATGCGCACACACTCACGCCCATTACTTTTTTATTAGTCCAATTGAAGGCACTTGTTGGAGGAGGAGCTTCGCCCTACCTTAATGGTGGCCTTGGTCAGGCTGATGGCTCCGCGACACCCAAAATCCGACTCGGATTCGGACTTGTAGTACGAGAGGGTGCCGTCCTTCAGGACGATATAGCGTGGCTGCCAGCCGTAGATGTAGTTGGTCCACTTGCTCAGGTAGCCCCTCAGTTCAATGCTGTTGTCCAGATACTCCTCCTCTTCGGAGACATCGCTCTGGGATTGGGATCCCGCCGCCGCCTCATTGCTCGACGGTGGTGATACCGATTCCCCAGCGTTTGTGTCCATCGTCTGTCAACGCCGGAATTCCACTGCCAAGTTATCTGTAGAGAAAACAAATCGTTTGGGTATATCTTAATCAGCAGGTTGCCGCAGAAGATTAAAAATATATTGCGCCACGTCCGCGCAGTGTAAACAACTACAATGCCGGTTGGCAATTTGAAGCGGCCACCCATATCGTGATAATCCAATTCAATCAGCACATCGCCTGACTCACAAGTTTCCACTGGGAAAGATACCCCGGCTCCGGAGCCGCTTGCCCCACTCCAAAAACAAAAAACAACGCTCACCGTTCGCTTATTGATTGCCTCTACGATCCGCAAACATCTGTGCAACACGTTCGCTGGCTTGTTTGTGCAGAGTTTGGTAAATAAACGAAAAGAACTCACGACACGAGAAAAGTTTAGACTGCGAAATCAAAACAAAGCTGCCAGTGTGGCCAGACGGCGGTAGTGAGCTTTGTTTAGGTGAAAAGGCAGAACCAAAACACGCTGACTCCACTGGGTGTCAAAAATTATTTAAATGTTAAATTATGTGTTATAAAAACACTTTTTGTGAAATTTGTTTTGAAAGATGTTGGTTATTTGAAGAATATTGTGTTTTTCTTAAAACATCTGAAAAACACTCAGTCAGGCCATGCAAAGATGCAACTCCAGTGCTGGGTAACGATAGAAGTTACAGTTTATGGCGGGATTTTAGATGAAGTGCTTATAATATTCAAAAGTCTGTTAGCTTTTCATATTTTCATTTAAATTTTTTATTTAAATTGCCTACTCGTCGACAACTTGAACAATTGCATTAAAGCTCATGAAGCAGACTCATATAACATAAAAAAGTGCTGGTCGGAGATTTTCTTTTTATTTGTCAAGGTTTCATTTATTGGGAAGCAGAATATGTTCAGTGAGGTCGAAGGGTATTATGCCACAATTGCTATTATTTACAGACCACTAGGCAAACAGAGATACGAATCTAAGCAATTAACAACGCCTATGACTAACAATAAATAAAATAAATAATAATAAATTAATTAGTAAACGTTAATTACGAGCAAGTGACTTTGAGGGCGTGCTCAATTCAAACGCAATCTATAAACTAGACGAGGTCAACAATGAGAGTTTTCAAGGATGAAAGGATTGCTTCTACATATACACATTGTTGTCCCGATCTCGAGTGGTGGGCAGCTGGATCGCCTGCTGCTCGTGATACTCTCCCACCGGTCTGTCCGTGGGTTTTGTCCTTTTCGCCTTGGTCGCCGGAGCTGGTTTGCTATATTTGCTGGACAAGGCCTTGAAAATGCTCTTGGGACAGGCCTTAAAGTAGGGGAAGCACTCTCCGGGAGCCTGCTTTCCCTCGCCCACCTCCTGAGCCTGGACATAGTCGGGCACCAGGTCAGAAAATGGCGATTTAGTTACCCTAAAATGTAGAAAGTGTTAACAAAATATACATTTTTCCATTTTAAAGAATTTAAACTTACGTAAGAAACAGCTTTGTCATTTCACCAAACACCCCAAACTTTTCCAGGCTTCGCGAATGCATCTCGCAGATGGTCCTCAGCAAACAGGCCTTGCCGTCCATGCCGAAGGTGGAGAGGAAATCCTCGACCACGCCGTACAACAAAACCCTCTCTCCGCCGTGGAAAATATGCTGCAGTCCGGAGGGCAGTTCCGGAAACTTCGGACCCTCCTCGTGCACTTTGAAAGGCTGATCCTCGTCGCTCCTGCTGCGCTGTTCGCTGAGATCCCTCCTCCGGCGCTGGACATGCAGATACCGGGCCACATATTCACCCACCATGTGACCAGCCTCGTGGCCAAAGGAGCGGGCAAACAAAGGCGGCAAATCACCCAGAGGATTTTGGTTGTCCGTCAGTCCCAGCTTGTCGAAGTCAACTGTCGATCGGGGGAAAGGAGTTAATTGACTAATCACTGGCATTGGAGAAGCACACGACTCACTGGTGACGGGGAAGCTAATGGTCAGGTTGGAAAAGAATCCCTCGGGCGGATGTCTGACCAGAGGCATGGCGATGGTCGGCACAAAAGTCAGCGAAGTGCCCGGCGGCAGGGCCAATCTTCCATCGTCCGTGATCCAGATGAGACGCTTCTTTCGTATGTGCGGCGTGTCCGGGGAATCTTCTGCATAGTCCGGTGTCGCCTGGGCGTCCGCATCCGCCAGCTGTGCTGCCATATCCAAATCCTGGCCAGCATCCGCCTGTCGATTGAGCGCCAATGCATTTGGACATAAGCTGACAACTGGCAGTAGCAGAAGGAGGAGCAGGTGGCTGTGGCGCCTCAACACGTTCTCCAACTTCATTATTTTGTTAGCCGATGAGTGCTGGGATGGTAATAAATATGTTAAAAGAGTTGCTAAGCAAGTTGTCAGTACATGTTGATAGTCTAATTAGTTATAGTGGATAATATAACAACGCTTCACTTTTAAGTATTTAGTGGATTATTAGATTATAGCTCAACTACCAAATAGATGCTGTCATAATTATGTTTATATGCTGATAATAGTGATTAGAGAGGTAAGAGCCACATGCAACAGACAAATCGATCACCGTTTAGAATGAAAGCTGATTGCTCTATTTCCAATAAAAAAGAGAAATAGAACAAGAAAATGGAAAACATTGAAAGCATTTTAACTACAAGAAAATTATTTGTTTACTTTTCACTTCTAATAATTATAGTACTACTCCTGTTTGCAACACAAAAAAAACTGGACTGGACGTGGACTTCCATTCCAATTTCGAGCAGCTAAAAAATTGAGTTGGCAAAACACTGGCTTAATGGCCATCATTATACAACAGTTGTATAACAGCAATTGTGGCGCTCACATGGCCTCACCTACTGGATTGCACTCCCCATTCTGCATTCTCAACTAGATTTTAGATCCCACCTGCCTTCCCCTTTGAAGCATCCCCCTTGGTTTTCATCATAATTTTAACTGGTTTCTTTGCTTAGAGCTCTGAGTTGTGCCGCATGTCGATTTTTTGGGTAAGCTTTTCCCCACTTCTCCAACTTCTTGGCATTGTTCCAGCTGCACTGGCTTAAACCGTTAGCCTTGGCAACTTGAATACTGATTACGACTTGAAACTAAAGCCACACAAACACACATCAATCGCATTGGCAAGGAGAATTGGCAATACGCGTGTGTATTCAGTGAAAGCATGTTAACAAATTGATTTATAATTCTAAACGAAACCAGTTGCACTAGTCGTCGATTTCACCCCGAAAAGAATATAATTGGGAGCAAGACGCACTTTTACCGCACCATCGATATCAGTGATGCAACTAAGCAAGAACTTGCCACTTGCCACTTGCCACAGCCGGTTCACTTTGGTTTGAAATATGGACAGACGGAGTGTTGGCGATCCGTTAGCGATCCGAGGCGATCATTAGAGCCTCAGCCAGATGCGGCAGCACTTTCCCAAAGGCTGCAATTTGACGGCCATCTGGGAGGTGCAGGTTCTCCGGCTATCTAGACCAAGGCATTCCATCCCACTCCGCACACACACACCTCCTCAAAACACTCATCGCCTCAATTACCAGAAAAGGTTTGCCAGAGTTTCTCCCAATTTGACAAAGTTACAACTGAGTTGAACAAGATATCAAACAGGCCAGTGGGTGTAACTTGAGGTGAAAGATATTTAATTTACTTGATATATAAGATACGATTATATTTACCACAATCCCTCTCAATAGAATAGAATTAAAAAAAACTTTATCACAAAAGGATAGAACTTAAAAAAAACCTAGTATAAATTTAAATAAATTAAATTTTTCACCAAATAATTTTTCCTTGCATTTCTAAGCTTTTTATACCCTTGCAGAGTCAAAGGGTATTATAATTTCAGTCAGAAATTTGCAACGCAGTGAAGGAGACACCTCAGACCCCATAAAGTATATATATTCTTGATCAGCATCACGAGAAGAATCAGAATACGTCTGTACATCTGTCCGTCTGCCCGTCCGTCCGTCTGCCCGTCCGTCCGTCTGTCCGTCTGTCCTCCTGTCCGTTTTCGCGCAAACTAGTCTCTCAGTTTTTAAGCTATCTTGCTGAAACTTTCCCAAAAGGTCTGTAGTCATTGCAGGCAGTATATAAGTCGGAACGGGCCGGATCGGCCGACTATATCGGATAGCTCCCATACGAGGGAATGAAATAAAAAATTCTAACGCCGTTGTTTTTCATCAGATCGACTTGATTTCTATATCTTGATAACTACATCTTATAGCTGCCATATGATCTATAGTCGAAAATATGGAAAATTAATAGAAAAGTCATAGCTTCGATGTTGTTTAGCCTTTATATATTTTGTTTGGCATATTTGATGACTGCAAGGGTATAGAAGCTTCGGCTTTCCGAAGCTAGCTTCCTTTCTTGTCAGTTTTAATTAGCGTTTACTGGGTCCCAGTCTCTCCATTGCGTCTCCTAAGTTAACCATAGCCAGAATAGCGACAACGACCAACAAAATGTACCTCATGATTGCGAATGTTGATGTGGTCCAGAGCTGGAGGATAATATATAGGTTTCCCCTAAGGTTAAGCGAATCTAATCCAATTGTATTTAGATTTCCAATAACATGCATAAAAATCCATAGATAAAAACGTTTGCTAAGCATTTTCAATTTTTTTTTTTTTAATTTTTTTGAATGAAATCCCATGTGGTTTTTTAAGTGTAAACAATTTAAGCTTGATCTTGTAGAGCCTTTTTCCCCATTTTTATACCCTTGCAGAGCAAAAGGGTATTATAATTTCAGTCAGAAGTTTGCAACGCAGTGAAGGAGACACCTCAGACCCCATAAAGAATATATATTCTTGATCAGCATCACGAGTAGAATCAGAATACGTCTGTACGTCTGTCCGTCTGTCCGTCTGTCCGTCTGTCCGTCTGTCCATCTGTCCATCTGTCCGTCTGCCCGTTTCCGCGCAAACTAGTCTCTGAGTTTTAAAGCTATCTTGCTGAAACTTTCCCAAAAGATCTGTAGTTATTGCACGCAGTATATAAGTCGGAACGGGCCGGATCGGCCGACTATATCGGATAGCTCCCATACGAGGGAATGAAATAAAAAATTCTAACACCGTTGTTTTTCATCAGATCGACTTGATTTCTTCCAGATGGCGTTTTCGAACTGTTATTGAATTTCGGATTAAATTTGATCAAATCAGATCGGATAACTCTATCATATAGCTGCCATAGGACAGATCGAAAAATATATATAGAATTAATGGAAATAAATTGATAACATCGTAGTTTTTTATCCCACGAGCATGATTTTTTGAATATCAAGTTTTTTAACAACTCTTATGTTGAGAAAAAAGTTTCATACAAATCGGACAACTATATCTTATAGCTGCCATAGGAAAAATCGAAAAATCTATATAGAAATAACGGAAATAAAATTATAACATCGTTGTTTTTCATCAGACAAGTATGATTTTTGGAATACAGAGTTTTCTTAGGACTCTTAAATTACGAATTAAATTTGATCAAAATCGGACAACTATATCATATAGCTCCCATATGATCTATAGTCGAAAATATGGAAAATGAATAGAAAAATCGTCATAGCTTCGGTGTTGTCAGGCTTTATGCATTTTGTTCGACATATTTGATGACTGCAAGGGTATATAAGCTTCGGCTTGCCGAAGCTAGCTTCCTTTCTTGTTTCACAGATCATTTTAATTGACAGAGTTGGATTCTTTACGTTGAAAACAAATTTTCAATTTTTTCCTTTTCAATTTTGAGTTTAATTCATTAAAATTAATTACAGACTTTTCAATGGATGGTTATGGATATTCTACGTCAATGCATAGCCAAAGGTTCGGTTAAGTTTCTCCGCAATTAGACAAAGCTACAAGGAAATTAGGCCTATGTAAATTTCCTGTCAAAAAGTCACTTTGGGCAGACAGGCGTAAAACCGCTGGGCGTGGCACGCAAAAAAAGGAAAATGCAGATGAGATTAATTGCAACTCAGTGATAGACGTTAAAATCGAAATGGGGTCACTATCTAGGCTGAACAGGGAGGCAAACGACTGGGCAAGTGCGTCGAGGAAGCGCCACAACTGGCCAGTCCACTATACTTCACTCCACTTGACTCTGCTCCACTCCTCTGCAATCCAATCCTCTTCAGCCGTCGGAGACGCCTATGCGGAAACTCTCGCTTTTGGCCATGAATGGTGGCCTAACACATGTTGGCCAAGGATCACTTTGATTTTTATGCGAAAACTTAGACGAAGCTTAAATGCCTTTCAGGCAAAAAATAATAGGTGTGTCGAAAATGGGTTGGAAATTTAAATGCTCAAGAATAATAACAGTGATTAGCTTCAACTTTTACACACACTTTAAATAAAAAGAAAATTAATGGCAGCTTAAAAGCCATACTAAAATAAATGTGTGAAACAATTTTAAATTTATTTTTAAATGCTTTAATGTTCCGAATAATATACTTTTAAAGACTTTATGTTATGGGTCCCAAAACATTTTTGAAGTGTTTTTTTAATGCAACATTAATGTATAATAGTTCATTACACATCTAGATAAATGTAAAATTTACTACCTATATGACAATGTTTAATGACCTAACCCCAAAAGGTCTTGCTTCTCATCTCATGTGACATAACTAAAAGGTAGCTGCCTTAAGTGCCGAAAATATGTTTACATATTTTGGGCATTAGATTTACAATCTTCGGTAGCCAATTTCATGTGCCAGGGGAATTACCCTTTGGTTAAAAAACTTGGCAGACACAAACAAACAACAAACACGCAACAAATGTCAGTCGGGAATGCGAGAGAAGTGAGTTGAGACCAAGACAGAGAAGAGACAGTGTCCGAGACGGAGAAAAGCCTTCGCAACTTATGGCGAATTAGTGCAGCTGAGCTTTAATTGGCGCCTGCTAAGTATGGACGTATCCACGTCCGTCTGTCAGAATCCAGAGAGTTTTGCTTTTACGGCGACATAAAGAAATTTACTTAATTTTTGCAGTGAAACCGAAAACTGGGTCAGCAGGTGAGTGCTGGCACTTCGGATCGAATAATAATTTTGATTATTTCATACCCGATCGCAGCTAAGTTGACACGCGCCGAAAAGTTCGTTGCTTGAGTCTTTCGTTTTAGCTGGGCACGTTGCACCCGCACTGCGAGAAATGGTGCCGAATAATTAATCAGAAATGCGGCAAACAAAACAAAAACAATTGTTGCGAAAGGTATTTTTTTTTCTGTTTTTTGGCAGAGGAAAGTGCAAGTGTCCACCGGATTTCGATTCGAATTGGATTTGAATGTTGATGTTCGTGCCTCGAATAAGTGAAGAAATCAATTAAAATAAGCGGGGGTAGAAAGTTGTCAAGCGATAACGCCGGACGCATGACAATTAGGTAATTAGGTTTTTCTTCGCACATTTTAAAGGCAGGAGCCTAGGCTTACATAATCTTTATTTCCAGGGAAATATCTTCCAAACTGGTTAGGTAGATTGTCCTATATTCCGCTGGAAAGTTCTCCTTCCTTATTTCTTTATGTAGAGAAACAAATTTACATATGTTTTTGCCTAAGCTCAACCCGCTTTTCACTTTTCAGAATGCGCTTGGCGGTCCTTTTGGTCGAAGGAAAAGCGCCTGTCAAAGCCTCAATGGGTTTTACGTTTCAGTTTTCGGTTTCCGAGTTTATTTTTAGGACACGATCCGACAACCGCGCGCGCAAACGTTTGAAATTCAACTAAAGCGGCCAGCGGTCGAGGCGAACGATAAAAAGCAACGACGAACGGGCCAAACTACAATGCAGAAGTGAGGCCAAGAATTCAGGGGTCTGCGAGGGGAGCTCAAAGGGGGAAGTAGACGGGCAGAAGCTACCCGCCAGCCAAAACGGCAAACCAGTCAGCCAGGCCTGCAAAAATTCATTTTATCGTGTTCGAGAGGCTCTGTGAAATTGCCAATTCGCAGTTTGATTTCCTTGTGCCTGCGGGGAAGGTCTTGAGCTGCGGGGGAGTGAATAAGATTTTCCAGCAGGAAGCTGGTCGAGATGCGAGCAGATTCAGGCATTCCGTGACTCATAGTGAGGGCTTTCCTGGTGGGAAACTAGGTTGCGGGTTGAAACTTCTAAGGCCGTCTATTAATTTCACTTTTGTGCTGCATTGTTCCATGGGCTTTATATAAACATTTTAAAATAATACCAATGTAACGGTTATCAGCTTCAGAAATACAATAAATACTTAATGTGGTTTGTCTTTAAAGATCTCTTCCCATTATAAAATAGGTCACAAAAAAGACTGGGATTATTTTTACAGCACTGCAACATATAAAAATAAAAAATACAACTTTTCTTAAGGGGTTTTAATTGATTAAACATTTTGCTTGCAACTTTCTGCCACACAAATAGTAAATTAGGATTTATTAAGATGAGAATCATGAGTGAACGGACAACGTCCATCAGCATCAGGCTAATCGTGGGACAAGTTCTGGGGCTAGACTTTGGCCCCCAGATCATCTGAGGCTGGCGCAATTAAACTTTCCATGCCGAATGGAGGCGACAGTGCGTGTATCTGGCATGCGGTTTCCAATTCGGTTGGCAATCAAAGCAGTTGGTCAGCTTATTTGCATGAGATGAAATACATAGAACATGTTTCTCGGCCGTTTCCGCTGCGGTTTGAAAGTGAGTCTCGTTTTGATATTTGGGTCAAGGTCTCTATTAGGCAGAAATTTGAAAGAGAAAAACTTGGGGAATTTCCTAGGTACAGGCCATAAATATTTACAATCCCATAAAGCAAACTCTTTAGCGTCAAATGGCGCCATCATCAAAGTACGTGGTGAAAATTTATTGGAGTCCCATGCGTTATCAGAAAGCCTGACCTACGTGATCGCCGCTTTAATCGGGCTATGTACCCCGATTCACATGGATTTGCGCACAAGAGGGCTTTCCATTTGTGAGTAATTGAAAAAAGTGTCCACATATGTACAGCTCTATTGCGTAATGATAACATCTAACAAATAGATTTCCATTTCTAAATGACCAGTGCGAGCTGGCATGTGGCTATTGGAAAATCATGTAAATTTGTTTGTATCAAAATCTTTTTAAGGAAAAAGAGAAAATAATCTTAAATTTGGGATAAAATAACTGTTTTTAATGAAGAACAAACTTTAAGAATTTAGGACAATATATTTTTGCTTAACAAATTCAACCCGTTTGCGAAAGAATAATAATTTGTTTTCATTACGAAAAAAGTCAAAACATTTTCCTATATTTATCGTTTAAAAACACATTTGAATTTAAGATTTAAGTTGCTAATCTTTAAAATGTTATTCATTATCTTAATACGAAAATTCAGAAAAATTTCATTAAAGCTCTTTAAAATAATATGAGATTACTATACTAATCGGTATGTGACTTCTTATTCGTTCACTGTAATAAACAAATCGAATTATCAAAAAGGTATTAATTTTGTTTAATTCGCAGCCCACAAAACAAAGCAAAAGTATTTAAGTAAAATAAAATTCGTTTTTAAAGACATTCGATTATCCAGCCGAAAATTAAAATTATTAATGTATGTATCGATAAGGCGACTATCGATAGCTAACAGCTGTTATTGCGTATCAATTAAACTCAGTTTTGCGACACTCTTTGTTGTCATTGTAAAAGAAAAGAAGGGTCCGCAGGCAAAAGAGACCACTAAGCGGCCAGAACGACGGCCAAGCAATGACTGCCCGCAATCCCCAGACGCTGATGGCACTGCCAAACGAGGAGAACTTTGACTTCTTGTTTAAGATCGTCCTTATAGGTGACTGCGGAACGGGGAAGACCTGCATAGTAGACAGGTTCAAGACAGGGAACTACATAGAACGCCATGGGAATACCATCGGAGTGGACTTCTCCATGAAGACTATCGCCGTGGAGGGCAAGCAAATCAAAGTGAGAAAAGGATAAATGGCCCTCCAAAACCTGATGAATCATATCCTTTCGCCCGTTTCAGCTGCAAATCTGGGACACAGCCGGTCAGGAAAGGTTTCGCACCATTACTCAAAGCTATTATCGCTCGGCCAACGGGGTCTTAATTGGTGAGTCCCAGTATCTTTCGGCTCCGGGGCAAATTCCCATCCATTTGTCATGGCAAATAAGTAATGCTGATAACTACCGAACGCTTTAAAGTAATTGCCTGGCACTGATTTTAATAGCGAACCTCCATATCAGTATCGTGTTTATTTACTTTGTTTTGACAACCATGTGTGCTTGTGCCTACAGTTTACGATATCACCAAGCGGTCTTCCTTCTCCAACCTGCAAAAATGGATCGAGGAGGTGCGGAGATATACGGCTTCCAATGTTTTGATAATCCTGGTGGGCAACAAGTGCGATTTAGAGGATCAACGCGAAGTGGACTTTGAGGAGGCGCGCCAAATGTGTCAATATATACCTGAGATCCTTTTCGTGATGGAAACTTCCGCCAAAGAGAATATGAACGTGGAGGACGCCTTTCGCTGCTTGGCCAACGAACTCAAGGTAGGCTTACCTATTTAAAATGCTTGCTCTAACTAAAGATGTCATTACGACAGCGTCAACACGACGCAAACAATGTGGAGGAAGTGCCGGAGAACACGATCACCTTGGGCCAAGGAAAACCCTTGAAAAGCTGCAGCAGCTCTTGCAATCTCACCTAGACCTTTGACTTTCAGACACCCCGCTTTCTATTTGTGCTTTTATTTTTGTGATCAAATTGTTCTTGTGGCTATATTTTAGTATGCTAATGTTTTAACCTAATCCTAGACACTAACTTTTACACACAACCATGTATTTATTTTAGACGATAGAGTACAAACAATCTCACACATCAGCGAATCGAGCCAACAATGTCAATTACAAGGCAAAATGCTCAGAGAGAAAAAATACGTCCACTTCTCTTTTTGTAATTTGTATTCAATTTGATACGCGACAGTGTCGAAATAAACTCGTTTATTTTGTAATTTTATTGGAAGTATCGTAGTTAATTGGCTTAGCTCCTAGACATATTATCCATATACACGTAGATTTAAATCATTGAGGGGTCTCTCCGTTCAGACATATTTTACACTTAATAAAATTGGCTTGGCAACAGCTTTTCAAACAATTTGGAAACGCTTAAAAACTGTTTATCAAAATTGGTTTACTTTTCCTAGACATCTAGTTGTTTAATGATTAATTAGCTAGTGCGTAGCATGTGTGGCGGGTCATTTGTTCTTGATGCGCTGCACGATCCACTCCAGTCCTTGATACAGGCCTTCGCCGGTAAGCGCACAGCAGGCCTGGATGTGCCACTGGTGCTTCTTAATGGAGGTGAGGTCAAGTTGTCGGGATATTTCCGCCGCCGACATTGAGCCCTTGAGGTCCTGCTTGTTGGCGTAGACTAGCAGACTGGCCTTGCTCAGATCCTCGTGCTGCAGCATCCGGTAGAGCTCTTCCCGAGTGACAGCCAGTCTTTCCCGATCCGTCGAGTCGATGACCATGATCACCAGCTCCGTGTTCGTGTAGTAAGTGCTCCAAGCGGCACGAAGGCTTTGCTGACCTCCAAGATCCCAAACGAGGAAGTGAATATTTCGCCAGACGACCTCCTCAACATTGGAGCCGATCGTGGGACTGGTGTGGACCACTTCGTTCATTAAAAACTGGTACAGGATGGTTGTCTTGCCCGCGTTGTCCAATCCCACCATCACCAGCTTGTGCTCCTCGTTCCCAAACATCCGCCAGAGCCGCGATAATAGCAGTCCCATATTTTTAATTATGCTGCAGCTGCCGTCTTGTATTGTTATTTTTCCTGATTTGTGATTTGATTTCTGGCGATGACGGCGAATGCCTCACACACACAGGTTATCGGTTTGGCTGTGTGTATGCGTGCGAATGCGAGGTGCGTACGCTGGAGGTCTGTGCGACCGTGTGGGTGTAAGTGAACGTGAGGCTTTGTTGTTGTTTCTTTGAGGGAAGGCGAAGGCCGAACGGTAAATTATTCACATTTAACTTTGCACTCCACACATACACGCAATTTTTGTTGTTGGCTTTGCCAAATGGTGAACTGTTTTTTGGGGGTTTGCTTGGCAACTTCCTGGCGGTTTTCCGTGGGTGGTTTCCTTTTTTCCTCGCAACAATTGGCGCTGCTTTGTTTTGGGTCACAATGTTCTAAAAGCTGCCGTTGTCGTTAATTAAATTAACGCAGTTTTAATTAAAAAAGTAAACAGTAAAAGTGATTAATTAACATCACTTAGAATCGATAGGCTGCTATCGATAACGGAAGGCAGTGTGAAATAAAGCCCTTAGATTAAACAGACCGTTCGCAGTGTTTGAAAGTTTGGCTGCAAATCATATGATCATCCTTTACTAAGGTCTGTTAATAACTGTTTGCATTTCATAGCTATAAGATCAGCAGCATAAACTTGAAACCAAACCATAACCATAACATAAAAATTAATTTAGATATGACTTGTGATATTTTTCATTGACGGTTCACAAACTGCGACCCAAATTTTTCTCGTTTCCCCGCACTATCCATCCTGAAGTGTGACCAGCAATCTAGCGGTCATCTGTTCGTGGCGACTGTTGTTGTTTTTTTCTGCCCGCTAATTAGCTTCGCACCGGTTGCAATGAAAATATTTGCTTACCTGCTGCTATTGGCCATCCACATCAACGGTTTACACGCCTCTAGGTCCTCCACATCCCAGCACGCGATTATAAGCGAGTGCCCCGGCCACAGTGTGCCCCAAATCCGAGCAGAAGCGGCGGACTCGGAAATCTCGCTGCTTTTCTACTACGTGTCCTGGGCCAGTGAGGCACGTCAGGCTCGCTTGGTCTACAATGGCCTGGCCCACTACTACCAGGAGTACGCCTTCTTCGGGGCCATCGACTGCTGGCATCTGCAATGCAACTGTAGCCGCACGTTGATGCCAGCGCCTGGAGTCGTCGGTGCAGGTGGTTATCCAGACAAGTGGCCAACGCTAGTCGTTCGCTATGGACAGAAGCAAATGCTGCAGTACCAGGGCGCCTGGATTTTCGAGGAACTTGCCCGGTTCATGAACCACCTGCTCCACCCCCTGGATCGGGCGCACAGCGGTCAGGAGCTGGCAGCCATTCGAAAGCACTCGGATGCAGTGGTTCTGGGCCTGCTAGAATCGCCGGACGATCAGGCCTACAAACGGTACCTGGCTGCTGGACTGCGCTGGCTGGAATTGGATCCGGAAAGGAATATCCGCTTTACCGTAAACTTCGGCAGCAGTGCCAAGAAGATGATGAAGGCGCCGGACACCAGACTGCCGCAATTGTTAGTGATCGACAGTCGGAATGGAGTGCATGCTTTTAATAGTACTTCCAGCGATTGGAAAACAATTGACATTCTGCGCTGGGTGCGAAACACTTTAAAGAACATGTCGCTGTTTTCCAACGGTTATGGTACTCCCATGACCATTGCCATGAAGGCGCGGCATGTTCCCGTGCTTGCCATGGCAGTACGAATGAATCAGAATCACCATGCCAGTGTAATGGGCGAGGAGATGGCCACCGCTCAAAAAAAACAATCTGAGGGATGTGAGGACTTCTGGAACAAATCAGAGGAGCAGGAGGAAGAATCATTCTCCATAATGCAAGTTCCCAAGGAGCTCTTTCCCGAGACGGGACAAGGGCATTGTTGTTTTCAAGCTTTGCAGAGAAAAAGAGCAACTTTGGCCAACTACTATCGTATAAACAAGTACCTTAATCACCTTTGGCGGCAGTACGCTCACCAGAATCACATAAAAAAAAGAAGTGTGCCTTCATTACTTGGGCTTCACTCGCGTAATCTTTGTTTGGCTCACACGCAGCATGGAACGCCAGGCATGAAGATCGGCATTGCCAAGATGGTCACCAAGTACGGTCAGCTTATATGGCAGCATTCAGCAGAGCACGCTGCTCACAATCGGTCGCTGGGAGTGGTGATATTCGATTCATTCAAGTATCGGGACTATTTGCATCAGCTGGGGATTCAGCAGCACCATCAGCAGGTCCAGGTTTTCATCGTGGACGCGGCAGAGGAGTCGTTGTACGTGATGCCACAGCAACATACGTTCTCATATGTGGCGCTTAAAGATTTTATACGTCAGTTTTACGCCAAAACTTTGCCCAGAATTCATAGAAATGCACCGGCCACTGTGGATTTGGAGTTCGACAAGAATTACAACAGACAAATGTTGCTGCAGACGCTCCAGCGACCCAACGCAACCAACGTGGTCTTTATGCATCGTCCTGACTGCGCATTGTCTGCCGTTCTGTCACAAGCTTTCCTCCAAGTTTCGGCTCTGCTCAGCAGCCCCGAGGTGCACTTCGTGCGCTTCGACAGTCAGTCCAACGATCTGCCCTGGGAACTGGCCATGCCGACAACACCCTCGTTGATTGTCTTCCCTCAGTCAAAGCCGACCGAATCCGTGGTGTTTCCCAACGATGTAAGGATCGATGTCCAAAGTATTTTTGCCTTTGTGATAGCCCAACTGGAACCGGAACAGCAGGTGCGTTCGGTGCTAGTCAGTTGCAAAAGGCGGATGCGGAACGTGCGAAGCTGTCTGGACTTTGCCCGAAACCTGGTGCTTCAGCACGTCAGTCAGTACCTAAAGTTCTGGGAGATCTACGAGCGGGAAAGGGACGTCATACTCTCCCACTTAAAAGAACTTAATGACCTGCACATGTCTATCGAAAGCAGCATTCGGTTATAGCGAAATCCCCCGCAACGGAACCTAAGTTAGTACTTGCTGTTAAAAATTCCAGGGTAAGCAGCTGCTTGTCAGCTCTTATGTAGCACGTAAGTCCAAAGTTGTCTCATCTTAAGATATAAATGTAAAATATAAAACTCATAGATGTAGCAAGTAACGCAATAATAAAAACAAATCAATTTAGTTCAAAATATTTATATATTTTTCTCAGAATTAAAGAATAAGAACAAAATGAGTATATGTATGTATTGGACTTTGAAAAATTGACTCTCCCTACTCAGCTGCGTTTGCATTTTTCAGCCAATTGTTTATTTATTCGCGTCGAACTCGAAAAAAAAATGATTAGCAAAGAAACTTCATGAGTTTTTTGTAATAGAAATCCCAAATCAGAGAACACTGGTATTCAGTTTAAAGAATAAGAACAAAATGAGTATATGTACATATGTATTGGACTTTGAAAAATTGACTTTCCCTATTCAGCTGCGTTTGCATTTTTCAGCCAATTGTTTATTTATTCGCGTCGAACTCGAAAAAAAATGATTAGCAAAGAAACTTGATGAGTTTTTTGTAATAGAAATCCCAAATCAGAGAACACTGGTATTCAGTTTAAACCACGATTTGTTGGTTAAATAATAATAATTCAAAAATTAAAAAAGTTCCAGCGCATGGGAATAGTTGCCACTTGACTGAGCCACACGAAGTTTTTGTAGCAAAACCTCAGCGATGAGTCGACATTTCTTTTTTTCATCATTATTCATTCGACTGAGTACGTTATGTCCCCGTGCCAAAAAAAAATCCAGCCTACCAGCTCGAAGATGATCCACCAAATGGCCCCACATCTCCACCAAAAGAGTTCCAAGATCTCTTTGCCAGTCAACACTTCCAATTCGGTGGAGCAATACGGATTTTAACATGTAGCTAGACAGATGCGGTAGGTTCGAAACGTGGGCATCCCGCAATCCCTTCATCAGCCGCAAAACGTTCTTCAAATTATCCGAGCCCTTCATGATTTCACGCTCCCAATGCGGTGCACAAACCATAAAGGATGTTTTCGATTTGTATTTTGCCTTACCCTTCTTTTGCGGAATGGCAAACCAAGGCCAGTCGTCGCGAATCTGAGTAGGAACTGGTGGAACTGCCAACGGCCACTGCTTTCCAGAGAATTCGAACGCCGGCACCAAATCAAAGGATATGGTGCGACTTCCGCACACAGCTTCAATGGTGTGGGCACATCCGTATCCCTCAAGTGTATAATTCAATCTGTAGACTCGGGCACTGCTAGTGGTAACCATAAGATTCGGCTTAAATACTTTATGGAATGCATCTCGCAACCAATCTTGAAGTAAAATTCGATGAACGCGTTGGCTCTGCGATATGGCAGAATTCACTTCCAAAAAAACAAACGCATCGTTACCATAGAAATTCGGGCGTATAGAAAAAGGAAACTTAAGTTTCATATGTAGATCAAATTCATCGGGTACGTTTAGCTTCACGCGATCTAAGTAACTTCCTGAAAAAAATATTATAATTTATTTTATTATTTACTATCATTTACATATATTTTTTTATATTAGATATAACTCTTTAAGTTACAGTCAATTATAATTTAGTTTAGCACGCTGTTCTAGGAAAATATGCAATTATTTGGAAATAAACTCTTCACCAAAATCTCTATTAATGAATTTTCTGTTTCTGTTTTTTTTTTTGAACATACACATTTTTTTAACTTGTAATTATGTATCATTTTCAATCAAAGCTGAATAACTTACCACCCAGGCTGAGACCATCAAAAACATCCCGAAAAGTTGTATCTACTCCTTTCAGTTCCTCAATCACATAATTTTGAATTTCCTCGGCATCTTTTGTATACTCGGAACGGCTCTTATCAGAAATTAATAATTTCTCCAAAATTTTTTGTAAATGCGTAGCGAAACTCATTTTAACGAGAAAAACTGAAGCTAAGCGAAGAAGGTTGTGAAGACAAATGATGAGAATATCTCTGGGTTTCCCCTTTTTAAGCTGTCTGCCAGCGCTTCCTTCATTATAATCAGCTGTGGTGAAAACATGTTCTCACCACTGTTTGCTTTTACCAACACTGTTTTAGAGATGTCGCGAAGTTCGGACAAGTTAAATTTTATAGATCAAAACACTTTCGACAAAATCCGAGATACGGAGGCTAAGGATGCAGAAACCAAGATCACTCCTCGTAGCTCCAAGTTCAAAAGCAAACACAGAAAACCGGAGCAACAACCTACGCTTCTTGATTTTCTCGTCAAGCCGCGACCAAGCACACAAAGGCAATTGAAATCAAGGAAACTGAAGAAGCCTCATTTAACCATATCAAGAGGTATTTATACAGCAACCAAAGCCAAGGGCAAGACGCGACTGAATCATAAAAAAAAGGTTACAAAGTTGAAAAAGTCCGTATGCAGTTATCGATCTTTAAAAAAAACGGAAGGAAAAGTCGCCGTGCAGAAAGTTGAAAATATTGCGGAAGACTCACAAGAGATCCAGCAGGAAACTATACCAGTAGAACGGCGATTTCAGAAGCTATCCCTTGTTGAGCCCACAAAGGAAATCCATTCCATACACTCCCGACGTTTCAGAAGGTCTGGCTGCTCTTATTTTGACTTGAGGAGAAATACCATGCATATTTATTTTTGTGTAATTTCTGCAGCTATTGTGACAACTGCACCCGCCCGCGCCTAAGGGTGTTGGCCATACAATTGCTCAAGGAGCTGGATCGGTTTCAGAAACGCGCTTTCGCCAAAAACGAGATCAAGGCGCGGGCACACCCCCGCCTGGTCTTGGGTTTTCGAGAGGCTCTGGCCAGATTGAGGATCAACAAGGTGAAACTTTTAATTGTGGCCACCGATTGTGAGGCCTGTCCAGGAGAAAGTGCGTTATCCCACCATTTCCAAGGCACATAACTGACCATTTTGCTTTATAGGTGGCCTGGACGAGACTATAGACGGCTTAAAATTTCAGTGCCAGCAGCACAGTGTACCCTACTGCTTTCCATTGGTCAGGAGAGAGCTGTCCTATGCCCTCCAGAAACGGGCACAGATCTCCTGCGTGGCAATCCTGGACTTCGATGGAGTAAACGCCATCTACGTTGATCTTCTCAACGAATTGGACGACGCTCGAGCCGAATACAAACGCCGAACTGCGTCGTGAGAGTTTATTTAGTGCCAGATACATAATAAAAGTGCCAAGATGTGCCTTATACTTTGAAAAAACATCAACATCCATGCAAAGATCTAGCCCGTCGGGGTAAGCATGGTGGTGGTCACCATATCGTGCAATGTTGAGCTGCCATTGCCCATATCGCTAGCCGCTCCAACTAAGCCGGCGGTGTCATTCAGCGAGTTAAAAGTTTGAATGGCTTCTTTGGCCTGCTGAGCGGCCAAATTGAACTGGATCAAGATGATCAGGTAGCTGGTGATCCCACCACTTACTCCATAAAGTGTCTCCATGTCCAGGGTAAAGAAGCCGCAGGCAGAGAAGTCCACTGAGTGGTTAAGCAGCTTCAGCGACAAGTGGTTCACTATTTCGTAGAGAAGGTTATCATCCGCCACCACACCGCACTTATGGAGACTAATCCCAGTGCGTTTAGAGGCCTGGGATGTCTTCCAGCTTAGGTAGATGAGGTACACACACTTTCCGGACGTATAACTTAGTGCGATGACCGTGATGAATGGATTCTTGGCGGAGCGAAAAAGCGACGGAATCGACTGGTACTGAGTAGCGCAGTAAAGAAAATACAATTGTGCGGTAAAAATAAGAAATCCATAGGCCATTAGGGCCAAGATGGGATAGCTCCACAGCTCGTTCATGGCCTTGCCGATCTCACAGATCTCGTCGTGCACTTGGCACAGGTTGTTCAGCTTCTCCTCCACTTTGGCTGCATTTCCCAGCTCGCTTTCATGAACCATGTTGGAGGCAAGGGGATTCGGTGGAGGTTTACCTGTCGCCGCATCGATTAGCTCACCAAATGAGTTCATCGAGTGGGCCACCGGTGCCACCTTATTCTTTCCCGAGCCAGAGACAGAACTTTTTCCGATAGAACCCATGTCGAGGCCCCCAAGTTCCTTGTACAGATACTCTAGATTGCTATCATACTGGGGCGGCTGCGAGCTGTCTAAAGGAGGTGCTGTCTCCTGGTCTCCGCGGAGCCACATCTTATATTTCTCGTGCGTGGCGACCAGCTCTTCCAGAGTATCGTTTATGGCCTCGAAACGCTCCTTCAACGCATACAATGAAACGGCAAACCAGATCTTGTCCAGCGTGTTGATGAATGTGGGTATGGCGGATACAATCCACAGCAAGGACATCCACTGCGAATAGTCCACCAGTTTGATAAAGGTGGCCAATAAAATAGACAACTCAAAGATGACCGTCATGATGAGCATAATCCGGATCCGCCGACCAATTGTGCTGTTATCTATCACACATTTTTCTTTGTACAAACGCTCGTCCACAAGGCGAATGCGCTCATAAAGCTCTCCTAACCTGCCTTGGTTTCGGAGGGCGGTCAACTGGTCAGTGGCCATCATAATGAGTCCAATATAGGTCAGGAACAAGCCAATAACGAAGGTCAAGGTGCCTGCGGAAAGATAACAAAACATGAGTTTACTCCTTTCCAAAGTCTATGCTTCACTGACTCTGAGAAGCCTTGAGCGTGCGGTCCTCCTCCCCAAACGAATAAATTAGGACATTATAGAGAGCCACGTAGACAACCAGAGTGCCAATCATGTAAACCATTCCATTACGGGATTTCTCCAGCAGGTTTCTCGATCGAAACTTTTCCAGGTCCTGAGGCAAAATCCCGGCTATTTTCGATATAAAGAACAGTTGCTGGAACTGCTGCAGCAGGGGTTGAACTAGATCTTCTGACTGTGCCATGTCGTCCGTCGGAAACTAGAACTTTGAATGACCAACTTCGGCCAACGTTAAACCATTACTTGCAACTTGCACTTAGCCTAATTAAATGGACCCCCTGTCCCCAATCGATACAATCAACATGGTCAATCTACGCCACGTTTGGTTAATTCCATTTACATAGAAACATATTACGGATGGTTTACTGTAGTGGCTTTTATTGAATAGGGAATTTGCATGGGTTTCATATTAAATATTTGTGTATAAATTTAAAGCCAAATGTACACGGCATTTTTCTATTTCGTAGGCGATTAAATTTTAAAAAAGATATTACTGCCAACCTTTTTAAACCTTGTCAGATGTTTTTGTTGTGGTGGTTGGCATCCTTAAGCCTCATTCTTAGTTTTTCTTACGGCGTTCATTCTGTTTTCGCTCCTCCTGCAAGAAATTAGAAGCCTTACTGAAACGATTTCCAGTTAAACTTTAAAAGCTAAGGTTATAAATATAGTTTCACAGACAGCAAGAAAACTTTGCAAAAAGTTTCATTCGCAGTTCCCGGAAATAAATATACTTCCCACAAATGGTTAAAAAGACCTAATGATTCTAGGCTGACATTGTGAAGGTATACTTATCGCCTTGGCTACACGAAATACCGTTTGAAAAGGTTTTTCACGGCGAATTTCATTATGGAAAACTTTTGCAAAGTGATCAGCGACTGTTGGCATGAAGCGCCTTAAACCATGAATGTCTTGAGCTAAGTAAGGTGGCCATATAGCAACTTATAAAAGGAACAAAAGTATACAAGGAACAGCCCAGAAAGCCTACCTTCTGCGTCAGGATAATTAGTAAACGGCGGAACATGCTCAGCACATCGAAGAACAGATCTAAAGCATGCTGCACTACATCTCGGTTTCCATTCCGGCACTTCACTACTATGTTTTGGGTGTCGTAGACGATGAAAGCAGCCATCACAAAAACGCCGACGTAAAGTTGAGTCTAAAAGCAGAAAACATTTATTTAAAGTTTCCTCAAAAATTTAAATAATTATTATAACAGAAAGTAGGAAGAAATATATATTAAAAAAACCTTTTTTAAATATAATGTTGCACTTACCACTTGCACGAAGTAGGACTTAAAGACCATATTAAAGAGACTCAGTAGGGCCATGGTATTAATGACGCTGACCAACATTCCGCCGAGATAAAGATATTTTCCCTGCTCGGCTAGCAGAGCAGCCAAAGATAGCGTAATGAAGGTGACAAATGTGCCGGTGAGAGCCGAAAGAATTATGGCCGGATTAATGCTGCATATATAGCCGAGAAGCGGTCCAAGAGTCTGACCGGAGCAGAATCCAAAGGCATACAGCATACTCAATCGCGTATAGTAGTTCTTTCCGTCGTCCTTGTAGAAGTGAAGACCCAGGACCAGGATCAAAGTGGCCACTGCCGCCAGAACCCCCAGGTCGAGGAAGTCGCGCATCTGGAGCAAGGCTCCCATCGCAGTGGCGGCGGCAGTGCTGCCCAGGACCATGTACACCTTAGACAGGTGTTCGCGCACGTAGGGCTCACTGGTGGGGAAATAAGAGGGAGGGTCATTAGTATGCCACCACTTGTTTCAAGGCTCATCGATCCGATGACCGACCGACCAACTGTTGATGTGGTTTGATACCAAAACAACACGTCAGTGTTACGCATTTTGGACCTCAGACTTTAGAATTGCCCACATGCATGTAATATTTAAGTATACTTACTAACGGTCGCCGAGGCCGTTCATGAACGTCTGGAATCGTTCATGGATATTGTTCGCAGTCTCTGCCATTATGGTCTTTTTTTTTTTTTACTTGCTTTTCCTATTTATCAGTTATAGTTTGCTTGTCGATCAAACGGAGGAGTGAATGTGAACTAAAAGGCGTAAAGTTTTGAAGCTGACTGTTGATATTATTGGCCTACTTGAGCAAAGCTGTATTTTCTTCGTTTTCTTTTATGTATTTCACAAAATTTTCTTCACTTTTATCAGGTTACAGTGTTGCAAAACCTTTAAAAGTCAAGATTGCTGACACTCTTATGTTTATGGCCAAATTTGGATATTCATTTTCAAAATTTAAAATTAATATAAAAATGGTTTGAAAACTATTTATGATGTTTTCTATATTTTTAGAATTCACCCGAATTTTTAAACAAATTTGATTTTCAATTTTCAAAAATTTAAACTTGGTTGATGAAAAATATTATAAGACAAAAATCGTCCACAATATCGCAAATTTAAAATGGTTTTAAATTAGCAAAGAAAACCATACATTTTTTAGTTTGATTTATTATGATAAAGCCAACACTGGTGAAATTGATTGTTTTGGCTTTTTTTACCTGCGTTAGTGTTGGGCAACGATTGCGTTTTGGAACCTTCCAGATGATTACGTTTGCGCGCGCTTCCTACTCTCCTTTTTTGAAAAGTAATCAAGTTAGAAACGTCTAATAAAATTGTTTTTTATTTCGCGCTACATCGAAACAAGTCAATTGACGTATTTTCTAAAAACATTGTGCGAAGTAATGTATATTGTAATCATAAACAGTCAATGAATTGATTCTCTTAAAACTTGGCGACTAGAGTCGGATCATTGATTAGTTCATTAAACGAGGGATCTCAAGGTTTACAAACTATAAAAAAAAAAGTCCTACAAGAATAGGACAACTTTACCTGCTTGGGCATGACTTAACAGACAATATTCGTTTGTATAATTTTTTATGTTGTTTGTTTCATCAAGATCACAATCACAGTTTAAATTGTACAAGACATCGTTAAGCTCATAATACTCATAACACCTCAGGCTCTCGCTCTGCGGAGAGTTACAGGTACTTTTCAAATTGTGGACTTGCGGTTACAGAGGCGTAATTGTAATTCGGGATTAGTGCGTCATGATCTTAGTCAATTTTTGTTTACAAAATGTATTTACAAATAAAAAGTAAAGCTAAAATTAAAAGAAGTTAAATGTTGATGATACAATAGAAAAGATAATTGTGTGAAATGGGCCGCGAGCATTACAGTATCTCGAGAGAAACTAGATAACGTTGTTTTTGTCTTGGAACCTATGTTAGGAACTACATCAAATTCGATCGTTAGTGTAATTAACTACGCTAAATGCGGTTAGGACGTCTTTATAGATAAATTTAGTCTAAAAATCTTGGTTACGGCAAAAAGTCTCACGCACTCGACTTAATCTATACATACATATTTTACTATGGTTCCCTTTTCCGTTTTGCGGATAGGATCAGTCGGCATTTAGTTGCTACAATTCCACTCACACTCAGTCACAGGCACACTATGATCGGCTTAAATTTATATGATAAATAAAAACAATTTTAAACAAATGCATTGGGAATGTTTACAACAAAAGAATCGCGTAATCTTCGAACATACATAAGAGCTAAAGATTTTCAGCCTCAGTCGGCGAAATGATTTTGTTAATATAACAATTTCAATATAAATTGCACTCACAAGTGCAATAATTTTGGCATTTTACATACAATTTTGTTGTACAATTATAAATTCATTAACTAATAAGATTAGGTTTGGTTTTTATAATAAGAGTACAAGAAGACACACAATGCAAGACAGGTTTTGTAAATTTTTTTTTTCTGGAACAATTCTTTTTTCATACGTTTATGTTTTATTAAATAAACCGAAACTTTAGAGTACAATAATATTGAAAATCTGCTGCGAAGACGGCGGTGCAGGATTGCTACTTGTTTGTTGTTTGATGATCCAGTGGCCATCAGTGTCTAAAATGTCCCACGCTGACTGTCCGTTCACTCTTCCATTGATCCTTCTGCTGCTACCAGGATTCTGGGTTGAGAGGTCGGAGAAATTCGGAGACAGTCCCCGTCCGTCGTTGGTAAAATCTTGTCAGCATTTCGGCTTATTTAAGTATGTCTAGGAGAACTATGCTGTATGCCATATTCATATCCTACGTATTGGTAATGTTAGATACAAATCGAAAATCTGTTAATTGTGGCTAGCTTGTTATCCCACCAAGCTGCGGCTTATTTGTTTGTTAATAGAGTGTGTTTAGTATATCTGTGTTTCATCTTTACTCTTGATTACGATTTACTGCGCTGCTCCAATCCCTCCGCTTAAGACAGTCAATGCCGGGAACGGTGCTCCTCGCGCCTGTCGCGATCACGCTCCCTCTCGCGGTCACGGTCTCGATCCCGGTCACGCCGTTCCCGGTCTGAGGAGCGGTACCGCTCACGGTCCTCATAGTACCGCTTCGATGAAGGCGCCTCTGCGGCCTCTGCAACTACAGGCTCTGGAGACTTTCGCGGACGAACTGATCGGCTGTTGTTGAAAATGGGACAATTTTAAAATTATGTTTTCTAGATGTTTTCTTTTTTCATTAGAATATGCAGAATATTTATGCTGCAAGACAATGCTTACAGAGGACCATTAAGTTAAAATGAAAAAAAAATTGTAAATTCAATTATGTGCGGTCGAGTTTATTTTACCTATCATCCCTGTAGTGATCTGGAGCCTGACGTTCCCGTTCTCTGCTTCGTGACCGCTCCCGATAGCTGCTGAAAGTTAAGAAAATAATTTTACAAAATTTGCATTTATTCTAATTTTATGATTTTGCTTACCCTCCATCACGATCCCGCTCGCGATCCCGATCGCGCTCACGCTCCCGTGAACGCTCACGATATCTAGACGTAGAGCGCTCTCGCCTCTGCCGGCTGCGATGGGATCGTTCCCTGGACCGCGACCTTTCGCGCCTGTTATAGCTCTTTGCCTCGATGCCATGCAGCGTGTCCTGCAACGAGCTTATAAGGATCTTGCAGCGCTCGTCGTGCGCAACCTTGGACTGTTTAATCAGCGAAATAGCCGTGACCAGCGTTTCAATCGCGCTTGAATATTCACCAGCGGCCGCATCAGAAACAGCTCTGAAACCAGAGATTGTCATTAAAAAAAAAGGCTAATAAAGGAGTAAACTCTACTGCATAAATCAAGAGAATTCAATTGGATGAATGAATATCGTTCGAAATTGAATGATATTTAAAAAAGCCTAATCAATTCGGTTTTTTGAGTTATGTGCGATTAAATAAGCTATTTTATTGCCATTTTTATTCTTAAGTGTGTTTATAATCAAACTAAATATTTTTCACTCACCTGGCGATCGCCGAACTGCTGACTGTGCGATTTCTGCTCATCACCTCCTCGAACTCCACCTCCGTGAGCTGGGGCCCCATCTGCTGAGGATCGGGGAACGGTCCTGGTGGCTTACCCTGCGGTGGCGGCCAAGGACCTCGCGGTCCATGCTGGGCGAACTGTGGCGGCGGTCCGTGCTGCGGAGGCATGTTCATGCCCTGTTGCGGCGGCATATTCATGCCTGGCTGCGGACCGGGGGCTCCGTGGGGCGGACCACCCATGCCCGGATGTTGGGCAGGGCCGCCGGGTGGGTTGAAAAAGGCCGGATTCACGTGGGGTGCAGGGGCGCCGTGCGGTCCGCCCGGTCCTGGCGCTGGTGGAAGGCCACGTGGCGGGCCCTGCGGCGGGAAACCGCCGTGCATGGGCGGACGACGCCAGTCGGGACCAGGTGGCCCCCTAACCGGCATGCCCATGGGTCCTCCTTGGAACTGGAAGGCAAAAATATCCGGATTAGTTAGGATAGCCAAAAATAAAAAAATACCTAGGCTAGGAAATGAGTTGGTGTTGCATGGGCTGATCTGTGAAATTACTTTAAATGTTCTGAATACATCGCTTAGGGCTAAGTTAACTACGGTTAACTTAAGTTCATGTTAGTCTTCGTCTCTCTATTTCGTTTTTCTCTTGCTTCGTTAGAGTATAAAGTATGGCATAAATTATAAGAGGACTCAGTGCTTTGGGGATTGTTACCATTGGTCGTTGCGGCGGTCCGTTCGGTGGACCTGGTCGTGGTCCGCCTGGCCGCTGACCTGGCCATTGGCCCTGCGCTGACGGATACCGGGGTGGCGGCTGTTGGTTGCCCATGAGCCCGCCTTGCGGATGCATCGGCGGCTATATTAATACGTATTACGTTTTATGTTGGAGTAGTAGTTGTTGTTGTGGGGTAGAAGTGTACGTAAGCGTTGTCAAAGACATGGAATAGAACATAAATCGTAATACATAAACATTTTGTATAACAATTGCTGGGGGTTTTACAGTAACAAATACTCGAAGAAGATACATTTACATAATTAAATAAAAAATATAGCTTATTTACGAATAAATAGAGGGTCATTTTAGGCCTTTCCGGCTCTAGATTTCAATTTATTACAATTGGTTTTTTTTTTACTGAAGGTCTAAGACTAAAGTACAAAAAATAAGAATGTCTTTGGCTGCCAAGTGCTACAAAAATTGCTCTGAAATTACTCGTAAATAAATCGAAATAAATTATTATGTAATGTACTTAAAAATCATAAACAACAACCTTAGAAACTTATTTTGTACGACAGCTTCAGTTTAGTTTAAGTTAACAAAAGAAATATGAGTAACTTCTGGAGAAAAGATCAATCACCAAATAAGGGACATCTTTATTTAAAAGCTACATATTAAGTCGCAATTTAAAAATCGTAGTGTCTTAAGATGCTTGATTTTTGTTAATGTTTTTACAAAATAAATATGAGTAGTTCCGTATATTAACATTTATAAATGAAATTACGAAATTTTTGTTTATAAACTATATATGGAGTTGTATTTTTAGGCTTTCTAATGTTACTTAAGTAAACAAATTTTGCATTCAGAACAATTTTAATGAAAATCGGAAATAATAAAATGTGCAGGAATGTATTAACAAAACAATATATATCCGAGAAATATTTCTACAAACAATGAGACCTATTAGAGCGATGCGGGGGCTAGTGAAAAGGAAACACACCTGCATGCGTGGAGGTCCGGCATTAGGTCCGCCCACCTGGGGCACCTGCGACATGTGCTGTGGTCGGTACTGACCCGGCTGCATGATGGTGTTCATTCCACGAGGGGGATGCCCAGGCGGTCCGCCTCCCTGCGGTCCGCCCGGATGTCCGGAGGGCATTGGTCCTCCGCCCATGCTCGGCGGTGCCGGACCCCTCGGCGGTCCATTCTGCTGCGGCGGCGGCACTGGTCGCGTCTTCTGCAGACTCTCGAACTGAGTGAGCGCCTGCTTGCTGGGGTACGTGACCACTGGCGCCTGGCCGTGCATCTCTTTCTTGGGCAGCTGGTCGAGGACGGCGCGCAAACTGGACTCCGAGCCGAGCGAGATAACGCTAAATCCCTTCGACTGGCCGTTGGCCCGGTTTTCGAAAAACTTTACCTCCTGCAGGTCACTCACGCCGATGTCCCTCAGTGAATTGGCGATGTCCTGGTCAGTGGTCCACCAGGTGAGATTGCCCACGTACAACTGGTAGCGGCGGTTCATGGTCGGAGTGAGGCTACCACCGCTCTGATGGTAAACCCCGTTCGGACCGCCGGAAATTCGATCGCCAGAGTCCCCGGAACCGGGTCCCGCGGATCCATCCGCTGAGGGCGTGCCGCCACCCCTCCACCGGAAGCGGCCGCTTCGGTCGGACCGCCAATATCATCGTATAAATCGACGCCATCTCCTCCAAATTCGTCCTGTTCAGAACAAAGAAGTTTGTGTTTTAGTTAAAATACTTGATCGCTTAAGTAATTTTCATTATCGGAAACCAAGTCAGCATGAAAATAAAACTGGATCACTTGATTTAAGGAAATCCTTTGATACTTGGTTGCAAGAGTTATTCTTGAGCTTGCTTTGCCGGCATTTATATATTTTCAAAGATAAAAAAAGTGATCTTATTCTTGTTCCCTGCCGTAATTAAATAGATGTAAAATATACTTTAAAATATAAGAACTAGTTTTTACTTTACAAAAAAGATTTAAAAATCTAGGATACCATGTGTTTGTGTCCACCCAGTTAGCATTCCACCCCCTAACACTTCTTTTCGGCACATCGATCCACCCTAGTGTATACATACACACGCGCTCGAAAGGCGAGTCCTCTATTTTTTCGCTATATTACCTGAGCCTGCCCGGCAAAGTCCTTGTCCAGGTCCTCCGCGTACAGATCCAAGACCACGTCGGCCATGCTAAGCCACAAAAGCGGATATCTCTAGGCGTAATTACAGATTTTCCGCCGCTTTTTCCAACTTTCGCACGCACACAAACACACACGGCACTCGTTCTATCTCTGTCGCACTCACGCTTCGTACAGTTTTCAGAGCAAGCCGGAGCAAAAACCGGCGTGCTGCTCCTCGCTTTTGTAGGAGAATCACTCCTCTCAACAATTAGCACGGTAATTGCCTTAGCCCGCTGATGTCCGTATTAAAAATCCAAAACTATTTACATTCTACTCGGGCACGAAATATTTTCTCCTATCTTGCAAAAAATGTTCAGCGTAAAATGGCGGAGCGGTGCAGTATGGCCGTTTGCGAAGCCGAAACAATATGCTTATTTGGTACCGATAGCGTGACCATCGATAACTTACAAAGAAAATATCGATTCTAATAAAAGGTTGTAAACATGGTTTAATCGCTCGCAATGTAAATTTAACCGTTAAATATCTATAATAAAATTGATTTAATATTTAGGTTTTTTAGGGTTTAAAATAGGTTTTTTATACAAGCCATGTTAATCATGTAAATGTATTTATTCGAAATATATAAAATACAAATCAAAAACAATCTAACTAGAATTAGTGATTTATTTTAAATTCATACCTACTTTGACTAAAGTTAATACAAATAGAACAAATAAATTTTAGTAGACCACCAACTACGCACATATTAATATTGCCTAAATTACAGTTTCTGTCCAAAAAATAAAGGCATGCATAAATTACACTCAGACTCAAATGGAAGCTGACCGTGTCACTTGCACAACTAGACAGCGCACTTGGCCAACGCTCCAAATTTAGAATTTAAATATAGCAATTAAGCTGATTTATGCAGACCGTCTGCAAGTTACAATAATTGTTGCTAACAACTCGGGTCTCTAAAATCCTCGAGCTAACCGGAGGCTGGGAACCCAAGAGAATTGTGGCGCCGTTGGCTTGTATGCAAATGCGCGGCGAAAAATTAAAAAAAAAAATCGAGACAAGATTTTTTACTCGGGCATGTGAAAAACACATATCCCGAAATCTAGTGCATGATTAGCCATGTTATTCTTTTTTTCTTGATTTTTTTGGTAGTCCACCTGTTGGTATTTAGTATTTACCACAGACTTTTGACTCCCATGTGTTAGCCGCGTTAATGAATTGCCTTAAATGTCAATTACCACTGGCTTTTATCGTTCAATCTTAACAAACGGCAATTATAATTGGTGCTCTCGGCTCATGCGATTGTGTTTAATTAACGACGACTATTTAACTGCTGGGTAATAACGATCTTTAGGCCCGACCATTACAATCAATCGATTTGTAGATGTATTTGCCTGCCGCTCAGCGCGATTCAAACCTGAGCACATGTAATTGAGTTATTGGAAATTGGATTTTTGTGATTTACATATTTTTTCAAGGTGGGCGGTTCTTCGCAAAGCGATTACGCATTTGGAAATTGGTTTTATGTTGGGGGCGAGGGTGCAGTCAGATAAAATTCTTGGCTAATCGCAGACGTTTCTGGGACAGAGAAGCAGTTAAAGGTGCGACATAAGAGGACGTGGGGATAGTAAAAAAGCAATATGGTAAAATATATATTTTTTTACAGCACAAAAAACTTCTTAAAATATTTTAAAATTAATTATTCTTTACACGAGTAAATACTGTATTTTATTGCTCATCTGCATGGTGTTGTTGGCTGGCTGACACCAATGTTCCACACGTGTTATTTTGATTTCATTGATCACTTAGAACTACATAATGGCCACCACTTTTATCTATTGCACCCCATCGGCCATTTCGGACATGCGTAAGTCATGTCAGAAATTTATTGCGTGACCATTGGCGCGGATACTTAATCATAAAGCGGCACCGCTGCTACCAAAGTGCCAACTTGCAACTTCCAATTTTTACTGCCAGAAGCCGTGGAGCACTTGGCCAGTTGGGCAATGAATACCCAAAGCAGAGCCTGGCAGAACATAAATCTCACACCAGAGCCGGCCATCAAGTGCACCTACACAGCGTGCAGCGGTTCGATTTGACTCGATTCGCTTCGATTCGATTCGGTCCTGGCCAAGTGTCGAGGTGCCAATTAAGGCTACACACTGCTGGGTATTTTGACCATATCATACTCGCTGCATGGATAATTCGGTTTTTTTTTTTATTTGTTTGTTTCAGTTGCAGCTCTTTTGAGCGTCCAAAATGGACCAGGCCGAGTGTCATTTGATTCTTGTGGCAGGCTGGCGGCGTTTCATGCGCCTTTGACATGCAACCAGGGTCCAAATCCAAAGCTCCGTGGCGAGTCGGCACAGTTTACACGAATCAACAAAACAGCAACAACAAACTAAAGCAAAAAGCAACAAAAAATTACGAAATTTGTCGTCTGACAAAAAGCTAAGAAAACGATATAAATTAAATTTACGATTTTGGTGCTCATTAAATGTTCACAACTTTGGGCCCAGCGAGGCATTTTTGTTTTTTTTTTCGTATTCGGTTGCAAAATTAGAACATCGCTTTGGGAAATCGGCAAAATGCAGTTAATTGTTTTTAGCTCTTGTTACAGTTTCGGTTTTCTCGCGATTGTCACAAATTGAATAATGTCTCAATTGCGGAGCCGCGGAGTTTGGAGAACATTCAAACATTCAGACTGTTTGCAATTGTTTGCCGCAGTTTAAGGCGACTAATTACGTGCCGATCCGGCGATCGGGGGCTATTGTATAATCGTGCCGTTTGATATATATCCTGGCACAGCTGGCCGATCCAGAAAAAAAGTGAAAGGCAAACATGCAACGCCCACTTCTCGCCGGGACACTCGGTGACCGAGCGAGTGTAACTAGATTATTATATAATTGTTACCATTTGACTAATTTGCCTCTGGCCAGATAAAAAGCCGAGCGAAAAACGAGGAAAGCTGGTCTCGCGAAAGGCGGCAAAAGGGGCCCAGATCTGGCCAACTGGTAGCCATTTGCCATCTCACGTTGGCTAAGCCACTGGCAATCGCACCACTGACCAACATTTGCGACTATGGACGCCAGCAACCGGCTGCCAGCCGAGCCACTCCGAATATGGGTCACCGACGTGAGCTAAGCCATGCATCAATTCCAATCTTAATTGCCAATCATCAATGAAAGCTAGCATAAGGAAAGAAAAGTGATAATTTAACCGAGAGCATCAGCTTTAATTCCTGGATGTATTCTACAATCTGGGGTGCATTCGGCTCGGAAAGTTACGGACTCTTTTGCAATGACTAAGCTTGTTAAACCATTTAATGTAGCCTCTTTTCGTGTGGAACTGCAATGGCCTCTGGAAATCCCTCAGTCCATCTTGCTGCGCAAAAGCTGAAGAAGTAAGAAGTAGTTATGTTTGGAAAATATAAAAATTCAATTAATAATTACTTTTATAATCTCTTTTAGAACGCTTGGATCGCGTTGGCGGCCAGACACTGGGCAAGTTGATAACGACCAGACGGGATAGGCAGATCATTGCAAAAGCTAATAAATCAAATAAAAAATTTACTATTATAATTTTTCCCGATAATCCCCGTTACCGTTTTCGTGTGCTCGACTTGTGTGTAAAAGAAGGCAACTGAATGAAAAATCCACAGCAAACTGATCGAGTTAACTTTCCCACTTCGCTTTCATTAGGCGCGTGTTAGTTTTGCAATCGAGAGTGGAGAGAAGCTGACCAGGCTCAGACTTCAGACTCGTTCCAGATCGAGATCTCGGTCTCCGTTCCCCGTTTCCGTCCCCGTCCCCTTTTTGAATCCCAGCTCCATCCTCGACTGCCTTTTGGCTGGTGCAAATGAAATGGAAAACGAAGCCAAAGCGGGTTTTTGCTCGAAATGGGGCAGAAGCCGGCACTGCGATGCCTTACATAACCGACCATAGAAAAAGCACACACGTGCACTTAGCTAAATTACGAATGCTTACTTTTGCAATACGAATAAAAAGTATTTATTTTTTAGAATTTGCGAACCTTAAGAGTATAAATCTAACGAATTAAAATAAAATAAGTATAAGAGTAAGTATTAGGAAACAATTTAACAAATATGTGCTCTTCCATTGCATTGGTAAATATTTTAAGGTAAGAGGATCACTTTAATAAATTAATAAATTTACATAGTAAATTTAAAACTATTCAGTATTTTCTCTCTAATTCAGGGAAAACAGTTTTCCCAGTGTAATAGCACAGTGGCATGTGCAAGTTATCTGGCCACAGAGATCTTTCCTGGCCGGCTAGGACACCCCAGTTAGTGGGCCGATGTCAGCCGCAAAAAAAAAAGAAAAGAAAAAGGAACAAAATAAAAACAAATTCAGATTGAGATTCAGTCGGATTCAGATTCGCAGGCAGTAGCAACACGACTATCATAGCTGGCATGTGGCTTAGTTTCGCTTTAATAGCGCCGACCGACAGGCATTTGCATTGCGCCACTTCGGAGTCATAATGCAGTGACACATTTGTTGCGTGGCTATTGCCTGTTGGCTATTGGCTGTTGGCTATTGACTGCTGGCTGTGTTGCAGGCAGCCGCTAAAGGGCAAACGAGCTGCGTCTTAATTACGTTAATGGCAGCCAAAAAAGAGATTCGCATTTGCAGTCGATCCATGTGCGATTCTCGTTGCCTCAGCCACTCGGCATTTGTGTAATGTGGGTAATTAAGCTTGGCTTTCTGCGCACACCGATGCACCCAACGAGTTTTCCCACGATGGCCACTAAAGGCCCAATCCCCCTAAACAGCCGACCGACTACTGTGCGCACTGCGCACACAACAAACTGCCGCCAAGTACCAGAGGCCAATGATATATGCATTTTTCAGCCGGGCCAACAATGGTTGCCTCTGCGCGCGTTGCTTATAAATTAGAAGCACTCGAAATAATAGCCATATTTTGCCTGCTTTTCGCCGCTTTTGGTTTTTTTCTATATTTTTCCTACTTCTCTGGCAGACCCTCAGAAAAAGGTCAAAGCTTCAACGGCTGCAGCTGCGCTTGTCTGTAATCCGTGGAGGTGGTTTATCTTGGCCATCGGCGGCAGTTCCATGTTCGATTTTTTGGCCACTTGCACAGGGGGAAAATATAATCAGTTGCCATCAACACTGCCTTTTTTAATAGTTTTGTTTTGTTAATTAATACATTGGCAAGCCACGTTTAAAAAATAGTTGGCAAAGGATATCGAAGGGTACTTTTCTCAGTTAAGAAGTTAAGTTAAGATTGATTACAATGAGTTCGGTCTGAAAAGTCATGTTTTTATGATGTCATTTAGGCATTGAATCAATATTTTTATCAAATGTTTAAACCACTTTTAAACGCCCTTTTTGATTTCTAAAGGAAGAAGGTATGCTTTGTTAATCATTTCTCTCTGTGTGGCTAACTAGCTGGCAGACTGAACGCACTTAAAGCGATTTTCAAGCCGAACAAATTGCGCCGCGATGTGCGCTGGTCAATCAGGGATCGTGGCATTTAAGAGAATACTCTTTCGAGCCCCTTCAACTCACCTCTCAACTTGGCCCATGCGAATCGATGACGTCAGGTGGCGGGCATTGTGTAAACCCTCGATGGGGGAATGCTGCAACTTGCGGCCGCGTCATCAACGTCATCGGTTGACCACATCCCTGCAGAGCTGAAGTTCCACTTGGCTGCTTTCCACTGAAGCGCATAATTTCACGGAAATGCTTGCGGCCAGAAGACGGAGAGACATTTCCCCGCCGAAAATCGATGGCTGTATAAATAGCCGACAAGTGCGATATTTCACGCTTAGTATGCAAGAATCGGGGGATCGCAGGGTCCCGACTTCCAGCCAATTTCGAACTGGTGAACACATAGAGCCATGAAGAAGCGACGCATAACCAGTCCGGCGGGGGACACAGATGAATATGGATTTGTTGGCCCCGAAGAGGCGAAGATTCCAACTCGTTTCGGCTTCCGCATTGCGTTGCCACGAACAGCACGCGTTTGCCACGCGTGGCGGCTCCTCAAAGATTGGCTGCCGCTAATTGCTGGATTCGGAATGATTGGCGCATGCGCAGCGGTCGGCTACTCCTATACGCGGTTCGAGGGTCCGGTGGCGGGACCGGAGCACCTGGTCACCGTCCACGACGGACGCACCGTCGACTATGTGGCCCGGCCCGAGTACAGCTTCGCCTATGGCGTCGAGGATGGCAAGACGCGCGTGCTGCAGAATCGCAAGGAGACGCGCCACGGCGACGAGGTGCGCGGCGTCTACAGGTGAGTCTTGAGTCTTGAGGCTTGAGTCTTCAGTCTCGACTAGTGGTCACTGGACTTCCAGGAGGGGGAAGGGGCATCGCTGGCGATGCTGGGGACAACTTGTCAACGCATTCATTAGCGTCACACTGAGCTGAAATCTATATGGCATCGAGCGCACTTAATACCACTTAATTCATCAGTAACAGGGAAAGAGTGATGTGAGCACTGGAATAACAAGAAAACAAACATCAGACCCATTACATATTACCACAAATTCGTCTGTTTGATCAAAGATGTTTTACAATTTCAAAACAAAGTTTAAGAGTTATTTAGCAAATATTAGAAAAAACAGGTCCTTTATATTAATTAAAACATTAAATTTATGATTAAAAGCAGTTACCTGTATCCAAAGCAATTTTGTGTTTAAAAGAAAACTCAGTTAATCAAATCAAAGAGCTATATGGTATCAAAACTAAAAAAAAAACAGAATTCTTGTAAATTTCAAATCAGTTTCATGTCATCAACAATTTACGTAATGACTTGCTAATATTAATTATTATTAACCACCGACTTAACACCAATTACACACCTCGCTACAAGCATTAAAGCCCGCGTTGAATTAATTTTATTTCTTTATTTTCATTTTCCATGGCCTCCACGCAGCGTAGTCGATCCGGATGGCACTTTGCGTGTGGTTAAATACACGGCCGACGATGCCAACGGCTTTCAGGCGGAGGTTATTACGAACGGTGTGAAAACTCTGCATGGCCATGGGGCCGAGGGGGATGCGGGTGGCGGGGCGGTGGACAACCAGGTGAGGCACGACAGCTCCGAGGCCCAAGGAGCGCCAGCGGAGGAGGGGGACGAGGAGGAGGAGGAGGAGGAGGGGGAACGGGCACCACACCGAGCTCCCCACAAGGGAAACGGGCAATACGAAGTCCACGAGGACTACGACGAAGGAGGCGGCGAGGGGGAGAAGCAGGAGGAGGGGGAGGAGGAGGGCGACCACCAGGAGTACGAGGGCAGCAGCGAAGAGGGATACGTGGAGGCAGATGCTCACAGTCAGCAGGAGGAGGCCAGCAGCGAGGATTACTAGATGAGCACTAAAAAAATGAATCACACTATAAATTATTAAAAGCATATTTTATATATTTATTGTGATAGAACAAAAAAACCATATAAAATATCTTCAAAATATATTACCAAAAAATACAAAAAAATATATACTTTTAAGTAATGATGATTAAGATTGTTATGATTGATATAAAATATGTTTAATCCCATAATTGAGTCGGATATCTTTGCATAATCCAGAGACTCCTGTCTCAATGGAGTAAGAAATGTGAGGAAAACCGCTAATTGAAATATCTGGCGAGCTTTTGTCGCTAGTTCATCGCAGTTCAAGGGGGGCAAGGGGGGCAAGGGGGCGATTTTACGCAACCAGCACATCAACATCACCGTCAAGTGGATGTGTGTACATATAATACACACGAGTATATCGGCCAGGCTGTCCGTAGGAGCCCCGATTCCGACCGACTTTGTTTCAATTTTCGATCTCGATCTCGATCTCGTTTTCTTTTTTTCATTTTCACATGGACTCAATCAAGCGGCTCGATGGACAGGCGAGTTTGATGCAAGCTCGGAAAATCTATTTTCCCCCTCGTGGCATGCGTGATCCACTTTGGCCTGGATGGTGGTGCTGTTGGTGGTGGTTCCATTTCGTCACTCGTTTAATTTGAAACGCGCAAATGCGCAAAATCGCATTAAATGTGCGAAATGCAGAGAGCTGACTCGAAAGTGGATCAAACGACGTCTGGTTGTGCCAGCGATGCGGTAATAATGCTGAAATGCCGACCAGCCGACCAGCCAGCCAGCCTCACCAAGTTGGCGTCGGTAATCTCACAATTGAGCCGGCGACGAAATTGGGCTGACGGCTCCAACCGGACCGGGCTAATTGACAGCCAACTTATGGTCCACTAATAACCCCCGGCTAGAATGAAAGACCAAAAACCCCACTAAACATGGTTAGCATGCGTCTGCTTTGAGCGTGCAAGAATTCCCAGTTGGAAATGTTTTAATTAGCCAGCGACACACGATGCCGGGATGTAATTGAATAGCAAAAGGGTTTCGGAAGTGCCGCGATTACGCAACATCCCACCGGATGTGATCTTTGTGGAAGTGGCTCACCGGATATGGCCCGTTACGTATACGCAGCGTTGTGCAACGCTTATGGATCACATTGCGTGGAATGCGCACTGCACTCACTTTCTAATTGTACCCACCTCGGGCTATTGTCCAGTTAGAGATAATGCCAAGCCAAAAGACCTTCGAGTCTCAATCACGAAAGAAACAAAAATCGCTTTGCTTACTGCATAAATCAAGCCACAAATCTATAACTGTCAAGTCATTTAAGCCAATGGGTAAATTTTTAGAAAAATGCCAAGCCAACCAGGAGGTCGACTAAGCGATGACTAGTAGGGAGAATAGGAGTTTGCAGTAAATATATTTAAGTAACTAGAAATGCTTGAAAAGCTTAGTAGTATCAGTATACTTATAAAATGTTATGAGAAAATAAAAATTTAAATACGACCCTCATTGAAAGCAATATTATTATTTATATAAATTTTTAAATACTACAAAAAATTAAATCCAAAAAACACCCATTCACCAACGAATATACCTTTATAAACTTCAAATTTCAGTGTTCCCAAAGCCATGCAAAGTGCGTTTAAATGTTCAATAGATCCATTAACCCCGCCCCAACTGCCGCCCTCCCACATGAAACCATTGTCCAAACATAGGCAAACAAACTGCCAGATCGGCGGACATAAATCAAGATAAAATGCTTGTTCTAGTTATCGACAGACGGAGCAGTAAATATAATAAATCTCGAGCTAAGCGGCCAGAGATATGGTTATGGATCGAGGGGGATTATAGTGAAGCCGTGCGTGGACAAGTGCAATTAACGCATGCAAAACAATTCGAATTTCGATCGATCAAGCTGTGTCGCTTGGCGGGATTATTGCGCAACCGGCGATCCAGACGAAGACAAAGACAAAGCTTGTCGTAGTCATTGCGATTTTCCAACTGTCTTGTCCGGTGACCAACTAACCAACTAACCAACTAACCGTCGAACCATCTAAACCGAACCCCAGCAACTCCTGACTCTGTCAAAGTGCGATCGTGACGTGGCCAACTTGTTTGGCCCGGACTCTTTTTTCCTCCTTTTTTTTTTTGGTTTTTGTTTTTTTGTTTTTCTTGGTTAGCCGTTGGTTGGCAATTGTTTCGAGCGATTTTCGGCCAGCCGTGTAAATGTGTCGCCTTTAAAGCCGTTTTATGTAAGTCGATTCTGTGTCTTTGTCTCGGCTTTCCATGCTAATGGCCAGGCCCATACCAAAGTGATCTCGTATAGTGCGATCTGAGTATCTGTTGGTCTGCCTCGATTTTGTATATTTTTTTTGTTTCGACCAACTCTTTTTGCACCTAGCAAACGAACATTGAGTTTTTTTCCCATCGTTTGCTCAGCCGGCAGGCTAGTTCCCCTTCGCCCACCGCAGCCCTCGGCTGTTTGTCTCCATTTAATGGCCACTTGTGTGTGTTTTATAAGATACAATCATAATTTTCTGATATGTCATGCCAGAGCGGTTTTTGTTTGTTGTGGGTGTTGCCTGAAAAAGTGTCAAAAAACAAACGGATTTTTGGGAGTTGAGCAAGCTGGAATGCTTTACTCTAAAGTTAATTTTTTGTTTGGATGATTGAGGATTAAAATAGAAAACAATTTGGGAAGTTGCAATGGTAAGTAAATATGACCTTTGAACATTTACTTTCATTGGATTACTCTTATAAAATACTTGTAATAACCATACATTTTTAAAAACACAATTAGCAATAAATCATAACATTATTACCAAGACCAATTAAAGTCTTGTATAAATATGTATCCAGTTTTTAGTATAACACGCATTCCCTCACATATTTATTGTTAATCGATTCCGACCGATTCCAGTTTGCTTAAAAGCAATGAGGAACTTATAAATATAAATTGAGCGAATTATTAGTACAATATTTATGGGCATTCCCCAGCAATCTATTAGCTAAAATTCCGCCCAATATTTATCATTTCTCGCAATCTTGGCGACAAACATTTGTCACATGCCTCGGCAAAAATTGATTGAGCCGCGTTTGATTTGCTTAGCCAAGTCAAAGTATTTGCCAACATCGAAATTCCGCTCACAGTTCTCCATCCAGATCGTGGAAATAACAAACTGAAGTCGGGCGCAAAAATGTCAGGCAACAAATTGCGTGGCATGAAACTACGCAAGTTGGTGTTTTTTTCTTGGATTTTTTTTTGTTATTTTCTGGTGTTGGCGTGGTAATTATAACGACGCCCGTTTGATTGCCACAGATATGGTAATAATGTTTTTCGGCCAGGCTGAGCAGTTTGGCAGACCCGAACCGATCGTAATTATGTCGGCAAATCAATAAATAAAGAGCTTAGATCATTAGAGCCAATGCTAAAAGTGTCGCTTTCAATTGCAGCGCCGTCACCAGCGAGAGGCAGACAAACCAACCAACCAACAAGCAGGCAAACAGTCAGCGAAACTAAGTCACCGAACGCCTTCTCGGGCCGAGAAACAAATGCCGCACCTAACTGCGCGTTTCGAAGGGGGGGGAGAGGAGGGAAGCACAATTTCGGGGGGATCATTGTTGTGGCACATGCGTGGTATGCTGCGCCACCGCACCACTGCACCAGCACCACCACCACCCACCGCAGCCCACCGGTGGCACAGCTGCACCGCTGCCATCGTTCGTTCGCTCCAGTCGTCTTTGGTCGGGTTGCAGTCGTCGGCGAGCGACGCGTATATAAATACTTTTGGTCATCGTTGCAGACATCAGTTCAGCTAACGATTTCGTGCTCTTAACGGTCCTCACTCACTCGAGCTCTCCTCACAACACAGCCGCCTCCAAGCAGGAATCACAGCGTCCAGTCATCAGTCGTCCTTCGTCCTTGTCTTTTATAGCTACGTGTTCGCGCCGCGTGTCCGTTCGTGCTCGATAATTGAAAATGAAGGTGTGTGCTCGCCCCCTTAATGGTTTCCCCAAGTGCAGTCCCCCCGATCCTGATGCTCACTTCCAATCCACTCCAATCCACTCTCTAGTACTTCGTTGCCATCGCTCTGCTGTTCGCCGCCGCCCAGGCCGTTCCCATCGAGCTGGGTCACTACGCCCCGGTGGTGCACCATGCGCCCATCCTGTCGCACGCCGTCCATGCCGTCCACGCCGAGCCGGTGGCCTACCCCAAGTACTCCTTCAACTACGGCATCAAGGATCCCCACACCGGCGACATCAAGTCGCAGGCCGAGGAGCGCGACGGCGATGTGGTGAAGGGTAAGTGACCAAGAGGTATTAATTTGGGAAAAATATTCCGATTGGACTTGAGATTTAGATTTTATGTAAATAATGCTTAGCATAACCTTTCTAAACTTAAGGAAACGGAAAGCAAACCTTAATTAATGCATGCAAAGTTCTAAAAACAAAAGACTTAGGAAACAAACTTTAAAAATTACTCTGAGGCAAAAAGACTTAGGAAACGAACTGGAATGATTATTTTTGCTTTCAAACAAATGACTTAGGCAACGAACTTGACTTTAAAAATAACTTTTTTTAAGTAATATAAAACTTGCCTTTTACAAAAAGAATCGGTTAAATGCTAATTAAAAGTTCTATGTTTTAATGTTCCCAAAATGCAATCTATATAACAACTATCTATATAACAACAAATAACAAAAATATTTAATAATTTTGTACAAAGTATTTTGTTATTATTTACTCGTTGCTTTTTAGTATTTAATTTTCACAAAATAAATGTCTTGAAAGTCTTATTTCAAATATAATTAAGACATTTAAATGCATAAGTAGCCATGTAACAGTGTTAGTTTATGAGGAAAGTAAACCTGACATTTACGACACCCAAACAGTTTGTTTAAACAGCCGAGTAGTTTTTTAGTTAGGTTAGTTAACTTAAACAAATTTGAAGAAAATGACTTTACAACGTGTCACTTGTTTTGCTACTTTAAAGTAGCCTTACTTATTGTATTGTGTATATTTTACTGACCCATTTATGGCTCTATGCCCATCCTATCCCCTCCCATTTTTAGGCCAGTACTCCCTGGTGGAGCCCGACGGTTCGGTGCGCACCGTTGACTACACCGCCGATGATCACAACGGATTCAATGCCGTCGTCCACAAGACCGCCCCCACCAAGATCATCGCCCATGCGCCCGTGATCCACGCCGCCCCCGTGCTGGCCCACGCCCCCCTGCTGCATCACTACTAGAAAAGCGGGAGCCTGACTTAGTCACCAAGGTGCTCTCCCTCTCGCTCTCATCCATCCACAACCACAACAGCAACATCATAGGAACAACAAACAGAAAAACGAAAAGAAAACCAAAAAAAAAAAAAACAAACAAACAAACAAACAATTATCGAAAAACCGACAAGCAACGAACATGAAAATTCTTTTGTAGGTAAGCGTAGCTAAGAGTTTAGTAGACACGGGGCCGCCTTAGGGGGCGTGTCCCGGCACCCGGCTGATCCTGGCATGGCACAAGGACGAAGGAAAAAACGAAAATGAAAACACAAATTCATAACGACTTGGCATTCGGAATGACTTGATCGCGGATGACAAACCCACAAACGGATAACAATTGGAGCTGGAGTGACAAAGTCCTTCCGCACGATAAATGTTATAATTTTTTTTGTATATTTGTATGTACGATTAACCAGAACCGATTTTCCTGGCAAACTTTTGCACGCAAACCCACTTCAAGGACGTCAAAGGCTTCTCTTAGGACTTCTCCTCACTCTGTACATAGAACTTTATTTATATACTTAGATCTTTCACTTTTCCAAGCTCAACTTTTGTAATATATTTATCACTGTCTCTCTTCTACGCTTCGTTTTCCCCTTCCTCAACTATCTTCTTTAGAAGCCTTTGCAGTGACTGCCAAACTGTGGACAGCATCCTTAAACTGGCACGCCCTTTTGCGAGCAACGGTGGGCGTGCCAACTTGTGTGCCATTGCGGGATTGCTGACAGGTTGGCAGGTCAATATTTAGTCCTTGAAGGGATTGGATCAAAGATTGCCGGCGATGGGCCGGTCATTGTGCATTAGTAGCTAGTACTCTAGAACTCCCCAGCTGTTATCCTCGTGACCTCATGCCGCCTCTTTCTTCCACTCTCACCCGTCTCACTCACTCACTACTCACTCTCAATCTCTCTCCTTCTCTTACTATATCTCTCACTCACTCACTCTCAGTCTGACACCTTTGTATCTAGTTTCATTTTTGCATTTAGTATTTGTCACATTTATTGTGTATTTATAAACAATTATGCAGCTTAATTTTAAACAACAAACGATGAAAAAACGTAAAAAAAAATCAACAAAAAAATAAACATTGTACTCAATTAGGAGATTAAACGAAAAGTAAACAAACTCTCACATGTCTCTCACGTCTCAAAAGTTCATTTGAGTCTTACACTTATGTACTATATATTCCCCATAAACATTTGTATGCAAAAACAAGAACAACAACAGCAGCAAACAGCAAACGAAATGCGAAAACGTTATTATGGAAATAGAAAGAAAAAACTAAAAAAAAAAATAAATAAAAAATCATATTTAAAAAAAAAACTATTCAGTCTACTCTTCTTTTGTGGGTTGGTTTTCGAATTACAACGAAGGTCGCTAAGATTAGCATGGTGTGGCTATAATTATTACTTTAATTATGCCAAGCAGAAAAAAGCGAAAAAATTACTTAGCATTCCGGCGAAGTATTCCTAATGGGGATTCGCACCCACTCTGAGGGCCTCTCCATTTCGTTTTGGGTTCTCGGTTCTTCAGTCAGCCTGTGCCATCGAAAGTACGCGGAACTCTCCGGTCGAAAATAATTGAAACCGAAATAAATGTGATTTATCTATAGGCGAAAGCATTAAAATTCAGCATGGGATGTTCGACAAATTTGTTTTTGTTCTTTGTAAGTGCGTAGGAACAGACAGATCAACAAAAGATATTTTTAAATATAATAGTTCATTTTATCAATTGATAATTTTGACTGAAATATAATATATAAAATTGTGCTTCTTGATATTGAGAACGTTTTATTTTAAATAAAAGTTTCCAAGTAACAAAGAACAAAAAGGTGTCAAAAAACGTAACAAACTAACTTTCTTTACATATGTGACTCGAAATCGATTCAAAATCGTTTGTTGAATAATCTCTTAAAAATTGATATAAAATGCAATACGTGCTCTAACCAAAATTAAATAAAAAAACTAGAATGTACCTACAGAAATATATGGACATTGATTGAATTATAAATCTTGTTAAAAAAAATGCAAAACCACATATATAAGACTATCCCTTAAATAGTGAAAATAAATAAAGAAAAATTATTTATATAAGGAAATAAATTATTAAAGCTTTGATTAAACTTTCCCTAATATATGCTACAAATTTGTCTTTACGATTAGATTCTCGTATTGATCGCAAAAGTATACGCCGCGTTGGCCAGTCCATTGGCTGCTAAAAGCGAAGTATACGAAAAGACAGCAGCTAAAAATGAAAGTGCAAGAGCCAAAGTGAGCAACTATTTTCTGCACGAGCCCTACGGTAGGCAATATAAAAGATTTTAACTTTGTTACCTTTTATAATAATATTTAACTAACAGGTCCCAACACCTATTCCTTTGGCTATACAATCGACGATCCGCAGACGCAGAACTCTCAGTTCCGAGAGGAAAAACGCTTCGTGAATGGAAGCATTTTGGGAAGCTATGGATATGCAAGGCCCGATGGACGAATCGAGGTAACCAAATATATGGCTGATGAGGAAAGGGGATACTCTGCTCAGATTGAGGTCTTCAAAGAGGGAGATGAGCAGGTGAAATCAGTTTGGCCAACCGAAAGACCTGATATCCTTGTGGAGAGAAGCAAAACGGACACCCTTAAAAATGTTACTTGGGATCCCAAGAGCCATCTCAACGTGAGCGTCTCCCACGTGGCAGATCATGTAGCCCAGCAACTGAAGGAGCAGCATGGACTCGATCTGAACCACATTGATGTGACCAAGGATGTGCTAAAGCCAGCGGTTCTCAATGTAATTCAGGGCAAGGAACCAGTTAAGGCTCATCCAGTCGAGAATCTTATACCCCACCAGTTTCCCATCGTTCCCTTTCAATTGCCAGTGGCAAAAGAAACCAGCACCAAGGACATGACTACAACTGTAGAACCCAAGATAACCGAAAGTTCAAAATACAACAAGGCCAAAACCAACAATGCCGAGAAGGCTCCTCAAGTCGAGGAGACAGAGGCCCGTTTACCACCACCCATTCCACTGGTGGATAGTACTCCAAGCCATGCAAATTGGCAACAGCGAACCATTGAGGCAAATCGCCGCGAATTCCTGGACAATTTACCCAACTTAAGTCAGGCTAGGCCAGAGTAAATGTTTGAAAATGTTTCACCAGGCCAAAGTAAATGCTAAGAAAATCAGAAAAGAGGATAGCTAGTAATTCAAATTGTGCAAATAAAAATAATGCAGTAATATTTAATTAATGAAATAAATATATTTAAAGAACAAGAAAGGAAGCTATGACAACTTTTCTATTAATTTTCCATATTTTCGACTATAGATCATATGACAGCTATAAGATATAGTTATCAAGATATAGAAATCAAGTCGATCTGATGAAAACCAACGGCATGAGAATTTTTTATTTCATTCCCTCGTATGGGAGCTATCCGATATAGTCGGCCGATCCGGCCCGTTCCGACTTACATATATACTGCGTGCAATGACTACACACCTTTTGGGAAAGGTTCATCAAGATAGCTTTAAAACTGAGAGACTAGTGTGCGCGGAAACGGACAGGAGGACAGACGGACAGACATATTCTGATTCTTCTCGTGATGCTGATCAAGAATATATATACTTTGTGGGGTCTGAGGTGTTTCCTTCACTGCGTTGCAAACTTCTGACTGAAATTATAATACCCTTTTGCTCTGCAAGGGTATAAAAATGGGGAAAAAGGCTCTTAGCTTAAATTGTATACACTTAAAAACCACATTGGATTTCATTCAAAAAAATTAAAAAAAAAAGTAAAAATGCATAGCAAACATTTTTATCTATGGATTTTTATGCATTTTATTGGAAATCAAAATACAATTGGATTAGATTCGCTTAACCTTAGGGGAAACCTATATATTCTCCTCCAGCTCTGGACCACATCAACATTCGCAATCATGAGGTATATGTTGTTGGTCGTCGTCGCTATTCTGGCTATGGTTAACTTAGGAGACGCAATGGAGAGACGGGAACTAAGACCCGGTAAACGCTAATCAAAGCTGACAAGAAAGGAAGCTAGTTTCGGCAAGCCGAAGCTTATATACCCTTGCAGTCATCAAATATGCCAAACAAAATATATAAAGGCTAAACAACATCGAAGCTATGACAACTTTTCTATTAATTTTCCATATTTTCAACTATAGATCATGTGGCAGCTATAAGATATAGTTATCAAGATATAGAAATCAAGTCGATCTGATGAAAAACAACGGCGTTAGAATTTTTTATTTCATTCCCTCGTATGGGAGCTATCCGATATAGTCGGCTGATCTTCTGACTGAAATTATAATACCCTTTTGCTCTGCAAGGGTATAAAAATATACTAAAGGTGTCTTTCAAATAAACAAAGCACTGCCTTAATCTTATAAAAAAGATATGTGGTAACACATATTTAACTATCTAGAATGGAATATAAGTTAAACAAAATATTAGAAGAATAGATAGAAATTCTTCTAGCATTTTTGTAACAAAAATGTACATACAATTGTATACCTTGTTTTCTAAAATATTTTTCAGCATATTGTATGGGCTGTAAAATCGTTAACTTGTTCAATCATTTTGTCTCTGTGCACGTAACCAATATTATTAGTTAAGACAAGAGCAAACCCTGCGCTAGTTATTAGGTAAGCTTCTTTCACTTTTCATTCGCCACGTCTTTCGCCGATACCTTGGCCATAAAAAAGTGATCACAATTTGGCCATAAATACAAAAGGAGCAACAAAAGAATTCCACACACTGAACAGCATAATTGGGGCTGCAATAAAAAGTATTTTGGCACTTATAAAATATCTTCCGGGTGCCAAAATGGAGCAGCCAGAGTCGCGATTAGGAGATCGCACTCAAAATCGCTTGCCGCCTTTGAAGTTTAATATCTGTATACCAACGTAGGCATATTTGTTTCGCCCACAACGGGTTGGATTGGGTTGGTCTCGATTTCAGATGGTTATTCCCGCCATTCAGTAAGACATCGGTCGGATCACGTTGCAGTCAAGTGCAAATGTTTTGCCATTTAATTGCTCCAAATTTCCAAATGCGTTTGCATGGCAAGTGCGGAGCTCAGGTAAACTCGAAAAAAACGGAAGGAAATGCGAAATGCATTTTGATTTCTGTTATCGTTTGTGCTTTCCCCGCCATTTCTCTCACTCCCGACCGATGCATATTTATGCTGATTTATTATTCCATTATTGCGGCAGCTTTAATTTGTGGCACGCACACTCGTCGTAGATTGCGAAATTTCGTTGCCAAAAGCACTTCAAACACTTCCAACTGCATTTGTTATTTTTTAGCATTTTACCTCTGTATAGTTTGATTTTTTATTTACCGTGTGCATTTATTGCCCACGAATTTGGATCTTGTACATTCACTTTTATGGTTGACTGGAAATTAAATATCTTAAAAGGGGGAAAGGCTAAATAAATTAGGAAATGTATAGGAGATCTTTTTGATTTACGTTCTAAGGGGCTAGCCTACTTAATTCTAATTTTATTTTTAGTTTTAATACGAATGCACAACATTCAAGAAAGCAAACTCTTGCAACTTTCATTTGCATGCCACTTTATTGTATGCTAATTAAAGTGCTGCTACATTCAGTCCATTCCATTCCAATTCATTGCGTTCGGTTTCTTTCTTTTTGGCATACATATTCGGTCATTAACTAATTTCTGAGGCAATCGGATTGCACCACCATCACCCCATCGAGGGGCTCCGTGAAAGTGTTTATGATTTTCTACTTTCGACTAGGGCGTGACGTATACGTAACTGCTCACTACGTTACGTAGCCGCACAGTGGGCCCGGTACAAGTGGCAATTGCACTTAAACTTAACATTGAGCTCGCGAGCGTTGTCCCTGCGGCGAAAGCTCATAAATAAACTAATAAACCGAAATATATATGAGCCGGCCAGATAAATATGTCCAGGCTGACAACTTGATTAGGGGATCTGCAGCCGGTTTTTAGTCCTGCCTTCCAGATCCCGAGGCGGTTGCATAAATTTAACCATTTTCAAATCTCGATATGGCACTCGAAACTGGTCAATTTCATAATATCCGGTTCGGGCGAGCTTGAAAAGTTGTTAATTTGTTGAATCTCTGCCGCAGTAAACAGCAGTAGCAGCAGCAGCAGCAGGAAAAACAAAGCTGCGCCAAAAATGACAGCAATTAGTCGGCTGCGGAATAAGGTAAAAGTATTTAACCTACTTTGCGGCGGTGCTACTCCTCGGCCCCTCCGGGAAAACCGCTTTTCACTCTGGCGGAAGAGGTGGCGGCGGGACAGAGAGCGAGTCCCATTCAATTGGCGCCTAATTAATGAGACACTGCGGCAGGCAGAAACCGAAAGTCCAAGGAAGTCGTCATGGGAAAGCCGCTCCGCCCGCCGATTTCCTCAAGCTCGCTCGACGTGTGAAAATGACAGTGGCACTTTGGAGTTAAATTAAAATATTTAACAATTACCGCGGACCTGTGAATGCAAAGCGTAAATATTTTGATTAGTCAATGATACAATTAGAGTTGCGCGAAAATCAATTGGAAAATCGCAACGCCGCCAACAAGACTTGGCGCTCTCGGCTTTTCCGCATGTTGCTCCACACACTGGCGAGATGGTCGGAAAATGAAAACGAAAATGAGTGTCGCTCGACTGTGCCAGCTGCCATATGATATGATTATGCGATTTGGCAATTTGCATTTAATTAATTTCTTCAGCTATTTATTATGTCAACGGCAGCAGCCGAAGCCTAAGACCAAAACCCGCGGCAGAAGTCGACCGGCTGGAGGAACCAGAAGGGGCGGGTGCAATTGCTGTTACCGCACCGAATTCAAGTGAATATTATTTGTTACCGTTGAAAGACTTTTCAGATTATGCTACCCAGGCGGTTATATCATGAAATGCATAATCAAAGCTGACGGCGATGACGGCTGGATGCGATTAAATAATGAAGGATAGCAAATGGAAGCTGACAGGGATTAGTCGGGCTTTCTAAGAAAAAAGGAGATATAGAAAAAAAGAATATACTTGTATATTATATAATATATTTACTTTATTTATAAGTATTAATTGTGTGGTGATTTAGAACGTATTTTGTAAAAGCGGTTTTTAATTAGCAGACCAAATTATAAAACTCTAAAAAAATTTTAATTAACCAAAAATTTGAAGCGCTCCAAATTTATAGTTTAATAATTCCACATTTAAAGTTTAACAATTCCCTGAGAAGAAAACCACTTAATAAAGTTATAATTTGTATGACTCTACAACATAAACTGAAATTTTTTAGGCCAATTAACTGATAAAAACAAACCCAATTACCAATAAATTTTCCTTCCACATATTTACACATAATAATTTCCTGAAATAGTGTCAAATGGACGTTAGATGATGGTTTCAAACTCGTAACTGGTTTTAAAGGCTACTTAAACCATTTTATTGCTCATACGCACTGTGTGACTGCTGATCAAGCACAAAAAGAGCAAAAACTTACACACCTTGTTGTTGCACTTTTAAGTTCAATGTGCGCTGGCAATTAGCCATATATTTCTCTCCCATTTTCCTTTTGACCACACACACGCACATTTCTCTTTTGGAACAAGTTAACCAGTTCGCAGCAAATTCGTGTTATATTCGCATTGGCTGCAAATAAATAAATATAAATTGGCGGTAATGGGATGCCCTGGCAGTGCGGAGCCCCACGAATGTAATTTTCAATTACAGCAGCCACAATCGCTGCCGTTTTGGTTGCGTAAGCCCAGGCCGCATAAAAGGATAACCATTAAAAGAGCAACACCGGCTGCCGCAGTAGCCAAAAAACTATGGCCAAAGCCAATTCCCACAACAATTTTGGAAAGATGCACGCGTAGCTGGCTTGTTGAGTTGTAAGGTTTCAGCCGGGACTCTAATAAATATGAAACAATGAGACAAAAGTCAAAGTTTGCTGCTGATTGCCAGCCATTGTGGTTGTGTGTTTGCCAAGCGATCGCTTAAGTTACACGCAAAAAAATATTAATTTTAATTTTCCATTAAAAATAGTTTATCCCAAATTAAAAAGTTTTAATACATTAGTTTTTGTTCTCTGTTAAACAATCTAAAAGTATTATAGTTTATTTTTAACATACTTTTTTTTGTGGTGTACCAAACTTTTTTCCATCGCTTTGTCTTATTTTGTTTGGCCGATGTCGCAAATGTACACCAGAAATAGCTTTAGCTTTAGATTAAGCCGCGGCAGCAGGAGCACTTCAACTACTTTTGGCCAAGTTAATGCATGTACTAAATGTCTAACGGTAAATATGAGTTACTAGGTAATTGCTTGGTCTGCTTACCTGCAGCTGTTACATGCGCGCATGCGCATAACCAACAAAAGCACCAACAACGCCGCGTTCGCGTCGCGTTTTGACTTTTCACTTTTGTGAGTGGGAATTGATTGAGTGGCCAAGCGCTCTGGGTAAAAGTAAGCCACAATGTAGCCAGGGCAAGCCAAAAAATTAAAGAAAAACAGCGAATCTAAACTACAGCTAAGCAAAAAGTTAACACCTGTGAGCGGGAAATACGACAAGACAGCAAACAAAATGAAAATTTAGTTTGCAATTACGACCACGGAAAAAGTAAAAAATATTTGGGGCGATAACTAGAAGCGAAATCAACCAAAATATCTTGCAAATCAAAAAAATGGCCAAAAAGGCTCTACAATATCAAGCTAAAAATATCATTGTTAATAGTTTGGTGTTTTAAAAAAATGCATAGCAAACGTTTTTATCTATGGCATTTCATGCATGTTATCTACGCTATTTAAATACAATTGGCTTAGATTCGCTTAGCCTTAAGGGAAACCTATTGATTCTCCTCCAGCTCTGAACCACATCAACATTTGCCATCATGAGGGTTATTTGGTTCGCTGTTATCGCTTTTCTGGCTATGGTTTCCTTAGGAGACGCACTGGCTTTGGTACAAAGAAGAAGTCGAAGACACCGCATACACGCCCCAAACGCCATATAATTTGAAAAAAATATTCTTTGCCTGTACAAATTGTATATTCACGACAAGTTTTCAAGAAAAAAATATACAAGTAAAACAAAATTATTTTATATTATTATATACAGCAATATTGAATGTACTCTCTTTCAAAATGACACAAAATCCAAGCTGAAAATTGTACCAGCAACGAATTTCTACTTTTGTGAGTTCGAAATGATTGAGTGGCGGATCTAAACTATAGCCAACCAAAAAATTAAAACCGGCTGGCCAACTAGTGTGAGTGGGGGAAAACAACGAGATAGCAAACAAAATGAAAATTTAGTTTGCAATTATCACCACAGAAAAAAGTAAAAAATATTTGGGGCGATAACTAGAAGCGAAATCAACGAAAATAAAACAAAAATGGGGAAAAAGGCTCCACAATATCAAGCTAACATTGTATACACTTAAATATAACATTGGATTTCATTCAAAACAAGAAAGGAAGCTAGCTTCGGCAAGCCGAAGCTTGCAGTCATTAAATATGTCGAACAAAACGCATAAAGGCTAGACAACATCGAATCTAAGACGATTTTTCTATTCATTTTCCATATTTTTGACTATAGATCATATGGGAGCTATACGATATAGGTGTCCGATTTTCATCAAATTTAATTCGTAATTCAAGAGTCGTAAGAAAATTCTATATTCCAAAAATCATACTTGTCTGATGAAAAACAACGATATTATAATTTTATTTCCATTATTTCTATATAGATTTTTCGATCTTTCCTATGGCAGCTATAAGATATAGATGACCGATTTTTATGAAACTTTGTTTCCAATATAAACGTTGTTAAAAAACTTGATATTCAAAAAATCATGCTCGTGGGATAAAAAACAACGATGTTATCAATTTATTTCCATTAATTCTATATATAATTTTCGATCTCTCCTATGGCAGCTATATGATAGTGTTATCCGATTTTGATCAAATTTAATCCGAAATTCAATAACAGTTAGAAAACGCCATCTTGAAGAATTCAAGTCGATCTGATCAAAAACAACGGCGTGAGAATTTTTTATTTCATCCTCTCATATGGGAGCTATCCGATATAGTCGGCCGATCCGGCTCGTTCCGACTTATATACTGCGTGCAATAGCTACACACCTTTTGGGAAAGTTTCATCAAGATAGCTTTAAAACTGAGAGACTAGTTTGCGCGGAAACGGACAGACGGACAGATGGACAGACGGACAGACGGACAGACGGACAGACGTACATGCATATTTGGATTCTGATCGTGATGCTGATCAAGAATATATATACTTTATGGGGTCTGAGGTGTCTCCTTCACTGCGTTGCAAACTTCTGACTGAAATTATAATACCCTTTTGCTCTGCAAGGGTATAAAAATGTAAAAAAAGTAAAAATGCAAAAGTTTTTATCTATGGATTTTTATGCATTTTATTGGAAATCTAAATACAATTGGCTTAGATTCGCTTAACCTTAGGGGAAACCTATATATTCTCCTCCAGCTCTGGACCACATCAACATTCGCAATCATGAGGTATATTTTGTTGGTCGTTGTCGCTATTCTGGCTATGGTTAACTTAGGAGACGCAATGGAGAGACGACCCCCAAGACCCGGTAAACACTCCGAAGAGTGGAAAAGACAACATGGAAAGTAAAAAATATTTTGTGCGATAACTAGAAGCGAAATATATATACCTATATAATAATAAAAAATAATAATATACAAAAATGGGGAACAAGGCTCTACAATATCAAGCTTAAATTGTATGCACTTAAAATACAACATTGGATTTCATTCAAAAAAATGTAAAAAAAAGTAAAACTGCATAGCAATGCAATTTTCAAAGCTGAAAATTTTACCAGCAATGCTTTCAATTTGCTGCGTTTGGTCGAATTTCTACTTTTGTGAGCGGGAATTGATCGAGTGGTCAAGCGCTCTGGGTAAAAGTTAGTCACAATGAACCAGAGCAAGCCAAAAAATTAAAAAAAACAGCGAATCTAAACTATAGCTAACCAAAAAATTAACACCTGCTGGCCAACTAGTGTGTGCAGGGGAAAACGACAAGACAGCAAACAAAATGAAAATTTTGTTTTCAATTACCACCACAGAGAAAAGTAAAAAAGTATTTTTGTCGCTGCGCTGTAATCTCGTTCTTACCGCACTAGATACACAAGGTACTATTTTGGGGCGATAACTAGAAGCGAAATCAACTAAAATATATTGCATATCACGAAAATGGGGAAAAATGCTCTACAATATCAAGCTAAAATGGTGTATACTTAAAAAACAACATTAGATTTCATTGTCAGTAGTTTGGTGATTTAAAAATTAAAAAAAAAGGAAAATGCATAGGAAACATTTTATATTTACGGATTTTCATGCATGTTATTGGTATTCTAAATACAATTGGCTTAGATTCGCTTAATAAGGTTAAGGAGGGGAAACTTAATTATTTTCCTTTGAATTAAAAATTAAAAAAAAATATGTACAAATGCATAGCAAACGTTATCTATGGATTGTAATGCATGTTATTGGAAATCTAAATACATTTGGATTAGATTCGCTTAACCTTAGGGGAAACCTATTTAATCTCGTCCAGCTCTGGACCACATCAACATTCGTAATCATGAGGTTGATGTGCTTGGTTGTTATGACTATTCTAGCTATGGTTAACTTAGGAGACGCACTGGAGTTACGACCCATAGGAAAAGCGTAAGTAAAGTAAGGCCCTCAAAATAATTTGAAAAATATTCTTTGCCTGCAGGCACGGCGGATGTCGTGGGAACTGTGGTGGGTAATTACCCACCTGAAAAACAGAGATGAGAACGACAACCATCCCCCCTCGCTCATCGTCTGTCCTAAAAATTACCCACCTGAAATTAAAATTTCGCCGGCCCTGTTTGCCTGTAAAAATAGTATATTCACGATTTTGCAGAGACCAAATTGCTGACGAGTTTTGAAGAAAAAAATATACAAGTAAAACAAAATTAATAAAATGTAATTAAACAAAGTAAACAAAAGCAAATGACATATTTTAAACTCTCAGAAATATTTAATGTACTCTCCTTTAGAAAAAGAAGCGATAACTAGAAGCGAAATCAACCAAAATATATTGCATATCATGAAAATGGGGAAAAGAGCTCTACAATATCAAGCTAAAATTGTGTGCACTTAAAAATCAACATTAGATTTCATTGTCAGTAGTTTGGTGATTTAAAAATTAAGAAAAAAGGAAAAATGCATAGCAAACGTTTTTATCTATGGACTTTAATGCATGCTATTGGAGTTCTAAATACATTTGGCTTAGATTCGCTTAACCTGAGGGGAAACTTAATTATTTTCCTTTGAATTAAAAATTTAAAAAAAAAAGTACAAATCTAAATACAATTGGATTAGATTCGCTTAACCTTAGGGGAAACCTATTTAATCTCGTCCAGCTCTGGACCACATCAACATTCGTAATCATGAGGTTGATGTGCTTGGTTGTTATGACTATTCTGGCTATGGTTAACTTAGGAGACGCACTGGAGTTACGACCCAGAGGAAAAGCGTAAGTAAAGTAAGGCCCTCAAAATAATTTGAAAAATATTCTTTGCCTCAGGCCCGGCGGATGTCGTGGGGTCTGTGGTGGGTAATTTACCCAGCTGAAAAACAGAGATGAGAACAATATGTTAAATTTTATTCAAAATTTCTGAGACGACAACCATCCCTGGAATTAAAACGTTTCGCCGGCGCTGTTTGCCTGTAAAAGTAGTAAAATCACGATTTTGCAGAAACCAAATTGCTGACGAGTTTTGAAGAAAAAAAATATACAAGTAAAACAAAATTAATAAAATGTAATTAAACAAAATAAACAAAAGCAAAGGACATATATTAAACTCTCAGAAATATTTAATGTACTCTCCTTCAGAAAAACACAAAATCAAAGCTGAAAATTGTACCAGCAATGCGTTCAATTTGCTGCGCTTCGTCGAATTTCCTAATGGAGCGGCCGATACACTGCGGTACGTGACTGTATGTGCACTTGGAATGCCACAACAGGTGACTTCAGCTGTGTGTCGAGTGTGGCACGTTGACTTGCGTTATTTTTTCCACCTGCCGCAACGCCAACGCTCCGCAGAGGGAAAAAAAAGCATGCAGGAGACGTAGACCCCAAATCGTGGGCCATAATTAAGCATTTATTTTATTTGCCATATTTTTTGTGCAGCGTCGGGATTGGCGGCGGATTGGATTGGTAATCATCGTGAAAAATGTTTGTTTTTACCCGCTGCTTTTTGGTTTGTCATGTCTTGCAATGTTGTCAAACGTTGTCGACCATAATATAGCAATTAAAATTGTGCCTGTATTTAAGAGTACATCAACCCGATGTCATTCGATTCGTTTGGCTGCAATTGGATTGGATCCACGGCAGATTTGCCACAGAGCCTGTGAATCGGGCTATGCAAACTGCACGAAATCCAAATCCAAGTAATTTCTCGAGTTATTGGCAAACAACTTACCGATGAACTAGATTGCCGAGATAGGAATAAGTCGAACGAGTGGATGATGGGCAGGAATTCGAATGTATGGCGTGAAATTGATGAGAAAATTTGTAGGGAATTTTTCATCTATTATAGCAATTTGTTGAAAAAAGAAACTGTTTAAAAACGTAAATATGGTTGCTAATTGTTTAATACCATGTTTACTAATTTTTACTTTACTTTATTCATGTTGTTTTATAAATAACAAATAAACTGCAAATCTATCTGTATAACAAAACACCTTTGTGTCACTTAAATGCTTTAAACAAAACGATTTTCTCAACCTTCGAGGTGAGAACCCTCAAATCACAAAATTGCACGCTTCGCTGCCTAATTAGCGCCAACCAATCGCAAATTGACGAAAGACCCAAAAAGATTGGTTCATTTTCTCCTAACGCAATTGTGGCACTTAACTTTGACTTGAATTACTGGGCAGACAAAGTATGAGGGACCCCCAAAGAGCTGCAGACAAAACTTCTGTTTTATGTCGAACAATTAAATATTACAAAATTGGCTTTTATTGGGCCAGCCTGCAGACCCGATTCAATTTACCATTTACAAGTTACGTATTTACGAAAATCAGCGCATTAAAAGTAAACGATTAACCGGAGGCTAACCGCAATAGAAGGTTGAGCCGAAAAGTTGCCCAGCAGCAGCCACGAAAATCATCATGCCGAAATTCGGGTCAAACTGCGTTTAATGAGCGTACTTGCAGAGCAACAATGCAGACCTGCAATGCAAATAGGCTGGTAGTTGGCTCAAGCGAATATACCGAAATATTATTAACAAACTTCGGAGCGGGGCTGTCAGCGTGGTTGTTGCAATGTTGCAACTGCCGATCAGCAACAGCGATGACGACTTATCAACGCCATCGCATGCGTCACTAATGACACACAAAGGATCCTGGAAAGAAAACACTCAAAAAAAAAAAAAACAAGACTAAAACAACTATACCTTTTTAAAAATGTAACTGAATATTTTAAAAAAGTTATGTTTTTAAAAAAGGTATATTTTCTTTTAATATATATTACATTTTATAAATTTGTTTTAGAACTATTTTGATTTACTTAAAATTTCTGTAATATAATTTATAAAATATATGTTCAAAAATACTTACAAATGATTTAGTTTAATGATATTTCAAGTACAAGAGTACAATTTTCGACTAGGATTTTCTAAAAATGTTGGAGAACACTTTGGTTCTTTGTAACAGATTTAATCCATCTATTTATCGGATCTATTTATTCTGAGTGCAGCTGGGCAGCAAACATCAAACGCCAAACAATGGCAAACAACAACCACATCTGAACTGTTTTACATTTGGCTCGAGAGACGCTCCGCTCACCGAAGACGGCGACGTCGGTGCTCGAACCACCGCTGCTTTAACCACCGATCCACCGATCCACCAATCCACCGATCCAGCGAACCACCGTTGCCAGCCGATTCACTTTCTTCCTAACCATATAAAAGCAGCACATTTTCGTTGCAACCACATTATTCAGTGGTGAAAAGTCGTTGCGTGCAGTCATCCAGTGATCTCTAAACAAAACGCGAACTAAATTCAAACTAAAATGGCCTTCAAGGTGAGCAGCAGCAAAGGATTAAGGATAATGACTGTGAACAATAAATTGTAAAACAAAAATGTCCTGAAGGACGTTTTGAAACGATCAGTGGATAAAGTGATACCTGAAAACAAAGTGAACTGGTTGTGAAAGAATTTGAAAAAGAGAATCGAATCATGAAGCAGTGATTTTAAAAAAGGACAATGGATTCAGGATGTGAATATTTTGTTTCATACTAAAGGCTTTATTATTAGTTTTTGACTTTTTTAAAGAGTTAAACTGGCCAACTTTTAAATTTAATAAAACTATATTGTCCTGGCTATAAAATAAGGAAGTTGAGTTGAGTTCCCAAGTTTTCCGAACACAACATTTTATATTTAATTATCAAACACCGAAGACGCATTACTCATTAAAATAAAGCCCCAAGAAACCACAAATCAAACGAAACACCCTCTTAAGACTAATCTTTTCAGTAAGCAGCAAAAACTCCTTTTGAGTTTGCTAACAATTGTACAGCCATCAAGCAAACCACAAAGAAACCACTAAAAGTAAATTCAAACAAAAGCGTCAGTCGACCACAGCAAACGCTTGTTTATGAATTCATTAAGACCAGGCAGTGGAAAGCCTCAGGTATTCGCCTTAAAATCCAGCAGATGCCACTTACTTTTCCACCCACACAATTTGGCCTCCGCTAATTGCAGTAGTTGCAACTCCACACTCCACGAGCGGAAGCAATTAGCCGACGTCTGAGCCGAGATGTTAATTATGCCCCTGCCCGTTTGATCTTTCAGTATCTGATCTTCGCCTCGGCTTTGTGCCTGAGCCTCGCTTATCCGCTGGAGCACCAGTACTACGAGGAGAGCCACGGCTACGAGCACCTGGCCCACCACGAAGCGGAGCCCATCCACGAGTACGGACACCATCAGATCGAGCGCATCTCGCTGGGCGAGGAGCACGGACACCACGAACACGTTGAGCCCCACTACGAGACCCACGAAGATCACGGCCACGACGAGCATGTGGACTATTACGTAAGTTCCTAAATACTAAATTGTGTCAAGCACGTAAGTTTTCAAAACTTAGAAGTCCCACATTTTATCTAGGATTTCACTAAAATTAATTAAGATTTGTTGGATGGGCTATCTTACTTAAATTCGAGGGAGTCCTTTATTTCAAAACTTTTCCTTTATATTAACAAATTAAATGTTAAATAATTCCAATTACCCAGTACAAATATGTGAAAGAGTTAGGCACAAATTGGCGTGTTTTAATCGTTTAAATTTTCACAGGCCCCTCCCAAGTACGCCTTCAAGTACGGAGTAAATGACTTCCACACCGGAGATGTCAAGTCGCAGCACGAGACCCGTGATGGCGACACCGTCAAGGGCCAGTACTCGCTGGTGGAGCCTGACGGTTCCATCCGCACAGTGGACTACACCGCCGACAAGCACAACGGCTTCAACGCCGTGGTCCACAAGACTGCCCCGGTCCACCATCACGAGGAACTGCACGAGCACCACTACTAAGCGCAGGACACACTGCGCACTAGAGTTAGCCAAATTGCTCATCAGCGGGAAGTAGGAGGAGGATTATGAGGATTAGGAGGAGGGACAAGCATATCCACATCGATCGACCATGGAATCAGCTTCATATCTCGTAATTAGGACATCAGCACACACACCCAGGTCAAGGACCACATTCGGGCCATGACCACTTCATTAACATTTTGTATATTGTATTTTATTCTGTGATAGCGAATAACTTCTATGTGTATCTTCCGCTTTCAACTGATCCTTAGTCACTACCTGCTCAGACGAATTTATCAATCACACTCGACTGTAAACTGTAATCTATAATCCTTAATCTATAAACTGTAATGTAAACTTATGCCTTCTCGTAAAACTTGTTACAGAGATCGAACGAACGAATTGTAAATTGTGTAATAAAGTGTGAATTATGTACTTTTTATAAAATCAAAACTCACCCAACCAGTGACCATACTTTTTGCAGCCGGGGCCAATCATTGAACTTGTACTCCTCAAACAAACGGCCAAATGTCTTAACTGACCAACTGGTTTGTGCGTTTCCAGACGTAAACGCCAATATTACCACAAATTACCAGACGTCGTTAGACACATTTTCCGGCTCCCAAACAAGTTCTGCGTTTCGTTTTGCTTTGTATTCATTGAAATTGCATAATCCCAATTTGAAAAGCTGCACGAAAATGCTTCCTAAATGACCAAAAAACCAGGAGTTGCTTTAAGCTGTCTTGCAATTGATATATTAGCCGTTGTTGGCTACAAATAATTTGGAAAATATCTTTATATAGATGCGAATTTAAATTATCGCGGCATTCTCCATTTTAGTTAACCAGCACTGTTCATTTTATCGATACTTTCCATCAATAGTTTGTTAATTTCAACATCTCTATTAGACTTTTGATAAGAAGGGGCAGAGTACAGATAAATAAAAATAATATATCAATGACTAGCTAGCCAAAATCACACGAGTATAAACAAAATGCTGGAGAAAAACAAATATGTTCCTCGAGTAAATCAGGTAAGCTGAGAGAGAGTGTATTCATGAATAAAAAGCAATATTTTGAGACTTATTTACGATGTAGATTGATGCCATATATCTGAACAAGGACATTGCCCGCCTAATACGTGATAACCTGCTGGAGAACCTGCAGGCTATATCGGTGAGCTTATTTAAATAACTCTTCCTGGATGTCATATAACTTCTGCATATCTTAGCCAGTTTTGTTCATAAAAATTCAGCCGGAACTGGATTTGCTCATCCAATCCGCCATTTGGTTTGGTTCTGTGGGCAAGCGCTGCTCCACCTTTGGCCAACAGCTTCTGGTCCTGGCCTATGATGCCGAGAAGCTCACAGTATCCAGGTTGGTGCTCCACTTCATCCTCACTGTTCTGCCGGGATATGTAAAGAGCTGGGAGGAGAGGCGTCTAACAAGGCGAGTGGAGTGGTTCAGCCAGGCTATCACATGGACGGAAAACAGTGCCCTGGTGCTAAACATTCTTAACTATTTTCGATTCCTTAAGACGGGTCGAAAACCAACGCTGATTGACTATCTTTTGGGATTGGACTACATTAGTCTGAGGAACAATCAAAGGAGGGACATAGGCTACAAGTACCTGACGAGAGAGTTACTTTGGGGAGGATTTATGGTGAGTTAAGCACGGGTCATCCAGTACACCTCTATGTCTTGCTTAAAATTACAGGAAATCCTTGGCCTGGTGCTCCCCATAATCAATTTCCGCAAGCTGCAAAGAGTTCTGAAATCTTGGGCCTTTGGGCAGGCATCTTCTGCACGGAAGTTGGAGGTTGGTGGAGGCGACATGGCTTTCCTTACCCCACAGATGACCTTGGGAACCATGTGCACCTTTTGCGGGGAACGTCCTACGTTGCCCCATCACATGGGCTGTGGTCATATCTTTTGTTATTATTGTCTGAGTGCCAATGTTTTGACGGACGCAAGTTTCGGCTGCCCCAAGTGCGGTTCCACGTGCACCGAGGCGGGAGTTCAAAGTGTTGGATTGTTGGGATCAACTCGCTAGAGAGATTTTTAAACGTCTTATATAGTTTTAAGCAAAAAGTGGGCTGTAAGTTAATAATAAACAAACATTCCATATTTCGAAAAAACTCGCTTAATCCGAAGTGTTGAATAGTGCTGAAAACTAAGTGTTGGGAGACATTGAAAAACTGTTGTTATTTACAGCGAAAGTGCTGCGTGGTGTCTGATATAAACGCTTGTTTCCTGTTAATTAAAAACAAATAAATTCTTGAAAGTGTTTAAAGTGAAGAATTAAACTTCATAGAACCATAGAAAGCTGCTGGCAAGCCAATAACTATTCCAGTTAATACCAAAAAGTAAGTTTTTAATATTACATTACTACTCCCATAAAAAGCGCGCGAAAATATAGAAACAGCTGTTGCATGTTTAGCCATAGTTGCCAAACAGTTGAAAAGAATAAAACAAAATCGAAAAATATTTGCTAAAATCGTTTTTAAGGGTATCATTATAAATAAATTAGTTAGAAAGAGAACATATAATAAGTTGTATTTCTTTGGTACAACCACACCCCAATTGTTTAACAATTTCGCAAATCAGCTGCCCACGCCGATCTGGCAACGCCATTATTTTGTTATTATCTCATTTTTTCTGCTGCGCATTTCGCCTTTGTCCGAAAATTTAGAAGAAAACAATACGATTAAACGCTGCGCTAAAGGGCACGACAAGTAGTTGAGGAACCAGAAATTAAACAAATTTAGCATTGCGTAATTGCATAAAAATAAACGGGGCGTACCAACAGAAATCAAGATCTCAAAAGCAAACAATCGTAAAAACAGAAAGTGCTGAAATAATAACACAAAATAAGCTTGGCCATCAATTGCGTATATATTGTTTAAATATATTTGCACATAGCAGCTGATTTCACTTATCAAGGTCAGTGGGTTGACGATACGCAGCCACAAACAATAACAAACAAAGATCGTTTGAAAGGCAGTCAAAATGCTAGATCTGGAGATCCTGCCGGAGACTTCCTTGGGCTGTGATGCCTGGGAGTTTGTGCTGGGCATGCACTTCTCGCAGGCCATCTCCATTATCCAGTCGCAGGTGGGCATTATCAAGGGAGTCCAAGTCCTGTATTCCGATACCAATCCCTTGGGCGTGGACATAATCATCAACCTGCCTCAGGATGGCGTTCGCCTGATCTTCGATCCCGTGATTCAGCGACTGAAGACCATCGAGGTGTTTAATATGAAGCTAGTGAAGCTGCGCTACTGCAGCGCCTACTTCAACTCCCCGGAAGTGCTGCCCAGCATCGAGCAAATAGAGCACTCCTTTGGTGCCACTCATCCTGGTGTCTACGATGCAGCCAAGCAGATTTTTGCCCTCCACTTCCGCGGACTGAGTTTTTACTTCCCGGTGGACAACAAGCAGCACACGGGATACGCACATGGGCTTGGCTCTCTGGTATTTCTGGACGGCGCCTCTCCCGTCGTGTCCAAGATGTCTCTCTACGCGGGAAGCAATGTGGCCGAGAATAGGGCTCCATCTCTGCCCTTGGCCTGTTATCACCGCCAGATGTACTTGGAATCCGCCACTGTACTCCGCACATCCTTTGGACACACAAAGGGCCTGAAACTTAAGCTTTTTACAGAGGGCTCGGGTCGAGCATTGGAGCCACGTCGTCAATGCTTCACGCGGGAGCTGCTTTTCGGTGACAGCTGCGAAGATGTGGCCACCAGCCTAGGAGCACCCAATCGAATATTCTTTAAGAGCGAAGACAAGATGAAGATTCACAGCTCGAGTGTCAATCGGCAGGCACAGAGCAAACGGAGCGACATCTTCTTCAACTACTTCACTCTCGGCATCGATGTGCTGTTCGATGCCAGAACGCAGACCTGCAAGAAGTTTATTCTGCACACCAACTACCCGGGGCACTTCAACTTCAATATGTACCATCGCTGCGAGTTTCAGTTCCTGCTGCAGGCGGATCACCCCTCTATGAGCGACAGTGGCCACGATCTGGTGACGCCCGCGAAGCAGGATCATGTAAACATTAACGCCTACACCAAGTGGGATGAGATCAGCAGCGCGTTGGCCACCTCGGAGCGGCCAGTCGTTCTGCATCGGGCCAGCTCGACGAATACGGCGAATCCGTTTGGCTCCACCTTTTGCTATGGCTACCAGGATCTGATATTCGAGGTGATGCCCAACAGCCACATCGCCTCGGTGACACTGTACAATACAGCGCCGCCCAGGCAGCCGGCGCACTCCTGGCAGCAGCACAAGATGCAGGACATCCGCCTCACAGTGGCCTAAATTTGTGGAAAGTTGCTGGGCTCCCTTCGCTGCTCCATGATGCTGAATAAGGGATTGCCCTCCCGTCGTGTTCTAATCTTTAAGCTAAAAATGATCTAACCTAGGCGTAAAGTAGAAACATATATTATATAGTAATATATATATTCATAATACACATAGATTTTCATTGTAAGCTAAGCCAATCATCGGACGAACTCTCTGACCAGGTTCATTCAGCGGTATTCCATTGTGTTAGCTCGATTCGATTTGTTTCGACCCATAACTGACAATTATTAGCCTCGTACTTTTAACAATTGCATGTCGTTAATATATTTCAGTACTCTAAGCTCAAATCGTGTATCTCTCTTTGAAAAAGAAAAAATCAACAACAAAAAAATATAAATATAAGGTTTCGACAAGACGATGGATTGTTTTTCATTTTGTTAAAACTTTTATTTTGATTTATGGGCTTTACAAATAATTACACGTTTTTTTCCAGTCCCCTAAAATGCCCGAACAAGCTGCAGATCAGGAGAACCAGGCTCCAAAGCCACAGACGATAGATGTGCATGCCTACAATCCTGAAGTTTTACAGGACATGCTACCTGTTTACTACAGACGTCTTTTCCCTCATCAACCATTTTTCCGCTGGCTCTCTTATGGATTGAGTAAGACTTCCCAGCTAAAGTATTTTTAAAAACCATTTAAATTTAAACTTTTATAGGTGAAGAAGGCATTTTCAGCAATCGTGAAATTTCCTTTACGCTCCAGGACGACATCTACATTCGATACCTGTGCTTCGAAAGCCAGGCTGAGTTGGAAAAGGAGATCTGCTCGAGAAATCCTGTTAAGATCGATATAGGACCAGTGATGCACACCAAACCCAAGAACCATCGCACTGTTCCCGGGGGATTAACGCCCGTGCAACGTGAGCTGGTCTTCGACATTGATATGACGGATTACGATGATGTGCGCACGTGTTGTTCCGGAGCGGGTGTGTGCCTCAAGTGCTGGAAGTTCATGGTGCTCGCAGCCAGGATTTTGGATGTGGCTCTACGCGAGGACTTCGGTTTTGAGCACATCGTCTGGATTTTCTCCGGCCGACGAGGTATCCATTGCTGGGTGTGCGACTATCAAGCCAGACACTTGGATGGACGTGGTCGTTATGCGGTGGCGGAGTACCTGAACATTATATCCTACGTCAGTTTCGCAGGCACCAATTCTGCCAGATGTCCGATGGGCGAACGCCCGCATCACAGCATTAAGCGGGCCCTCAAAATAGTGGAGCCTATGTTCGAAGAGGTCATACTAGAGGATCAGAATCTGTTTGGAACTCCAAAAGGTGTTACCAAGCTCCTTCACATGGTTCACGATGATGCCGCTCGCGGCGAACTGGAATCGTATCTGCAAAAGAATCTTGAGGATGGAGCTCACTCCCGACTCGTGTGGGAAAGCTTTCTCAAATACGCCAACTCCATGAGAACTTCCACGGCAAGTGCCTGGAGCCGTAAGCTAAAGAACATAGTACAAGAAATCCAGCTCGGATTGCTCTATCCTCGTTTGGACATCAACGTCACCCGGGGATTCAATCATTTGTTGAAGGCTCCATTTTGCATTCACCCAGCTACGGGAAAGGTTTGTGTGCCATTCAGTGTGAGTGCTGTGGCCAAATTCGATCCGACTACGGTGCCCACGATCACTCAGTTGCTTCACGAGATCAACGCTTTCGATGACAAGAGCAAGAGCTACATGGAGGTGCCGGAGGACAAGAGCCGCATCAAGGATCACAAGAAGACCAGCATGTTTAAGGGCGTTGTGGTTTTTGAGGAGTTTCTACGCAAGCTAGAACGCAGTAACAAGTCAGCCAGTTTGCAGTTTTAAATACAATATTTTTAAGTTAAGTTAAAATAACCAATAAAATGGCGTAAAAGTTTAAAGTATCATTTTGCTTTCTCGTTTGCCGCTTTTGAATTTATCTTTATTTTGTGTGTTTGTATCATAATCATTTTTAATCATTAGGCTAGCAACAATAAATAGACTAGGCGATAGCGCATTGGTTTCGGGTCAGTTTTCCGGTCTCACATGCAGCGCAGTCGCACCAGCGGCACCACGTTGCCGTCCTTATCGTCGAGATCCACCTCGACCTCCAGCTGGTAGAGCCCATCCTCTGGCGTCGTGCTTTCGGGCAGGCGAGCCAATATCTCGCTCTCTCCGGCTCGGAGCTTGAAAGAAGCGGCCTCCTTGTCCCCTTGGTCACCCTTCCCTTGTTCCGATTGAGGAAGAGATATCCTGATTTTGGCGGGCAAGATGCTACCCCTGCCCAGGACTAACTTGGCGTTCGCCTCGTCATTCCCGTGCCAGATGTACAGATCATCCTCGGCTACCACACAATCATCATCTTTATGCAACTGCTGTTCGAGTGGATCAAGCAAGCAGACGGCCTGTCGGGCGCAGCCGATGGCCACCACCTCGTCCGCAGAGTGGCTGTTGTGAAGCTTAGCGTCGGGGAAGCGGGCGCCCACGGCTGCTTGAAGCTTAGGTATCTGCATGGTGGCGCCCAACAACACGATGTCATCTATGCTACTCAGACCGGGATGCTCCTTTTGCGCCTGCTCCACGCACTCGCCCAGCTGTTGAATAAGGCTGTTGATCACCGGTTGGATGAGGCTCTCAAAGCGAGCGCGCGACATCTGGGCATTGAAGTCAACACCGTCCATCAGGGAGTCGATATACAGTTGTGTTGAAGGCATCGTTGTCAGGATGTGCTTGCAGTTGGCGGCGGCGGTGCGGATCTTGGCCAGCGAGCGACGCGACTCGTGCGGATCCAGCTTGTACTTGCGGCGAAACTCCTCGCAGATGAACTGCACCAGGGCCTCGGTGAACTGGCGGCCACCGATGGGGAAAGGTCCAAATGTAGCCAGCTGAACGAACAGACCGTTTTGCACGGCATAGAAAGCAATGTCACTGTACAGGCCACCGCACTTGATGGTCAGCACATGGCGACGCTGCTCCGGCTGCTCATCACCGATGCTGTAGCCCAAAACAGCCGCCGTGGGTTCTGCAATGATTTGAGCCACGTGGAAGCCAGCGGTTTCGGCTGCTTCCGCTAACAACTTGTAGGCCGGGACGGGATAGTAGCTAGGTATAGAGAGAACAGCAATAGGCGCTTGTTCTCCGTCCGTGTGATATTGATGTGCCAGTTCCAGTTCGGCGCGCAGCAACTCCACCGTCACTTGGTAGGCACTAAGGTCCTTGGTCACCACCCGATCATCCTGGTCTTCTTTTTCAGAGGGCACCGTGTGTTCCATGCGGAACACCAACTCCTCTTTGTCAAAGTCGCAGGGGATTTCCCGCAGAGCACTGGCCAGTTTCTCCTCGGTGAGCTGTTCCTTCGGCTGCAGCAGTTGAAAGCTGTGGGCCACTGCCTGCCGCGGTTTCGTGGCCATCTTTTGCTTGGCTGTTAGACCACATTCGATCTCCGAGACGCCGTCCCAAAGGAGGCATGCCTGGGACACTCGGTCGCCCTGCTTGTTAGCGATCACCTCCGCTTTGCCATCCGCGCGCACGTGGGCGATGCAGAGCGTGCTATTGCCAATCTTGATGCCAAATCGCGGCCACATCTTTGGGAAATCAGATTCAAAGGCGGGAATATCCGGAATTTAGGAATTATCTACACAAAATGCGACGAATAAACGCGCACGTTTTTTCCTGCACGCGCGGTAGTGTTGTAGGGCAGTGTTGGCAAATGAGAGCTATGATGGTAACTGTGATGGTATCAGCTCGATAAATTTAGAGTTTGTTAACCATATGTTTTTATTATTATTATTTTGGGCAATCAATTTCTGTTCCCCCAAAAGTAATATAAAGAAAATATTAAACTTCTAATTGCTCAAGAAATAAATGGCGACATTTGGTTCATTCCCCAAAGCAATAGCATTGACAGACCTCCAACTAACTCTAAACTTAGTTTCAGACAATTTCCTTCATAATTTTTTTTAAAGCCTACATTTTGTTATTTTATCTATTCATAAGAAAATAGATAAACACAAATCAATTAACAGAGTTCCCCTCATGAAATATTTAAAAATAATTGTTTTGCAACACTTTTTCTGCGTAGTCCTACACAACGCCGAACAGCTGTTCACTTTCGATTGGCAGCCCTTTGTTTCCTGCAATAGTTTATCAACACTAGCCTGAAAAATATGTAAACAAAACAGAAGTAAAAGTGCATAAAAATTGATGAAAAAATCATTAAAAACCCAAAAAAGCGGGATAAAAACAATGTGGTACCATTTCGCGGAGTGTTGGCCATAATATAAAACCAAAGTGCTAGCGGGAAGCAACTAAAACCGCTGCAGTTAACGAAAAATCCATAGGAATCCGATCGGCAGCAAACTGTTGACCCCGCCGACCCCACCGCCCACCACCCCCTTGACACGCCTCCTCCGCAAAGTGGGCGCTGTGTGACATACATGCGCGTGTGTGTACGCCCCCAAAAAGCCAACAAAACCGTAACGATTCGTCATCGATTTACGGCGGAACCAAACCAAACAATGCGACTCCGTTGAAAATTGGACAAATTAAAACCGAAAACGAAATCTATAAAAAGCTAGCGTCGGCCTTGAAATAGCAATTGATTTGTTTACCTGTCCAGAAAATGCGCGATTTATAGGGCTTAGAAAAAAAAAAGAAAACGCCATAGAGCTGCACACAACAAAGAACAATTCCGTTTGGAGACCCCGGACCTTAGACAACCTTGAGTTCTCGGAATGGATGATAATCTGAGCACCAAGTCCTCGGAATCCTCGATAACGACCAGCGGGGAGTACGAAATCGTTACGGACAGCAATGTGGCCAGTCCCACGGAGCAGGTGAAGGAGGTGGTCAATCAACAAAGGACTAAACAGGAGGTAACCGCGGGCTTGGGAGGGAAACCACCCACTTCCCTGAGTGCTCTGGCCTTGTCTTCGCCCGAAGCTGGAGGAGATCGCTCGCCCACACTGGACATGGCCCACAATCGCAACCTAAGCGACATGCAGCACGAGATGACGGACGCTCTAAGGGATCTGGAGCTAGAACGTGGAGTAGGTGAGTAGAGAACCACGACTGAGGGTGGAAATGGGTTGCCCTGGGTTCGCTTTCCCTGAAATAAACTCAGTCGCTGCCCAACGCCAGCTGTACACACATCGTCGCCACGAATTGGAAACACACCAAGCGATAGTTAAGCCCAGCCAGCTGCAATCTTATCGGCGCAGAGCCGCAGTGCTACGCTGTCATGGAAACAATCGACAAACAAACCGAATAATAATACTTTCCTTAAACAAAATTCCGTATAACTCGTTGCTTGTTATTGCTCGGTCGCGTAATTGACAATTAACATATTTGCAGCTGGGGAGAAGACCGCGCAACGTCTGCCGAGTCAGCAGCAAAAGTCCCTGACCCTGCCCCTAACGGGCTCCGGCGGAAGATCTAGAGCTGCCGATCCCGAGATGCGTTTCCCTTGCACCCTGTTCTCGCCCAAGAGCGAGGAGACCCTGGACGATGCCTCCAGTTCGAACAGAGTGGGTCACTCGGTGTTCTACGACTGTATGGACGCCAGTCCCGCCTGCGTGGAGGAGAAGAAGGATGCCATCAAGCCGGAGAAGGGCGACACCACCGACGAGGAGGGTGAGTAGTCAGAGAAATTGATACAGTAAATGCTGTATATTCAGAGGCCTTTTCAATTATTTCGTTTTAATTTATCTCAATGACTATTTGATGTATTTCAGTTCAAGTCTTTTGATATAGAATTTTCTTTGATTTTTGTAAATTTAATAGCAACTATATGAGGCATATTATTTCTAAACTATTCTTATAACAATATATCTTAAATTAAAAACAAATACTTCGCTTTTATAGTGTCGGAAATCGATCAGGGCTGCACCATATTCTCCGGAGTCACTTACCTGGGCGCTGCCAACATCAATGCCCCAAAATCTGAGCCGGAAGTCTACCGCATTATGGGCGAGCTGAACAGTGGCTCCAAGTTGGTGGGTCTCAAGATCACCGTGAGCATTCCGAACTGCTCTGATGGCCTGGTGGTGTGAGTCAAGTTTTGTTTTATCTTAAAGTGATTTATTGAGTAATATTGTTATCCTTTTTCAGCCTTCACGATGCGGAGAGCAATACGATTATTGCCACCTATGAGATATCCAGCATTATTTTATACTATCGAGGACCCGTGGACACCGTGGAAAACGGTTGCTTCGCATTCACTTGGCTGCATGGTGATGCTCTGTTCCAGTGCCATGTATTCCGTTGCCATATTCCCGAGGCGGTCAATCAAGTCAGCGGTGAGTCAGTTCACCAACCCTGCCGGAGCGTGATTTCATCCGCTGTCTAATTTTAAATCTTTCACCGCAGCCTGCTTCCAGAAGGCATTCCAGACGTACCCGCCCAGCATGAGTTGCAGCCTCAACTCAGCCGTGGACATGGCCAACTCGGTGACATCGGATGTAAGCGGGAATCCCTTGAACACCGCTGGTTATGAGTTCATAGTCTCCTTGGAGATTCGCGAGAGGGTCGCCAAGAACTCATATGCTGCAGTTCCGCGGGACAGGGGCTGCTTTAAGTTGCGGGCAAATACAGATAAGGAGGTGTGCATCACAGTCAAACAGACTCCGTCGAATATTCTTCAACCGTTGCATATCGAGCGGTGTTTTGGTGTGCTCGTTGCACCCGGGAAACTGGTGGTCCAAAAGGATATGCATCTTATTGACATGCACAGCATGGGCTACGTACCTCCGGGTGGAACAGGAGGAGTCACTACCGAATCGGATAGCAACGCTCAGCCGAACTCCGCCTGGCCCTACACCATTCGAGCCGAGTGGAAAGCCCAGGAGAAGGCCTTTGAGCAGTTGAACCTTGAGTCGTCTAAGACCAATCTTACCGTGGCCGTGGACATCGTTATGCGTCGAATCCAGGAACCAGTTAGGTTCGTTATTGAAACCCCAGTGACCATTCAGTCGGCCAGCGAAATGCGCATTATGGACCACTTTATGTCGAAAAGGCCGATGACGCTTCGGTTCTATTTGCACTTGAAGCGCACAGATGAGTCCAACTGGAAGGTGAACAGCATTGATCCTTCGGAGGAGATCACAGAACAGCCGGGAAACCAGCAGAGCTCCTCACTGCTCAAGCTGGGCATGAATAACCTTTCGCGCATGGTGCGCAGTTCGTCCATTGCCTCAATTGAGGATGATTGTCCCACGGATTACAGTAGTGATGGGGATGAGCCGCTGCTGAGTGGCACTGGTGAGGTCTCCAAGGATTGCTCGCAGGACACGCTCGACGAGTGGGATCCCATTCTGCGGGAGTGGGATGGCGAGAAGAGGCCCAAAAACCTGGCGCCCCTAGTTCGTCTCGGTGTTCCAGAGGCGCTGCGTGAGAAGATCTGGCAAAAACTGGCCAATGTCGAGCGCAGGCTGGAGATGAACGATGAGTACAAGATTCTGATCACCAAAGTAAGTTTATAAACTAAAAATATGAGAAGGAATGTAATTTTATATTCGCCTGCAGGAAACAAAGTGTGAGACCGTCATACAGCGGGACATCCATCGCACTTTTCCGGCGCACAAATGCTTCAAAGAAACTGGTGGATCTGGTCAGGATGCCCTTTTCAAAGTGTCCAAAGCGTATGCGGTACACGACAGCGAGGTCGGCTATTGTCAGGGTCTGAGTTTCATTGCAGCCAGTCTGCTGCTTCATGTAAGTGTTCAGTAAAGTTAATTCACTGCATGCAAAATAGTTAACCAAATGGTTATAAAACTGAATTTTTTAGATGCCCGAGGAGGATGCGTTTTGCGTTTTGGTTGCTCTGATGTACGACTATGGGCTTCGTGATCTGTATAAAGCGGGATTCGAGGTCCTTTACCTGCGTCTCTACCAACTGGAGCGTTTAATCAAGGACCAGTTGCCCAAGCTGCACGAGCACTTCACAGCCTGCGGCATTGAGACTCACATGTACGCCTCCCAGTGGTTCCTAACTTTGTATACGGCCCGCTTCCCGCTGTGCTTTGTATTCCATGTGCTGGACGTTTTCCTGCTCGATGGACTTCCCGTGCTGTTCCAGGTGGCTGTGACACTGCTTTCAATCTGCGAGTCTGATTTGCGGCAGCTCGACTTCGAAGGCATTCTGAAGTATTTCCGTGTCACGTTACCAAAGAAATGCCGAAGCTCCAGCCAGGCACGCAAAGTAATGAAACAAGCCTGTGAGCGTAAGATCAAAAAGCTGAAGCAGTACGAGGAGGAGTTTCTCCTGAAGAAGCAGCACAAGGAGCGGCTGGAGAAGGAGGCTTTGATCTACGAAAACCGATTCGGCGAGGAGAGGCGCAAGATGCAGGCCGAAATCGATGCGCTTAACAAACAACTGACGTCCGCCAAGGAGCGAGCTCTGGAGAAGGAGAAGAAGCACACAGGCATTATACAGGAATACAAGCAGATCATCCAGCGACAGGAACAGGACATGAACACGCTTAGCGAGACATTGGGCAAGGTGATGGTGAGTGGTTAAGGGAAATTTGATTTATGTTGCATATTCATTCACACTCGTTTTTCCAGCACATGGTTTCCAATTGCCGGGATTGCCAGCAGCATATCGACGCCGGCAACGACAATGCCAAGTCTTCTGGGACCGGCGGCTCCAGGCGACAAACAGATGCCATGCGGAATGCCAATGAGCATCCGCTCGGACCACTAGACCCGCTTAATGCCGCCTCGCAGCGCATCCGTGAACTGGAACTGGAATTGGCCCAGGCAAAGCTGGCCCAAGTGGAGGCGGAGTGCAAGAACCAGGACCTGAACCATCAGCTCAGCAACACGCTCAGTGAACTGCAGACCAACCGCAACAGCTGGCAGCCGTGGCTCTCGAAGACCTTCAACTCGCTGCAGGAGAAGGTGACCACCCGTGGCGGTGGTCATCGGGATAATGGCAGTGGCGGACCCACGCCCACATTCCAGTCCTACATGGGCCAGGCGCCCACGACCCTCAGCGAGGCCAGCTCCCCGAGCGGCAATCAGGTAACTTAGGAGCCCGCGATCCGCCCAACCACCAACCACCATGACTGAAATATCTTCAGTTTATTATTTTTAGTTTTTGTATGAATAATTTCTATAATTAAGATATGGGTAATCAGCCCGAGAGAGCTGAGCTCCAGGAATGTTTTCCGAATACCTTAAGCTCTCTGAGAATACCCAACCATTACTTATCATTGTTTAATTTAAACACGCGCTTACCCCACACCATGACATACATATTGAAGAATCTTTATTTAGTCGACTACTTTACAGGCATTGAACCCACTTGCTGTTTCTGTTTGCTTATGATTTTATTGATATTTTGCATTGCAAATAAAACCCTGTGTATATAACATGCTAAATTTGAATCTCGTATCCCAATGGCTGCCCAGGAGTACAAGACCTTTGCATTTGTCACCGAAGTTGCCAAGCAACTTTCTGGCCACCAAGCTGCGCAACAGCAACAGCGGCAGTCTGCAAAGTATGGCGGCTCCTCTGCTCACCGGCAAATCGCTCGCCGAGAATCTCAACCAACAACTGCAGCAATAGAGTTATCGGAATGAAAAGCTGAACGCAGATACAGAGACGTAGGTGATTCTGGATAGCAGACCTGCGGCATTGACTACGCCTTGGTATTATTTATCATATTCGTCTATATATACATATACAAATGTGCATTTTGATTTCCATATATAAGCGAGTAATAGATTTTTATTATTTTGCACCTTTGAGGCACCCTAAATTCCAGAGCTTGTCAATATATGCCCTTGATCAATTAAAGGATTGGGACGTATCTTTTAGGAGCTTTGTTGTTGTGTTATGAATTGATCTGGGGCATATATTAACTGGCTCTGGCGAATGCTACACGCATAACGCTATACATGAATAAATATATAACCAATAAAATGCTAAATATTAATGTAAATATTTATTTCTTTTTGGGTGTGGTATATGTAGTATAGAATACAAACGTTAAAACCTTTTCCAGATTTTTAAAAAAGATTGAAGTTGATGCAATTGAAATTTAATTGAAATAATAGCTTTCTATATTGATATAGTATTTGATACAAATATTATATTTTCTACGGCTCTTATTTCACTCAAACATTTTAGGTGTTTCATTAACACCTTTTTAAATAAATAACAAAATAAAATAAATTAAAAATGACTAAACATAATTGGAAACAAATTTTGTTCCATTTTTTTTTCATGTTAGGAGATTATTAAACATATTGGCCGGAAAAAATATTAGGGTTTAACCTCATATAAAAAAAAATGTTCTAATTTCAATTCCATCAAGTTAATCATCTTTGAATTGGAAAGAGGTCTATTTAACTGTGACCAGGTCCCGACCAGAATCACACCAGGATTTAATACTATCGTTCCAAGTTTGTCACTCCACAATCTGAAATTCCTCGCTCAGATGAAGAACAACCGCTGCACTCCCTCGGATCTTTTCTGTGGCGTCGACACGGCCATTGCGGCGTAGTTCATCAGGAGATCGGCAGACGAACTGCGCTGGATGAGACGCCTCCTTCCGCCAGTGCCGCCGCCTGAGTTGCTGAAAGATCGGCTTCTCACGTGTCCGCGGTGACGCCGCTTCGGTTTCTGAGTCCCGAAACAGGACACCTTCTGCTCCCCTTCGCTCTCGCTCTCGTTCGGAGGAGTTTCCTCTATCACATGTGACTGGAGGGTCTGGTTGGAGGTCTCCGTGTCCCGGGTTAAAGTTCCCGACTGACTCGTCAAGCGAGCACGCTTTCCCACGCTATAACTGGACGGATCTCTGGATAGTTCCGAGCCAAAGTTGCTGCTACTCCGCTCGTGCGGCAGGTTGGTGCCGTAACTGAGGAAATCCGGATACGGCAGCTGCAGTTCATCGCCGGTGAAGGCCTCCGGCGAGGAGAAGGTGTGTCGCAGCCGCTGGACCCGGTAACCCCTGCCCGGCGGCACCTGCTGGACCACCAGCCAGGATCGCTTCAGGTACGTGTGCTCCGTGCAATTGCTGCTGCTCTGCTCGGAAATCTGGAATTGCCTCGAGTTCTGGTTTAGGTTCTGGTTGTGTTTCTGGTCGGTGGTCACCGGACTCTCGGCCGTCGTCGAGGGCAGGCCTAGAGTGAGTGAAATGCTGAGTGAGTCACCTCCCTGGGTGCACTCATCCGCCGTGCTACCGGGCGTCGTGGCTGGCCCACCGGCTGCGGGTAGTTCACCCCCAGCGGATAGCGGTGGCGGGCTCGTTGAAACCCCCACGGATTGGAGCCGGAGGAGCGCAGACTCCTTTGCTGCCGCGAGAGACGCGCCTGCAGTGCCTGCAAGTGGGACTCTGTGGGTAAGTTAGCGACTGCAGGGAGGGATTCGTGGAGGGGAAACCGTCAACGTACCACACAAGGCCGTGGCCAGGAGCATCCGCTGGGCCATCGTCTGGGCCTGTTCCGCATCCTCCGTGGTGTCCGTGGCGGCCACCGCATGGGTCATCGCCGCCGCCGAGGTGCTGGGCTGCTCCTGATCCCGCTCCAAGCTGCAGCTGCTGTGCAGTGGCAGCACCGATTGCATGGTGCAACTGCTGGCCGCCCGACTGCAGCAGCGATCCCGAGGCGGTGGGCGACGGGCGCGGCGCTGGCGACGTGGCTCCCGCAACTCCTGCTGCATCCCCACCTTGATCACCTCCTCGTAGTCCGGCGGAGCTTCGTAGCTCGGCGGCTCGTCGGGTGTGCGATCCTCGTCCTGGCGATCCAGCAGCTCACTGATCGTCTGCAGGTGACTCTGCAGTTCGCGCTGATGACGGGCTCTCACGCCCATCCTGTACAGGATCACCATCCAGCCGGAAAGCACACCAAAGATGCCCAACGTGCTGATGATGAAGATCCCGGTGGCCGTCTTGAGATCCGGATACTGATCGATCTTGGGGAAGTAGTAGTTGGGCTTGTGGGAGTACCAGCGACGATCGTGGTGCAAGTGGGCCCAATCCTCCTCGCAGGAATCCGGCTCATCGCTGCCATCTCCGCAGTGATCGAAGCCATCGCAATGAAGGCGAATGGAGATGCAGTGGTTGTTCCCGCACAGAAACTCCGAGCCAATATAGCAATCTAGAGCGAGGGTAATTTGAATACTTAATCTCTTCAGATCTTGAATAATGAATACTACTCACTCAAATAGTTGAACACGCTGTAGACGATGGCCAGTTTGGAGGACATCCCAAAGACCCCACGCAATCGAATGTAGTAGCCGTTGAGGATGGGCGCCACATGGCTCTCCTTGCTCAGTCCATTGTTCGGCCACATCACGTTCTCGATCTCCACGGCATCGGAGGTTGTTCCCTGCCGGATGGTCAACTCCGATCGGGCAGCCATGCCGTAGAAGTCCTCCACGCGCAGGGAAATGTGGGTCTTCATCATCATGTAGTTATTGCCCGGCTTTATGATCCAGATGCAATCGAAAAGCCGCACGTCCGTCGCATTCTCGATCATGTTCATCATGGTGATGGCGCCTCCAGGTCCGGTGACCATTCCACCGCAATCTGGAGGGATTAGGTTAAGGGGTTATATACCTTTTTCACCAGAGAAATACATGGTTTTTATTTATTTTTTTTTAGCATGTTACCATTGTTTTATTTAAATTCAATAAAAATTTTATCAAAGTACGTGTCCTTAACTTAATTTGTATAAAATTTCGAGTGAAAATTTTGAGTATTGTGGAAGTTATAGTCCTTCCCGCAGAAGTCCTTTTTCATTAGAGGCTTGCGGTGAGCATGAAAACAAGAAAACCGCTCAACTTAAAAAAAAATGAAAAAAAACTACGTTAGTATATAGTGTTACCTAGTTCGTGAACGAAGGATTTTACGAAAAAAAATTTTTTACAGTTACAGTGATTATTTTTTCAAATAAAAAATGGTAAAAAAATTTTTAAGTTAAACCGTTTTATGTAAAACATGTACTAAATGTACTAAAAGCCTAAAAATAATATAAAATAGATACAGACGTGGGAAATTTAAACATATGCTTAGACTAGACTAAAATAAAACCGTGGGGCAAACAAACACTTTAATCAACGATTGTACACAATTGACTTGCCCCACGGTTTTATTTTTGTCTAGTCTAAGCATATGTTTAAATTTCCCACGTCTGTATCTATTTTATATTATTTTTAGGCTTTTAGTACATTTAGTACATGTTTTACATAAAACGGTTTAACTTAAAAAATTTTTTTTACCATTTTTTATTTTCTAGTTTTTAGTTTTTATTTCGCATTTTTATTTATATTTTTTTTTTACCATTTTGTTCCCACGAGTAATAGTCATTTAAACGGTCGACGCCCCCAGCGATCCAATAATTTGTACATTTATCTTAAACATTGCAATGTATGTTTAACATAAAACCTTTTAAATTTAAAAGTTTTTTTTTAACAAATTTGATTAAGTTTTTATTAGTTTTTAATTCGCATTCTGTTTAATTCATTTAGTGCTTCATTATTGCATGGTTTCTTGCCCGTTAGTTTGTTGCAGTCCAACTTCTCTATACGTAGTCCCTGCAAAGATCTTACTCTACTAAGAGCCACGTAAGCTTGACCTTCTTCAAACAGTTTCGCACCTAAGTATACAACTGCGTGATCCACAGTGCTGCCCTGCATTTTATGTATTGTAGAAGCCCATGATAGTATTAAAGGCAACACTCTTCTCTCAGCCGTCCTGTAATTGTACTTAGCTGGAAACTGTATAGCTTTCAGGTGTATAAGATGCACTTCGACTTTTTCGAAATCAATTCGGACGGAAGGTACATCTTTTGCATACATCTGAGTTCGACGAAATTGAGGCCAAACGATTTTGTTGATGTAGCCTATAGCGCCATTAACCAATCCCTTCGAAACGTCAAAATTGGACCGTAGCATGACTTTTGCCCCACAAATATTTCCAGTTCTGCTGGTAAACCTCCAGTTTTGTTTCTATCAACTTCACTTTCTTTAGTTCGTTTTGATTTATAAAATAATAAATCTAAACCATCCTCAAACCACCTGGAATACACACAAAAAATTGCATCAAAATCGGCCCAGGCGTTGTTGAGTTATGCGCTTACCAACACATTTTGCGATTCATTTTTATATATAAGATTTAGCTTACCCCGTTTGTTGTCAGATTGATCTGAATTAATCTGATGTGTTTGACAGTGACAATGATACCCATGTTGATGGGATTGATAAAACCTAAGTTATCCGCCATTTTGCAGAGGCCGCCATCTTGAATTTTAATTTTATATAGTACAATGTATTCTACTTGTTGAGACCTTTCATTTGATACCCATATTGATGGGATTGATAGAACCTACGTTATCCGCCATTTTGCGGCCGCCATCTTGGATTTACAATGTTATTGACATTACTATATTGTATTGTCATCGGAACTGAAGGTGTGTACCAAATTTCAGATCAATCTGACAACAGGAAGGTACTTAAATTTCAATTTCTAATTTTGACCCTAGTGTGACCTAAATAAAACAGTTTAAAAAACCGATTTTTCGAGGTCTAATAATTTAGTTTTTCGCCCCAAAAAAATAGAAAACTTTGTCGAAAAAAAATTCCTTCGTTCACGAACTAGCTATTGTATCTACAAACAATCCCCCAAAATTTCAAATCGATCGATGTAGTGGTTACCGAGATATCGTGCTCACCGCAATGACCTTTTCTCAAAAATGCGACTCCGAGATAATCGCGTTTAAAGTTTTAGGTGGACATTAGGTAGTCATGTTCACCGTGCGCTATGAACGGCTGTATCTTAGGTTCTAGTGCCCCGATCTCTAAAAAATTTTGCAGAAAAATTGTTGAAAGTATGTACATCAAAAAAAAATCATAAAATTTTTTTCGATTTTTTGAGTCTGAAAAAGGTATATAACCCCTTAAGGATTTGTTTGGAAAAAAAGGTTTAATCTGAATAGGGTAGTGAAGATTATTTTAAAGTATGCCTTATTTAACTATGTGTATAAGTCGTATGATCCTTTGGGAATTTTCTCTTTTAAGCATTATTCAACATGAAGTGTTTATTTCTAAGGTATTGCATCATGTTTCCACATAATGAATCTAAATAGTTTGTTATGCATACTGACCAACCTGCCCCAACAATGCATAACCATTGGAACCCCTTACCAGCTTATATGAGTGGTGGGACCACCACCTTTTGGGCAATGATCCAACAAATCGATTGTCTTACCAAACTAGACCTAACCAGAGCCAGAGTGTCACCCAGTTTCCACTTCATCGCCTTGCATTGACATTGATATTCGTTGGAACGCCCAACGCCCACCTTTTTTTTAAATCAATATGACAATTGCCTGCAGACCTTCAAGTGCTTAGCTAATCCGGCCACTATTCCGATGTCCCTTGTTCTACACAGAGCTAATTTTCTATTATTTTTAATTTTATATTTTTTAAATTTACTTAATTTACTTATTCCTAATTGTTTTGAAGACACTTCATTTCTAAAGTTTTTTCCAGAGGATAATAAAAATGCTTCATTAAAATTTCTAAAAATATTAGTAAAATTTTCAATATTTAAAGAACTAATTTTATGTTCTGTGTGATAATATCCACCAACTCACCTGTAAATGGCACCAGTCTTTCGTCCTTCAGCTGCTTGGACGATACGAAGCTGACTTCGGCACGGAAACCTACTCCGGTCGCGGAATTTCCCCGGAACTGCAGCAGCAGCGACTTTCCGCTGCTCACCGTGATGGGTGGGCGGAAATGCTCGCCCGTGTACGAGTCCAACATCTGGCCATTGGAGTCGAAGATTTCCAAAGTGGAAGCCAAGCCGAGCTGAAAGTCGGTGAAGTCCAATCGCACCTGACAGTTGTCCGCCTCGCAGGTGAGGATGTGCTCGATGCCGTAATCGCGAGGATAGGGCATCGGAAAGTAAGGAGTGGAGATGACCTGCGGCAGGTACTTGGTACTCCCATTGCCCACAATGGACTGCTTGGGCGAACCGCTGACTATTCGTACGTTGCCTGTTCCAGTGGAAGTCTTAATAGAAATTAAATGCAATTGGGAGATCCTTTAATCTTACGCTCTGAAAAGTACTGCAGCGAAAAGACATGGGCATTGTTGGCCCTGTAGAAGAACTTCAGCTGCAGGGTCCTGGTTTTACTGCGGAACACCTTGCCGTCCCCGCAGAACTCCTGACCGGAAATGGTGGAATCGTAGGGCGGCTCCGAGAACTGGATGTGCTCGCAGGGACACATGCTGGACTTGCCGCCCGTGTTGCCGCAGCTCTTGGAGAAGTTTGCATAGGTGAAAGCCACCCGGATGACGCACTCGGCGCAGGTGACCAGCTCCAGGCTGCACTGGTACCACACATCCCCGGCTACCGCATCCGTCTTGAAGCCCAGCGGCGAGCTCTGTTTTAAAATCGATTGCTGCTGACCTAATCCTGGCGAGAAACGCAGGCGAAATCACTCACCCGATAGGCGGTGGTGGTCACGTTCCGTGCATGCAGCTCTCCGGCCGGAGAGCCCAGCTCAAGGAAGTGTCTCCTGCCATCCCAGTGGTTGCAAATGTCCAGATCTCGGTAGCTATTGCTGGCCGGATACGCCGCTCCTGGCCAGCAGCGCAGGCAGATCACGTAGGCCAGCAGGTAGCCATAGCCAAGGACTTTGGCTAGCATCGATAATTTCTCCCTCCTCACAGGATACTGGTCCCCTTCCGCTTGTATTTTCCTGCTCGGTGTGGTGCCGCCAAGTGTTGAAACACGACTGTGGCCACATCGATGGCAAATCCAATAAACCCGGCCCAGAAGAAGCCGCACAAGTGGATTGGGCCTCGTAACGAGCCCTCCACCCTTGTCCACTGGGTTAAAGACCTCTCGAGTCCGGTATAAAAATACATTTATTTGAAATTTCTTTTCCGTTAGACGTTAAGGGGAAAATCATGGGTTTTTCGTTGCGTCTCGCAGAGACAATGAAACTGTGTGGGACATACAGCGAGGACACGAATAGTTAGCCTAGGACGCGTACATCTACATATACGAATGGAAATATGGTAAAGTGTAATGGTATAGGACGAGGCTTCGCTGAGTGGTTTCCTTAAAGGTGCGAAGCCTGCGGCTCGGATTTAGAGCTGGATAGTCACTTGGCGGCGGCGGCGTTCTTGGCCAAAGCGGCCTCCAGGTTCTTGGCCAGCGTGTCCATGAACTCGAACGTCTCCTGGTAGTCCTTGCGCTCCACGGCGCTGATGCTGCCCTTGATGCAGATGGCCAGATCCTTGGTCATGGCGCCGCCCTCGATGGTATCGATGCACACCTGCTCCAGGGTCTCGGCGAACTGCTTCAGCGGCTCGTTGTTGTCCAGCTTGGCGCGGTGCAGCAGACCACGGGTCCAGGCGAAGATCGAGGCAATAGGGTTGGTGGAGGTCTCCTTGCCCTGCTGGTAGAAACGGAAGTGACGCGTCACCGTTCCGTGGGCGGCCTCCGCCTCGACGGTCTTGCCATCGGGGCACAGCAGCACGGAGGTCATGAGACCCAGAGAACCGTATCCCTGGGCAACGGAGTCGGACTGCACATCACCGTCGTAGTTCTTGCAGGCCCACACGAAGCCACCCTCGGACTTCATGGCATAGGCAACCATGTCGTCGATGAGACGGTGCTCATACCAGATGCCCGCCGCCTCGTACTCCTTCTTGTACTGCTTGTTGTACAGGTCCTCGAAGATGTCCTTGAAGCGGCCATCGTACTTCTTGAGGATCGTGTTCTTGGTGCTCATGTACAGCGGCAGCTGGCGGTCCAGGGCGAACTTGAACGAGGCGTGGGCAAAGTCCACGATCGAGTCGTCCGTGTTGAACATTCCTAGGGCGACACCGGGTCCCTTGAAGTCATTGATCACCTCGTCGATGACCTGACCGTCAGCACCCTTCCATGTAAGGGTAAGCTTGCCGGGTCCGGGAACCACATAGTCCACGGCCTTGTACTGATCGGCGTGAGCGTGGCGACCGATCACGATGGGCTTCTGCCAGCCGGACACCAAACGGGGCACGTTCTTGCAGATGATGGCCTCACGGAAGACAGTTCCTCCCAGAATGTTACGGATGGTTCCGTTGGGGGACTTCCACATCTTCTTCAGCTTGAACTCCTCCACTCGCTTCTCATCTGGGGTGATGGTGGCGCACTTGATGCCCACATTGTACTTCTTGATGGCCTCGGCACAGTCGATCGTGACCTGGTCCTCAGTCTTGTCACGGTATTCGATACCCAGATCGTAGGTGTGCAGCTCGATGTCCAGGAAGGGCAGAATAAGCTTCTCCTTGATCGAGTCCCAGATGATGCGGGTCATCTCGTCACCGAGGACATCCACAACGGGTCCGGCTGGGATCTTCTGGGCCATCTGTTCGGGAGAGCATACCACAAATGAGTTCTTGAGGGTGGCAGATAAAGGGAACTTATTAGCTATGTGAATAATGGATTTGTGTCTAGAAGCTGGCGTGTTTGGGAATTCACCTCACTCACGGCGGCAATCTTCTGATCCATTGATAACTTGTGCGTAATGGGTTCCTAGACACAGGCGATACAGGCGAATATTTAATGACGATGAACAAGTGAAAGCCGGCAAAGCAAAGTGAACTTTGATCCGGATGAGATAGGGTGGTTCGATTTTTTTGTATGAAAAAATGCTCTTTGTTAAATCTAAAAAAAATGTCTTCTCACAAAGCACGCTTTAAATATTTTAAAACTTGGTAAAAAATTTTACAATTATTGTATGTATATTTTTAACAACTTTTTACAAATATCGACCCACCCTACTTCCAAATTTAAGAAGCAGAGATATTAGGGCAACAAAGGAAGATTCACGTTAAGAACCTACCGCGGCACTGATGGCGAAATTGGCCCGGAAAACTGCCTGGTTGAACTGCGGTTGACGGTGCACCGTCTTCATCATAGCGGCTGTGCGGCGCAGGGCAAACATTTTACAACTCGGTAATTTTATGAATGAACCGGACTGAAATCGAGAGACGAAACTGTTTGTCACCAAACTGAAACAATACAAATGCTGACACTGGGCCCGGGGAACGCGAGAAATCTCCGGACAAAAGCTGTAGGCGTAGCCCGCGTCCTAACTGTAAAACTGATAACTGTAAAGTGCCGTTATTTGCTGCAGTTCCCAGCTAGCCGTACAATCAAATCGTTGCGCAATCGGCGTAATCACAACGTTCTATATGGCCGGTCAGATAAGATTTAGCCCGGGGACTTTGATAAGCTGCTCTCAGAGCGCTTTAGAAAACTAATTTTAATTAATAATGTAACAATTGCCAAAACAACAAACACTCGGGGAACTCGACGTAAACATGTAATCGTTATCGCCGGTTCACTTGCCAATCGGTTTTGCATTGTGGGTGGCATTGTCCTTCTCTTTCTTTCTTCTTATCAGTTAACAAAAACTTTTCCACTATTTGGGGTGTAACTACTTTTATTTTAAGTTCAGGGCCGACGTCACTTGATAATACATCTATTTATAAATAAGCAGCGCGTGGCACTCTGGAATTTTTTACACTTCACTTGTGGTCATTTAAATTTTCCATCAGCTGTTACTTCTGTGATATCGATAACGATACTCGATAGTGATGGGTAATGACATGTCAAAGCTTAGATCATTTTTGAAACTGGGCGCTCATGTCTTTTTTTATTGTTGCGAAGGAGGCTCGCTCTGATTATCGCAAAGAGTCTACGTTTCTTATCTTCTCATTCAATGCCATTCACTTGTCTAACTAATCACAATTGCGTGATTCTTTTTTAAGTTTTTCTTCTCAATTTGAATTAATGGCAGCGTCTGGCTTTATAAAAATCTTTGGATTCTCCATTGTATCTTTGACTACCTAATTAACATACCGAGGTGGCGCGATCGCTTATCACGCCATAAGCCCCGCCCCCTAATGGGGAAAAAAGAGGAGCGGTAATCAAAAAAACAGTATTTATGCTTTCACCAAGTGAATTTCACAAGGGGCTCAGTAGCCCATCTGGCAGACTTCGAACATGGTATTCAATATCAAACTCCAACCCACCCCCTTCTACTTCTTTCTAACGTGGCCGATAAGATTTGCCAGTGGTAAATAAACATGCAATGACAGGGTGAAATTCGTTAGATTTTACCAGTTGGGTGGGTACTCTTGCATTTTTTGCACATAGATTTTTAGACAGACAAATCATGTGGCTTTTAACCCTTGGATCTTACGTCACAATTTGAAATTTTGATAACTAAAAAATATACATACACATATTTATTTAAAATTTTTCAACAAATAAAACATGTGTGGTATTTATTCACAGGTTCAACTCTGTCAAACAGTTGTAACCATAGATTTAATTTTTGCGATTTTAAGTAAAGAAAACCATTTAAAAAATTTCTTATAATAAAATTTTTAAACTGCATAATTCCAAAAATATGGTCTTGTAAATGAAAATGAACAATTAATTGCAACAGGCAATAAATTACCCAAATAACTTTAAAATGAATCTGGAAACATACATTTGTATGTATATTTTATTTTGTGGCCCAAAGTTTTTAAGATTGGGGGAGGTAGAGTTATGTATATAAGAAATTAATACAAATTTTTTAATGGTTTACATTTTTTTATACCCTTGCAGAGCAAAAGGGTATTATAATTTCAGTCAGAAGTTTGCAACGCAGTGAAGGAGACACCTCAGACCCCATAAAGTATATATATTCTTGATCAGCATCACGAGCAGAATCGGAATCCGCCTGTACGTCTGTCCGTCTGTCCGTCTGTCCGTCTGTCCGTCTGTCCGTTTCCGCGCAAACTAGTCTCTCAGTTTTAAAGCTATCGTGCTGAAACTTTCCCAAAAGTTGTGTAGTTGTTGCACGCAGTATATAAGTCGGAACGAGCCGGATCGGCCGACTATATCGGATAGCTCCAATACAAGGGAATGAAATAAAAAATTCTCACTCTGTTGTTTTTGATCAGATCGACTTGATTTCTTCTAGATGGCGTTTTCAAACAGTTTTTGAATTTCGGATTAAATTTGATCAAAATCGGATAACTCTATCATATAGCTGCCATAGGAGAGATCGAAAAATATATAGAATTAATGGAAATAAATTGATTACATCGTTGTTTTTTATCCCACGAGCATGATTTTTTGAATATCAAGTTTTCTAACCACGTTTGTATTGAGAAAAAAGTTTCATAAAAATCGGACAACTATATCTTATAGGTACCATAGGAAAGATCGGAAGATCTATATAGAAATAACGGAAATAAAATTATAATATCGTTGTTTTTTATCAGATACCCATGATTTTTGGAATATAAAGTTTTCTAACGACTCTTGAATTACGAATTAAATTTGATCAAAATCGGAAAGCTATATCATATAGCTCACATAAGATCTATAGTCGAAAATATGGAAAATGAATAGAAAAATAGTCTTAGCTTCGATGTTGTTTAGCCTACATATCGACATATTTGATGACTGCAAGGGTATATAAGCTTCGGCTTGCCGAAGCTAGCTTCCTTTCTTGTTTTTTTTTCAAATAAATAACTTTGTTTTGAATGTTTCTTGTTAATGAGGTTTTGCTTCGTTTATTACAGAATTCTGTATGAGATACGAGCCTTCTTATGACTATCTGGAGATGTGCTCGAACATTCTGTTTGTAGATATGCAATTTAGGTTTAATTAAAACGGTCGACACGAAGTCAAGATTAAACTTTGGACAGCACCTGGAGAATCAGGTGGAAGAGAAAAGCCTGACGATTGGGTTACGTGTCTGTCTCTGTCACCCCATCTATACCGCTCTCTTTCAAATCTTTTTGTATTTTTTATCTGTCTCTCTTCTTTTCAGAGGAGGCAAAC